CTCATTTTATGGTATGCTTGTTGAAGCTCACCCGCTCGTATCTTGATTGGAGTATATCTGTGGATGCTATGTAAGTTTGAGTAATGTGGCTCAACATTCCTTGTTGCACCACTTTTTTTGTAGTATCCCATGAGCTGCATGTGACTGCATGTACTTCAAGAACCTGCTAGTTTACTTGTCATTGCTAGCAATGCCTGATAGTGTGTGTGTGTGTGTGTGTGTGTGCGTGCGCGTGTGTGCGTGCATGTGTATATGTGTGCGGGCGCGTGTTGTGCTTTGCTCCACTATTGCAGATCGTATCCCAGCGCGTAAGCTTACGTTTGAGGAAACCCCACCGACTACCAGTACCAGCGGCAGTAGTAGTAGCAGTAGCTGTCAAACCACCTCCACCGCCGGTACTCGTACCAGCAGCCAAGTCGACACCACTAATGCTAGTAGTACGGGCGCAGGTACAAGGTCCACATCATTCAGCTTGCAATCTCTGTCCGAAGCGGCGTCGATGGTCAGCAAGGAAAGCAGCTCCGTGACAAAAATGACCAATGCCATTGCGACGGTATCTGCGAACAGTGTGACGGGTACGGGGGCAGTGGCGGCAACGCAAACAACCGGCTCAAGTACTGCCGCCACTTGTCTGACTAGCACTGGTGATACACCTATTAGAGGTGGTGACCAGGCCATGGAGACGGCAACGACCTCCTCCGAAACGCCACCAGTTCGCAATTCGGTCAGCCTGTTCTTGCGCAAGGTGAGCCAGTTGCTTTTGCTTCACCTGTACATGTAGTGTAATTGTATGGCGTTATTTGTTGAGAGTCTGAAGAGGTAGTGTCACTGTGCCCATAGCAAACTGGATCCCTCATTATCCTCCCTATTGTCTTGCTTATACAAATGTACAGACCATTGCTTGATAGCCATATTTTGTTTGCCTTTGTCTTGTTTTTGGTCATGTGTCTCGTGATTTTTGTTTAGGTTTACCATCTTGCCAGCATGCGCCTCAATTTCCTTTGTCAGCGGCTGCAGATGGATGCGGAGCAGCAGCAAACGTAAGGAATTGTGTTTTGAGGTGTTAGCGTGGCATGCGCTGCTGGTGTGCGTCTCTCCGCAGCATACTAGTGTATCATTGCGACTTGTGTTCTTGACCTTGCTTGGCACTGTGGACCATTGCACTGTTGAAAAAGTGGCATCAGCAAACGGCACAGCGATCTTACCTTGTGGGCTGGCTTAACTGCACTCGTTTTATGGTTTCAGCCAGCGTGACCTGTGGCGCTGCTGAATCGCTGGCCCAAGTGCATGGCAATGAAATGAATTCTGTATTTCTAGTTGCAGTGGTGTTGTGTGAGCAGCACAGTCAGTCTGGGTAGCACACACACACACACACACACACACACACACACACACACACACACACACACACACACACACACACACACACACACACACACACACACACACACACACACAATGCCGTTGCGTCCTCTTCTTCGTGTTGTCTTCTCCCGTGTAGATGCTGGACGTGCTTTGAGGAATGTCTCGTGCAGCACATTGACGAGTTGAAAGACAGACATATTGACCAATTCATTATGTGTTCTATTTATGCCATTGGCAAGGTAACTAACTATAGCTCCTATCTCCTTTGCGCAGCATGTGTAGCACTTGTATATTCAATACCTATCTGAAGAACAATGAATGTTCTGACAGTTGCACGTGCAATCCGCTAGTGTTTGTGTTATTGATTTCGTCCACTGTGACCAAATTACTGTTGGTTCCTGTAGTGCGCGCTTGTGTGTTCCACTGTTTGCTGCTCCTGCCGCCCCTACCGGGTTTTTATGTTAACAACAATACTGCATTTGTGTGTGCTGCTTGCCTTGCATTGACTCTGTAGGTGCTGAAGAAAGATGTTGAGTTTGGTGACATTGTCAAGTACTACCGCTATCAGCCACACATGTCCAGCGTGGTAAGGGATCATGTCTTGTTTTAACCAAGTCCTTTGTTTAATGTCAATCAACACAACAGACATACGACGACCCCGAGGACGACCCCGTCTGAGATGGATCGACGTTGTCAAGAAAGACTTACAATGCATTAATCTGTCGCTTCTGGATGCTGTGCAATCTGCTTCTGATAGAGCTGCTTGGCTCGAAATTGTTAACAGATGCGTTGACCTCATGCAATGAGTGAAATGCGAACTGTCATTATTATTATTATTATTTGTTTGATGTCCTACTGTCCTGTTGTGTGATTACGGGGGAGACGGATGGGGAGATCAATCCATGGATATTCCTATGTGTCAGCAAGCACCCCGATTCTGTTCCATTGTGTACAATGTACTTGCATCCTCAGCTCGTCAGGAGAACGTTTCTTTGGCATGGAGAGGACACTTCTAAATTCTGCCTGCTCCTACTAGATGACGCCCTTGTCCATAGAACTTCAACGACTTTTACACTGGTTAAATTTTTCTGGTTAGCCGTGTGTTCACGGTGCACTTTCCGGCATACAGCAGTGCTGCTTACCCCAAGGTCATGGAAGGGGACTGTTGTTGCGGCAAGGTTGTGCATGGGTGTTATTCTAGTTGTGTGTTAGTGCTTTTGCGTGTAGTTCGCTAAGCACGTCAGGTTGCTTTTGCTTTGTACTATTCAGTTTCTCCTTACTTCTGGGTGTCTTACCTCTTCAAGTTTGGTCAAGGTGGGTTGTTGTGAGTGCTGCTGCTGCCACTGCTGGTTCCATACAGCCAGTGCTAGTGTGCTGGCTCTTGGCAACAGCAACAGTTACTGTTGCTCTGAGCCGGCACATTGATCATTTTCGCAACACACTTCGTGCTCGCCGCCTTCTTACTCACTCACCATTCTCCTGCGTCATTCCATTTTCTCTCACTGTGCCTCTGTTCACTCTTTGCCGCAACTATCATCGACACCACCTTGTCTCACTCCTGGGCATGTGTCTCTCTCCTACGTTTGGCACTGACCCGAACTGATACGGGTTGTTTTCTACCTCAACCAAGTCACAAGCTCTACCATATTCCCCGTCTCCAGTCTCCCACCGCCATTCCCACTGCCATTCTCAGTGCAGTCACCGTTTCTCCTTGGTCAACCACTATCTGCTCAACGCTTCTGTGTCGTTGTTGTCGGGTCATTCTTTGGAAATCTGCTCATTTTTGCCATGGTCTCCTTCCATTCTGCTTGTCGATATTGGACACGTCGCGTCATCAGCTTGCTGTGTTCACGCCATTCAGAATTGGTGGTTGCTATGCACGGTTATGCATCGACCTGGTCTCGTGCTACACTATCTCAGTTGGTGGTGTGCACTGTCTGTCCTTGTGCTGACTTAGTTCCAGTGTCTGAGTAGCTACTTTATGCTAACACATTACTTGATTGATACGTGATCTGTTGTGCTGATTGCTGTCTCACTTGTAGACGTATCGCCAGGTGATGATCTCTAGGAGTACGGAGAGTGCCGTGGCTGTGACTGCTAACTCGAAAACAGTGCCAGATCCCAAACCCAGGGAGCAGGCAGAGGCACTGCAAGCCTCCTTGACTCCGAAAGGTTCACCTGTGACACGTTCTTCATTGAGGCGGCAGCAGCAGCATCAGCATCAGCAGTTGAAGCAAACCAGCTGTGAGTAGTTAGCATAGAATTGTGCTGTGTGTCTTGTGCTTTCTCCTTTCCTTACTTTTCCTTGAGCTGCGCGGACTCTATCTGCCTTCATGTCCAGCAATGGAAATGCCAAGTTGAAAATGTGATCCACCAGCTGGTTGGAGGCCTGCAAGCAATCAGGTCTTGCCCTGTGTATTGAACTTGCATACACGGCTTTGTTACTTTGATCTTTGCCACCGGTCTTCTTGTGTATAGCAATGTATTGGCAAGCACATACATTATGAGGATGTGTATCAGCGAGCCAGCCTGCTTGGATAGTGTGCTTGATGCAATACCACTGAAGTAGTTGTTCATCATTATGATTGACAGTACCTTCTCCCAGTTAAAAAAAGGGTTGGGTTGTCAACTGCCACCGCTCTATTTAGTTGCTATTCACTCTTTAGATGAAACTTCTTTTATTAATGATGTTGAAAACTGATTGACGTTTCGGGCCAGTCACCCATCGTCGGAATGGTTCTGACGATGGGTGACTGGCCCGAAACGTCAATAATTTTTCAACATCATTAATAAAAGAAGTTTCATCTATAAAAGAGTGAAAAGCAACTAAATAGAGCGGTTGTCAGTTGACAAACCCCCTTTTATTTACAATGCAGTTGCATGATGTCCACCACTTTCTGAACTTCTCCCAGTTGCCTGTACAATGACGGCCTTGTTCTCTTGGTCATGTTGTTTTTGCATGTGCGTGTGCGTGTGTGTGTGTGTGTGTGTGTAGCGGTGGAGAAACCGTCCAGCCCTCGGCGAAGTCCTCGTAAGCGGCCTCATGAGAACGAGTCGGCTCCTTTAGCATCTGGGCCTGTAAGGGGGCCGCTATTTGCGTCCTCGCCACCTCGCAAGAGGAAGGACCATGGCACAGCTGAGTCAGCGGTGCCTGCGGTATCCTCGATAAGAAACTCGTCACCTCTTGCTGAGAATCCTCTAGCCAGCACTTGCGCGTCCAGTGCGGATGTACCGATGGACACTGGTGAGCAACCAACATCGCTCTTGATGACTCCGAAGAAAACCGACCCGCCTGTCCAGGGTGCTCCTCCGGGTCTTCTGTCTCCGCCAGTGGCATTACCCGATGGGCAGTGCATTGGAGATATCATTGCCTTCTACAACAAGGTAAACTAATTGGCGTGCAACTTATTAGCCCGCCACCACAATACATGTACGATCATGCTGTGAACCTGTCTTGTTTCTACATATCTGTTTATGATCGCACTATAAGATGTCCCCATGCTACATTGTGGCGGTGTGCTTCAGCACCAGTTCTGTGCTGACTTTATTGAACTAGATCGCCAAAGCCGTGTTTTGACGTCTCCGTTGCTTGCCAGATATCTCGGCCTGATCATAGCTCGCCGAATTTTGGCTTTTCTTTGGTCGCAGCAACTTTCATGCCAACATCATGTGTCGGTTGAGCATTTGTTTGTGTAATTGTCAGGTGAATGGCATCTGTGTTTGTGTAATTGTCAGGTGAATGACATCTGTGTACTGTTCTTACCGTGTGCTCAGGTGTACTTGAAATTGATGAAGAACTTTCTGATGCAGTTCATACCGGAGAGGATAGAAGGGGTAAGATGGCCGCTCTTTCTTTCTTTTCTTTCAGCATGAGATAGAGTTATGACTCCCTTAGGAATGTAAACCTTGCTTCAGTGGCCTTTATTGTGATGTCTGGCAAAGTGTCTTTCTTCCTGCAGACTAGGCTAGTGTAGTTGACGTCACATGACCTATTTTGTTAGTGATAAGTCCTGATCACCTTGAGTTCGAACCTGCCTGTTTGGATTTGGGTAGTGAGGGTTGGTGGCTTGGCACTATGCTGCTGTTCATTGCCAACAAGGTATGCATGCAGTCAGGGAAGTAGCCAGCACTGGCCCGGCCGTTTTAAGCTGTCCCCGGCCAAGTTGACTGCATGTGGCATTGGTTGGTTTTGAACCCAGGCATCCAATGAAGATGCTGCTGCCTAGGTTACCAGTAGATGGCTGCTTTCCTTTCCTGGTTGATGATTCGTGAGCAAGCATCTCCGTTTCTTTAGAAGACTCCCTTTGATAGGCACCCATATGCCTCTGGAAAATCCTTGAAATACAATGTCATTGTCAAATCCTCCCACTGTGCATTTTGACTGGACTATGCCTGTGCCTGTGACCTGATTCTTGAAATATTGTTTGCTTGTATTTGCTCAGGGCACAAGCCCATGCCTATCTCCAATGCCGAAGAATAAGAAAGCAACTTACTCTCCCAGAAAGCAGGTACATGACATGTTTGGTCACATGTGTGATCATGTAACAGTTCCAGGCAGCCGTCCCTGACTAGAACAGAGCACCTATTCTCCAGTGTCCATTACCATTCTATGTATTACCTACATCACACTGTATGGTCTGTTGTAATGGGTGGTGACCTTCATCACACTTCATGTTACAGCCTCTTATAAACGTTTTACAGGCACACTGCATGCATCAAACAAATAAGGACGCTCGTCTCCAATAAAGACACACCTGTCCTTTTTTTCCTAAAAGAAAATGACTTATTGCCATTAGGATGTTGTACCAGCCATGAAGAGGGTGCCACTCAAACATGGGCGGTGTGATGAGATGAAATGGGCTTGAAATGATAAGAGCGGTCTACAATAAAGGCTTGTCTCCAATAAAAGCACGTCACGTTGGAGGAAGGTTGTAAAAGTAGAAAGTGCATGCTTATACCGTATGTCAGCGCCTTTAAAGCCATGGCCTTATATTCAAAACACCGCTGCTTTTTTTTTACCTATTTTAGATGCAAAAAGACCAACGCATATGGCCGATTGGTTTGCAGGCCTGCCTGCGAATCATGAGGTCCCGAGTTCGAGACCCGCGCTGGCAGCAGGGAGCGTGTAAAAAGACTTTTTACGTGTGTTGAACTGCGCCGAAACCCACGGTCAACTGGGTACTCACAGCTCGAGTGAGGATAACAAGGATGCAGTTTACAGGGTTATGGGCTGTTACACGCCCGATTGGTTGAGAGACTCACCTCCTCTCCCCTGACTCACTTGTGAGGTCTGCATTCGCCACTAAGGTGTAAAGGCATAGTGGTGGCCTGCGGAAGCGAAGGCTATAGCTTGTGTGTTTCTGAACATTCAAGTGATGCTAACGCGGATCCCGCGAATATTATTATATTAAATGACTCACCCACTACGCCATGCCATAAAAGTCACAGTCCACATAGAAATTTCATTCTAAATCCACGTGTTCACCCTTCCTGCTGGGCTGTACGATTGTTAGTATAATACTAATGTATGTCGTATTCCGTCACTTTTACAAAACATACTTCAAATGCCATTTCATTTACGAAGCCCATGGCTTTATACCTGAGACTGGCATTATAATCGAATATTACTCCATGGCTTTAAAGGTGCGGACATCCAGTAATTGCCATGTCACCGGCAATGGTGCATTGTGATATGAAGTGGCAGTTGTATTAGGAGTCGGAGGTGACACAAGTACAAGTCACATGAGGACCAACGGATGCCTGTGCGGGGGACTGTGCTGGTGTCGAGCAAGAAGCCTCCAGCGAAAACAACCGAGCCACCGTAGTCATCCCCACCACCAGATATGTGCTCTAGCACAGTAGCATCCTTAGACCGGCTGAGGGAACGGAAATCACGACACCCCCCGAGCTACAGAAGGGTTATCGAAAGCCTGAGCTACGCCAGGAGGGTCGCCACCTGGTAAGAAACCAGTTGAAGCAGTAACACTGCTCGTGACGGCTTCAGCAAAAACCTGGGTCTAGCGCACCACTGTATCAGGGCAAGCGTCTTCAAGATTTCATCCATAGCTGCGGAGAGACAAACTAACCCGCAAGATTGGGTATTGTTATTATTATTATTATTTTGCTTGTTCGCGTTGACATCACCAAGCAAGCTTGGCTAGTCTTCACATAAGCATAAGCAAGATTGGGTAGGCACAAATAATTGCCAAACTCACTCCTGTTGATCATGAAATAAGGCGGAAGGAAAAGGGACATTAAAGGAGTACAGTACTTGCTGACAATATAGAAGAAAAAGTGCAAGTCCTGATAGTAGATAAAGCTCGTTATAAGACAAGAATGTTGAAATCCCCAGGGTTGTCCACTAACGAGTGTAAACCTGTGTGGACTAATTGCATCTTAGAGTCCACCAACTATTTTTAATTCCCGTAGCTATGCAAAAGACGTTACTTCAGAGACAGCTGGCCACAACATTCAAACTAGCCTCTTGTAGAACATTTACCAATTTATTTCTCTGCCTACACTTCTGTGCTCTGCCCCAGGTATCAGCCCATCATAAGATATTTGTGTCACCGCGCAAGAAGGGTATGTGTCAGCTCCTACACACTGATATGTAGACATTGGACATGTAGTAGTACTCAGAACTGGTGATATGTATTCTCAAAAATCAAATAAAAAGTTATTCTCAACCTGTATTGACTTGTGCAGTACCTGCAAATCCTATTATGCTTGAAGCTTTGTACGAGAGGCAAGCATTATGTGTATCATAATTATGTACACATTGTACAGTGCTGTAAGGAAGCCTAGCCTCATGAGTTGGTTGGCACCTGGCACAGACTAAGTGCAGCCCAGTATAGCCATGCCAATGTTGGACTGTGCACTGCTCAAGGGGCACTATCAGTCGTATTCACGAGGCCAGCTTTCACGGGGCACCACAGCAAGTGTTCGGCATTGCTTGAACCATGCTTCACCTTGTCTTTTTCCTTGCCTGTATAATACCTAAAAACTTCTCTGAAGCCTGGAAGAAAAGCATGGTTTCTTGACTGCACTAGAATTGGATGATGTGTACAAGATGTGGGCGAACATATAGTCATTCGGCCTTTCTTATCACAGTTTGCCCCTCCCCCCCCCCCCCCCTCCCCCTCTCTCCGTTTCTTTCTCTCTCTCTCTCTCTCTCTCTCTCTCTCTCTCTCTCTCTCTCTCTCCGTTTCTTTCTCTCTCTCTCCGTTTCTTTCTCTCTCTCTCCGTTTCTTTCTCTCTCTCTCCGTTTCTTTCTCTCTCTCTCCGTTTCTTTCTCTCTCTCTCCGTTTCTTTCTCTCTCTCTCCGTTTCTTTCTCTCTCTCTCCGTTTCTCTCTCTCTCTCTCTCTCTCTCTCTCTCTCTCTCTCTCTCTCTCTCTCTCCGTTTCTTTCTCTCTTTCTCAGATTTGGGTTCAGACAGAATGCGGCAGCAGGAAGGGGCATTCTTGTATTGTCACCAGAGAAGCTCACTTTCGGTACGTATTTGACCTGCTGCCAGTTCTTCCAACTTGTACAGCTCAACAGGGTTGCACCCATTGTCATGGCCCCAGTGTTATGAATGGACTAGTTGAAATATTTCCTGTCGCCACATCTCTTTGTTCTTCCATAGCCAATTTAGCATGCCGGGTGAGGTTACATGTACATGGTTTGAGTTTGCGCAGTTCAATGTTTGTGATTCGGCGCCTCTTGCAAGAATCGTAAACATTTTCATTTTTACGTTGCAAACATTTACCCGTTGCACAGTACTTGTACGTTGGTGCATGGCCCGTCGGCAGTGATTTGGCTTGAGGGGTGGCTTGAAGAAATTCATGAATTTTTCGGGAGAGGCGGAAGGAAAAGGGCAGGTGGACTTTTGGACACATGGGCGCGTAGCGCGTCCCGGTTCATTCCCCTTTCTTTCTTTTGAGCTCCTACGTTAGGAGGAGCCAACTTCTCGGCCTTTTGCCTCTCCCAGATTTCTGCGAGCCCGTCCAAATCACTCCTTACGGCCCCCCTATAGCTGCTAAGGAACCTGTGAGAAGCTGAGATTCTGTACTGGGTGCGCCCATCCCTATGAACACTTAAACCTAGGCTCTTTGGAGTAGTCTCTGCTGGTACTGGTAGTGATACTCCTCCTGCAGGAGTAGTAGCAGCAGCGACATGCGGTGGTGTCTGATATCCCTATACTTATACCTCTCTTCTCTATGAATGTACAGGAACTGACTGTGATTAACGATCGTATACGGCGTGGAATCGGATCGCCCGTTAAAGCCGTTGTATCACCCAGGCCAGCTAACCCGCAGAGCCCGCTGACGTCTGTAACAAACGCTTCCCCTCGTGCCGGGGGCACCACTAGCAAGTCGTTGGTGCCATCTGGGATCATGGTTGAATCTGTCTCACTGCCGGCAGGACGCTCACAGTCGCGTCCCGTTTCATCACCAAGCACAATCGACCGCCACAAGTCTGTTACCAAAGCTCTGCATCAAAGAGCTGAAGAGCGATGGATTAACAGCAAGGGTTTGTCTGAAGACATGTCGGAGTGAGCTTTTTCTCTGAGAACGTCAATACGGAGATGGGTTTCCCTCTGCAACTAATGGTAGTTTTTTTCATTATTGAGTTTCTAATATTTCCAGCTCATGCAATGCCTTGGCCAGCCTCCAGCTCCTACAATGCCTTGGCCACCCTCCAACCCATGCAATAGCCAATACCTTGGCCAGCCTATGCAATGCTTTGGTTCGTCTCCAGCTCCCGCAACACCTTGGCCAGCCTCCAGCCTGTGCAATGCCTTGGCCACCCTCCATCCTATGCAATGCTTGGTCAGTCTCCAGCCTATGCAATGCCTTGGCCAGCCTCCAGCCCATGCAATGCCTTGGCCAGCCTCCAGCCCATGCAATACCTTGACCGCCCTCCAGCCTATGCAATGCCTTGGTCAATCTCCAGCTCGTGCAACACCTTGACCACCCTCCAGCCTATGCAATGCCTTGGTCCATCTCCAGCTCATGCAACCCCTTGGCCAGTGTTCTCCAGGCCCTGTGCTTGTACAGTAAGCATGCTCTAGAGCTTTCTTGTCCATATTTGCTGAATTTATTATAGTGTAGACCACAGGTTTCGCCAGCTGCCCAGCTCGCATTAGTTTCCTCTCTATTTTTTCCTGTCCCCAGACCCGTTCTAGCCTACTTAGTGCAGTGCTGTGGTTAGTTTCTATCATGCCTTCCATGACCGTATGCTTTCTTGCGCATACACTTTCCTTACACGGTTACCCGTACTTGCCGCCGTGTCTGCGTCTCGTTTAGCTTTTCGTTTAGCTCTGCTTAGTTGGTCCTCCGCTTGCAACAATTTTCATTCTGCTTTATGACCCATGTGAACAATAGGTAGGCGCCTCCGCCACTCTTACAACAGACACGCTCTCTTTTCTAATTATTCGCTATACATCAGCTCGTTGCATGCCAGAGCTGTAGACTGTAGATTTGTTTTCCCCCTTCCGCTGACTTGTACTCATTGTGTAGGCAGACTTCCTCTCCTGTCCTCTATATACTTCTCTTGTACACCTATTCTCTTGTACACGTATCTCAATGTATGCATTGCCGGTCGATGCACCCCCTTCCCACATACACACACATCCGCATGCACGCATTGCCACTGGCCATCCTGAGCTATCCTGATTTCGTTTTCTTATCGTTTGCGTTGCTTGCCACACCGTAACTGTCTGGGTTTTTTTTGTTGGCACTGGAATATTTTCGAACTGCTGAAACTGCCTTTCTTTTCTTCCGTTTTTTGGTTGTTGCTACCTAACTCTGTAACACAAACTGTCATTCCATCAGATAACAACCCCTGAATACTCAATCCAACTATGTTTTCTTCTTGTCTGTTTTTGAACATACTCATCCTGATAATGATATTCAAGCACGGCGGCATTGACACATGCAATGTACATTGTACATCTACGTGATGTAAAAAGCCAATTTTCGCTCCTGTTGACTTGGCATGCCATTACTGGGATTCAGCGGCCGTTGTGAGTTCCGTCAGGAACGGAGACGGACATTTCGTGACCTAATTACTTTTTTAATGGAATAGTCTCCAAGGAAAACAGAACCCTGGGCCAGAAGCGGAAAAGCGTCAAGCCCTAGTAGTATGTAAACTGTTTTATCTTTCCTTCATTTATATCAGCACCAATCATTTCACTGCAATTCTTTCTAGCTCACAGACTCAACCCGCTTTTACTAGTGGTGTGACGGATAATCGATTATTCGAATTTCCTCGATCTCTTGGACCTCAACGAATAATCGATCGCATAAAATTTACTAGTAGGTCACTGCATGTACTGCGTGATGTCGCTACGGTAAAAGCACGTTGAAGCTGTACATGAGAGCTCGCATACGCGCGTACTGCTAAAAAAAGTTCGCGTTTCGCTTAAAGGGGAAGTATACCCTAAAATCAAATTTTCACCAGTTGTAGTCTTCGTGGTGCTGAGTCGAATGGTCTTGGTCCGAGGACGCTGAGACGCTCCCTCCTTTATTCCCAATCGAACTCGCGCACTTCCACCGAAACTGGGTGACTGCGCCCTACTAGATAGGGATTTGTATGGAAAAAGTCACTAAAAACGCCGTTTCGCTCTTATAAAAGCACGGATGACCGCGATTGGTCCATATGTTGTAGTCTTTTGGCCGCTGAGTCGACTGGTTTTGGTCCGAAAAGGCTGCGATGCAGTGTTCGGCCCTTATTCCCAATCGAACACGGTTGAGTGAGCGATCACGTGCCTGCAGAGTACAATTTTCACATCAAGATTCAACTCAAAGGTTCAAAGCAGGGAGTCGTAAGAGGCTTTTACGACTCCCTGGTTCAAAGGTTCAACTCGAGTGACATAAACGGGCCCAAACAGGCTGTAAATGAGCACGTGACCGCTTACTCAACCGTGTTCGATTGGGAATAAGTGCCGAATGCTGCATCGCAGCCTTTTCGGACCAAAACCAGTCGACTCAGCGACCAAAAGACTACAACATATGGACCAATCGCGGTCATCCGCGCTTTTATAAGAACGAAACGGCGTTTTAAGTGACTTTTTCCATACAAATCCCTATCTAGTAGGGCTAGGCCTTGGCGGATAATGTTCGAAAAGGTGGCAGATTCTGCTTTTTTGCACCGAAATTGGCAGAACCATACAAACCTTATGGCGGGCAATTCCTCGAATTCTGCTCCATTTCTTTATCCACATACCAAACATGCATAAAATTACCAGAAAATGTACTTAATTCTGCCAATTTTTCTGCCGGCATTATCCGCCATGCCCTAAGTAGGGCGCAGTCACCCAGTTTCGGTGGAAGTGCGCGAGTTCGATTGGGAATAAAGGAGGAAGGGAGCGTCTCAACTTCCTCGGACCAAGACCATTCGACTCAGCACCCCGAAGACTACAACTGGTGAAAATTTGATTTTAGGGTATTATTATTCATTATTCACACATATCCGCCGGATGAGTACGCATGGCCCATGCACCATGGGGATCCACGAATACAAACCAGCATATGTTCCCTCAGCAATACAAGCAAGCAAGCACGCAAAGATAAATGAGAGGTATACTTCCCCTTTAACACATGAGTTTTCTACCGTTGATCACGAAAATAAAAAATATAAAAAATCCCGGGACGGACTGAAAAATCGGGGCGGGCGTTGACGATCAACAATCAATTATTTTTACTTGGCCTTATACGTTATAACTGAGTATTGATTTTAGCTTTTAACGTTAGTAGGTGTCGAGGAGACAACGCTATGCTGCAGCATGCTAGAGTTTGCATTGCGGACTTTTTGGCAAACATCGTGAATGCATTACCCTGTCCCTCCAGGAAATCGCGATTCCACGGATGCAACAAATTTCGCGATTTTGGCCAAAACCCGCGAATTTCTGAAAAGTCCGCGATTTCACGCGTTTTTTGTTGTTTTCTGCACTTCTTTTTTTTTTACATTTTTCTTCACTTTTCACGCAGTATACAGTGCTTTTCATGGTCCTGTACGTAGGTTATTTGCACTGTACGCAAATAGCGATTCTAATGATGCAACAAATTTCGTGATTTGGCCCAAATCCGCAATTTCCTGCCAATAATTCTGCGACTCAGCCATACGGTTCCTGGCAAGTTCCGCATCTTTCCGCACTTTTCGCTGCATTTTTTGTTGTTTTCTGCCGCAATTTCTTGCGCAAGTTTTCGAGGACTTTTTCCGCAAATTCCCGCAGGGACAGATTACTATGCCCTGCACACGCTCGTATGTACATGTACATGTACAGTCATGTACATTGTACATGTACATGTATATTGGGCACTTGTTTTTGGGGAGTGCATGTACATGTAGTAGTATGCACATACCTAGTACCTGTACAGGTCTCGCCCTCGTTAGTAGACAACCCTGGGGGGGGGGGGGGGGGGAGAGGGTATTATTAACTACCGTATTTCCGCAAATAAAAGGCCGTCCTCATATACAAGGCCGGGGCCGGGGCGATTGAAAAATAAAATACCGTCTCCGATTAGAAGGCCGGGCCTACTAAATGAGTCTTTGTTCTTGTGTTAAAAATAGAAGACCGTGCTCAAACTGTGGGAAAAAATAGAAGACCATGCTCAAACTGTGTAGAAGAAAATGGAAGAACGGGGGTAAAACTGTGTGGCGAGAAATAGAAGACCGGGGTCAAACTGGGTTGAAAGAATAAAAGACCGTCCTCGAATACAAGACCGTCCTCGATTTTAAAGGCCGGGTTAGGACGAGGTTGAAAAAATAGTAGACCGGCCTACTATTTGTGGAAATACGGTATCCAGCCTTGCATGACAACTGTTTAAAAATCGTTTCTCATTCAGGCGTCAGGGGATTTTGGATCGTTGTCTACATTTTTTTACTAATAACACCGCCCTACTGAGAAACATGTGGACTACTAATGATGTAATGAGGTTTGTCTTGTAAACTGATGTTGTACTAACGAGGGTACACCTGTACGTAGATTGAGTGTAGCGGCACTGTAGTGCCTGTACTACATATGCCTGTGGGGTGACCATGGTGACAAAGCCCAACACCCGGTCGCCAGGAGATGGACAGGCGGAGAACATAGCCGCTAGTACAGTTGCGCCCGGTGAAATCCGACCCACAGTGCATTATTTGGCGCCCTCAGCTTGCACAGCCCTTCACGCCCTGGCAGTGGCACGAATGCGTCTGGACGTACACATGTACTTGTACAAATACAGTGATGTAATCGGAAACTGGTCCAGGGCGTCAGTTTTGCACTTTGGGTCGGATTTCAGTGGGTGCAACTGTACTACTAGCCCTAGCTACCCGTGACGGGCTAGGAGTAGGAAGTAGGAAGTGGCAATCTATGCTTACCAGAGGGGCATCAGAAGGCTTATCAGAGGGGCATCAGAAGGCATTCCACATGGCATTGGTGCGGCTATGAAGAGGTGGGAGCCCGGGGCCCTCTTGCGGAAATATTTTTGGAAAGTTGGGCTCACATGGCCTACATGTGCTTCATGTATAATTCATTGCTTCAAAATCTGACGACGGGTGGCTGGCCCAAAACTTTTAATTTTCGACATCACAAATAAATAATTGTTCATCCAGCGCATGCGCCGAGTGTGAATAGCAACTGAATAGAGCGGTTGTCAGTTGACAAATCCCCTTTTCTTCAAAATCACAAGATTAAAATAACTATTGGTGCGACTTTGGCTGCACCTCGCGCACCGGTTACGACGCCCCTGCTTACAACCACGGAAACCAGGCCAAGCTACATATATAATTATATATACGACAAGAGTAAAGCAAGCACCCTAGGCTATGTAGCTGGTATTTCTCTTAGCTACATGCTATCAGGTGATCGAGCTGTGAGTCGTACTTGACCTCATATCATCATCTGGCTAAGCCCAGGCTGCTGGACATCTGGCTAAGGCCAGGCCAGGCAGGCTGCTGGACATGTACGGCCAAGTACAGTCATGTATAGTCAGACCACCTCGCATATACGGTCGTCTTTTATCCGGATCCCTCGCCACCCGGAAGAAAATCGTTGGTTACCGATTTACAGCATATGCCATGCATACATACAGTATGTGTGTTCGATTATCCGGTTCCCTCGCCTATAAGGATATTTGTGGATATTATTCATCGCGGTTATGCGAGGTCTGACTGTGGTTCGAAGTACATGATTTACATGACATTGTAGTAAGTAATTAATTGGGTGGAGAGCCTCAGAATTAATTATAGGAAGAAAAATGGACCAAAGAGCTAGCCTACAAGTCGCTATTGTCCACTAACACCACCAGTTACTTGGCAATCAGCTCATGCATGTACTGTACTAAGTACTAGTACATGTAGCTGACTTTTGACTGCAAAATGACATTCCAGTTGTATTGTGGCTAGCATTGCGGCAACAGAGCAGCTCAGAGTGACGGACTTACCAGCGACTTTACGGCTTCGAAGCTTCATCATGTTCTCAGAATCAGTGCTGGGCCATTGCCGTAGCGATGGTGACAGCATCGCGTTCAGGGAAGCTCCTTTCACTTCATTCTAGAGTTCAACTTCTAGAGTTTTTGCTACGATTCCCAAGTCAGTCACAGATAGCGGCTTTAGAGTTACCTGGTTACCAACGGCGGATTTCACATGCCGAGACCGGTTCTTGCGGGCGTGTAACGACTACTGCTTCAAGGTTGCCAAGCACTGAGTGGCTACTGTCTTGCGCGAATCTGCATAATCCAAGCCTGGTCATCGGACATCCATCCTCTGCTCCGGATTCCACCTACCGCCCCAAATCTCTTCTCCACGAACTGCTATTGACTACTGCCCTGAACAAATAGCTGGACAATGCAAAGAATCTAGACGGCACCATCGGTCCTTCGGAAGTTCCCTTCCCAACCTTGAGTTCGCGCCTCTCAATACGGGATGGCGAGAGAAGTAAAACTATGTCTCCTTGGGGTAAGTCAATCGCTGCATGCCCATATAATTACAAAATGTATCGGATGACGGCCAGGTACCGTATACGAAGAAGTCATCCACAAGCTGCCAGGGTTGCATGATTGCCTCAGTGTTGGAATAGTTTTCCATACCCCAAAGTAACTACATGTAGTTGAAGTCCCTGTAGCTGTAGTGTTGGAGGATCAATAGCGTGCACATGAATGTTGCATGACTGTTACATGACTGGAGCACCATGACTGGAGCTTGAACCATAGTCATAGAAAGCGAGGACTCTCACGTGCAGAATCCGTTAATCATTTCAATGTAAATCATCACTGAATCATACTATTCCTCTATTGAATGTCACAATTAGCATGATTACACAGAGGCAGTGTGTGAATGTCACAATGAAATCATCAATGTATAGCAGACGCATGGACCTGTGCAAGAGACACACTTCTGGTTACCATTGAACGTGTATGTCTGTCTGTGCATGCATACTCCTTGTTGTTATAGGACACAGGCGTGGGAAAGACATGCCTGGTGCTACGCTTCGTCACAAACACGTTCAACGAAAACTCGGAATGCACTGTTGGGTAAGTTGTTGTTGCCTTTCTTGCTTGTACTTTGTTTTCAGCAAAAAAGCTGTTCACTTGTGCAGATACTGATTGTGTGTTATGCTGCCAGTGTGTAAGAAATCCCCCGCCTACTACAGTACTAGCCGGCGCTGTGATTGTGCTGTGTCGCTAGCTGGCACCGTGCCGGTTTGGTACTTTATGATTATCAGCTGATGTGCATGTACACACATGTGTGTATATGGTTCTCTCAGGGGCATGTATCCTGTGACCCAGGCTGCAACAGGCTAAATGGGCACCGGACCACAATATCAGTGATCACGACACACAGCGCTGTGTACTCTGAAGTGCTTGTACTTGGGTCTCCTCGCTTGCTGACCGAGTCACTTTAACCATCAGATAGTCACTAACTCACTATGTTGCTCAGTAACACGGGGATATGCTTGATATACGACATCAGGCGATCAGAAAGGCGTGCGTCTCAGAGACCGCCATACCTGACAAGTACATGAAGTTGAAGAAGCCTTTACATGCTTTTTAGAAGTTCGGAAGTACTCGGCAACATCATTCTTGTATTGGTATGGCAGTGGTTGATTAGCGAAACCCGCGCCATTATTGAAGTACAGGCAACATGACTACATGCAGATGAACACTCAACAGGTGGGGTACACACTGGCGCAAGAACCTGATGACTGCCTGTGACTGTTGTGTTCTTTTCTTCTTCCACAGGGCATCGTTCATGACTAAGTCCATGGTGGTGGACAACAAGACGATAAAATTCCATATTTGGGACACGGCAGGCCAAGAACGGGTGAGTGGTATTTCAAGTTGAACTGTTTTACCTTTTTGTTTTGTTTTGAAGGAGCATAGCAACGAGTACCCTGGTAGTTGTACTATGTGTTGAGTATGGGGCTGTGTGAGATTGAAAGACAGCTCTGAAAAGGTCAGGTGGTGTACTTTTGTCAGCAAAGGCTAAACCGTATGATACTGTATTTTGACGGATGACAGCATTCAGGATGAAGTCAGCATCACTTTTGAGATTATTCTGACTGAAAAGGAAAGTTTTTCATCCCAACTTGAGCAAAGTGAGAGATGCCCCACGTGTGCGTGTGTGCTTGTTTGTTATGCTGTGTGCATTGGTGATGCACAACCCTCCCATCTCACGGAACAACACTTCAAAGTGCCTGTGTGAACACGGTGTGCTGCATTCGTCATGTGTGCATGTTTGTTTCTCTGCAGTATCGTGGACTAGCTCCAATGTACTATAGAGGTGCCGCGGCTGCCATTCTTGTCTATGACATAACGAATAAGGTGAGGCGGTCACTACAGTTGTCCACAGTGTTGCTTTGGAAGCTCTTACGCCGGGCATGGTTGAACTGGCACATGCTAGTCTCACTCTTCATCTCAACTCAATAATTGGCAGCCAATTGCCACGCCAAGAGGTGTTGATGATGCTGTGTATGTACCACAACACTCTGTACTATTCACATATCAGTCTCAGCTCTTGATGAGTCAGTTGCAGGTACATGTATAACGTTAGTTTTGATTTGTGATCGAAATCAAGTCATCAATAGTTACCATGGTTACCTTGTTTCCAACTTTGGCACAGTCATCGTTTGACAACATTCAAAGCTGGGTTCAAGAGCTACGTCAGCTGGGACCAGCAGATATGGTACTGGCAATCGCGGGCAACAAAGCTGACCTTGCAGAGGACCGTGAGGTAACTTATGATCAGTGATAGGGTCATTGTGCAAAATGTATGCGGTATCAGGTAACCGGGTCCGTTTGTAATACTACAATAGGCACCAGCCATGGTTGGTTGGGAAGCTGTGGCTGGGCCGTCACACCAAGGGTGTAGGCTGACCGGTTCATAGCCGCGTACCCGGTACATGTAACAACGTGACTAGACTTTGCCTGCAAGTTTGTCACAAGGCAGTGTTATGCTATTGCAAACCAATGCACGGCATGCATGGTGCACACAGCCAGCCAGGAGCCACTTGGAGTGAACTCCATGCTATGCTCCTGCACAGCCACCGGGACTAGAGTTACTAGGTGTGTGGATGTGGTAAATTGCTCATAGTCATGTGTACCTGGCATGTATGCAGGATCATGTTCCACCTCCTATAGCCTCAACATGCTTTTTCTCTCTGTTAGATGAGAGCTTGCTGCTACGAGTCTTGCTATAACGTGGCATGGATGTGCAACATGCCGAAAATCCCAACGCAGTCCCAGTTCTTTGTGTCTGATGAATCTGCTGATAGAGCCCTTTGTGCGTAGTTTGTCATTTCTCCTTTACCCTTGTGCTGCTCTTCTAGGTCCCATTTGAACAAGCACAGCACTATGCAGACCAGATTGGAGCGGTGTTCATTGAGACCAGCGCACTGGAGGCGACCAACGTCAACGAGATATTCATCTCAATATGTGAGTACAAGTGTAGCAAGTTACTAGCAACGGCACGACGTAGTACTTCAGGTAGAGGTACTTACTGGTATTATATAACCCAATACTACTACAGTAGTTCAAAGTTCAAAACTAGTCATATGATAAACCTTGTTATAGTTCACGCATACTATTAGATTGACAGCATGAAACAAGGTGGAGGACACTGTGTTCGGAAACAGTGAACTTACTACAACCTTCCGCGGTTGGCAGAGCCCCGGTCCCTGCGGACCATTTGAACCATATGGGTGTTGAACCTGGTTCTGACCCAGGCTCATTATGCTAGGGGGGTTGGAGACTACTCCTTACGTCCGTCGTGTATTCTTTGATCGCTCCTGCAGGTTTGTAGATGAAATTCAAGTTTTCTTGACCAGCACTAGTTTACGTGACAACATCAACAACAAACAAGTTAACTAGTGGAGGTAACCAACCTGTAGCCGGGGTGTTCCGACGTGGTGAAGGCCTACCCATGGCCACGTCGGGACATCACCAACCCCGTCTATAGAGAGCACCTTCTCGCGACAGTGTCATGGTGGTTGCAGTAACTGTTGACAGCTGACGAGCTGAGAGAAGGACGCCATGGTCAGAAGTTTGAAGAAAAGAAGTTGAGGTTTAAGTAGCTACATGACTACCAGGACGACATCCAGGAGCGATCAAAGAATCACGTGACACGACGGACGTAAGGAGTAGTCTCCAACCCCCCTAGCATAATGAGGGTCAGAACCGGGTTCAACACCCATCATGGTTCAAATGGTCCGCAGGGACCGGGGCTCTGCCAACCGCGGAAGGTTGTAGTAAGGTCACTGTTTCCGAAAACAGTGTCCTCCACCCTGTTTCATGCTGTCAATCTAACAATATAGGTACTTGCTGGTATACTTCAAAAAACAAAACTCGGCTTGGGCAAGTTGGGGAGCAAAGGCTTGGGCGTGTCTGTCATTTACGTTTTCAACATTAGAATCAGCACTACCCTGCAAAGCTCTGCTTAGTATAGAGTCAATCTCTGTGAGCTGCTACACTCCACTTTGAGAGAAATCTGCACCAGGAACAGGCCATGGGACTCCCGGTGATTGCATCAACAGTCAAAATGACCGGATGACCTAGTTGAAACACTCACATATGGTCTCTTCACTGCGAAAAGTTGGTGAATACAAAGAGACATTCAGAGCGAAAAGACAATATTGATCAGTGCGTTCAGAGTAGGTAGGCAATGTGTAGGTTGGTGCAACAGATGCGTGACTCCTGAGAAAAGTTTAATTAAGGTCAGACATACGAGTGGAGTGGTGTTGTTCCTAGGAGCATTGCATACTCTTGAACCTGTCAGTTTCGCAAGATCCCTAGCACAATCACGGTGTGCACATACTGCACATAGGTCATGTACCTGCAGTGCCGCAATGGTTCAGTGCAGTAGACGTGTCATGTACACCAGTGACTAGTGGTCGAGTCGTAAGGCAAACAGCCGTGATCTTAACTCCCCATATTTCTCCTGCTCTTTTTCTGAAGGTCAAAAACTCCCACCGGCGGAGGAGACGCAGAACATCGCCAGTGGCGGGTATCAGTCACTCAGTGCACGTCCGGAATCAAACAAACACGACACCATACTACTAACACAGACATCACGGTCAGCCGCAGCGAAGCCTGGCAAGGCATCCACGTGCAATTGTTGACCACAGCGACGGGGGTCGGAATGTCGCTTGCTAGGAGTAGCCTGGTACGCTGCAGGGCACTGCGGAAACAGGCAGCTATGCTAGCCATCACCGTAGCCGCTCAGCGCCGCACTTCACATGGTGGACTCTCCGGATCACGTCGAACCTATCTCTGGTGATGTGAGTGTCAGCTGACTGCAGCCGAAATATATTATCTATCACTACCCCGCAATATTCTGGAGATGCTGGATGATTGCTTTTCAGGGGATTACTATCTGGGCAACCGTCCAACTTCCAAATGAACCCATTCTTCCCCGTCCGTGTGGTTATTTGATCAAAGAGACATTTTCCGTTCCGTGCGTAGTAAGCTGCTGGTCTGCAGCTGAATCATATCAAGTTCTCAATTACCGTAGCCGGAGCACAGTACTGCTATTGAATACTCATCTGATGAACTGAAGAGGATAATATTATAAGATAGTTTGAAGATATAATCATTAGGCAGTTTGCATGTTAAAAAATATTCTGCTCTTTTTGGTAGTTGGTAGACAACAATTATTCACCACACCCGAGAATAACAGAAGTTATTTCCCTTCAATGGACTGGCTATACTGCAACGATCTAAATCGCAATACATGATCCTCTGACCAGACAGGCCCTTTCTTTATATAGCCATGACAATGCGGCACCTTATTCCTATGGCCAATTGAATAGTACGGCCAGTGAGGGATTCAATCTGGTAAAAGACAATCTTGACATTTTCTGTGTCTAGTCATGTACATGCACTACTCGCATGATGATTCCCACCGGCGTCTGAAACTTATTACCAATTATTTTTCTTTCGGCTGCCTCAGGCTTAGCTCTCCCAGTGTAGCTCCTTTCATGAGTGACCCGAGTGAGTGCTATCGGGAGAGCCGCAGCCGGGCTGTGCTTTGCCACCCGTGATGCACGGCCGCATTTGATTTTGCAGACACGGAGAGGTAGTAATTTACTAGTACAGTAGTCTTTTTTTGTTAGTTTCGAAGCGGCCACAGGGTATTTCAGTTATGCAGTATCCTGGCATGATTCTGTTCTTGTGTTGCCCACACTTCGATGATTTCCGTGCCCATGTATATAGTTACGACTCCCTGGTACATACATGGAACTAGGTTACCGTGGCGATACTCTTGAGTCTCGACGATTACTCTATTACACTGGTCCCTTTATAATCCGGCACCATTTGCGCTACGGAAATCATCTGCTGGATTAGGGAGGGTGCTGGATTAACAAATCCGGTTTACTGCTGCAATGCCGCCTTATGCCGGTGCATGAAGAAGACATTAATTTTGGTCACTGACATTTATGCTGGTTTATAGAGGGGGTGGTGGTTTATAAAGTCATGCGGCTGGATTAGAGGGACGGCTGTACATTATTCAGTATTGTGTGCCCTGGCCAATGCTCAGTGCATGCAGCTTGGAAGGCCCCTGACTCTGACCGTGGCTCACATGCTCACTTGTACTTGTAGATCATCCCAGGGGCGTCGCACATGGTACGGTCACTACGGCATTGCCGGCCGTACCACTCTTTGCCCCAAGTCACCCCGTGAATCAATAAAATGCACTGATTTGGGTTCTAAATTTCCAAAATTTTCGGCTGAGCCACCCCTCCCCCACGAGTTAAATAAATTGTACTTCAGATGGCTGACCGTACCACACAAAATTAACTTCCGACGCCCCTGCATCCACAATAAAAAAAATAAAAAGGTCATGGACACTGCCAGCCCATACTGCACTGTACTGCCTGGGTAGAGTCGGCACAAGCTACAATCCTGTACAGGAGAGTCTACTGTGGCATGGCCATGGCGCGAGTAGCTACGGCGCAGATCTACGACTCATACGAGTTGTACAGACTGTCGACATGACAGTGTGTAATGATGACTATGAAAGTACGAAGTATGAGTACGAGTACGATACTCGTACTGACGCCGTAGCATGTACGGCTATAACTATAAGTATAACAAAAAAATTCTGTGTCATGCAAAACGTTACCTGGTTACGTCACAGCTAAAAGGCGTATCATGTCAGGATATGGATGCCGACGCGTCGACGATGCACTGTTGGATCTAGGTTGGCCGCGTTGCGCATCGCATCGGTGATCACTCCGACCCCGTCGCGTCGCGTCGATGCATATGCATCGCACTCGTACACAAGCCAAACTGATATGCAGGCAAGCTTTCAACGACGTGTAACTCCCAGTCATACCGTCAAAGGTCGGTCTCTGGCTTGCTGCATGAGTGTGTGTGTGTGTGTCATGGTGTATGTGGTGTGTCTGTGTGAAAACCATACTTTTGTTGCACATCATTTTCGGTTTGTTGGTTGTGCTGCGGAGTGCTGTAGTTTGTGGAGTCGGAGGGAAATGAGATAGTTGTATTGACCATGGCCGCAGCAAGCAAGAAAGCGTATGACCTTCTCTTCAAGCTTCTTTTGATTGGAGACAGTGGAGTTGGGAAGACGTGCGTGCTGTTCAGATTCTCGGACGATGCGTTCAACACGACGTTTATTTCAACCATTGGTACGTTTTGACACAGACGACTCGTTTCGGACTGACGATTAGCAGCAGCGCATAGACAATTGCTTCTACTACCTATCAATGGAGCCAAGCAAATTTCTTTGCTGTTTCCTCTTTGTCCTATGTGATCGTAGGAATCGATTTCAAGATAAAGACTGTTGAACTTGACGGCAAGAAGATAAAGTTGCAGATATGGTAAATTGCCAAATTATTGTTTATGATTTGTGTGCTTCGCAGCTTCTTGGAGTCTATCTATTATCTATTTTTACTCCTGTGCAGTAGAAGAATTTTTCTGATGTGTTACTGAAGGATTTAGAAATTCCCCTTTGCTGATGGTGGGGAGTAATTCCTGAATGTGGATGTAGCGGAATCGGACGTGTTCGTGATGAGGTTGACTGCTTTTTAGCAGAAGCATTACTTTCCCAGGCTGTGGGCGGAAAGTGTCCACACATGGTTGCATGTGTTGTGCTCTGCGAGCCGTCAATCTTCGTGTGGATGTGTATTCATGAACAAAGAGGCTGTCTTGGATGAGGATGCATAAAGTCACAGTCCTGCTCATTTCTTGACCTGAAACATGAATTTATCAAGTTTTCAACTATTTTCTGGAGTTGGGGAAAAGTGATGAATGATAGAAGACTCCACTGCAGCTCTATTATCCGAAACATGGCAATGACTTGCCGAATTGCCTGATGTTTCAGAGCACAATAGAGAGCATGTGAGAAAATGCGCCATGGTCAAAATTTAGTGAGCAGTCGCCGTTGCTGCAGATTTCACCATGTAGCAAGTATTGTGGATTATGACGTACCGGTATATGCCCGCAACAGAAGCTTTAGCAGACCCAGCACTCATGCTTTCTGGTTCGCAAGTCTTTTTTCTAGTCGTCGCCTGTACATCTTCATACATGTATGTAGCCGTAGAGTTGATTGACCCGACATGGTAGGTGCCCGAGTTGTGTGTCTGGTTTTGTCATGCCTCCATGCTTGCTGTTCTGCTGTTGTGACTGGTGCACATGTGTGTTGTAGGGACACTGCTGGCCAAGAGCGTTTCCACACCATCACAACGTCTTACTACAGAGGTGCAATGGTATGTCACATCTTCTGACAGGCCAAGCCGCACTCTTTCCTCCCATTCTTCCTTGCTGTTGTATCAGGAGATGATCCATCTGTGGACAATACTGTTTTGTCTTCTGTGCGCTCATCTGTGCGCCAGAGAAAGGAGGGCTGTAGATGTGATGTGGTACTTTTGGCATAGTGTATTATAGGGCGGGGGGGGGGGGGGGGTGCTTCAATGAGTATGCACAGGTGTACCTCGCTCCAGCTGTCCTGGTCGTGTGTGTGTGTGTGGGGGGGGGGGGGGGGGGGGAGGTGATCGTATGTTGACATCACACCAGTGCGCATATGGTCATTTTCACAATTCTGGTCTGTCCTTTGTACGCCAGGGAAAGGAGGCCTGTTGGTACGATGTGTTACTTTTGCCCGCTGTATTTACAGGCGTCCTTGCTTCTATGAGTGTGCGCAGGTGTGCCTCGCACCAGCTGTGCTGGAGGGGGGGGGGGGGGGGGGGGTGATCTTATGTTGACATCATCACAGCAGTGTGCTTAATTATGGTCTTTTTCGCCTTCCCCTTTGCAGGGCATCATGCTGGTGTATGATGTGACAAATCAGAAGTCATTTGATAACATCAACAAGTGGTTGAACAACATCAGAGAGGTAAGACCAAGAGGCAGACTAGCCAGGTGTTCTGGTATTGCATTCGATTCTATCCCTAAAATGATACCATGTAGGTTCTAGGTAGTGTAGTTGTTTAAATAGCTGCTAAGCGCACGCACGTCCTAACTTACAGTAAGCCTTCAATGTGAATATGCCTGCACTTTGCTTTCCCACTGTGTGGTGATGTGTCACAGCACCAGGTACTGGGTACTAGTACAGGTCTGCTCTCGATATAACAACTCTCACTTGTACATAAACCTCGTTAGTACATAAAAAAATCAAATCCCGCGCCGAAACAGCATCACTCCCACACAAAATTTGTTCTACACAACATAATCCTACATAACATAAACCTCGACATAACACACGCTACGGCGGTCCCCGACGTGCGCACTCTCGATACAACATAATTCACGTGCATGGTATGATCAAGCCGTAGCTGTAGCTAGGCAGTTTAGGCCAGTTTAGTCCTACATAACGTAAACCTCGGCATAACGCACCCTATACGCGCAGTCCCCGACGTGTACACTCTCGATACAACGTAGATTCATGTGTGCGGTACAATCAAGCTGTAGCTGTAGCTAGCCAGTTTAGTCCTATGTGCACATATTCTGCGGCATTGATGGTATCTGATGTCGATGGTGGTACAGTGTGTATATGTTTGCACGGTTGAACCCGCCTTGTAATACCCTTCATTTTGAGGTGCATCTTGTATTTCACCCACGGTTTTCTACATAACATAACTCTCGATATAACATAATGTTTGCGTGGTCCCAGAGATTACGTTATATGGAGAGTAGACCTGTAGTTGATTTTCATCTATTTTTTTCCTTGGAATGCCTTCTTATGTACATCAATGCCTTCTTATGCACATCAATGCCTTCTTATGTACATCAAACAAAGAGAACGGGAGTCACTGTTTGTTGTATTTGCCGGTATGCTGTTTTCCTTGTTCAGCACGCATCAGCAGATGTCGAGCGAATGTTACTGGGAAACAAATGTGACATGGAAGGCAAGAGAGTAATAAGCAAAGAGCAGGGTGAAACGGTAAGACCGATGCAGCCTTGCGGCATAGCTGATCATTCAGTATTGTATCTTTTTTTCTTTCTTTTTTTTAACTAACTTGCTGAGTTGCTGATTTGTGAATCTTTCGGCGTATCTCATCAGCGCCACTTTCTGCATAAAACAGCGGAATTTAGAAGTGTAAATAAGATATGTAGATACTGTGTGATACTTCAAATCAACTTATTTTCTTCAGCATAGAACGTCGGTAACTCTTGAAATATTCCGAATCTTGTGCAGCAATATTTTGTAAAGTTAACTCTGGACAGCTAGACGAAATATGCATGGTAATATGTGCACAGTCCAGTTAAAAAGATTTAAAGAAGCAATCCTGTGCAGGATATTTCCCAGACATCTTTTGACTTGCTTGCAAGTTGCTCTGGCTCGTAACACCGCCTGTGGGTCACGCAGCGAGTTAGCCGTGTGAACTGTGCGAGGAACCTCACTGTGGAATTGAAGAATAATTTGGCATTCATGTATTAAAACGTGATTGAATACATGCCTATCCTCGTAACTGTTACTCTGTGCACGTCTGGTATGGCTTATAGCGACCGAATATCCTTGCCTGTGCATTGAGGTCACAGAGGACAAAGCAGTGGCGCGTTAGGTAGTGCTGGTTTGCCACTTGAAACTAGCACTATTTGAATGTTTTGCCACCCAATACCAATTTGCCGTTTAAATTTGAATACTGACTACAGTTCATTGTAGCACTGGTTTCCACCCCATGCACTCTATACAAAGCGTGCTAGTATGTGATGACCTCATTTGCGCGTAGAGTATGCTTCTGGTTGATGTCGCTCTTGGTTCGACAAGCCCTGCCGGAGAGAAATGGTACAGTAACAGGTATGGACGATTCTGAGCTACAGGCGAGCAGTTCTACTGTAGTTACAGTACTCAGCAGACGCAGGGCCATAGCAGGCGGTCCGGCAGGTCCGGCAGCTGCCGGACCAATATTCGGCAAAAAAAAAAAAAGCAGCTCACAATGTAAGCAGCTCAGGATGTCCACCCATGATGTATGCAATAAATAGAGGTAGTGAGGTATATAAGCAAGTAAGTAGAGGTACAGTCAACTTCGCTTATAACAACACTCGGCGGGGCATCAGAAAAGTGTCGTTATTCACAATGTGTCGTTATACCCGAAGTCTCATTATATGTATTACAGTTGGATGGGACTTTGCTCTGGGCATGGAAATTCTGTCGTTATTCGCGAATTGTCGTTATATCCGCAGTCGTTATTAGCGAAGTTGACTGTAGTAGATTCTACATGGTAATAGCAAGAGGACACTACAACATCGAGTGATTACTTTGAAGTTTGAACTCTAGTTGTACTCAAGTACATGTCATGTACATGTTGTGGCGAATACCATGTACATAGATCTATGTGGGTGTTGTTCTCTACTTTATGACCTCCTGCCATTCCTCCATTGCAATGTTCTTTCTCCTCCTCCAAGGGACCAAAGGTCCATTTTTGGTTCTTTTATCACATGCGTTTAGATACTGTTGCTATGCCTTCGTAGGCTTCAACAAGTTCAGTTTGGACGGACACAACATGCTGATGCCCTTTTTTCCTAACTCATGCAGAACATCCTTCTTCCTTTTCTCGCCCTATGTCACTCTGCATGGTCACAATTACATACCGGTACACGGACAATCATGTACATTTTGTACCTGTACAATGTACATGTACCGGCATATGTAGGAGTGTGGGCTCGGGGGGGGGGGGGAGGCATCGAGGTCGGATCTTGCCGGACCAACCAAAATGGGGCTGCTACGGGCCTGAGACGCAATGAGTTTTGGTGTCGTATTGGTAATGGGAGTATGCCCAATGGGACGATGGATGGACTAACTGATTTTTGTTCGTGCTTTCTCTGTATTTGTTTGTGCTGCTTTGCAGATCGCAGAGGAGTATGGGATCCGGTTTTTCGAGACCAGTGCCAAGGCAAATGTCAATATTGAAGAGGTAATTTCCTGTGATATTGAAGTGGTGGTGGTGGTGGTGGTGTGTGTGTGTGTGTGTGTGTGTATGTGATCATCCACTATTTCTTTTTCTGAAATACTTCACTCTCTCTCTCTCTCTCACACTCTCCGTCTGTTTATCTCTTTCATGACAGAAACCCTCTCATTGAGGGAGAAATGCTATTGTACCATACCCGCTTCTTCTCCTTCGTTATGGGCCACACAGCCAGATAATACATGTCAGCACATACGCATAACTCGAAATCACTGATAGTGGGGGTTATGTACTCTTGGTACAATCGATGCCAGAATCACTTTTTCGCCCTAGTCTGGCAGGTTATGCCCCATGCAGACCGTGCCAGCACGCGTAAAAGCGCATAGAGACTGGTCTCTGCAAAGGGCCATGCACTTTATGGTCCAGTGTACATGCATACTATACGTGCGTGCTTATACGCAAGTGAAAATGACCTCTCGGCTCAGCCAAAAACAACGACTTTCTCCATATAAGCACTTTTCCTGTTCCCAATGGAATACACCTTTTCAGAATTCCACTGTAATAACGTCCGTGTTTGTCTTGAGCGGAAATATTTACCCCACTCCATGGATGCTTTGAGGAGAAAAGTGTAAGCTCTTGGAAGGTCCTGTGCCTAAATGGATTTCAGATTTTTTTAGGCAGCCTTATCCATGTCATATTTGTCTAGTTATGCTTGTGACTTTAGTTGTGATCTGATTAATATGGCACTATCAGGAGTTCGGGTTTCTAAATTCTCATCTTGGCTGAATCTACCAGCTGGCAACTTGTCAATTTGTAGTTCTGCAGTTCAGTAGGGATTTGGTAGGCAGGTGAGAGAAAATTCCTGATTGTTTCTGACGATTGTATGTTTCTCGTAATTCACCATGTGTATCTTCTGCTCAGGCATTCTTAACACTTGCTCGAGATATCCTGAAGAAGGTATGACTACACCAGTTTTGTCTATCTGTCTACCAATCTCTGTGTATTTTGCACATCCACTCGCACTTGGCTGTGTGTGGGATGTCACAATGATCTGTGATGTCACTTGCAAGTTCCCATGAAGAAAGTGACTGTGCCATGTGCTCGGTGCATAATTATAGTCTGGTTATTGACTTATGCAGGGGTGTTTCCCTCCGAGTTCATAACCCCCACGAGTGTGTGACTCCGGTCTCTGTACTCTTTGGGCCTCCACTGAAATGGCCACAACAAGAAAATTCCTGCATCTTGATTCTTGAGTACACATCGTTCGATTTCCCATCGTACTGCTGGTTCTACTTGGTCATTTTTGACAATCTTGGGCTCCTTGGAAAGCTCTTGTAGTGAGGATTATAAGGAACCCAAACTTGTCAAGGAAATCCGTAGTTGTCCACCACAGTACACTAGGAATGCCGCTGCAACACAATCTTGAGAAAGAAGACATCAAACCCACCGCCATTTCATTGTCCTTCACTCAAACTAGGGCTCAAACAGCTACGGTTTTCACCTTAACGGTTAACTGCTACGCTAACGGTCAGTTTATCCGTTATAACCTATAAGCTGCGGCAGTCTGGCGCGTAGCTAATTTGAACAGTATGTATATAATATTGCCTGAAGCCGAGTGATTATGGGCGAATATTCACTAGTACACAAACCGAGGCAAAGCCGAAGTTTGTAAAACTAGTGAATATTCGCCCATATTCACGAGGCTGAAGGTAACCTTGAACCTTGAACGCCCATTGCCGTAGCAATGATAGCGATGGCTTCCTCACGCTGAGGCTGTAAACTCGAAATCTGCAGTATGGCGCATGCCGCTTGAGGTCACCAGGACGACTGAACACTCTGTCACAGCGGTAGTTGGGGCACGGGATGTCTGGGGCTTCCTTCTCGACCCTCTGTCGACAACACTGAAACCAGTTGGATCTCTCCTGCGCTGTGTCATACTGAAGGTAATATTAGACTTATACCTCTCCATATTCACCCTCTCTTCCCTAAAACCCAACAAACGAGTCCTGTTGGTCATACATGTACATGTACGCTGAACTAACGTAAGTCGTTGTTGCTTCAGTATCGTAAACCGACTGGTGTGTTCTTGCATGAATCGGAGGGCGGCGTGTTCAGAATCTTGTTCAATCGATCGTGTACACGTACTGGTGCATGTGGCATGGGAGGTGACGACCTTGGAGAACACGCTTGTGCCAATCACCATGGAGAACACGCTCGTGCAGCTTTGTCAGTTTGTGGCAGGAGCCAATCATTAGAGAGGTTTCGTTTCACGCGAAGATTTGACCAATCCGAGAGAGAGGTTTCATTTCACGCGAAGATTTGACCAATCCGCGATCATCGCGCCAATTCGGGAGTCGGTTTATAAACAGCGAGCCAAGCGGTTCTACCCTCACTTCTTTTCTTTTCAGGCAGCACTTCGGAGCTGTTGTGTGCCCTAGGAAAATTCTACGCTAACGTCCGTGAACAGGGCTGTTCTGAGTACAAACGAAATTCCTGGCTTGCCGCTTGATCCGCAATTATCGGGCCATTGACATGTTGAGCGTCCACAATCTTGTTTGCTCGCTCGAACGCTCCGTCTGTGAAAATGCTCACTGTTGGTTGATGACTTGTCAGCACCTGGTCACATGCGGATCCAGCGGCAATGGCAAGCAAGGAATTTCGTTTGTACTCAGAAAAGTCCTGTTTACGGAAGTTAGCGTAGACATTTTCTAGGCCACTCGGCAGCTCCGGTGCGCTGACTGAAGAGGAATCAAGCGCAGCACCGAGTACTGCTCTCTTTACACTTACAGTAAGTACATGTATCGAGAAGTGGTGAATATAAGCGGTGAATATTCAGCAATATTCACCACTTATGTACATGGCCAATTGTATGTGGGTGAATATGGAGTGAGGTATAATGTACAATATACTTGGTCAAAAATGTACTGTGCAGACTTACTACTAAGTACTAATCCATGCACATGCTAGCATGCTTATTCACGCCTATTCACAGACCAGAAGCATTTAAGTCATTTAAAGATGGCATGAAATTGATTTCAATTGTCACGGATGGTACTATGTAGTGTGCATGTGTACATACACGATAGGTTGTAAAACTGCCAAAACTCGGTAAAAATGCGTACTTCGAAAACTCGAAAAGTACCCGCGTAACCTTTAAGCGGGATTCACAGAAGCTTTTTTGCGATGCGACAGACGCGAAACCGGGAAAACCCCAAATCGCAGCCATGTCGCACCCCACGCAACTGCCACAACTGGGCCATCGCAGAAGTTGAGCTTGGCTCAACTTTTGCGATGTGATGCGACAAGCGATTTGGCATACGATTTTGACCTTTTCTACAGCAAAGTTGTACAAGTTGTATCAAACCGCGCGAATATCATGGTGACGTACCCAAATCAACAAGACTTTGTCGCATCGCTGACTGTAACAGTAAGCATACTAATTTACTAGCAGCTTCAGCCGACACAACACATCGAACTCACTCCTTCTGGACTAACCAAGAACTGAGGGGAAACCCTCGTCGTGGCCAGCTTCATATTTCAGAATAAATGCAGGGAGTCATATTCGACTCCCTGCTGTGTTCAGAGTACGGTGTGGGAGGTAGAATAAGGATGTGTGTAGAGAAATAGTTGTCCATTATGCATGAATAATAATAAGTAATTCGGGGATCACCATACAGAGCATGCAGAAAGAGTGTAAGTCATTATGTGATTGGAAGGCCAACGGGAATGGGGGAAGCAGTCTCTAAGACCATTCCCGTCACACTGACTTCTTCTGTGAATGGTATTTCGCGAGTTCGCATCGCATGCATCCATCGCAGATCGCGTCGCATCGCGTGTCGCATCGCAAAAAAGCTTTTGTGAATCCCGCTTTACACAAACGGTTAACCTTTATCTTTTCAAAACCGGTCTTAAACCGGTTAATCGGACTAACTGTTTGAGCCTAGCTCAAACTCAATCAATTTTTGAACAAAGGTCGCAGGAAGTTCAGGAAACATCAAGAAAGAAAATTCATCCAGCACAAGAACATAAAATTCGATCTCTTGCCGCTTCGTCCAAGAGAGCTCAAAGTTGTTCGAGCCGACTCCTGAGCGTCTCTGCTACCATCTCTGTCTTTTGATTATTGAATTCGGTTAAGATATGACCGAGTTACGATCCGTTTAATATAACACTCCTTGCATGACAATATACACAAAGTGTCTGGAGCCCTTGACAATATACATGTATGAAACGATCGATTTCGATCGCGAGCGGCCGAAAGGGTTGTAAGTCTGCAGTGGCAGAACTTGACGTCGTGTGACAAACCCAACCCGTTCACACTGTCTGCACCTTTGCATGATAGCCACAATCCATAACCAAGAGTATGCAACTGTGATTATGGTTTAGAGTGCTTGCTGCGCTTCCTGTATCACGCCCTGTGCTCATGCACTCAAATCAGATCTTAAATCTTTCCTACCAGCACACCCGTTTTTCCTTGATTCGTTGCTTTCCGACCATAGGGAAAGTGAGCTCTTTGATTTCCCGCAGTGCGCCGACACACCCGTAGCTGTGTGATGTAATGAAGGCAGTGCGTTATGCACCTGGCCCATAGAAAAGGAATCACAGTTGCGTACTCTTGATTGTAGCTAGAGGATTCGTACGCAACCCCGCTTTGGTTGCAACTCCCTGGTGGTCTCTGTACACTGTTTGACAACGTCACCTATTAACTATGGCATGTTATGTGAAAATCTGCTATCGCAGCACTGGATTGAGATTGGATTGAGATAATACAGGTACTATTAGTTGCACACTTTTTGGGTTATGGACGCTTGCATCAGGTTCCGCTCGACATTGAGCGAATTTCTTTGGATTTGAGCTGAGGGTGATGTTAGAGAGCAAACCAGAGCAAACCGTCACGCTTACGGTCGAACGATCGGACAGCTCCGATTTCCAATCGTCAAAGCACACGAAGCCGTGCGTGGAACCATTCAGGCACGTGATGGGGAGTTGCTGGGTTGTGATATCGTCGGTGACGCTGAACCGGACATGTTTCCGTCTCGACTCACAGCAATTCGGCCCAACTGGCGTTGAGGAGGGAGATTGCGCCGTGCCAGAGGACGATGTAGGGGATGGTGATGTGGAGCGAGACATGATTGAAAATTGAAGAAAAAAAGTTGAAAACACTGGACATTCAACCACTTCCACTCGAAACGAACACTGCAAGCAGTCAACAGAAGAGCAACCGGAATCGGAGTCGTTCGTGATCACCCATTGGGGCTGCTCCAATCGTGCTCACGAAACGATTTGAGTTTGCCCGCGCCCCGGCCTCGTTCCCAGTTTGTCCCGATTGTCGCGCCCGACGGTTTGCTAATGGTCTCTGTTGACTGCCAGTTGACCCTATTCGTTTTTGTGTTGATTGTTCCTCTAAGCCAACAAACTCATCCCCGTTGTCTTCAAAAGTCTGTTTGTGTAAAACACTCTAGGGGAAATGATTGCATCTCCAGTATGGAATGCAAAGTCGTTATGCCTTTTTCTGTGTGCTGATGTTGGCTGTGTGCTGTGCATAGACTCCAGTCAGCAAACCAGATGGTGATGGTGTTGCACTGACCAAGGAAGAAAAGCAGTCTAGTGGTGGAGGATGCTGCTAGCCACGTGGTGATGTTCTCATTCCCTCCCATCAACAACACTCTTTTAGTCACAGCGGAGCGGCAGATCTGCTTGTGATCAGAATGCACGCAGCTGTGGCCACCACTGTCGCATGCTGTGCTGAGAGCACGGATGCGAGCGCAACACTCTCCACTGCTATGGAATGCACAGTGCCATGAGCCGCCGCCGCTGCCTCCCCTTCCCCCTTGTGTCTGCGTGCACCACCCGTACGTGTGTATGTGTTCGTCACCTCCTGTCTTGCTGTCCGTGTCTCCTGCCGTCACCCTGACTTATTTGTGCAGTTTTCTACCTGATGAGTTGACTGCTCGAATGGTGGTCACCATCACTGGCTTGGTAGCACTTGTTTCCTCCTTTGCTGTGTTCAAATCCTTATTGTATATGATTGCTTAATAACTATGGATAACTTGCGCAAATGGCGGTGATGTACATGTACTATAACTTTATGTGGTGACTTCTCTTTTCGTGTGCATTTTCCCTGACGTGTTGTTTTTAACATTGACCATGTATGCTTCTAGTCGATGACATGGCTGGGGCTAGTCTCATAGCCGTGTGCCGTGTTGTTGCCTTCCGTTGCTGTGTTGAACATAACGCCTGCGATCATTCTCTTAGCACAGTGCCATTTCGTGATGCCACAGACCCCCTCCCCTGTCTCTTTATTTTGTCGTTGTCCCTTGTGTATCTGCTCCTGTTCTCTCTCTCTTCTTCTTCTTCCGGTGCGACATGTTTGTTTTCTCGGTCCGCTCAATGTTTCCTGGCTATTTCCCACACAAAATCGTCTTATTCGGGCGTCTTTCGACATTTCTTTGCACATGCTCAATTGACATGATGCCGCAACGTGGTTCAGCATTGTGTTGCGCGCATGCTGCCTGATCCTATCCTTACTACTACGCAAAGAGATTTGCTTTGTTTTCGTTCTTTTTCTTATCTTTTGCATAATTATGTATAATGTGATGTTCCGCGCGTGAGCATAGGTTGATTTTTCCTCCGGTAGACGTGTCTTGGTATGGTTGTAGTGATTTGTGTGCGCCCACGCTAGTGCTAAGCCTAGCTGAGCGCCTAGTGCTTCACAGCTATGTCGATGATCATTTATATCAGTTTCTGTGAAGCGTCTACAGTGTCTGCCGGTTGCTTGTGGTGGTATTGATGTTGTTTTGTTATTGCCAATGTGACTAGTGCACGGTGAGGGGTGGGGGCGGGGGACAGGTGCATACGTATAGAATATAAGCTGAGTCCCGAGTGTTTACGGAAAATAAAACCGGAGGCAAAAAACCAAGGGTTTTTTAAACAGTTTAACACGAGGGCGAAGCTTATATTTCTATTTAAATTATAGCATAAAAAAACCTCCAGTCATTTTCCTAAGAAGTGGTTTTTTATAGCACCAGGTTTTTTATACAGGTTTTTACTGTTCCTGTACTGTCCCTTTGGGAAAACGCGGCGAAGAATTCAAAATTCCGCGGGGGGGGGGGGGGAAGGGGGGTTTTCTGCGGTATTTTCAGCGGTAAAATCAAAAATCTGCGGCACTTTCTGCAAGTTTTCACTCTCCTCATAGAGGATATGACCACTAGTTGCATGCATGAAGGAGTACTTTTCACACTATCCTTTGCAGTCACAAACTGAATGAGAGTGAAGAATCTTGGAGAGACCTGCACTGGCCAGTGCCATGTGCTCAAACAGACCGCAAAGTAGTTTTTCTGCTGCTTTCTGAGTAGAAAATTTAGTATTTTATCCTAAAAAAATCGGATTCTGTGGGCAAAAGTGTGAATTCCGTGATTTCCACGGATGATGGCAATTTCTGCGAAATTTGCCGCGGCCGTGGAATCGCGTTTTTCCAAGGGGACAGTTTACAGCACCAGGGTTTTTATATGAGTGATTAGTTAGTAATAGTACTAATACCAGGAATATTACCTGCTTTTTAGAACACGCAAATGACTGGAGATTTTTTATACTATAATTTAAATGTTCCTACCACGATTGTCAAGAAGGAAATCGCCAAAATAATACTTCCTGATGACAAGTACGTATTTTAGCGTCATGCATGATCAAGAGAAAATTCTGTCGGGACAGCAGGGTACATTTGTCTTGGCATGATTTGTATAGGCTGCGCTTGTTTTTGGCTATATTAAAGTATGCACTCGCATGGTAGTACGTAGAGTAGAGTAGAACCAGGGAACCCAACTGTCAACACATAGGCTGCGTTCGTTTTTAGCTACCTGGCAGAGTAGAGTCACTCTACCGATAGAGGTAGACGGTAGAGGCAAGTGCCCGAACGCTATTCAACCGGATTTAGTAGTTTTTCACGATATGTACATTAAATGTTTCTCTTCTGTATGGAGTTGTGTACAATTCCTTGATTTTGCTGGAAATCCCGTAGCTCTACCAACTTCGTCGCTATTAAAGTTGGGATGTGACACGACGACAGCAAACAGTGCACCGGGTCCTAAGCACACTGGGAGTGGGAGCGTACATGCCCAACAGCTCTCTGAAGTGAAAGCTCTCGTCTTGGCACTGGTAAGCTCCACTCTAACATCGTAACAATGTCTTCCTTCTGTTTATGAAGGAGAAGTGTTCATTCATGAAGAGGCAGGGCCAATGGGTATACACATTCCCGTTTTTGATGATTTGGAAACATGTCTCTGACTCTGTCTAGATGCAGGACAGAACTACACTTGCCATGTTTAAAGGGGAAGTTAAGGCAAAAATTAAAATTTCACCAGTTGTAGTCTTCGGGGGTGCTGAGTCGAATGGTCGTGGTCCGAGGAAGCTGAGACGCCCCCTTCCTACTTTAATCCCAATCGAACTCGCGCACTTCCACCGAAACTGGGTGACTGCGCCCTACAAGATGGGGATTTGTATGCAAAATGTCACTAAAAGCGCCATTTCGTTCTTATAAAAGCACGGATGACCGCGATTGGCCCATATGTTGTAGTCTTTTGGACGCTGAGTCGACTGGTTTTGGTCCGAAAAGGCTGCGATGCAGCGTTCCTCCTTTATTCCCAATCGAACATAGTTGAACAAGCGGTCACGTGCTCCTGGGTGCCCAAATAACCTGGTCACCACGCCAGCAGGCGACAACTTTCACACCAAGGTTCAACTCGAGTTCAACTCGAGTGACAGGACTGCACCTAAAAAAAAGGTCAAACAGGCTAGTGAGTAATTAGTTGTACCCTGCAGGCACGGTGACCAGGTGACTGGTGTACGCAGGAGCACGTGACCGCTTGTTCAACCATGTTCGATTGGGAATAAAGGAGGAACGATGCATCGCAGCCTTTTCGGACCAAAACCAGTCGACGCTTGTTCAACCATGTTCGATTGGGAATAAAGGCGGAACGCTGCATCGCAGCCTTTTCGGACCAAAACCAGTCGACTCAGCGTCCAAAAGACTACAACATATGGGCCAATCGCGGTCATCCGTGCTTTTATAAGAACGAAATGGCGCTTTTAGTGACATTTTGCATACAAATCCCCATCTCGTAGGGCGCAGTCACCCAGTTTCGGTGGAAGTGCGCGAGTTCGATTGGGATTCAAGTAGGAAGGGAGCGTCTCAGCTTCCTCGGACCACGACCATTCGACTCAGCACCCCGAAGACTACAACTGGTGAAATTTTAATTTTTGCCTTAACTTCCCCTTTAAACATGGCAAGTGTAGTTCTGTCCTGCATCTAGACAGAGTCAGAGACATGTTTCCAAATCATCAAAAACGGGAATGTGTATACCCATTGGCCCTGCCTCTTCATGAATGAACACTTCTCCTTCATAAACAGAAGGAAGACATTGTTACGATGTTAGAGTGGAGCTTACCAGTGCCAAGACGAGAGCTTTCACTTCAGAGAGCTGTTGGGCATGTACGCTCCCACTCCCAGTGTGCTTAGGACCCGGTGCACTGTTTGCTGTCGTCGTGTCACATCCCAACTTTAATAGTGACGAAAAGTATCATATTTTCACGGCAACAGCAGCTGGGTACGCAGCCAGGCGGTAGCTCCTTGACGCCATTGACGGTGCGAAGCCGCATTGGCACTTCACACACTTCGTTCGCCCAACATTTCTTCTTTGAGTTGTCCTGTATCTCTGGAAGACCAAGCTAGCCTTATTTAGACGCCGAAACTTACGAAACTGCTCGATCGCACGCTGCAGCTTGGCATTACAACGGATGCGAGGCATAACGAAATTCATCGACATGACCCACACATCCCGCAATCTTCTTGATTATGAAGCACTGCAGGTAAGGTAGAATGCGAAGAAGTCAAAGATCATCACCCGCGCCGATGGGTTCTGCTGGCGCACGACGGAGCGTGGGATCACTCCTGACTCGTAGGTCTACTCGTAGAGTCTATGAGACTATGGTCCGGACAGGGTCGTGGGCATGGGGCAGTGGTGCATCGCCGATCGCGCGCAGCGTGGACACTGAGTGAGAGGTCAAAGACCTATCGGTGTGTGAAAATCAAGGTAAAAAGCATCGTTCTAATCCGCAAATGCACACTGAGATCTAGATCGAGGCAATGGCATTCAAGCGGCTTCGGAAAGCTGGCTGGTGAAGTGGGCCAGAATATTCGGAGATGACACCGCGCCTAGAAAAGCGACATCCCAACTACAAGAGGGCGGTGAGCAGGACAAAGCCAAAGGAAACGTCCAATCCAAAACGTTCACCAGAGGATACGAATAATAGCTTCCGGGTTGAGGCGGAACGCAGCAGTGATGCGGAAACAAATGCTTGGGTCGGCACCATGCGCATCATGCTGACTGCTCCACGGCCGCAACCCCACAACGGTTTTGGAGATGACGATCATGATGCCACTCGTTGCTGTGGTGGGGGCTGGAATGTCCAGATATACTGGGGGCTTCTCAAGTCGATGTTCTACCTGCTCTTGATTTGTTTTGCAGCAAGCAGGTCCAAAGCTCAGGACGCGAACAGTCGAGGAAGAGTGTGCAAGACTCGCTGGATTCCCAGTACTAGCCAGTCAACAGGACAGGCGCTGAACATCAGTAGCGGCGGCAGCAGTAGCAACTCGACTGACCTGACTGCGCGGCCGTCATACCGATGCTGCACCGGTTGGAACTGGAACGGACAGGACTGCGTTGTCGCTGGATTCGAATGCACAGAGTGTTATCCATGTATCGGAGGCGATATCTGCGATTGCGCCGGAGGCGGAAGAGCGCCGATCTGCGAAGCCGCCACCGTTCTCTGCGACGAGGCGAGTGGCATAGGATTCGACCGGGGCCTGTTTCCTGCTTTCAACATAGTCTACGATCATTCGGATTGGCTGTTGGCTGGCAAGAAAGAAGTTGAGAGAGATCTGGACATCACGGACAGCAACCCGTACACACCGGACGAGCAACAGGTGGCTGTGTTCGATTCTCTTCTCAGCCAGGTCAGCAGCAATGGCAAAAGCAACGCCCGCCTGCTCACCGTACTGTATATGCAACCAGCGCAGGGCTGTCACATGAGCTTATCCGTGCTGGTAGCGTGTCGTCAGCCAGGTCAGCAGAATGCAGACATGATGATGATGATGGGCAGCAGCAATAGCAATAGTAACGATGGTCGTACAGCTAGTCAAGCAGGAGCACCAATAGCACCAGGATATTTTCAGGTAAGAGTCGTGTCTGGCCATTCAGAAGAGGAATTGCTCTACATTGAGGCAGCTCATCCATGTGACGGGCGACAACAAGCGGAATGGGCGGTGGTGGAACTGCCAATCAATGTCTCTACAACATTTCAAGTGGAGTTTGAAGCGTACAGCAGTGAATCCAGCGGTCTGTTGGTGGCGTTGGATAACATTACATTCACAGAGGACTGCTGTTCGGTGGATGGTGCTGTCTCCTTGGCTCCACCGCCGGATCAGATGCACACGCCGGCAATGCCATCACAAGCACCCGGGCTGCCAGATGTCCACGTTGATGCGCGCATGCTGCGCGACTCGCTCTATGTAGACACGCGAGACCTGACCCGAGAGCAGATCCTGTGCAGCATCTCAGAGGATTGTCTTGCGCCGTCCGTTCATAACAACACTGATGGTCCAGCCGGCGTAGAGTCTAGGTCCTTACTGCGATTCACCACGGCCGTTTGGAACACTGGGAAAGGTGACTTCAGTTCACCACCAGGGCACATTCCCATATTTCACCAATGTCACCACCATTTCCATTCGTTTTCGGAGTTTGCTACCTACTCCATGATTGACGAACGCGGTGCCGAACAGGGGCATGGTCATAAGGCTAGCTTCTGCCTGCTCGACTCTATCTGTAGGAATGGGACCCAGCCTAAGCACATCATCTGCACTGAAACACTGCAGTCTATCAGCCCAGGCTGTGCAGATGTGTATGGAGCTGACCTCGACTGCCAGTGGGTAGACATCAGCAACTTTGCAGTGGGTTGCTACCAGCTCACCGTCCATGTGAACCCATCACGTGTGATCCAGGAGCTGGACTACAGCAACAACAATGCCAGCGTTGCTTTCTTCTTCAATGGTGTCAACGTCAACATAACGGAAGCGTGCCAGGAGCTCTTTGCTGGGAAGCGCAGCTTGCCTGGACCTTCAAGTGAAGCATCGTCCACCAGCACAATCACCAGTAACGTTACGTCGCTAGCAATGACTGATGGCGGACCAGCTAACCAGGCTATAAGCCCCGCGATAGGAGAACAACCGAATGCCACTGGCAATGCCCAAGACGAAAATCCGTCAGTTGTCAGGCCATGGAGATCTTTAGCAGCAACAATGCGCCCTGGTCCCTCATCATACCTCACTGTTCTATTCTGTGTCGCCGTAGGCAGATTAGCAGTATATGTGGGTACATAACAGTGCTTGATCCGGTGTGAATCATACAGTCAGATCCAGTGTACATGCCATCATACAGTCAGATCCAGTGTACATGCCGCCGACTGTGCCTGGACCCTGGTCACGGCATTGTCTTTGGCCATGTTCTTGATCGAGTGGTTGGTGATCGCCGGAGCTCCTGGCTCCCTCTCCAGGGCTGATTCAGACGTCAGCGGCTACCCTGTGAGTATTCATGCCCGCCTGGCAGCATTGCCATAGCTAGCCTTATGTAGACCAGACTACTGCGGCTACATGTACTATAGCCACATGCAGTGCAAGGGCATCGGACACGTTAGGATAGGTGTTAGCCGGCATGAAGGGACGGACTGAATCTATGACTGTAGTTATGGTTTGAACGATTCATGGCAAGCAGTCACAGTCGTGACCTAAGCCACGCATGTAGTATGGCTCCGCATCTACACAATGCATGGGCATGATTCTATGCGAAGGCTGCACCCATGCACACCGAGAAGGCAGAGCATGATTATGTGCAGATGTGGCCCAGACCAACTCATGCAGGCTGAATGGATGGTGCATAAGCTTTCATCTGGCCTACATTGCATGTACTGGCTATGTATGTCTTGAAACGATGTTCAGCTATATAACGCTTCAATATCTACATACATCAGTAAAATACAACAGTCGTCGTCATCATGATTGATCTCTCTGGAATATGTGTGGACTCATACATTACAGTGTTTCCTGGAATTCGGGCCACCCAAAGGACTTACTAGACATCTCAGCCTTGTGTCCCACGGCTCTTGCCTGGTTTTGGGTTTGAGAATGCTTTTGTGATTTGCTGTAGCTGCTAGCAAGGGGAGCTTTTACTCTTGCTAGTAGTAATGTTATAATAAATCTTATGTGTTATGATCACTACAGAGCGCTGACAGTCTACATTGTACATGTATATCTAAGCTGGTGATGGTTTCCGTGGTGTGGTGAATGGCGTGCATGCAGGACTGGACCCACGTCGGGGAATGTGAGCAGTGTTGCGGCTAGAGAACATTAATTTTTGGATTCATCGGGTAACGGATTCTCTCTCCCTCTCGTTAGTGCTGTAGCATGACACAACAATTGAACATGCAAAGCTAGGATACGGTCAAAACTCATTAGGACGAACACCAAGGGCCCGATGGTATTTGTTTGCAATAACGGGTGACGTTCACCATGGTTGAGCCCCGCAACCAGGGAGTCGTAAAAGGGCTTTCACGGCTCTCTGGTTGGGAGGTGTGAGCTTTGAGGATAGAGGCTGGGAGGCAATTCCAAGTCTCAATCATGGAGTGGGGGGGGGGGGGGGGAAGGACCGAAGGACATCGTCCCGAGACTGAGGTGGGGCAGTATTTGCAAGCTGAAATGGGTGGTTGCTCGCGATTGTGCGGACGCTGACTCGGGTCCTGGGCTGGAGCAGGCTGGGGTAGGCTATAGGAGGGCTGTGACCATGACAGGGCCACTGGGACCAGGTAGTGGTGGAGCTTGAAGAGGTAGCAGGGGGCAGCAACAGTGCGATACCGGATGGATGTCCACACTAGGCAGGTACCGTATTTCCGCAAATAAAAGGCCGTCCTCGTATACAACGCCTTCCTCGTATACAAGGCCGGGGCAGGGGGCGATTGAAAAAATAAAAGACCGTCTCCGATTAGAAGACCGGGCCTACTAAATGAGTCTTTGTTCTTGTGTTAAAAATAGAAGACCGTGCTCAAACTGTGGGAAAAAATAGAAGACCGTGCTCAAACTGTGTAGAAGAAAATTGAAGAACGGGGGTAAAACTGTGTGGCAAGAAATAGAAGACCGGGGGGTCAAACTGGGTTGAAAGAATAAAAGACCGTCCTCGAATACAAGACCGTCCTCGATTATAAGGCCGGGTTAGGACGAGGTTGAAAAAATAGTAGACCGGCCTACTATTTGTGGAAATACGGTAATAGCTATCGCCGATAGCATGGTGCGCCCTGCGCTGAGTGGTTGCAAGCTTGGCAAGTACAGAGGGTGCTGCGCTCATCCATACCAGCATTCCATACTCCAGGATTGGCCGGACAATAGTTATCAAGCCCACGGTAGACTACATACGGCACAGCTGATTTAGGGCCGGGACAGCCTGGCATCATAGTGGAAGAAGCCAAGTCTCAGCGCACTGAGTAATACGAGGGACCGGACGACGGACGTACTGTTTGAAGCACAGCTGGCTGTGGAAGTTGACCCCTAGGAGATGGAGCCAGTCCATCTCGGGTACAGCTGCCCCTGGAATGTGATGGGAGGAGCTCGGTCATGGCATCGCCGGTGAGTGACTCGGGCTGGTGAGGGCTTGTGAGTCGTGGGCTCAAACTAATACTTGATACGTCTGAGGGTGCCCGACCCAGTTGGCGATGTATCTACAGCCTGCTGGAGCGCTGTGATCATCATCTAGGAGGTTGGCTCGCGTTGTCACAGTATACATTGCACCAAGACTACATATTAACCCCCCCCCCCCAGGGGGGGGGGGGGGTTATGTACTCTTGATTGCACACGTCTTATAATCATACTCAGTACTGTAGTGTCATCAGCATAATTATTGTATTATTATAATTCACTGTACTGATACATGGTGGTGATTGTGCTTCGCTTTGCCCGTAAAAGAGGCCTTCATACACATATACAACGAGCTTAACCCCTTCGGGTAGGGTGGTCCTCTGCGCCATTGCCAACATTGTCATTGGTGTCGATTAGGAACAGGGCCCTGGCCCGCAGGCTGGGTTTGGGTCGAGGATGCTGCATCTAATTCTTACGAAGTTACGTACAATGTAGCTCTGAGCTAACTACTTGAACTTCAAGTACACTGTACCTAGTAATAATCACTGGCGGTATTTTTTTAGTACTGCAGACGACATGACACTGTACTTCGCTTACACATACCCATGCCATGGTGACACACACAGATTTCCGCGTTACTTCTCAACAACAACGAGTCACGACAAGAACGTACACGTACACGAGCGGCCCATAAAGTAAACTAACAACACATGATGGCTGTATACACCTGGCATTACCAGTGATTACAGTACATCCGGGCGGTACAGATAATAGTAGATCTACAGAATGCCACATCATGATCGTAATCATGGTACATCGCACATGTCATCGTTCACACCATGCATGCTAGACATTGTAATGACATAATCATTGCAGCTATAGCAGTATAGCCCTGGCCCGGCTCTAGCATGCAGCATGCATGCACTATGTAGTTGTTATGACATAACACTGACAAGAATAGGTCGTAACAATTACATACCGGTAACGCGATGGTATCGCACAAAGCCTGAAAGGGCAGATCTACAGTTTGTGTGCGAAGCGCTTTTCATACAGCTCAACATCAGCCTAGCGCCAACACAAAGTTTTCTCTCGACGCTAATACAATAGCAAGAGTATTGTTGCTAATGCAACACACTAATACAGAGTACAGAGTACTTGGCCTGGGTGAATACTGTTGCCGGGGGTGCAGTGTCGACACTCGTGGTCAATACCGTTCAGGTCGATCTACACCACTCTGTCATTGTGAGAAAGGATCGCACACGGTCGAGCCGCGGGGAGGATATTGGATAAACAGCGAATCCTGTCTGCTTTACCTCGGGCTTGATCCGTCGTCGCCTCTTCGGGGAACTATCGGCATCCGACAAGAGGTTCCTCTGGTGGCGAGAAGGCAAGGCCTGTACGAAGAGGACATCATCTGCCAGGAGGTTGATCTACTTGGAAATGGATTTGGGTTCAAGAATTTCGGCAAACAAGCCGTGTGCCCTGATCATACCGCAGAAGCGACTAGTTCCGTCGCCATGGTCACTGGTGCTAGCTTGGCTTGTGCTGTCCAGCCTGTATGTTGGTGAAAAGACAATGCTAGTACACTGTATAGTTGCACAAACCACAACGGGAGCAGCCACCACAGCTGGCCCCACGACGGGTGGGGCAACAACAGCAGCAGCAGCAACGGGCAGCGCTACGACAGCAGCAGCTACGACAGCAGCAGCAGCAACGGGCAGCGCTACGACAGCAGCTTCCACCACCGGAGCTCCAACCGTGAGTGGCGCAACAACTGCAGCCTCCACCACTGGTGCAGTAACAATGAGTGGCGCGACGACAGCAGCAGCAACCACTGCTGGCGCGACAACAGCAGCAGCAACCACTGCTGGCGCGACAACAGCAGCAGCAACAACTGCTGGCGCGACAACAGCAGCAGCAACCACTGCTGGCGCGACAACAGCAGCAGCAACCACTGATAATGCAACAACGGGTGGCGCAACGACGGCTGCCCCGACGATGGCGGCCTCGACGACGGCTGCCCCAGCGACGGCTGCCGCGACGACTGCTGCCGCGACTACAGCTGCCCCGGCCACAGCTGCCGCGACGACGGCTGCCCCGGCAACGCCTGCCGCGACGACGGCTGCCTCGACGACGGCTGCCTCAACGACAGCTGCCGCGACTACGGCTGGCACGACGATGGCTGCCCCGACAACGGCTGGGGCAACAACGGCTGCCCCGACGACGGCTGCCCCGACGACGGCTGCCCCGACAACGGCTGCCCCGACGACGGCTGCCCCGACGACGGCTGCCCCGACGACGGCTGCCCAGACGACGGCTGCCCCGACGACGGCTGCCTCAACGACAGCTGCCGCGACTACGGCTGGCACGACGATGGCTGCCCCGACAACGGCTGGGGCAACAACGGCTGCCCCGACGACGGCTGCCCCGACGACGGCTGCCCCGACGACGGCTGCCCCGACAACGGCTGCCCCGACGACGGCTGCCCCGACTACGGCTGCCCCAACGACGGCTGCCCCGACGACGGCTGCCCCGACGACGGCTGCCGCGACGACGGCTGCCCCGACGACGGCTGCCGCGACGACGGCTGCCCCGACGACGGCTGCCGCGACTACGGCTGCCCCAACGACGGCTGCCCCAACGACGGCTGCCCCGACGACGGTTGGCGCGACAACAGCAGCAGCAACCACTGCTGGAGCGACAACAGCAGCTTCCACTACTGCAGCGGCTACAACGGCCGGCGGTACGACGGCAGCTCCCACCACTGCTGGTGCAACTACTGCTGGTGCAACAACGGGTGGCCTGACAACAACAGCAGCACCAAGCACACCTTCCACCACTGACAACATGACAAATGATAATACGACTACAACTTCAGAGGCCTCAACTACTCCAGTTGCTAATAATGGCAACAGTGGCGCATCATCATCAACCCTTACCACCGGTACAATTGTTGGCATCGTCATTGCTTGTGTCGTGTTTGCCGTTTTCATTATCCTCATTATCACACTTGCAGTCAAGTAAGTAGAGATTAGAACTCAGGTCCGTTGTAATCATTTCTTTGGGTTTATTTCTGGCGAATAGGGTGTATGGATGGTGGGGACTTGGCTGGGATACCAGTTGAAATAGGGCAATCCAATTTTGCCAGGATGCAGCTATTCTTCGTCTGTGGGAGGTGTGTGTTTTTCTCACAATGTGTGTGCGTGTGTGTATGTGTGTGTGTGTGTGTGTGTGTGTGGCATACGTGTGTGTGTGGCGTACGTGTGTGTTTGTGTGTGTGTGTGTGTGTGTGTGTGTGTGTGTGCCCGGACGGTGTGCACGTGTGGCGTACGTGTGTGTATGTGCAGGGGATGGGCAAGGCTGTCTGACCAATAAGTACAGTGAACTTACATTGTATAAAACGTCGCAAAGAATAACACACAGAGTCACAAGTTTTTGACTATAAAAAAGTAGTTTCTCTGTCGTGCAATTTTATAAGGGCCTGTACATTCACAAATCGCACCGTTGTTGTCTCCCTCTGATTCGAATTGCAGGAAGAAAATGAATGGACCAAAGGTCGGACCACTCCCAGAGTAAGCCAACCTGAGTGAACATGTCTGGATAATCCCTGAGACGTCTTGTTTCATTGGCAAGCCTCGTGATTGGAAACACGTGACTGCCAATGTGTATTTAGCAGGTGTGCATCGCTTGTTAGTAGATTGCTTTTAATCGAACTCTAAGTATGTTGCGTCTGTCCTCAGAAACAAGTGGATACTTGGACCTAAGCTGGTACATGTGATTTGTGTCTGTTTTAAAACTATGCCGGTCTCAACCTTCAGTTTTGCTTGAATTTTGAATACCTTTTGTTACCCGATCCGATCAGTCCTGGCCCTTTCGCGGCTGTACTTGGCCCACAACGTCCGAAGGAATGCGTGGGCCGCCTTTTGTAGCTATCGTTCAGAAACCTTTCCATACCCAGTCAAGTCCGAGCACGCATTCTCGACCCTCTCCAAATTTTAAAGCACAATGGTAAATGACCCCTCTAAATCTCAGATATTGTGTACTACATATTGCACTGTCACATATGTACGAATAGAAGCACATTTCTTGTTTAACTGTTATGCTCTGGACTCAGCTAGTCGCTACCTTATTATCTTGCGCATACGTCTGGTATACAGGTGGAATCCTGATAATTCGAATATGTCTTAAATTCGAACATACCGCTTAGTTAGAAGTTTTTCCAGGACCGATTTCTATCAATACGATCCCCGCATAACATTTTTTTCTGATAATTCGAACCTCGAACTGAACAGGTCCGGTTAATTAATTAGAAGTCCCACGGATTCCACGTACATAAAAAATGTGTGGGATTTGTGCTGATAATTTGAAGTTAGCAAAGTGTAATTCGAAGTTCACTGTACACTGTACTGGTCAGTTCAGTTTGCATGAGCAGGCTGTGCCGGTCAGTTCGGTATCCATGGAATCTGTGTCTAAGGTCCATAGCGCAAGTCTGCGTGACCATGAGAGCATTTTGACATACTTATTGTGTTGTGGGTTCATGTTTGGATATTTAGAATGTCCGGATAATTAGAAGTTTTTGGTTCGAATTATCAAGATTCCACCAATTAAGTCCTATGTGCTGGTCTCCTGCAGTTTCATGTAACCACTATTAGCAGGTGGAGTCAACAAGCAGTCAAATTCAACAACAACACAGTTCTGGTCGGTTGCACATGAGCAAGGAGTCACACACAGTCCAGCCATGTGTACATGGACATCATCAGGCGCGTGCTCGGCGATGGGCACGGGGGGCACGTGCACCCCCCAAAAAATTTCAATCTGGGTAATTGCAATTGTAATGTATGCAAATATGCTCTAAAATTCAAGAAAGGTTGCAAACAAATTGCAGAAAATTGCCGGGGGGCTCCCCTCGGCTCCCGTGCACCCCCCTAGTTGGGGGGCCAAGCACGCCCCTGATCATGGTCATGCAACAGCCTCTTGCATACGCTGTGTCCATGTTGAGGCCAATGCTCCAGGAAAAGCAGTAGTATTCTCATTTTCGTCCCAAAGCCGCGTGTGAATGCTCATAAAAATCCTATTAATTAGCTTGCATAGACCTCGGTCCTACCGGTAGGACCATCATACACAGACATGCTGCATGGCCTCTGTTCTAACATTGACCTAAAACTTTACCCTAAACCGTAGGGGCTAATGAAGGAGTCCACAAAATTTAGACGTGATCGCGCAAGGCACACTACGAAATTCCATGGTAACCATGGAAACGGAGTATGGCATTATGCATTCCACTGCCTTGGCAAGCTAATAAAAACATTAGGACCTCACCACAATTGATGTGCCATGGTCAAAATTCACTTAGGACAGAGTTGCTAGCGCACCGAGAGGATTATGTGCAGCCATTTGGACAATCGATAAAATTGCGCATACGCAATGCACTGGACATAGCCTTGCATTTTGCGCCATTACTTTGCCTGACAAAGACCTCATCTCAACAATTGTTTCAAGAAATTTCTCAACCAAAATTACTTTTGCAGCTCGATTTCTTGGGTCCTACCGGTAGGACGGTATGACACGACAAAAGGCATCTCATTATTGTTAGAACGTATCGTAGTAAGAACAACTACGCAAGCGCAGCACATTTTTCCACATGCATCAGCCATTTTTTTCTTGTCTAGAGCCAGGACGGTATGCAAGCTATCATTAAAGCCTGGTCTCCAAGCTTGCAAGTTACTGGCTGGCTGGCTCATGTCTTCCAAAATTACGGGAGAGCTCTGAAGGTTCCGGAAAGCGGAAGCGTTTCCTCGTTTTAGGAGAATTTCGTTTTCAGGCAGCACACTTCGAAGTATTTGAATACACAGCACATACTTTCATGCTGTGTCGTACAGTACAGTACAGTACACATGTAGTCAATCTGCACGCAGGAGCACAGCACTTTCTCATCATTGTGAGACTCATTACATTTCTAGAGCTTAGAGGGTCAGTACAAGTACCAGAGTCAGCAAGAAGTTCACACTGCTAATGGACAAAATAAAATATGAAGCTTCATCAAGGCAGCACATAAACACGCTCAAGATCAGTCAGAGACCTAGATATAACAAAGCACTGGGGAAAACTGGATGGAAGTCAAACGTGTGGCAAGCAGAACCAGCTGCAGGAAACTAATATTGATAATGATGACAGCACATGAGCTCAAACACGTGCATACATGCGCGCGCACACACACACACACACAAACACACACACACACACACAAACACACACACACACACACACACACACACACACAATGGTCTATGACTGTGAGAACAGACCATTGGTCAAACATGACTCCAACCATCGCTGTGTAAAGTACTGCAACACTCCAAGAGAAAAAAGATGGAATGCTGAAAGGCTAAAATTGAGTCTCAGATTTAGAACGGTAGAAAATTCATCAAAGGAGCGAAGTAAAAGACTAAGACAGAAGACAACATAATGTTTATTGCACTTGATTGGTCTAGGGTGCTGAGGATAGTCAGAATGTTGAGCTAAGGAAAAACCCAACAGTAAAATATCAACACCAGAAAAGGTGCACCTGTCGTCGGTTGCAGGTGAGGGAGAAAAGCAAACATAGGACGGCCGGAGATTAAAACGGAGCTTCGGTTTCCCTCTCCTCTTCTTCCTCATCTTCAAGCAATGGGTCAGCATTCAATGTTCTATATTGATCATTATCATGCCCATTGTCAATCAGCTCATCCACGTTACCATTATCATCTACTGACTTCGTAGGCGTATCTCCGTGCGCAGTGTTCTCAGTTTTCTGTCCCAACACTGGATCCGATCGTATGACATTCTTCTTCAGCTGCTTGTATTTTTCACAATTCTTTAGCTGCTGGTTTTTCAGCTGGTGAATTTGATACGGATCAGGAAAGTAGGCACGCTGTGCAGCCGCAACTCTCTGGTCTCTTGTACTTTTCTCCAGAGAGCAGAAATGTTTGAGATCGGAGACGACCTTTTCCTCCACTTCTTTTTCCAATCGCAGGATGTCTGCGACAGTTGGGTAGTCCAGTTCAAACGAGCTGGCGACGAAGTACTCGATGTCGTAGAGCGTGCTCTGGGTTCGACGCGGCACAGAATATAGTGAGCTGGACGATGCACTCCATGTGGTCTGATGATACCAGTCTGACAGGAGGCTGGATAGAAAGAAGAGGCAAAGCAGAGCAACTAGCGGCAGTACGCGCTGAATATCGGTGAATACGCTGGAGTCACCGGCCGTCCGGTAATAGAACTTGGCACTTTCGGACGGCTCGAAAGGATCCTTAGAGCGAGAACGGCCTCCAAAGAATATATTGAATACTTCTTCTGGGCTAACGTTACCGCCGTAGCATCGCTCAAAGTATGCCCAAGCCATCTCGCTATTTTTATTGGCATTAGCATGTGCACCGTTTTCATCTTCTCCGTACTTATCATACTTGGCTCGTTTCTCTGGATCGCTGAGTGTCCCGAACGCCTTCACCACCTGTTTGAATGCTTCAGCAGCACCGGGAGCATGGTTCTTGTCCGGATGCAAAACCAAGGCTAGCCTCCTGTACGTTCGTTTCAGATCGTCCGCAGTGACATTCTTCGGAACACCAAGGATAGTGTAATAGTCCTTAGCGTTCTCTACTCTCTTTACCGCCGTGACTTGTTCATCGGTGTAGTCGACATCAACCTCATCTTCAGATTCACCATTTTCAGGCCGCTTCATACTGCTGGTCGGTGGATATGTAGACGCTATATCCGTGGAAGTTAGATTAATTATTGTACAATATCACATCACCATCCTTCCCATCACCATCACAATCCCACAGCTGAACAAGACTTTAGTAGTTTCGAGTGCCCAGGGAGGAAAAATTCTTCCAGTAGCAACACCACGAACGCAAGTCACACTCAAGAAACTACAGGAGATAATTATGCTGAATACAGGGATATCAATACACCAAGCTGATGCTCATACTCATAGTTTCCACCTGCCAATTGATTTCCCATACTACAAGTGCCACCAATTCGAAAAATACTGCTGCACAAAGACTGAACACAGGCACACTAGAGATAAAGATTGAGTTTTCGAACAGAAATACTCCTGCTCATGGGATACCTTGGAATCTACACAATACTAAAAGCGCATGGCAATGACACTGAACTATGAGTACGTCTGAGTACTCGAGTGGACATAAACAACTTACTTACTTGAAATACTTGTGATATTTCAAATCTGACAACAATTATTTTATTTACATCTTTCACACTACACATACGTACACGTACGTACGTACGTGCGCGCACCCACTCCTTGCAAAAATACTACATAGCTTTTCCTGCACTGCACGTATCTACGACTCGTAGTCGTACTGGCGCTTGGCAGATGCATGCGCTAGCGCCGCCCAGGCTAGGCAGCAGTAGGCTGCGGCTAGCGGCTGCGCAATTTTTTTGCTAGCTACGCTGTGATTCGCGATCAGCGTCATCGGCCTAGCCTACTCGACTCGCAGTGATATCATGCGTACCGACCCGACGCTGTACGGTAGCTTTTCGAACAACACCCCATGCATGGCCCATCCATGGCATGCCAAGCTTTGTTCATGTTGTTCCGAGTTACATTTTGCCCAGTTTGATTTCTTCTTCGTACATCGTCGTTGCTTGCAGACCATCTTTACAGGATAGACACCAAGTGAAGACGAAAATGGCACTGGCTGCCTATTTTCGCCGTAGCCCAGGCCTCTTCAGATCGTCTGCTCGGCTCATGAGTTCAGATTCTGAGGTAGGAACTGTGATACTGAGTTGGTGAACAGTAGTGCTGTGGGAGGCATGTCTAAATGGCTTTGTATCATTGTCATGTTATCCATGTAGCCCACGCGGACATACGGTGGATTAAAAGTAAGTAATGGACTTTACCCATCACATGGCAAGGCTGAACAAAAATTTTTTTAAGGTCACGCTGGCAAGCAGTGCGAAGTGGGCACGACCAGAGAAGTGCAACCGAAACATGCTTATGTACAACCCATGTAGCTATCATACACAGTGTTACTGGATATAAATTGCTGCCTGGAGCAAAAACTAAATTTATATTCCATATCATTCAATGTCTCCTACACATCGTAGTACACCGCCACGCACACACGCACACACGCATACACACACACACACACACACACACACACACACACACACACACACACACACACACCATGTACCATGTATACGCCCGTCGGAAGAGAAGCACGCAAATCTGCAAATGCACTGGATGTGCACCCACAGATTTTCTCTTATAGCAATGATAGCAGAGCTCCAATTTCACTTCAAGGTACCAGTGCGCACACACACACGCACACACATGCACACACCTCAGACATTCGCATGCACACACGCTCACGCGAGCGTGCGCGCGCACACCATTTTGATCATTTGACGCCCATCGCTAGAGGCGATGATAGCGATGCTATAGCAGAAGCCATAGCAACTTGTGCTAGGATTGCACTATTCAATAGCTTGCAAGGCTGAAGAATTGACCGCCACTATTCAGCCTGGTCTTCACCACACAGCTATTAAGTGGCTTTTTCTGGCCAGTGAATCTCTACACACACCTCAGACCTCAGACATGCCCATCGCGGAAGCGATGATAGCGAACAGCCATGTTTGACATAGCAACTTGTGCTGGGATTACACCATTCAACAGCTTGCAAGGCTGATGAATTGACCGCCACTATTTTTAGCCTGGTATCCACCACACAGCTGTTTGAAGTGACTTTTTCTGGCCAGTGAATCCCTATTTTTAATTTTTTATAATTTTTATATTATATTTTTTTACACACACCACACCACATACTCCGGCATACACTGGCTGTTGGTAACCACCCAGGAGAATGAAAGAAAAGTCAGGAAGAGTCCGAGAAAGAGAAGAAAGACGTGTGTGACCATAATCGTCGGGAACCCGCAACCTCTCGATTGGAAATCGACTGCACATACCACTGCACCATATGGGACACACATACACACACACACACACACATGCACCTCAGGGCCAAGCCATGACCATCATCAAGACGTGATACGAGTATTATTACGCAAGGCATTCCCAAGTAAGTTACATGAATCACAAAAGAGCACAATGTCTCTCCCAGTCAGTGTACTGTGCCTGTTGTCATTCAGTTGTTTGATTTTCAGTTTTTCACCCTGGGGATGGGCTATGCCTGAAAATTTGATGAAATGAAAAGCTGTGTTCGCAGCAGAAAGATCGTTGGGAGGAGGAGAGCAAGTTACGGGTAATGTGTAAATGGCTGCATGAGTCTATGGTCCTATGGACAATAAAATAAAATAAAAATTAGGGCTGAAACGATTATACCAATTACTCGGTAAGTGATCGATAATTCCTTATCAATCAAGTAATCGTTACGTTATAGATTACTCGTTAGGAATTTTGAGTCCAAAAAGTACTGAAAACCCTCGTTTTGTGAAGTTTGAATCAGTTTCCGCTGTGGGTATGCAGCTGCCAGGGGCATGGTGCATATTCCGAGGTTAAATTGACTTCAAAATTGTCATGTTTTGGAGCTACTCTGTCACTAATGCAGATTTTTGGTATTATGAAGGCCTAGCTTTTGGAAACTGGATAATTTTTGCACAAAATTCTGACGCTATTTGCTTAAGATAATAATCGATTACTCGATCGTTAAGCTAGAGAGTAATCGATAGGTGAACATCCACGATCGTTTCAGCCCTAATAAAAATTGATCGCGTACTGACACCGTACAGTTTTTCATTGCCCAGTGCCACGTACGTTTCTGTTTTAACTTGACATGCTCTCTTTGCTTGTTTTGTGTTTTTCCATAGGACTCGGATAGGATCTTCACTAATCTGTATGGAAGGCATGACTGGAAGTTGAAGGGCGCCATGTCACGAGTAGGTCAAGCTGTTATTCAAATCAATTTGCACACCGGCATTCACACACACACACACACACACACACACACACCTGGCCTGGTGTACAACTGCCAAATGCTTGGCCACGCCGCCCCCGAGACAGGGGAGAGTAGAAGAGAGGGTTCGAGAGAAGTCAGCACTGCCACTAGGACGCCGCTCCGCCACGACGTCGTCCACGATTGCAATTGTGTCCCCTAAAGCCAGGAGCAGATTTAAAACAGCGATCACAGGTGGCGCAGTGCTGGTTGCAACACGGATGGCTGGTGATTGGTATGCGCTGGGGTGTGGGCGGTGATGCCAGCGCGGGTGTCGTGCACTTGTGCACAGCAAGTCCACCGGCACTTCGGAACCACCGAAGGCAGGCATGGCATTGACGTGCGTCCGGCTGTTCCGCTACAGGCAGCTGCCGATCAGTAGAACATTTGTGTCGTCCGAGTCCAGATTTTCTCTTGAATGTCCGTTTACATACCAAGCAAGAGAGCGGTACCGGGGCAGGACGCTGCACACGAGCGCGGTACGCATCTCTCCATTGCTGACGATCCTGGGCCAGAGTACACCATTCATCAATTTGGCACAGTTTCATGTCTGACTGTATTCTGTCCTTCCACCGAAGACGAGGTCCCTGAGCTGGTCGGGGAGCGTCAAGCCATCCAGACAGCAACTGTTTAGGGAGACGGTTACACACACACACACACACACACACACACACACACACACACACACACACACACACACACACACACACACACACACACACACACACACACACACACACACACACACACACACACACACACACACACACACACACACATACACACACACATTCTCTCTCTCTCTCTCTCTCTCTCTCACACACACACACACACACACACACACACACACACACACACACACACACACACACACACACACACACACACACACACACACACACACACACATACACAGCACATCTACACGTGCCATTTCTGTGTGTGCTGCTTGTGTTTTATTGGTTAAACCTGTATCATTTTTTCCCCATTGCTATGTGTTCTGCACATTTGTGGTTGCTTTCATGTAGGGTGACTGGTACAAGACCAAAGAGATACTGCTGAAGGGTCATGAGTGGATTCTAAAGGAGGTCAAGGATTCTGGCCTTCGAGGTCGTGGAGGTGCAGGTAAGTTTTTACCTTACCATTGGGCTTCTCCGGGAATGAAAGCAATGGCAACATCCATGATGGCCGTTTAAACTCTCCTCGAACCTTATGCCGCTTCTGATCTGTACATGCATCTATTGCACCTCTCCTTTTTTTTCCTTTGCCCGCCCCCCCCCCCCCCCCGTCCTGTATGACTATGAGTCATGATCGTACTCTGCTCATTCACATTTCATTGTTGACTGGCATTGGTTACGCGAGGCATATCCTGTCTCGCACTGATCTGCTTTACCCTATGTAGGATTTCCATCCGGGCTGAAGTGGAGCTTCATGATCAAGCCTACGGATGATGGCAGGTTGGTGTGTGTGTGTGTGTGCGTGTGTGCGTGCATGCGTGCGTGCGTGTGTGTGTGTTTGCACTGCTGCATTGCACATACCTGCTACTCTTCATGTTCACTGCTGCACAGTGTTTCAAACCTAGCATTCTGTGGGGCTCGCAAGTTGTGGGCCTGTGAACGCAACCTTCAAGTCCCCAATATCCAAGAAATGATGCCTGTAGAAGTGTAGATGTACACAGCAGAGTATTCACCCTTGCTCCATCAAACTTTACCATTCAGTCACTTCTCTACGGAGTACGTTGATGACAATTTCTACTTGTATTCGCATCGGCCAATTCTAAGCTGTTTGCTCCAAGCAACCTGACGGCGATCCCAGCTAGTCAAATTGAATTACCGTTCTTTGGTTTTCTCTTGGGCTACTGTAAAAGCAGACATTTTCGGTGGTGTTGTATTTTCAGTAACTTCGGTGCCGACAATGTTTTACCTAAAATACAACGCACCGAAAATATGCATGCCGGCTGCAGTACGGAAAACTGGTTTCCCGAAATTTCCAAGCTACCGAGCCGTTGCCAGTTTTGGGAAATACCAAACATTATTATACCATCGAAAATTCCCGATTTTACAGTATTGCAATCAGATTTGGACACAAAGCAGGTTCTCTGGCCTTTCTGGCCCCCTTGCTGCCCCCCCCCCCCCCCCAGCATTCGATATCTACAGGTTGTATTGCCTATTGGCCCTGTCCATGCAGGTCGCATCACAACACACACAAGTAACTTAGTGTGGCAGAGAATTGAGTTGTGTGCGTGGTGATCTAATACTGAAGTGCTTCAGTAGTAAATAGACATCTGCTGCTTGTCGGTCCATATGTTCGTCTTGCTGACATCTTGATCAGAAAACCGAGAGATTGTCCTAAAATATGCCGAGACTGGCCGCAGTGTTTCATGTATCCCTGCCTCACCTTCTGTCTGCATCGTCTCCTGGATTTTCTGCCCCATTTCCCTCTCTCCCTCATTCTCTCTCTCTCTCTCTCTCTCTCCCTCTCTCACTCTCTCTCTCTCACTCTCTCTCTCTCTTTCTCTCTCTCTCTTTCTCTTCTCTCTCTCTCTCTCTCTCTCTCTCTCTCTCTCTCTCTCTCTCTCTCTCTCTCTCTCTCTCTCTCTCTCTCTCTCTCTCTCTCTCTCTCTCTCTCTCTCTCTCCTGGAAGCTTATCCCAATGTAATAATATGATTCGTATTTCTTACACCTCTGTGTGCCAATCTTTGTGTGCGGGTTTGTGACAGGCCAAAGTACCTGGTAGTGAATGCTGATGAGGGCGAGCCAGGAACCTGCAAGGATCGTGAAATCATGCGCCATGACCCTCACAAGTTGGTGGAAGGTTGCCTGGTGGCTGGCCGTGCAATGGGAGCACGAGCAGGTAGGTGCAGGCTGAACTCACTCGTATTTATCGCCTATGCGATGCACACACATATACCCAAGCATGCTCTCACTGAGAAGTGCCGTAGCTTGCTCAATTCTTGCTCAAATGCATCCACAGTACACAAGCAAACCTGCAGCTGTCATCCTGTTGTCCTTTGCTGTACATATGTGTTCCTAAACCGGGCTGCTGGTTATGACTTATGTGCAGTGCATTGTACATCACCATAACGCAGCTTGGTGTGCCGGTATTGCCTGTGCATGGTGGACAACGTGGCTGCACTGTTTGGCTGTAGAATCCTGGATGCACACTATACCATACTCCCAATGTGAAGTGTATGCTATACGAGTGGACTTTGAAGGGACGGAATTTTGGTCGAATAGGATGTGCGCATTGTACGCCAGTGCACATTATTCCGCTGGCAACGGACCCGGTACAGATTGATCCATGCTCACTGCGTGTGCTATTGACTATACGGTGGAGCCTCACTTTCCGACCACCTCACCAATCTGATCCCTCTTGCTCGATCCCGAACTTTCCTCCGTCAAAGCGCGCTTACAAGATGATAATTTTTCACAAATCAGACCACTCTGCGCGGTCCGAAAGGTGGTTGGAATTCTGAGGTTCCACTGTACGATGTCTTGTGCTGTGTTGCTTGCAGCGTACATCTATATTCGTGGAGAGTTCTACAATGAGGCCAGTAATATGCAAGTTGCTATTCAGGAGGTGAGGATTAGTTGTTGTCACACGATTATACCCTGTCCGATGCTTTTTTTTTTTAAATGCTGTTTGCCTAGCACCGGTAGTAACATGTGCTGAGAGTTGTGTGTTTACGTCTTTTCCCACTGTAGCCCCAGGGCAGTTGTTTCTGTGACTTTTAGAACCATGCCTCTCAAGCATGCCTGCAAATGCATGTACTTGAAGTAAACGCTGTGCATTTGCATGTGCGTGGATTTATGCAGGCACAAGTGCATGTGCGTGGATTTATGCAGGCACAAGTGCATGTGCGTGGATTTATGCAGGCACAAGTGCATGTGCGTAGATTTATGCAGGCACAAGACAAGTGCATGTGCGTGGATTTATGCAGGCGCAAGTGCATGTGCGTGGATTTATGCAGGCACAAGTGCATGTGCGTGGATTTATGCAGGCACAAGTGCATGTGCGTGGATTTATGCAGGCACAAGTGCACGTGCGTGGATTTATGCAGGCACAAGTGCATGTGCGTGTGGCTTTGGGTTCTTTACGTGTCTGCCAGGTCCAGCTCGTTGTGTTGCGTCATTCTTATATGTTTCAATTGTGTCATGTGAACAGGCGTATGCCGCTGGTTTGATTGGCAAGAATGCTTGTGGCAGTGGCTATGACTTTGATATCTACATGCACCGCGGTGCTGGTGCTTATATCTGCGGAGAAGAAACGGTACGTTGTTAGTGTGGAACATGCATTGTGTTCTACTTATCATGCTGCTGAGTGTTTGCAGATTGTAATCAAACTCTGCATGTTTCTAGGAGTTTGTGAGAGGGAGAGAGAAGGGGGGGGGGGGGGGGGGGGGGGAGGGAGAGAGGCAGAGAGAAAGGAGAGGGGAGAGGAGGGAGAAGTGTGGCAATCAATGCAATAGACGCTTCGTAGAAAGAGCAGCATGAACCGTCTTTGCTGTTCTTGCACTCCCTAGCCGGCTCTCTCTTTCATTGGAGAGACAATGTGGCCATTTCGAGGCAATGGGGAATAGGAACATATGTGTGCGCGCGCACGCGTGCGTGTGTGCATACACGTGTGTGTGTGTGTGTGTGTATACGTGTGTGTGTGTGCATACACGTGTGTGTGTGTGCATGTGTTCATACATCTGTGCACTGGTGTATGTCTACACTGTGGGTTTCCACTACAGGCACTCATCGAGAGCTTGGAAGGAAAGCAGGGCAAGCCTCGTCTGAAGCCACCGTTCCCCGCGGATGTCGGTATGTTCTGCTGTGTTTGTGTCTAAGTTAAGCACGTATTTATGTGTTTCAGATTGCCATGAAACAGCTCCACTTTTTGACTAACAGTTAATACTCTCACCTCGTGTTCTTCTTCGTTTTGGACTCTACCACAATTGTGGTTACTTCTGCATCGATCCAGTTCATCCTACGGGATGTCCTTGTGCAAGCTGGAGTGTGATTGTGACTCTGAAGTCTCTGTAAACCCTACTACAGTACAGGTGTAGAGTTGCACTGCACAGGCTCTGGTCTACAGTTTACTAGCGCACTACAAGTAGTCGGCATGCAGTGTCTTTGCAAATAACTATGTGCATGTGTGTGTGTGTGTGTGTGTGTGTGTGTGTGTGTGTGTGTGTGTGCGTGCGTGCGTGCGTGCGTGTGCGTGTGCGTGTGCGTGTGCGTGTGCGTGTGCGTGTGCGTGTGTGTGTGTGTGTGTGTGTGTGTGTGCGGGTGGGTGTGTTTGTATATTCCAGGTGTGTTTGGCTGCCCGACAACGGTGGCCAATGTGGAAACAGTTGCTGTTGCACCAGTAAGTGAGCTGTTGCTCATGTTTATTCAGTGGACAAACAATAACCAATTTGTTTGCAAAGAGCTGCTGTAGAAGCAGAGCATTTAATCAGAGAATAATTTTGTCCAACTCCAAAGGAAGGGTACACCATTTCAACCAGACAAGCTCCCGGGGAGTTTGTCTGGTTGAAATGTTGTCCATGGACCAAAAATGTATCAACTTTAGGCCTGCACTTATCTAGGCCTAAAACTCTTTGGACGAAAAGACGAAATTCCATTCCCAACAAATGCTTCCTCTTGTACAGTATGCAAATCCAATGACCAATTGGATGTTATCTTACTTGGCAGGTGGGTCACGCGAATGTAGTCTATGGGGTTCAGAGGGCAAATGCACGCTTGGCTGAGTCCTACCCACTCTCCCCTGACTCACTTGTGAGATTTGCATCTCCCTAAAAGTACACTGGGCGTAGTGTCGGCCCATTGGAGCGCAGTGTAAAGTGAGTGTTTCGGAACACTTCATGTGATGGTGATGCGGAACCGGTTAACTTACTTGTGCGTTTCTCGAAGTGCTGTACTTCTCATGTGGCACTCTAGCTGCTGTGCACTTTGCGTGTGTATATAGCCTTGTTTTAACTTGTCTTTTGCCTTTCTCCTGTCCGTTCACACCTGCTGTAGACAATCTGTCGGCGAGGAGGCAGTTGGTTTGCTTCCTTTGGTCGACCCCGTAATACAGGCACTAAGGTAAGAGACTATCACTAAGTTCAAGCATTGGTACACACGCCATGCCCTTATCTCTTTACTTCACACTTTTCATGGGGTTTCTAAACTCGTTGATTGTTTGTTGCGTGTATTGCCTGTTTTGATTGCGTGTGGTGTTTTTAAATCCTTCAAGTAAATCCTTCAGAAAGAGAAATGCTGATAATCGTGCGGATCTGACATGCTCCATGTCAGCTGTTACTAAGGCATTCTGTTAGCATGTCTGGATATTTCTTATGTGATTTTCTGCCATGACTTGTGAGTGAGTGTATGTGTTTGTGCTTTTTTCCTGCATGGTGGTCATTGTGCTAACTCTTCACGCAGCTGTTCTGCATCTCAGGGCACGTCAATCAGCCATGTACCGTGGAAGAAGAGATGTCCATTCCTCTCAAAGAACTGATTGAGCGGCACTGCGGTGGTGTCATTGGTGAGTACTTAACCCTTTGCCTGCATGCACATGACTTTAAAACAGCTGTTGTCCGTGTGCATACGCACGTGTGTGTGTGTGTGTGTGTGTGTGTGTGTGCGTGCACGTGCACGCCGCACGTGTGGACATACGGGGGACGGCAAGGGTCTTTCTAGCGTTAGTTGTAGAGCTTAGACTATGCCGTCGGCAGCTAGTTGAAATTTTGTCTTGTTCTATCCTATGTTACTATGGTTAGGTGGCTGGGATAACTTGCAAGCTATCATCCCTGGTGGATCGTCTGTACCACTTCTGCCACGCAAGTATGCCAGTGAATTGCATGTCCATGTATCCACTTAGTGTTTGCTAGCGTCAACTCTCTCTGTCTCTCTCTGTCTCTCTCTCTCTGTCTCTCTCTGTCTCTCTCTCTCTCTCTCTCTCTCTCTCTCTCTCTCTCTCTCTCTCTCTCTCTCTCTCTCTCTCTCTCTCTCTCTCTCTCTCTCTCTCTCTCTCTCTCTCTCTCTCTCTCTCTCTTGCTTTGCTTTAGTAACCAGTAGGGCGTAGTAGTGAGTCAACACCTTTGGTGACAAAAAATAAAACGTCCTACAAACCAGTTGGTAGCTGAAGTCGGTTGGTCTCTTGACAACACGTTTCCTCACTCAGAGGATGTCTTGATGCCTATCATGTAAACCGGGCAATGGCAAACCATACTTCAACCAGCTCAGGACACGTGGACCTGTATGAGGATTCTTAGAAATCTTGAGTATTGCTCTCTGCCCTTGTGTGTGTGCACGCGTGTGTGCGCGCGTGCGTATGTGTGTGTGTGTGTGTGTGTGTGTGTGTGTGTGTGTGCATGTTTGTGTGCTTGTTCTTTTTTCAGAGCCTGTGAAGATGTTTTGATGGACTTTGATGCACTTGTTGCTGTTCAGTCTGGTCTGGGAACTGCAGCAGTCATTGTTATGAATAATCAGGTACAGTGTACAGCCAAACGTATTCTTTTCTCGTTTCCTGACCGAATGTTACCTGCAGAAAGTCACAAAAGAAATCAAATTGACTTGAAGTTCATTTGTGCATGAAACTTGTCCAGTGTGCATACATGTGTTTTGAATGGTGTTTTTTTATTGAAACTAATTCAGGCTTTTCTCCCGTAATTTTGTAATAAGAATCTGTGTCGGAGTCCGCCATCAGGAATATTTAGCTCACTTCACCGCACCACAAAGAACGCCGAGGAGTTGCTTACTGTGTGTGTGTGTGTGTGTGTTTGTGTGTGTGTGTGTGTGTGTGTGTGTGTGTGTGTGTGTGTGTGTGTGTGTGTGTGTGTGTGTCTATGTGTCTGTGTGCGTATCTGGTTGTGTCCCCTAGGTGGACATAGTTCACTGCATTGCTCGTCTCATTGAGTTTTACAAACACGAGAGCTGTGGCCAGGTAAGGTCTAGTCTACAGTGGAGCTCCATGGAACCCAATCTCATCCATAAGCTGCTTACACTTTACTCCGGTGCACAGCGTAATATTGACTTGTAAAAACACTCCAACTAGGACACCTGAAAACAGTGTAGAAACACACAAAGATTGTGCACGGGTAAGGAAAAAAAGTAGGGTGGGTCCAGGGACGTGTAACCCAGTAAATACCAAGAGTATATAACCCCCAAGAGTGTGCAACTCCAGCTAACTTCACATCACGTGCCGAGCCCGTACACACCCGTACACATTATTTGCACCCTGTGCATGATAGATGCAGGGTTGTACGCAACCTTGCTTTGGGTTCAACTCTCTTGTGGTCGCTTCAAACAGTTTGCCAGCGTAACCTTTTGAACAATTCTGCCGTCGCAGCACTGTATAGAGGCTGTGCAGGCAGTTGCACGCTCTTGGGTGTTATGTACTCTTGGTAATACCCATCACATCATTCGGGCACGTACTACTACTATTAGAGATGTGTTCTTTTATATGTTTTGATCCACACCCAACATGGTTACTATTGAAGACAGGGGGGGGGGGGTTGTCATAGCAACTAGGTTACACACATTTAGCCTCGCTGTGTGAGTGTACTTGCATGGCTAGCAAGGTTTCTTTGGCGTGGCTGCTGTGTCAGAAATGGCCAACCAGTTTCATGATGCAGCCAGCCGTTTCGGCACAGGGGGCAGAGCCATCGAGTACATGTACGTTTTGACTGCACCTTATGAGGGCGGGGAAAGAAAACAATCCATCGAGTGATGAATCCAGCACCCCTGTTTCACGTGCACCAGATTATAATATGGCATTGTACGCGGTTTTCCCCGCGGAATTACCTAATACGCGCGGAATTGCACAAATACATTTCGATTACACAAAGACTGTGGTTACAAGTACGAAACGGGCGAAAATCGCGCGCACCCTCCAAGGCGACTTGGTCTGCATTTGAAAAGGGAGTTGTCTTCGACCTGCAAACCGACCTGCAAACAGAACTACAGAACTGAACTGTACAAGACAGCAGTGATTACCTGTGTTGTTTAGAGTTTCCTTACGATGGCACCCGCGTCAGAGCTACAACCGCTACGCAAACTGCCGATGAATGAGAGAACTAGATAGACGGGTGAATCAGAGTGAAGATGAAAGAGCCTGGCCAGAAAAACAACGCAGACGCGGATTGATTTAGGTCGAATCTATTTCGCTTTCACTCAAAATTGCTAAGTGCTTCGACTCGAGGAATTACAAAATGATGGAGAATACCAAGTGGTTGGAAAGAAAGATACGTACTTGGACAAATCGCACTCACCATGCCGAGCTGGGATGGCGGATGCAGTTATTTCCTCCCGGTGGCTGCTGCGCGGAGAACAACTGAGTGCTGGGGGAGAGAATTCACCAGCTGTTGCTTGCAGATGGCCTCCAGGCGCTGTAGCTTGTCTGGCATGGCGTCGTAGCTCCCGTGGAAAATGTTGAGCCTGGCATGAATGCTCTCACTGCCATGTTCTGCCAGTAAGCCAGTCCAACACGTAGCCATTTGATAGCTGACACAGTGTGGGATTCCAAGAGATGCAGCTTAGGTGTTATCTTGCCGAGATCACTTCCCACAATCTCTTTCTGGCAGCATCGCATGAATTCTTCAACAGCAACCTAAAGTTGCTCCATCTGCTCATCAGACATAGCTTCACAATGGTTGAAGAGCGCCCGACATTTACTGTAGCCAACGGACAGCTCCCTGTAACGCTGCTGTACTGCTTCAGCCTTTTCCACCAGATTAGTCGAATTGCACCGTGCTGCAATGTGTGTGGTCGGAGCGGAAACAAGAGATGTCAGTACAGCTGGCTTCAGGGCGCTGTTGATGTGCTTACCCACAAACGAGCCGCTGTGATAGGCCTGCCTGGGGATGTCTTGCAGTACCTTCTCAATAGCAGGTGCACAGGGACTGACCAACGACTTCTCAGCTTTCTTCTTAGCTATATCTACTTTTTACACTCATGGCGTGTAGGTAGTTGCTGGCGTTTGGCTTCCGTCTGTTGCCAGGTCTGCTGTACATACGTTGCAACTGCCTGTACATGATCGCCACCGGTCTGTACATAAAGCATGACGAACTGCAGCTGTTGATGCAGGACCCCCCCCCCCCCCCATGAAGTGTTGGGATTATGACATCTTCCAAAGCAACCGGAAGAATGACAGGCCGAAGTGCGTTGCTGAATTTTGTGACTTGGGAGTGCACAGACCCTGCAGCAACAAACCTTTTATGGTCCGAGGCAAGTGTGCTCAGTGTCCTTGGCTCTGCATCAGCATCAGGGTGGCTTGTTGGCTCTGTGTCCATGCTCTTCTTAGGGCAGAGACAGTGTATACACGGGCGAACATCACTTGAACCAGACAGCCTGTAACACTTGGTTTGAAAGCCGTAGTCGCCAAAGAAAAATGCCCGGAGTCGTCGGCCGGTCCATTGCGTCTGCTGCAGCTGCACTATCTGCTCTCTGTATCTTCCCAGTGCTGTCTCAGTGTTTGCAGGCGTGTCGACGGCTTCGAATACACTACCGGGAATGGTGTTGTGCACAGAATTTGGGTGTTCAAGATTGGCCACCTGCATGACAAACTTGAACGAGTTGCCACCATGGCTGCCCAGTTTAATCCGAACCCCTGTTGCTGGAATTTTACCAATGCGCCAGGTCAGCTGCTTAGCGGCATTGTACAGTTCAAGATAATGCATAACAACTCCAACAAGATCTGGAAAGTACACCACCTTGGCCATGACGATATCACCCCTGGACCCCTCTGTGGCCATGGGTACTTCATAGCATGCCATGGGTACTTCATAGCATGCCATGGGTACTTCATAGCATGCCATGGGTACTTCATAGCATGCCATGGGTACTTCATAGCATGCCATGGGTACTTCATAGCATGCCATGGGTACTTCATAGCATGCCATGGGTACTTCATAGCATGCCATGGGTACTTCATAGCATGCCATGGGTACTTCATAGCATGCCATGGGTACTTCATAGCATGCCATGGGTACTTCATAGCATGCCATGGGTACTTCATAGCATGCCATGGGTACTTCATAGCATGCCATGGGTACTTCATAGCATGCCATGGGTACTTCATAGCATGCCATGGGTACTTCATAGCATGCCATGGGTACTTCATAGCATGCCATGGGTACTTCATAGCATGCCATGGGTACTTCATAGCATGCCATGGGTACTTCATAGCATGTGTGTTTTGGCACGTTGTCTGCAATAAATGCACTTGCTGTCCGCTCAGACTCCAGGTGTAAGCCGCTTGCCCTCAACCACTGATTTAACTTTCTTACTTGGCTCCAGGGCACATTCATATCGGCCTTAATTGCCAGCAACAAAACGGATCACCACAGCCACCACCACACTGCATGGAACCTGAGGTGCATCTTGCAATAACACGTTCACATAATGAGCAAATGTGTTTTGGGTGCGTGTCGGACTTGTCCTCAGATGTGTCAATGTTGAATACACTTTTCAACTGGTCAGAATAAGTTTCAACACTGTACCGCGTTGTATGGCTGCACTTGTCAAATCGCCTGCCTCCAACTCGGCATACTGACTCAAGAATGGTGGCGTGAGTGTCCATGTTGGCTCTGGTACAAGTAAAACGCACACATTTCAAAGCCGCCGAACAATTGTTTCCTTGTCCCGCACAGGATCGAATTTGTTTTTCCTTAGTTGTTTGGGACCCAGACTCTCGCGATATTTCATTACTTACCTCCCAAAAAATCAACAACGCTTTGCTTGGGGCCCAGTTTGCTTCACGAAGAAAGGACAGATCCTACCTCGCAATGTCAAGAAGGGAACACATGCCATTCCGTGAATGCTTGACGGAGGAAGGAAAGTGACGTGTCGACGGAAAGCTGTGCGCGTAGGGATGTCAGAAATCGCTACTACACTGTATAGTCGAAACCGGTGCGAAGTAACACTGTGGGTTTCTCGAAACGAAGGGGAACCTTGAGGTGATCCATGCTGCAGCATGAAAAAATTGAAAATCCTGTTCAAATATTCCAAAAACGGCAAAATCATGACACCATATTTGTTTGCACCCTAACCTGTACAGCGCAACAGCCGTGCCAGGGAATGTAATAACGCAACACATGAATAATCATGAGAAAGATATGAGAAATGAGAGACATTCACACTCTGTGTTTCTGTGCTGCTGCAGTGTACGCCATGTCGGGAAGGAGTTGGATGGCTTAACAAGATGATGAAGCGCTTTAGTACGTGGAACAGCTAAGTATACTGGCCCCATACATATCGTGTAGTAGTAGTAGTAGTAGTACTCTTTTTGCTGTTGATGTGCTTGGTACACGCACACTCATGGTCGCTTACACACATGCCTGTGCACACACCACACACTTGTACTTGTACCTGTTGCTCACAGCCAAAACTGGTCACTTGGGTCTCCCCGGGAGAGGGGAGAGAGGCTCAAAAGGAATCTTGGAAAGATGACTATTGAACCGCCCAACGGCCGACACCCCCTGAAATCCCCAAAACTCTGCGTGGACTTGAAAATGATCCCACTTATGGGCTCACCACACCTCAGTAAGTGGGTGAGGACAAGGTGCAGAAAAAGGATTGACGGCATCAGGGTATCCGTCCCGGGATCCAACTGCATTTACCCCTGCCCCCAGCACCACACACACACGCACACACGCGCGCTCGCGCGCGCACGCACGCACACACACGCACAACACCATGACTGACTCTCCTCAGTCTAAACCTTTAGTTGAGGAGGCTTTAGTTTAAAAGCGTCACAGCTTGTACCTTCTTGCTGTCCTCGATTATGACTTTGATGTGCTATCCCTAGTACAGCGTGACCTGTTGTCCGCATGTGTGCATATGTTTGTCTATGTAACGTTACATGACGTTATATCTGCTGGTCTGTATATGTGTCTGTCTGGATGTGTGTCTGTCTGCTTGGATGTATGGATGCACATGGCTATCAGTGTGCTACTGCACAAGGATATGATTGTTTTGTTGTGCTGTTGTTTCATTGTGTTTTGTTGGTCTGTAGCAAGCGGCAATGCTCGTCCTGATGAGATAGACATGATGTGGGTTAGTTTCTAGTTGTCTCCTGCATTTGAACTGGACTGGATGGATCATTGCATTGTAAACAGGACAGGGAGTTTTGGTCATGGGTACAATGCATGTACTGGTACTTGCAGTATATCACTGTCCTGTACACGATCACGATGTTCAGAGTACTGTAGTGGGTGTTGGGTTGTTTATAGAACCATCCTGCCATGTAACTCAGCACCATTTACTTTTGTGCGTGGGTGTATGGGTGGGTGTTTACGTGCCTTTGTGCATTGTTTTGTTGACTACTTCCTTGCTGTATGTGTGTAGGAACTGAGCAAGCAGATTGAAGGTCACACCATCTGTGCATTGGGCGATGCAGCTGCATGGCCTGTCCAGGTGAGAGTTACTTGCTGTGTGCATGGGCGTAGAAACCGGTCCGGCAGGCCCGGCGGTTGCCGGACCAATAATTTTCGAATTTTTTTTTACATTTCAACCTTGTTGATGGCTTGTCGACTCTTGTACAGGTACCATGTTTTACATCGACAATGCGGTGTATCATCAGCATGCATATTCTTATTTCTCATATTATTCTGTAGCATTAAAATATGGCCTTTTAGGCCTAATTTTCCAAAAAATCCCGGGGCAGGACCCCCGGACCCCCCTCTCACAATTTCGCCGCACCAATATCAAACTGCTTCCTACGCCCCTGGTGTGTATGTACACTGCTGCTCAATGAAATCCAGTCGTGTCACTGAAGTACGTGCCAGGCGTTGCGTAGACATAGACCTGCATACACTGGGCTGTGAAATGGTGCAATGCGCAAACTTGAGTGATGCGACGGGATTTCATTTAGAAGGACTTCAGAGGGTTTGGAAACGTGCCTCTAATCACGCGTACAGCAGACAATGTTCTTTTAACTAATTAACTCCCAGTATCGAGTCAGCGAGAATCGGTATGTTGCACACAGGAAATGGCAAGGAGACAGTCCAACGAGGGAAGAATTCTACGTGCAGAGACAAACCACAAACTACTGCTAGAAGTCCAGAAGTGGAAAAGCAAGAAGAAGAAAGCCTGAGCCGACTTTCAATGCAAGAGCTAGATCCTCGTAAAGGTTACTTGGTGGAACAACAACAAAACACATGTATACAAATATGGTAGGGTACGTAAGCATGTAGCAGAGTTCGCAGGAAGTGGTACATCTGCGCAACGTTCCGAGGGTTATGCGTAGCATGGTACTCTACGTAGCCGACAATGACACCATGATAAAGGCTACATCCTGTAAATAAAATGTTGCCGCTCAGAAGCTTGAGAAATGCACAAAATTACAAAATCGCGGAACGAAAGATAAATCGCAAGAAATCAGTTCAGGCACTACAGATACTCCCCCGCCAGTGTACAAGCAAGAGCGATACACGATAAGAAAGGGAAAAGACACGGAAAAGGAAAAGCCGAGAAAACATTAAACAGAAAAATTAACGTGCCGAACAAATGGTTTAGCAGCAGCAGAAAGGGGAGAGCTAGGAGCATACGGCTGGAGAATGCTAGGGGCTGTCATGTGTCGTGTACCTGTTGTTGGAGGGGCTGTCATGTGTCGTGTACCTGTTGTTGGAGGACGGCGCCAATGGCAACATCCGATGCGTCAACGGCAAGGCTGAGGGGAGCATCAGCAACAGGATGAATGAGTAGCGTCGCCTGTGCTACAGCGTCCTTAGTGGCCTGAAAGGCGTAAATTGCCTCAGGAGAGAAGCTGAGTGCAGCGTTGGCGGGCTTGGCCGAGCGAAGTAGCAAGCAGAGAGGTTGAGTCAGCGCTGCACAGTGTGGGACAAATCGTCTGTAGAAGTTGACAAAGCCGAGGAACCTCCGGAGTTGACGAACAGAGGTAGGCTGCTCAAAGGCTTGAATAGCAGCAACACGATCGGGCAGCGGAGCGATGCCAGCTGGAGAGACATGATGCCCTAGGAAGTTGAGACTCGACTTGGCAAACTCACACTTGTGCGGTTGAATGAACAGCCCGTGCTCTGAGAGACGCTGAAATAACTTACGGAGATGTACACGATGTTCGTCGAGAGAATGACTGGCGATTAGGAGATTGTCACTGTAGCCGTAAATGAACGGCAAACCGCGGAGGACTTGGTCAAGGAAGCGCTGAAAACTCTGTGCAGCATCACGCAGGCCGAATGGCAGCTGAAGGTACTCGAACAGGCCGAATGGCGTTGTGATGGCAGTTTTCGGGATGTCGTTAGGATGGACGGGCACTTGATGGTATGCCTTGACCAGGTCGAGCTTGGTGAAGACCGTGCAGTCAGCAAGGTTAGCGGCGAAATCGTGAAGGTGAGGAATCGGGTAGCGATCAGGCTCAGTGACGGCGTTCATGGCGCGATAATCGCCACAGGGGTGCCAGTCTCCGGACTTCTTCTGAACCATGTGCGGAGGAGAAGCCCAAGGACTAGATGAAGGCTGGATGATACCTTGTTGGAGCAAGACGTCAAACTCAGCGCGAGTAGCTGTGAGCTTGTCTGGTGACAGACGACGGGGGCGAGCAAACTGAGGTGGGCCGTGGGTGGTAATCACATGCTGAATGCTGTGCTTTACAGGGCCCAGAGCTACATTGGCCTGTGGCAGCAACTCAGGAAAGTCACGTAGAATAGCAGTGCCCAGAGAGTCAGTAGCAGGCGGTCAACGGCGGCAGTGAGCGCAGCAACTTGTGCGCGCAACTCGCTCATGTCGTCACTAGCCGCGGCAGCAGGCACTGGGGCGGAAGCCGGCATATTGGCAACTGTGGCTGGCCTGACCGAGGGAGGAGACACCTCCATAATGCGGTCCGACATCTCCACAACTTGAGCCAGCGGTAGTGTGGCGGTCGAGGAGGCCAACACCATCTGGATGCCGGATGGCAAACGTTGAATGAAGAGCTCCCGAAGTAAGCTTGTATCCATTGGTGCGTTGCTCAACAATTGCTGCATGCGGCGCAGCAGCTGGCTGGGTGTCCGGTCGCCCAGCTCCTCCTGCATCAGTAGCTGGCGTAAACGCTGCTGCTGGGAGGTCTCCGTGCGACGGATCAGAGTCGCCTTCAACGCGTCGTAGCACTGTTGAGCCGGTGGAGACAGGATGAGGTCGCGGACCTCGACAGCGACCTCGGGCTCTAGGTCGCCAACGACATAATCGAAACGGGTGGTTTGCCGTGTAACAGGCCGAATGGCGTTGTGATGGCAGTTTTCGGGATGTCGTTAGGATGGACGGGCACTTGATGGTATGCCTTGACCAGGTCGAGCTTGGTGAAGACCGTGCAGTCAGCAAGGTTAGCGGCGAAATCGTGAAGGTGAGGAATCGGGTAGCGATCAGGCTCAGTGACGGCGTTCATGGCGCGATAATCGCCACAGGGGTGCCAGTCTCCGGACTTCTTCTGAACCATGTGCGGAGGAGAAGCCCAAGGACTAGATGAAGGCTGGATGATACCTTGTTGGAGCAAGACGTCAAACTCAGCGCGAGTAGCTGTGAGCTTGTCTGGTGACAGACGACGGGGGCGAGCAAACTGAGGTGGGCCGTGGGTGGTAATCACATGCTGAATGCTGTGCTTTACAGGGCCCAGAGCTACATTGGCCTGTGGCAGCAACTCAGGAAAGTCACGTAGAATAGCAGTGCCCAGAGAGTCAGTAGCAGGCGGTCAACGGCGGCAGTGAGCGCAGCAACTTGTGCGCGCAACTCGCTCATGTCGTCACTAGCCGCGGCAGCAGGCACTGGGGCGGAAGCCGGCATATTGGCAACTGTGGCTGGCCTGACCGAGGGAGGAGACACCTCCATAATGCGGTCCGACATCTCCACAACTTGAGCCAGCGGTAGTGTGGCGGTCGAGGAGGCCAACACCATCTGGATGCCGGATGGCAAACGTTGAATGAAGAGCTCCCGAAGTAAGCTTGTATCCATTGGTGCGTTGCTCAACAATTGCTGCATGCGGCGCAGCAGCTGGCTGGGTGTCCGGTCGCCCAGCTCCTCCTGCATCAGTAGCTGGCGTAAACGCTGCTGCTGGGAGGTCTCCGTGCGACGGATCAGAGTCGCCTTCAACGCGTCGTAGCACTGTTGAGCCGGTGGAGACAGGATGAGGTCGCGGACCTCGACAGCGACCTCGGGCTCTAGGTCGCCAACGACATAATCGAAACGGGTGGTTTGCCGTGTAATGGCTCGTGTGGTGAAAACTGCCTCCACCTGTGCGAACCACAGGGCAGGGTCCTTGGACCAGAAAGGCGGCAGCTTGAGGCTCACAGCACTCGTTGGAGCCAGTAGAGCGCTGGCCGTAGATGGTCACGATGCAGCACGATGACTGGCAAGTAATGCGGCACTCGACGGAGCGGGGTCTGCAGGACCACAGATGGGGCGGCACTAGTGGCAGCAGACTGAGTGTTGCCGGTGGTGGGCGCTGGCTGGAATAACGGCGATGAACTAACGTCCAGCGGTATAGACATTGTGAAACAGACTCGACGAAGGCTCGGGAGACTGAAGAACGTTCAGGGTCACCAATTTAGAGGGTTTGGAAACGCGCCTCTAATCACGCGTACAGCAGACAATGTTCTTTTAACTAATTAACTCCCAGTATCGAGTCAGCGAGAATCGGTATATTGCACACAGGAAATGGCAAGGAGACAGTCCAACGAGGGAAGAATTCTACGTGCAGAGACAAACCACAAACTGCTGCTAGAAGTCCAGAAGTGGAAAAGCAAGAAGAAGAAAGCCTGAGCCGACTTTCAATGCAAGAGCTAGATCCTCGTAAAGGTTACTTGGTGGAACAACAACAATACACATGTATACAAATATGGTAGGGTACATAAGCATGTAGCAGAGTTCGCAGGAAGTGGTACATCTGCGCAACTTTCCGAGGGTTATGCGTAGCATGGTCCTCTACGTAGCCGACAATGACACCATGATAAAGGCTACATCCTGTAAATAAAATGTTGCCGCTCAGAAGCTTGAGAAATGCACAAAATTACAAAATCGTGGAACGAAAGATAAATCGCAAGAAATCCGTGCAGGCACTACAGGACTGTAGTTTGTGTTCAGGCGGTAGCGGGTTGCTGGTAGCGTACACACTGTGCTCTGTTTTGCCTCGCAGCACCGAATATGGGCCTTTCAGAGAGCTGGTGATCAGAACTATTCAAAACTAGTACAGTAAAATCCCGTTTAAAATTCAAAGCCCAAGATCTAGAACAAGACTCCTGATTATCCGAATGTTCTAATTATCCAACAGCAGAATACACGCACATGTACTTATGATTATAGGGCTTTCCTGAAAAGCAGGAACTTTAGCAGAACATGTGCATCTGTGTGATTTTGCACCGTGTGTATCTTTGTCTTTTGTGTTCCTCTCAGGCAGAGACTATCTTGTATGTTCTGATTGCAATTGCCGAGGCAAAGTTGTGGGGACTATCTTGTATGTTTAGATTGACATTGGCTAGCCACTGCTGTGGCTTGTAGTGTGGTTTGTAGTGATCTGTAGACTGATTGTTGTGATTGGTGTGTGTTGTGTCCACATGCTCAGGGTCTCATTCGCCATTGCCGTCCACAACTGGAGGCTCGTTTCAAGGCCTTCGCAGAGTCTGGTGGTGAAGGTGACTTACAGGCACAGAGAGTTGCTTCGACGTAGTAGTTCACTCTGGTATAGCTTGCATACACATGTCACTGGAAATCATTCACTTTGAACACTGGGTGTGCATGCTCGGGTTGGCCTTTAAACACGCCTTGAGAGTAGATGCACCACGTGTGTACGTCTACCGGTACTGCTACTTGCAGGCTTCACGTGCACACCTGTAATTTATTCTATGACTGACATCCTTTGTTGTGCATGCTGGTTACACTACTCATATCCTTTTACTGGCTTCCTGCCCCCCCCCCCCCCCCCCCCCTCATCTTCTCATTTTCCATATTGATTTCTTATTCATAGGCAACTTTTATGTGTAACTCAGCAGGATTTCTGCTCGGGTCTTCTTAGTTTTGTTCCGTGTGTTTGATTGCACACGTTGATCGTGAAGTTTTAGTTTGCATTCGATTCATCTTTCCCATAGCCTTGTCTACATACAGTGCACTCTTGTTTTGCCTCATCGCTGTACAGTGCCCACTGCATGTGGGTTTTTTTGTGTGTGTTGAAATGCTACTTTTTATTCATGTGTCATTCATGTTTTATCCTCTTTAGCCCTTACTGCATTTGCAATTTCTTACTCATAATAGGTTTAGTGTGCTGCAAGTGCTTCCTATTTTTATTTCAATTCTTTTATCTTCAACACTGCCCGCAATCATGTGCTGAGAACCTGAAGCACAGCGCTGTTGCTACTGCCTTTTATAATCCAGCATTGCACAATGGCCGATGCTGCTGCTGCTGGTGTTTCTACACTGTTTTAGTTGATCAAAGTACTACTATGAATACAATGTCGTGTAGCTCATGCATGTGCACATCAGATAGATGAAGAGTTCTGCTCGTCATGTACTGAGTCTGTAGTATACTCGTTATGTACTCCTGCCATTGGTTGTGACCGTGCTCCTAATGGCGTGACTCATATGCCATGTGACTTTCCCAACTGATTGCTCCACCATGCACTGACAGTCTGTGTGGAGTTCAACAGAAAGCTGGGTTTAATTACGTATATTAACCTCCAATGTCTTGATCTGTTTCATTCAGATCTTGTCTGCAAGTACTGGTACATGTATCGTTAGGATAAGAGAAAATCGGTAGGTGCCCGTCCAGTGCATTTGCAGATTTGCGTGCTTCTCTTGTGGCGGGTGTATACTAGTACATGGTACCTCCAATGCATGCACACTGGAGCCAAGAGGGCGCACAGGTCACATTGCGGGGTCCCGTGTTCTGGACATAGGGTCCAAAGAGTTCCAGGCGTCTCGGTATGCCATGCATCTTGTCCTGCAATGGTTCGTTAGCAGTGGGAAGGGGATTTGTTAGCAGTGGGAAGGGGATTGGAACAAATCAAACTGAATTACTTACTGTTACTAGCAATGGCTAGTTAATTATATACTAGTATAATTATACTTGAGGCAGTGGACAACACGAGTATGTAGATAGATACCTGCAGGAATGATGTGTGAGCAGCTATTGCACCACCAGTCACATGCAGCACATAAAAATTTTAATGTTGTCCGTGACCTCTACGGGTCGGTCCTCTTTTGGAACATGTGCTCTGTGTGCGCTGGATCCGCGCGGGCGGCGTGCGGACTGCGCAGGTTACGCCGACGACACATACACAACTTTGTAGCAAAAGCCACACGCTCAAGCATGATACCGAATGCTTCGAAAGAGTTTCTGTCACTCATAATAGTACGGCTGCACATTGAAATAAAACAGCTATAGGTTACCTAAAAACTCTCTAAATTGAACATAAACTGCATAGTGTCAGCACCCACAACTGAAAATCAAGGGATTTGCTTCAAGTCAGCTTGTCTTGGAACATGCATTCTGCTAGTACTACCTGGTAGTACAGAGTAGCAGTGAAGCATTTCTCAACAGCTAGGCCAGGGAAACTACTACAAAGGGTCAACACATCCAATTACTACCGCCATGGTTAGTATCCACAGATCTCGATGCAAGAGTTCTGTACTGTACCTTTACCATAGGCTATATCTACCAATTTAGTAGTATAGTACTATCAAGATCAAGTCGGCAAGAAGCACCATGCCCATAGCCACTTCAAGAAATCAAAATATGAATAGCGCTAATCCGTCACTTATTTTACACCAGCACCTAGGCTATGGCGTAGCTGGAAAGCAGCTTTCATATCTTGCTCCGTGTCCGCATGCTAGGCTAAAGGCTGGTTTCCGAAGAGGTCGATGCGCAACTCAGTGCGTCCTCCGTTACATCATACGGACTCTCTCCTGACATTGCTGGGCTGTTATCTGAAGTATTGGCTTCGGCGCTGTGATCACCCGGTGGAGAGCTGGTATCTGTGTTTTCAACTGTACTGTGTGATGGCTCACCCGCATCAGAAACACTGGCTGCATTACCAGCTACGTTGTTGGGTGCTTGACCAATGGCCCGATCAACCAGATCATTTGTTACGCCTTGGGGTGCTTGGACAGGCCGATCAGCGTCAGTAACATGCCCATTGGGCAAAGGAGCAGCAGCAGCAGCAGTACCAGCAGGTGATGGCGGAGCGTTGCAGTCTTTGTGGAATTCTTCCAGACATGCGTGCAGCGTCTTGGTAGCGTTCAGGGCCGTCCTGCGGCCATTGGCACGTGAATTCCAGCACGACTTCATCAGATTGTCATACCGAGCCACTGCCTGGAGAGCGGGAAAGTCAACAACAAGATATTTTAACAATGAGAAGCTTTACCTATAATGCATCACCAAGAGTACATAACCACCAGCAACACCAAGCTGACGGCAGGACACACACACACACACACGCACGCAGATGTCTCACCTTGTTCTCTTTCCATTCACTGCACACAGGCGGTCGTACGTGCATCGTGCCGACCACATGAGCCCAGTCGCCTACAGATGCAAACGGTGCAACAATGCCTTCGAACGGCATGCGATGCGCCAGGCGGTTGGGCAGCATCGGGCAGCACCATATGATTTCCCACAGCAGAAGAGCAAACGCGTACATATCTAGTTGTCTGTAGGATTCAAACAGGCCAGTGTTGATGGTGTCAAGCAACAGCTCTGGGGCCATGTACCGGTGGGCTGCTGCCTGCGTAGTGCAACAAATAGAGTAACAGCGGCAGCGGCATGACAAGTAATCCTGTTAAAACAGATCCATGCTTTACTTCTACGGTTAGTTGTTTATGAACATATTCTCCTTGCTTACTATGCTTGCTTACTATGCTTGCTTACTATGCAACAACAACTACAAGGTACTGCCACAGAATGGATGCAGGGTGACTGAATCAGTGTGAGTGAGATTGGCTGTCTTGTGGGATCGACTCAAGGAGCATTACATTTCTAGCACAACAGCTGGTAGAAAATGAATGTTCCACTTCACACTGGATCATGACAAGGGAGAAGAGAGCACCCAGCAGCGGCACATGGGTTTTACCAAGAGTAGATAAACAAGAGTGCGCAACTCTGGGATGGGTTGGCCTGCGGCGGAATTTTTTGTTGACGGAATCTTTTCGACGTTGCACGCGCTGCGAGTCTTTTGGAAAGTTTTGCCTCGTGCACCTGGCCGCGCTTTACATTATAAACTCGGTGCCCAGCACGTGCTCTCACACTGCTCTGCGGCAAAATGCGCGTTTTTTTCTGAAAAAAGGTGACGTCAACAAAAAAAATTCCGCCACGGGCAGGGGTATCTGCAGATTGTGCAGAAGAGATATGGAGTTGCACACTCTTGTTTACCTACTCTTGGTTTTACCTTTGACAGGACTGGCGCTGTGTTCAGGATGGTCTTGGAGTCGGTTGCCAGCTGTGTTGCCATGGTGAGGTCAGACAGACAGCAGGTCATGTCACTCTTGATGAGAATGACATCGCTGCTGAGCGCACAGTGAGCAATGCTCGGCTTGTTGCCCATGCCCATCATCTCACTGCCGGCCGCTGCTGCCGCCGCCGCACTCGACTTGGCACGCGCAGCTCCGGCAATGGAGCTGTGCAGGTAAGCAAGACCGCTGGCTATGGAGCGCGCCAGCTGACACGCCAGGATGAAGTCGTACGACGGGTGTGCCGCTCTGAGGAAGCGCAGCAGCGTCCCGTTGTCATGGTGAGCTGTCACCAGCCACTGCTGTGTTTCCAGTTGACAATCCTGTGTGTCGGCAGCAATGAACTCCAGCAGATGATTGTGATTGAGGCCAAACGACAAATACAGACCCTTCTCCCACTTGAAAGCTTCCTCATCCTTCAGCTTAAACGTCTTTATCGACACGAACCGACTTCGCCACCTTGCACGGAGTATGTCACCATAGCGACCGGTAGATACTTTAGTGCGTGATTCAAACTCACGTGATAGAGTTCGGGCATCGAGTACTAGTGGACCACGACCACTTGAGCTGCCACCGTCCCCTATGCCCGCACAACCGTCCTCAGCCCATGGACCTTCCTCCAGCGGGCCGTGTACAACACGGCCTGCTCTCAGCTCTTCCCAGTGTTTCTGCCGCCTTCGAATGCACACCATTAACAGCAGGCAGATGATGAGGATACAGAACGCAACGGCAGATATGGAAGCAACGGTAGCTGTGGAGAGTGCACTGCTTGCCGTGGTGGTTTCGGGATCTGCTGTTGTTACAAGCAAAGCCGGTTCTGACAGTGGTAACAAAGAAACACATGGCACATATGTTCAGAACTCTCTAAATGTTCTAGTTTTTCATGGTTTCAACCGATAAACTACAGTTTTTCTTTGGGGAGAGGGTTGCGATGTTATGCAAAGCATTGCACATCACGTTCTATAATACTAGTATTCAGAGTTGTCAATCATTCTTCGGTTATGGTAGTCTGATGATTGTGCATTGGCATGAAACTCGGAGCAGCAGCAAATAACTCATTCCATTTCGTCCACAGTCAGTGGGACTAGCTATGCACGTCGTGCATTGAGCACTAGTATCGTGCGTGTGTGCCCATATGCGTGCATGTACGTGCATGTGTGTGCGTGGATGTGTGTACGTTCATGTGCACTGTGTGTGCATGTGCGTGTATGCGGGATCGTGTGCGTACATGTGGTGTCATGTGTGTGCGTGCCTGTGTGTGCATGCACTGGTATGCTCACGTGTGTACAACATTTGACGACCTTTCCTCGGCAAACATGTACCTATGTAACTTGAGCAATGCCATATCCGACAATCCTTACCTGTTGGAACAGGTCCCGAGAAGTCCACATTGCAGAACGCCACGCGGCGGCAACAACGGGTCAGCTGCCCAGGAGAGATCTCGACACAGCGTGTTGCATGCAAAATGCTTTCCTTCAAGCAGGCGTACCGTGGTGGCTCATAGAGAAAACTCACTAGACATTGCTCTCTGGGTTCGCTGTCATCAATGTAGCACGTGTTGTTGATACAGCCCGCTCCTACCGTGCAGTGACAGGGGGTTAGCGAGCTCTCATCAGCATACACACCTCTTCTACTGGCGCTAGCGATCACTACGTACACCAACACCATCGCAAAGCAGTAGCGTAAAGCTGCAAGCCTGGCCGACATACTCGCTACTACTACTTGCAACGACCCGCTTGAAATCTCTCCCCAATCAAAATGCTAGCTCTACGAGCAGCATATTTTCAGAGGCTGACTGGCTCAATCGCGTCGCTGGCTTCAACGATTGTTCACTAGTTTATCACTTGGAGAAAGACTGCCACGGTGCTCAATACTCATTGCACAGCCTAGCGATGAAGATTACCTTCGCGAGCTCCTAGGATCTTGGTCAGTGTATTGGTTCTGACAACCAGCAATGCTGTTCCCGCCGACCTCCGTGGAGTAACTCATCTCGTATTCGCGAGTTGCAAGCAGTAAAGTCGTTCGCGTGGCAGCTTTAGGCACCAACAGAAACCTGTAGGCTAGCTACTGCCGTGCAAATCAGCCACACAATCAAGAACAAAATAGCTCGACCAGCCTAGCCGAGTAGGCTGATGACTACGATAAGATCATACAAATTACAATCACATTATGGCGGGTAGAGTTCAACATAATGTGCATTGTGAATTTATGTAGACAACAATTAGCCAAAGGCAATTTCGTGATTCAACCAGAATTCCGCTGTCAAGGAGACGTTTGAGGTAAAGAAGTACATACACTGTCGACTCATACTCATAGTCGACTAGTCATAGACTCATACTCATACCGGTAGTCATTGTACAATCATGTGCATAAATGTACATAAACTGCACCACCTGGCCTATGCCTAGTCAGCTGACTGGCATGATCTGATACTTTTTTGAGTGCGACTGAGCTTCCTGACTGACATGTGCATCTAAGTACACGATACTCGCGAACAAAGCTGAGGTCAGGAACAGAAAAATGAAAAAGAGAACGCATGATGAAGTCCCCGACTACTACTACTACTGCTAGTACTAGTAGTACTACTAGTAGTACGAGACTCCTCTTCCTTTTACTATGCAGCTACATGTATGCTACATTATGTAAATGAAATTGTAAAAATAGAATGGAAGGTAGAGAGAGAGAGAGAGAGAGAGAGAGGGGGGTTTCTTCTTCTTTTACAGAGCACATAACAGTGTATTTCAACTTTTCTCCCTAAACTCCAACGCAGCCACTTACACAATCATGTGCATGGACATGTCTGATGATATTGTATAACTCAAGTATTTCAACTATCCCTGCAGATGGTCAACTTGGAGTCTGCTCCGTCTCTTCTCATTCCACAGTTCGTGGGTGGCTAGTTGGTGGTGGTGGGTGGGGGGAGAGGGGAGGGGGCGGGGGAGTTTGGGGAGGGAGAGTTGGGTCACTTCGCAGATGTCAGCATGGAGATCAGAGGGCGGACGGTGGAGACTGCCTGTCAATCACAATTACACAGGTTCTTGGATTGGCGGTGGGTCGTCATAGCAAGGCTGGCCTACAACCTGCCGTTGCACCTTACTGGGAAGAGTCTCTACCGCAAAAAATTCTTGGCGATCACCTTGATTCTCTTCTCTGGGTCCCCAGATTACCGTAGTGGTCAAGAAAGTAAGTTTCACTGGAACCGGACGTTCTTCTCCGCATTCGGACCTTAGCACCACGCCCCCCCCCCCCCTTCTACCATGCCCTAGTGTTGATACCTTGCGTGGTTTGTGCCACCAATACGTTCGCATGGCCCACATGGACAGGTCGCACGACAACTGGTCACGTAACACATTGTAGGTAACGTAGCCCTGCCAATCACTTGCCACGGTACTGTGGCGTGTCGACCAATTATCCTGGCTAGCCGCTTGTAGAACCACCTGCCTGCTGAGTTGAAAAAGCAACGAACACCCCCCGAAATTTCAGACGCCTCCTCAAAGCGGATGTACTAGTAGTCACCATTGCCTTTGAGTTATCCGTATCTTCATTAAAAAGTGGTTTCCTTTGCCGTTGGTTGATCTGCCCATAGAGATCGTACTGTTCCCCTACTTGCGATCTAACTGACTCAGTGAGCCTTCTCATTCGCATCCTACGGTTACCTTGGATAACATCTCAACACTGCATGTTTATCATTGTAGTTTAGTCTTCTCCCGTTTTCATTGCATTGAAGGTATGGAATGACACTACTGGGCAAGCCCTGCCCATTTGATATCGCCGGATGTAAGATAGCGACAAGTACACGTGCTCAGGCCTCCAGGGTGCTGCCATGCCCTGGGTACTCACATCAGTATTCTCTTCATCATGGTTAGCACTGTCCACTGACTATCCACACGTTCTTGGTGCTGGCCATAGGCCCAGGAGCTACTACTAGTACTAGCGAACTGTTCACGATCGGTTCAGCCAGTAGCATACAGCATACATGTACAATTATGTACATGTAGGAGAGAGGGTGGGGGCAGAGAGGCAGGGAGGCAGAGCACATAGGGAAGAAAGGGCGTGAGGGAGGAGTGAGGGGAAAACAAGAAAGGGAGAGAGGGAGGGAGAGGGAGAGAGAGGGGGGGGGGGAGGAGGAGGTGGAGGCAGAGAAGGAAGCACCACTCATACACTGTAGGTTACGCACACACAACACGCTAGGGGGATTTTCACTTGCTCGATGACTTGAGGCAAGCCAACACTGCCGGAAGTCTGGGACTTGGAAGCTAGGATGCCCCGTTGACTGTCAAACAGAGGACGGTTGAGGTCATCTTTCCATAGCGCCTCCATAGCTGCTTTCTCTACCTGGTACGTGCTGCGCCTTTCAAGAGACTACTGAGTACTGGGAAGGTGTTGAGGCAAACGTCGCAAATGCGCTGTCAGAAGATATCACCTTTTTCTTCGAAGCGTGCACGCACATGTGGCAAAATGCAACGTCGGTCCCAATGCAGCCAGGAGAACTGGCCAAACCGCTCGGGCTGAGAACGACGAAACACAACAGTTTTCACCCCATCGCTTTGGTCCAGTTTGGGCAGTGATAATCATGGTGATCTCTTGCTTAAAGTAGCTGAAATGATGGTCTTTCGTGCCTCACAATGGTCGGATCTCGCTTCGGGGTGTGCAGGCGTGAGAACAAGCTCCCTTTCACGAGTAGACCATGTACGAGCTCCAGACAGTGTGGATAGACACGGACTGGCTAGTGCACTGGATATGAGCAACTATGCTCCGCCGCCTCCACTGGCTCCAAGTCTGGTCCTCGTCTTGATCTACAATGTAGACTGTTTCCACATCATCACCACATCCCGCATAGATCACGTGTTCCGGATCATAGAAAGGGGGCGGTGCAGGGTTCTTTTGTAGTTTGGTACCCAGGTTCTCCCTAACAGTAACAATAGACCGTGGCCTAGGTCCTGAGTGCTGAACCACAACACGTGAGGGTCATAATCATGCATACCATACATGTATTGACTATTGTAGTTATGTTTAGAAACAGAGCTAGGTAGCTATCCCGCGTGGATCGACTGAATGGCTTTCAAGTAGGCAAGGTAAGTGTTTTCCGCCATACGTGAAGTATTAGTTGCTCAGAGCGTGTGGCTGAGTGGGAAAGGAGAAATACCGATAGATCATGCCACTGTGTATGTGCTGTGTGCATTAATGCGCATTGCCACACTCCACAGTGCACTAGTGCCGGCTCAGGTAGGTATGCAGTACGGAATGCTGCTGTTGCTTGCTGCTTTCTTTTTTAGGGCTTCGTCGATGCCCCTGAAAGGCTGAAGTCAACCAACCGCGCGCTGTGGAGTGCTGTCCCAAACGATCACTCAGCGCTCCCGTTCCCCACTCATATCACTGCCAAATGGCCCAAAGCATTCATATCGGTGGCACTGACAGTGATTCACCATGGACATAGGACAGCCCTCCCACGTCCCAGTCCAGGGTGGTTACTTAGATCTACACCATGCCTGCAAAATGCGGTGTTTGTGCTGGCTTGGCCTGGTCAGAGAGGGGAACAGAACAAGGTCAAATCTGGAAGGACACGTGTGTCCTTCATATTACTATACTCATTTCCGTAAATGAGCAGTAGCATGCTATAGCGCAGTAGCAGTTAGTTATGAGTCTTATGACCATGTATGACACACCACTCACATGTAGACATCAGCATTGTACGTGTACATGTACGTAGAACTGTCTGTAGCAGTGTAGCAGTAGCGCTGAAGCCGTGTAGATCTATCTACGTGTTGGACGAACACCACAAATCACAATCTGACAATCGATCATAGCGGCCGTATCGATTTGCGTGTACAGCAAACCGGTACGACACTGTTTTTGTTCCGAGTGGTGCCAGGTTAGACTGGAGGAAATAATTGTTGTAAAGACTGACTGCACGACTGTGCTAGAAACTGCAGTGCACTGCGAGCTGATTCCTGCCGTTGTGTGTCTCTAGCTCTGGCGCTCGGAGCTGCATATCAAACCAGTTACCTGTGTGCCGTTGGCACAGTGGCGTGCTATGCACGGTTTCCGGCTGCGGATGGTGCGCTAACCCTCCCTGCTTCTAGGATTACAACATAGGAACGCCAGCGTCAGTTCGCGACGCTCGTTACTTTGCCATCAACATGGACTTCCTGTCGCGGTGCGGTAGGATGTGGAGTCCGCGGACTGGCAACTGTCTACTGTTAGGCCTTCTACTGTGTCAAATACCTTTCATCCAGGTGAGTGAAGCAAAGTCGGATGTCTTTTTCTCTGCATGTTGAAGAGAAAGACGGGTGGGCGATGAAAAACAATGAACTACTTGTAACTCAGTGATTATCATGGTATTGTAGTCTTCGGTGTCCTGCGTTCCACTGAGTCTTGGCTACGAGTTCCGACTCTCGACTCTCGTGCTTGAAATCAAACTGAGTCAATCCGTCACACGGCGGAGCACATGGGTTAGCCGACGGGGACATCAGTGCCATCAGTGTGGATTGTGCCTAATGCGGAGGCGAGCATGCTGTTTACTGTCGAATCTGTTGTCGATCATGTGCCGGCCATTACTGAGCGTTTAGTTGTGCTTCATTGGGCGATAGCTCAGCAATGGACAAAGATCAGTGTACAGTCATGTTGTAAAGGCATGGTAAGCATGGTAAGCATGGTAAGAGGCTTTAGCAAGTAACAGTTAGTTAGTTTAGGTTGTACAAGGACTCGCTAACAAGTAACACATGGACAATGCAGAAGTCAGGTGATTCTGCACTGGGTATGCCTGTGTTAGCACGGGATCGAGTCGTGTTGTGAACCTTCTCTGCATCTGCAAGCGTGATGTTGTGATTTGTAAAAGCGTAATCTGCAACACTACTTGTAAAATGGCCTGGGGCCGTTGGGGGGCTCAGCTCATGCCGGGTTTGCCTCCAATCCATGCCATGTCAGACCATGTGATAGCCAGTGTGTACGGAAGTTGTTGGGGTTGTTGTAGTGACACTACACTCAGAAGTGATCCATACTAGTAATCAGTCCAGAATGTGAACAAAGTCATGATCCTCCCAATGATGATCTGAAAATTTCGTGCATTGAATTTGATGGTATAGCCTATAGGTAGGTGTGGGGCCGAACTAATTACTTAATTTCGTGCAGAAACTGCCAGTGACGCTGGTTGTGCTTCTCAACACAATTCTATAGCAGGTGGCAACACAAACATGCGAACTTTTACTTACATGCCAGTGTAGCTATCTCTGGTCTACTCAGGCCCTACAGACTGTACACTACAGAGTACAGGGCCCACTGGCATTGCAGGATGGCCAAGTGTAGCCCTGGTCCACCTGATCAGGGGGGGGGGGGGGGGGGGGATGTTTCAGTTCAGTCCAGACATGTACTCGTTGTACACTGTGTGATACTGACAAAATAATGTGGATTCCTCAGTATGTCCCCTGCCCACCGTGATGACACATCGCATTGTTCCCGATGAGTATGAGCATCAGCATCATGTCTAGGGCCAGTAGGGGCAGTAGGCCATAATATAGGGGGCATTGCACATGATGCAGTATCAATGTAATCATTCCAGGGACCTCTGAATAATAAAATTTATTGTTCAGAGTTCCCTAATCATGACTGAGACTGGTTGGTGACCGGTGCTCTGCAATCCATGCTCCAGCCCCAAATACATCCCACTCTGAACACCATGGTATTAATCTAGGCTCAGGCCTTCAAGTTCTCAGTAGAGGTTCACAGACTTCATTACAAGTGTCGTCGTGCCCAAAGGACAACACAAGATTTATGTTCTCTGGACAATGGCAAGATTTATGTTCTCTGGACAATGGCAAGATTTATGTTACACTACTACTGTAGACAGTTACTAGTAGTTCTGTGTGTGTGTGCAACCGTGGAAAACGTCCTACTGCAGCCGATAGGGAATCACTGCCGCTGATCTGCATGCATTGCCCGAAGCGTTTCCGGCGACAGCAAGATTTGACGAGGCACCAGAAGTCCTGCCAATGACGGTGCCCTCCAAACTCTGGCCCCCTCCGGGGGTGACATTGCCCAATGGGCAGTGATGCTATAGTAGTAGTAGTAGTGTGTGTGTGTGTGTGTGTGTGTGTGTGTGTGTGTGTGTGTGTGTGTGTGTGTGTGTATGTGTGTGTGTGTGTGTGTGTGTGTGTGTGTGTGCGTGCGTGCGCGCGCGTGTGTGTATGTGTGTGATGGTGTGTGTGTGTGTAATAACTTAGTATGTGCTCAGTTGACAAATTAGCTGTGTGTAGTGTGTAGTGTGTAGTGTGTATCAAGAAGTGCACGGCCAGACAGTGAAGTGCACGGCCAGAACAGTGCGACTACATTGTATAAAACTGCTGCTGTAGCCTTAGGACCATGAATCCAGGACCGTGACCAATGCTGTACAGCTACATGGTGACCAATGCTGTACAGCTACATGGTGACCAATGCTGTACAGCTACATGGTGCCGACCAAGTGCATAGTGCATGGAGCGTAGCTTTTGCTACTAGAATGCTGTGCTATGTTCACACTAGCAACCTTGGACACTACTAGAATGCTGTGCTATGTTCACACTAGCAACCTTGGACTTAATGCTGGTACTGTAGACATCACTGAGTCTGTTGCAACCAACTGACTTAGAATCATAAACCGACATACTGGTATTGTTATCCTTTGCAATGCTAGGAGATCTCGCATGGAAAAAAATGGGTGAGCTGTTTATATTCCCTATCTATCCCCCCCCCCCCCCCCCCCCCATAATTTTTCCTGGCGAGAATTCTGTATGCATGTCGCGTGTCCATTACCTGACAGTGCACACGGTGTCACGTGCAGTGGAACCCCTCATCCGCACATGCACATGCATGTGTGTGTGTGTGCATGTGCATGCACACACACACACACACACACACACACACCACACACGAATACAGACACTTTTGTAAGAAGACCTTATGGTCTGTTGGGAATGCCCAAGTAAAATAATGAAACTTTAAAACTACAATACAAAAAAAATTCTTCAAACCGGCTACATGTACTTCAGCGTCGGCGAAGTACCGGTACTACTTTGCAATGGCCACTAACTTGAAAAATGTTAGCTATCGTTTCCGATTATCTCAATGTCTGTATTGGGCTCTTGGCAAAATGTTATGTTATTGTGTGTGACATGAGTATGCTGGACTGTGTGACATGAGTATGCTGGACTGTGTGACATGAGTATGCTGGACTGTGTGACATGAGTATGCTGGACTGCACGCATAACATTTAAAAAAATTGTTCTCTGCTTTCTGCCTGTATACATGTAGGCATATTTACCATCGCCATGCGAGTGTGATCGAACGAAGAGCTGCAACAATACCTGTATAAGTAAGAAGATGCATAGCATAACGGGCACGGCATGTATGTTTTGTGAGAGGAATTACCAAAGCACAGCGGAACTTTGATATGGCGTCGCCTAGCAACAGTCAGAGCCTTGAGTATGGTACCTTGTCCTGGCATCGGCCCACTGACACCCACATGAGCCGGGGTGGGGGGTTATTGCCCAAGAACCCCTAATCCGCCAAATTGTACTTTTTGAAGTAGACCCAGTTGCGGAAAGTATGGGGAAAGCGCCAGGACAGAAACTGCTCCATGAACTTGTACAGATCTTACGGCCTTGGAAATCCCCCCCCCCCCCCCCCCCCTCTCCCTCCCCCAGTCTCTAGTACCACTGAATTTGGCTATGGGTGAAATGGCCCAGGAGCATAATGGGGAAGTACCATGGACAATGAGGGTGGACCGATTTCTGGTGCTATGTCGTGTTAATGTCTTCTTCTCTGTGCAATAGGATCACCCGGAGAGGAAGTCCCGGACAGCCGTTGCCAGTTCCCAATTATGAAATGTAAATTTGGTCCAAGTAAGTCCTAGTTATTATACAGGACTGTATGCATGCAGGAGGGGGGGGGGGGGGGGGGGATGGGGGCTGATAACAGTGTTGTATGCATGCAGGAGGGGGGGGGGGGGAATGGGGGCTGATAACACTGTTGTATGCATGCAGGAGGGGGGGGGGGGGGATGGGGGCTGATAACAGTGTTGTATGCATGCAGGAGGGGGGGGGGGGGGGGGATGGGGCTGATAACACTGTTGTATGCATGCAGGAGGGGGGGGGGGGGGGGTGGGGGCTGATAACACTGTTGTATGCATGCAGGAGGGGGGGGGGGGGGGCTGATAACACTGTTGTATGCATGCAGGAGGGGGGGGGGGGGGGGCTGATAGCAGTGTTGTATGCATGCAGGAGGGGGGGGGGGGGAGAGGATGGGGGCTGATAGCAGTGTTGTATGCATGCAGGAGGGGGGGGGGGGGAGCTGATAGCAGTGTTGTATGCATGCAGGGGGGGGGGGGGGGCTGATAGCAGTATTGACTATTGTATGCATGCAGGAGGGGGGGGGGGGGGGGGAGGGGAGCTGATAGCAGTGTTGTATGCATGCAGGGGGGGGGGGGGCTGATAGCAGTGTTGCAGGAAGGGGGGGGGGAGCTGATAGCAGTGTTGTATGCATGGTGCTCATCCGATAGCATAGTTGTCACCAAGGAGTCTTAGCATCTCGGGAGACGACACACGATCATCATGAATACCCGAACCAATGGAAGTTGAAATTCGAAGAATATCATCTGTGGCCTATGCATCATTTACTCAGTGCACACGGCCAAATGATGTAGTGTAGGCATGATTTCTGTGGGAAAGTCCCTCATGACTACTGTCTACAGATAGCTGAGGGCCACTTGTCCAGTTGGCCACAGCATGTACTCTATACAGTGCAGTAGTTGGAGTCATCATTCTAAGAGCGTATGATATGCCACAGAGGTTACGTACTTTGAACATCATTCGCGATAACGTCGTTCTCACGGCTCATTCAATGATGCATCAACGATACAATCATACATAAATGTACATGTAGGAATTCTTATAGTGTGACTTTGGTTCTGGTGTTTGCCACAGACAGCGAGTGTTTGGACCAACACAGTCGCGAGCGTCTCCCTGACAACTGCACCTGGCCAGGTCATGTCCAAGCTGGCCGAAAGGGCTTCTTCAGCGTTAACGGAGCGCTGCGTTCTCTGTCAGTGTCATGGCAACCACCACCAAGTAAGTATGTAATAAAACACTGTCAATTGCTAGTGGGTCGTCATGACAGCAGAAACTAGCAGTTATGTCACCAGGCAAGATTTCATTGTGCTGTGTGTGTATGTGTGTGTGTGTGTGTGTGTGTGTGTGTGTGTGTGTGTGTGTGTGTGTGTGTGTGTGTGTGTGTGTGTGTGTGCATGTGAGGATAGCTGCGTTTGCAGCCATGGCTGTGTGGTGTAGACCAGGCCATGGTTGCTGCAGCATGTCCCAGTGGATTTGCGCTCTGCTGGGAGTAGGTACACAAGCACAAGCGAGACGAGGCAGTGTTTCTTGTTTGAAAATTTTTCAAGGTTGGACACGTTCCATCGACAGTGTGTTCGCACGATCCTGAGTGTTACCCGAGACCAGCAGTGGCAGGAACACCTGTCAAGTGAAGACTTGGCGAAGCGCAGCGGCATGCCAGCCTCGCTGGAGGAGGCCATTCGTGCGAATCGCCTGCGATGGCTTGGTCACCTCGCAAGGATGGACGACACCAGGTTGCCAAAGCAGATCCTGTTTGCGGAGGGCACTAACACGCGGCCCCGCCATGGACCCAAGCGTCGTTGGAGAGATGTGGCAGCTTCAGACCTGCGTGCGACCGGTATCCCGGAGGCGCAATGGTACCACCTTGCTCAGGACCGGAGGGACTGGTGCGAACGTAGCCGTCGGAAGCCACCAAGCCAGCCCCAACCAAGAGTGTTCGTCTGTGTCTGCGGCCGCGACTTTCGCCGTCCGAATGATTTATCCCGACACAAGAACTACTGCCTCACCTAATAGCTATCATCGCCTTCGGCGATGGGCTTTCCAAAGGTCCAAAGGTGCATGTGTGTGTGTGTGTGTGTGTGTGTGTGTGTGTGTGTGTGTGTGTGTGTGTGTGTGTGTGTGTGTGTGTGTGTGTGTGTGTGTGTGTGTGTGTGTGTGTGTGTGTGTGTGTGTGTGTGTGCATGTGCACATGCAACAGAAGATTTAAAAAAATCAAGTACTCTCCTCCTGCTGGAAAACCGCAAGAATAGTGTATTGCAATTATGATGACAACCGTCTACCCTCCCCCCCCCCCCCCCCCCCCCTCCCCCTTCTGGTGCATTACTGCAAAGCTTTGAACTCTCAAAGGTAAAGTAAGTGGGTCAAATAAGCGGGTGGGGGGGGGGGGGGTGGTGGTGGTTGGTTGGCTTGGTGTAGTACTAGTGGTGTGGTGATAGTGAGCTGTTGTGTTGTATTCGGCTGTCTGTGCGTGTTCACGTTGATTGCAGGACGGGAGCTTGTGTCTGCCTACGCAGTCGTGTTCTCTATCTCGCTTGGCCCTCGCGGCGAGCAAGGCACCTTGGCGTGTGCTTGCATGTCAGTTCCACCGGTGAGTACAACAGATTAAGAAGTATACATGTCCATGTATGTAAACCATTGGAACTGAATGATGTGCATGAGACCATGTCAAGCTATGGTGGATTGGCGGTGAAAAACCAGCAAAGTGTACACTCATGTAGCGTTAGTAGGTACTGCGATTTGAACACTCACCATATTTTGTTCTATATTGTGACCCCCCCCCTCCTGTTTCTCTCTCTCTCCATGTTTGTGTCCTCTTCAGTGTGTATACAATACTCGTTTGTACTACACGAGTGGTTCCATGGCTATGAACACACCATACCCGAACTACGTGTATGGCACATGCCTGCAGAACCTGATGCATGTCACACAGCCATCTAGGGTCGGTGCTAAGGTGAGTAGAGAACTCAGCACTGCACAGCAGCAACTACTTTCCAGACATGTTATGGTGTGCCTCGCAATCAGTGTGCACATGATCACAGCATACCCACACACACATGCACACACACGTGCACGCACACACACACACACACACACACACACACACACACACACACACACATACATACACACACACAGGGTACACACACACACACACACACACACACACACACACACACACACACACACACGGTACACACACACACACACACGCACGCACGCACGCACGGACATTCAAGTGCACCAATTGGAGCACAAAGTTCCATACATGTACAGTCAGTATCGCCTATAGCGTTGGTGTTTGATTTTGAGCATTCTATCACTATACGCGATATATTACTATGACCGATACTGCATGCAATGTATGCGAGTGGGATGTCAAACGACTCAGCGCGCCGTGCACATACGCACTGCATAGCTGGCTACAGCGCCTGACACACAACATCAGCATTTCCTCACGATGGAGGCATATTTTGGCAATTTGTACAAGCATAACTCACCAAACAACACTGGACAAGTTCTTCACGAAGAAGTAACCACCCTGTTCTCCTCTGACACCACTTGATTTTACATCAATCACTATAACCGATGCAAAAATAATGTAATAAAGGTCTTTTGAAATATGAATTTGATCACTATAGGCGATATATTACTACAGACGATTATTACTATACACGATAACTGTGTATACTTAGTTATGGCAAATGAAAATGAATTTGAGAAATTGATCACTATAGCCGGTGTATTACTATAGCCGCCAACCTTATAGGCGATGCCAAGAGTACATAAACCAGAGTGTGCAACTCAGGATGGTTCCTGTGGGAGCGTAATTCGTGCACTACGTCATTTCTGACGGCATGGTAAGCCACAGGTACGGTGAAAAGTTGCGTAACCAGTCGCGGTGGTGCAGGTCACTGAGTTTGTCCTGATTTCGGTTTTTTGATACGGATAGCCTGGTGACTTTACTTGTCAGTGGATGTACGCAGCCGTACACAGTCACACAAAACACCGAAATCCTGAAACAGGACGTCTAAAATCAAGCAAACTAGGCTGATTTCCGGTCTATGAAACATGAAAATTTGAGCTGTACGCAAGTCGCGGCTTGGCTGACCTCATCAGGGTGACGTAGTGCACAAACTGCGCTGTTTCAGATCTGATATGCACAGTTGCACACTCTGGTTTATGTACTCTTGGCGATACTGACTGTACTTGTTTTGAACTTTGAAGTAAACAAAGATGAACTTGCAGTATTGCTGGTGCATGTGCTTCCGAATTCATGATATTTTGTGTCAGCACATTTGTCCGTAAGGCAACTGGAGGCATTGCATTGCGGTTTTCTTTCCCCTCCACAGATCATGACGTTCCCATACCATGGTGACTTTCCAACAGCTATTAAGGCGTCCCCAGAGATTATAATAACAGTTCCATGTAAGTGTCTTTGCCGCCGCCGGGGGTTGGGGTACATGTAATGACACGAATCCGGTGTGATGTCACCACAGTCGACTTCTTGTTTGGTCACCTGTGATGTTTCGCTAGTATTTGAGCTGAAAGGTTGGATACCTGATGTAACGTAGTGATGTTTCGCTAGTATTTGAGCTGAAAGGTTGGATACCTGATGTAACGTAGTGATGTTTCACTACGTGTTAGAAGTGTGTGTGTGTGTGTTTTGACGGTGCTTCTCTGATGTGCATGTAATGACAGTCAAGTAGATGACTAAGTCTACAGCATGCTGTCAGCGGGGAGTACTGTTCTAGAACATCCTAAGTCGCAACCACTCAGTCACTGACTTGGTGATGATGCTAGTGCCGACGTGTTTGTTTTCCCATTTCACGTACAGCTTGCGCTGAACTAGCCAAGCAAAGCCCCGAGAAGCTGACTCTGCTCTGCAAAATGAAACGTAAGGACAAGTATGTACACTTAGTGTATCAGGAATAATAGGGAGATACCAATACCAATACCTTCCAGTTCCCAGGAATAATAGGGAGATACCGATACCTTCCAGTTCCCTCGCTTCCATAAAAAAATGTCCATACGTGAAGCGACGGACACGTGAATCCACAGACAACTGAAGCGCTTATAGCCGAGGGTACACTGCAGTTGCCTATTTGGCTCTTAGGTCGTACACAACAATCTCATAGCAACGTTTGCACCGCTGTCTACAAGTATAATTGTATTGATTTTGAGGTGGCGGTGTTGGTGGTGCTGCTGGGGCTGCTGCTGGCTTTAAGGTGGCAGTGTGCTGGTAAGAGGGCTTTAAGGTGGCAGTGTGCTGGTAAGAGGGCTAGTGCAGTGTAGCATAGTGTGCATGTAGTGTAGTGAACAAAGACCACACGTCCGCTTGTCACTCGCCCAACTCTCCTGCTCTCGTGTCTGTACTGGTGTTGTCTTCGCCGCACAGTGAAGTACTCCAGCCCTAGGGCAGCCAATGGTCAACTTAATGGCCGCATGGTGTCCCGGAGCACCTACACCGTCAGCTGGGTTACAGACTCTCCGTTGCCTGTCAGCAATGCGTATCTATCAGCCAAGACCGTGGAGACCGCATCCGAACAAGCGTCGATCGATGATTACAGTGGCACTAGCTACAGGGAGCTAACCGGAGTATTCATCAACTCAACGGTAAGAGTTTTTGAATAAGCCTCTTATACGGGCAATCGCAGAACATAATATCACTGGCCTGACACAACAACTAAAGAAAAACAAAAACAAAACAAACAAAAAAATTTAAACGAGAGAGCTTGGAAGCTCAGGGCCCTACGCTATGCTTTTATGCTTTTTTGCCTAGCTCATCGTACATGTTATAAGAACTGAGGCAAAAGTATTTGCAGAATTTATTGCGGATTGTTATTTCTCTAATAATTATCTTCTTTTGGTTTGCTCCTTTTTTCTTTTTATCTCCTTATACTGTAAATCAACAAATTTTGGCTGATGAGAAAATTAGAAACCTCTCTATTAGAAAGGTTAAGATGCACGTTATTTCCGACGTGACGCGCAATTTCACGTCAAATTTGAAATCGATAGGTATTTTTGCTCTCACATGCATCCATTGCTCAATAATGCATCAATTTCCTATATGACAAACTTTGGCCTGTGATTTACTTTGGCCGGTTGGTACCAAGCGGCGAAATCAGCGAAATTAAATCGCCAGCGAAAATTAGTTGATTTTAATACAGTAATCGGATTTTCTGGCCTTTTTGTAGTAATACATGTACATTGACCTGTTGAGCCAATGACGACGCCGAATGCATGGTTGCCTGTGGAGCACATTACATAACTTAGCAGTCTCCTAAAATAAGTATCCTGTCCGACGGCAAAAGAGTCTGCAGATTTAGTTTTTCTGCGCGTCGACGGGATGTCTGCGACGCGAAAGTTCAGCTCGCGTTATTTGGCTCGCACGTCGAAAAATCAACGCGAGTGACCTGCTGCTCACGTGGAAATTTGGACATTACATAACTTTACAGTCTCCTATAATACGTATCCTGTCCGACAGCAAAAGAGGCTGCAGATTTAGTTTTTCTGCGCGTCGACGGGATGTCTGTCCTGACGTTCAATGGGACCGGCGCTGACTCTGCCGATCACGGGCGTTCTGGACTCGACAGGATGTCTGTCCTGACGTTTCCTGGGACCGGCTTAGACTCTGCCGATCACGGGCGTTCTGGACTCAACGGGATGTCTGTCCTGACGTTGCCTGGGACCGGCGGACTCTGCCGATTACGGGCGTTCTGGAGTCGACGGGATCTCTCTTCCAACGTTTCCTGTGACCGGCGCTGAATCGCTCGTTCACGCTTATTTTGGAGATGACGCGATCTCTCTTCCAAAGTACATGTATGTTTATGCTGACGCTGTTTATGCTGACGCATCCTATCACCTATTCGGCGTCTATTCTAATTTAATTTCCTCCTCGTCTCCCTATTTCATTCCAAATCTCCCTCTACATCAGGGAGTCGTATACATAATATGACGAATATTGGTACGGTACGGGACAGATACAGGAGCCCGCAAATATTGTGGACAGCTGTTATGTACAATCCTGTAGAGCCTTTGTAGTCACAGATACGGGACAGATACGGGACAGATACGGGATAGCGCCAGGCGTGACACAAACAAACAAACAAACACACAAACAAACAAATACCAAATTAAAGCTGTGTGGACCCTGGCTAGCGCCAGACGTTACTGAAGTAACGTCTTCTGCATAGCTACGGGAATAAAAAGAAAATGAAACCTGACAATCTGCACACAATGACAACTCCATTCAAGATAGTCTCTATTAGATCTGTCTGTATCCGTTACCCGTGTTAGCTAGTTGCCAACAAGCCGGGACTCAACGATAAGATAAACTTATCCATGCAGTGCTGACAAGGACTTGTCGAGGCTACATGTATGTTGTGCCTATCCTGTGCTGCGCACTGCTACTGGGATATTCCTTTTACACAAACTGACACTCATACACTGTCGCAAAGCCTCTGTAAACCGTAAGTTAGCTCATGTGTAGCTTGGATAGCCAAGCTTGAGTGAAAATTATCGTGTCAGCCGATTGACAGCCAGATCTGTGCCGGGTAGGTGCTCATGACATTGTGATTGGTGAATGGAAAGACAAAATGAACTACAGTCAACTTTGCTAATAACGACTGCGGATATAACGAATAACGACAGCATTTCTATGCCCAGAGCAAAGTCCCTTCCAACTGTAATACATATAATGAGACTTCGGGTATAACGACACTTCGCGAATAAGGACACTTTTTTGATGCCCCGCCGAATGTCGCTATAAGCGAAGTTGACTGTATGTCCTGCATTCAATGGTCTGCTCCAGTGAGCAATACATGTACACATAATACGTGTCATAATAATTATTATGACCTCTTCCAGTAATAGTATTCACTGTGACTTGGTGCCACTTGTTTGCTTGCTCGACAGGATTTACAAGATGGTAATTCTACCAGTGCCTCATTGACACTGCCGGAATCCGCGGTGCAATCTCTGTCGCCTGGTGCAAAGATCTGCATACAGGTAGGTGATACCGTTTGCTTATACATGCTTGTATGTGTGTGTTGGGGGGGGGGGGGGTCAGGGGTCACGGAGTGAGCAGAGTCAGCTGTGAACTGTGGTATCTGATTGAGGGGAAGGGGGGGGGGGGTCGGCACAAAAATTGATAATGGTCTGTGAAACCCTTTTGGGTGTCGAGCGTCAAGGCCCCCCCCCCCCCCCCCCGTGAGGTTGGCAAGCATTTCGTCCAAAGTCGACAAGACGAATTACTCTCATTGACTGGATGCGTTCAAGCGTGTCAGATCTCTGCGAATACGTACATGTACGCCGCCCACCTTTTACGACTAACTACCATCGGAGCGCACCACTCATTTGGTTCAGTGGCTGGCATGAGAATGTCGGTCTCAACTCTCTGGTACAGTTCAACTTTGATGCTCTACATTAGGGGGAAGGGTGCTTGTCAGGCAATCACACAATACGTACAAATACATCGTCCAGCGTAACGAGCAAGTAAGCAATGAACAACTGGAGTCTGAGCCTGTATCAGTATCTGACAGTGTGAACACGTGTACAGTATGTGACAGTGTGAACACGTGTACAGTATGTGACAGTGTGAACACGTGTACAGTATGTGACAGTGTGAACACATGTACAGTATGTGACAGTGTGAACACGTGTACACTGCACTGCTACACTAGACGAGAAGCGTCGTCTCGTATCTACAGAACCGCCAACAAGTATCTACAGAACCGCCAACAAGTATCTACAGAACCGCCAACAAGTATCTACAGAAGCGCCAACAAGAACTGCAATGTTGTCAATTGAGGATGACAACCCCAGTGCAACCACGTGGACAAGAACATGAACAAAACAGCATCACACTTGCACATGCCCTTCACCACAGGCTCGGGGCACTATCCAACACGACAAGAGTGGTTTTAACATTGCCCCCCCCCCCTCCCTTCCCCCCTCCCAAGACTACTCTACTACTGTCTCTAGACATGGCTCTTTGCGCTCCAGTACGGGAATGTCCTCCGGTACGGGAATGTCCTCCGGTACGGGAATGTCCTCCGGTACGGGAATGTCCTCCGGTACGGGAATGTCCTCCGGTACGGGAATGTCCTCCGGTACGGGAATGTCCTCCGGTACGGGAATGTCCTCCGGTACGGGAATGTCCTCCGGTACGGGAATGTCCTCCGGTACGGGAATGTCCTCCGGTACGGGAATGTCCTCCGGTACGGGAATGTCCTCCGGTACGGGAATGTCCTCCGGTACGGGAATGTCCTCCGGTACGGGAATGTCCTCCGGTACGGGAATGTCCTCCGGTACGGGAATGTCCTCCAGTACGGGAATGTCCTGATTCTCCTCTGTTCACTATTCTTTTCTTCTATGACTGCAGCTAAGCTTCATCCTGGATACAGAAGCAGCTCGACGCGAATTGATGAGTGATCCAGAGTTTGTTGCAGCCATGGAGGACGAGTACAACTACGCCGCGGGCACTATGCCCAAGAGCACACTGAGAACATACACCAAGAATATTGTTGATGGGATAGACGAAGATCGTGTCTCTTCAGTCCGCCAGTTTCAAACAACAGGTACAGTAAAGAGTAAAGACTTTCCCAATCCGGGCAGCAGCAGCAGCAGCAGCAGCAGCAGCAGCAGCAGGTTGCGACCGAGCACTGTCTGTAACTAGGAATTGCCCATAACTCACAGCGTATAACTTACTGCATGCAAGTAAACATGTTTAGGCTAATCCGATTGAATAGTTTTCAGGTCCGTTCTTCGTTGAAAAAGCCCATTTGATTGGCTCTAGATGGGTGCGAAAGGTGCCCGGTAGACAGACATGCCCGGATTAGGGGATAAGGGGGAGTTTCACTGTATTACTTGTATGAATTTCTGATGTATTCCACTTTTGTCGTGACTATTGCTGACCGTACATTAACCATGATGCCTGCATGCATGCTGCACCATGTGACCATGTGACCATGCCAAGCATGTACTTAAACAACCAGGAGGTCGTTCTGTAGAAGTGTAGCATGGTGCCTTGCAGGATCCAGGCTGTCGTGTACATGTCATGCTGTACTTTGTTTCAACAGTATGGCTTACAGCGGTTGCACAGTGGCATGCGGGCATGAATACAAGGTGATCGATCGTACAGGGTCTATTTCAGCACTGTAGTATAGTATATTGTGATCATTGACTGTTATCTCTGTTCATTGTGCTGTTGCAGTTGATGGTGGCTGGACAAGCTGGAAACAGAACAGTAGCTGTCCGCTATGCGCACAGAATCCGAGGATACAAGAAATACGCACGTGCACGAATCCCAGTCCTAGACTCTACGGGAGAAACTGTACGGGAGAGACTGCACAGAGCGTCGTGTGCAAGCCTGTGCAAGCATGCCAATCTACTCCAAAGTTGACCAGTGAGTGGTCCTAGTACTGACCTGAGGGACATGTACATCATGTGACTGTATATCATGTGACTGTATAATTATCGTGTGACTGTCTGTTGTGAGCATACACACACTGGCCTGGTGGATGCCTTTACGCATGGCAAGGCAACAGGCTGCATTGGAATGTGTGGCACTGTGGGTTCAATAGCCCATTGAGTCATCTTAGTCATCTTGACGAGATTCTTTTTGAGTCTCCCTCCCCTCTCCTGGGGACATTAGACGTGGCCAGATTTCGGCAGTGAGTAAGTAGAAGTCGGTATGTAACATGTATATGTGTGTGTGTATATGTATGTATGTATGTATGGGTGTATGTGTCTGTATACCTGTGTGCTTGTCCACGATTTGCGATGCAGACAATGTGGGGGGACCCGAAGGGCCAACAGAAAAGAAGCCATGGTACCAGCACCCTATCTTCTACTCCTTCATGGCGGCTGTTCCGACAACTATTCTGCTTGCTGCCCTTCTATTTCTACTACGCAAACCGCTAATGCGTGCACGCAAGCTGCGGATACGTCCCGTGGATGGTAAGCATAGCCCTAGCATGCGTTGAGTGTGCCAAGTGAGGTTGTCCAGTGTGATACGCGAGCAGGCGCGTACGCAGGGTCACCTCTAGGGGGGTTTCCAACCGAATCCCAAACAAATGAGTTTTTAAAAGTTTTAACCCTTTCTACAAGTAAAGAGCCCTAGGAAATTTTCAAAATTATGCATTTTTTCGTGTTGTTTGGATCATAACTTCAGTTCTACTCACTCAATCTTCATTATCTTGGGCTTCCTGGAAGTGGAAAGATACCAGGGAGAGAATGAGGTCGACCATGATAGCCAGTACACAGTACAATCATATACATATCCAGCGCTATAGGCTATAGCGGTAGAGTGCAGCGACGGTGCGAAAAATGCCCCAAACAGGCCCAAGCGCGTCCTGCTCCCGCGATTTCGTTTTTAAAAAGTTGGTGGACAAGCCGTTGATTATTCACTCTCATTATAATATCAAAAAAAAGTATTCTTTTTAGACCAAAGAGTGGTATATTTGATAACATTTAATAAAATTAAAAAAAAAAAAAAAATTCACGGTTCGCGTGAGACTCGGCCAAAGGCCCAGTTTTCCGCATCCGCAGGAACGCCACCACCCTCTTGGATCAAGGCGCAGATGCAGCTCCTAAACGGTGGGAGGTGAGTAGATCAGACCCACCACAAAGTGGTCAAAGACCGAAATCCCATTCACTGCATCCATGTTTCCCTCGTGCCAGGCCACGAGTTCCCAATTAACTATCGTCAGTGGATAAAGAATCTTTATCCACTGACGATGTTGTTCAGAACAACGAAACGTCTGGAGAAGTATCGTAATATTTCTATCATTATTAAATGTTATCAAATATACCACTCTTTGGTCTAAAAAGAATACTTTTTTTTTGATTTCGTTTTTCTCGATCGGAGAGTTTCGATTTTTTGCTGTGTACTCTTGAAAATATCACAAGTGAAGCCCCTGCAAATTTGAGCAAATCAGCACGACGAAAATCTCAAATTCTCGATACTCAAGTCGCACTGCGCGCTTTTGAAATTGCCGAGATCGCGGCTCAACTTACGAATGATTTATCTCACGATACATTGCTCGCAGCGCTTCGCAAATTGTTTCAACCGACAGCTGAGAGTTTTCTATTCGACCTGGATATTTGGATCGTTGGATTTGAGCGAGATTTGACTGAGTTACGATCTTTTGAAGTTTTGCATTCTTGCCAGATCGATCAAGTGCCCTACCATAATTATACCAAGAAATGCCCAAAAACGTTGCTCGTTTGGAACATTTGGGGGGTTTCCGGGCAACGGGAAACCCCCCCCTGCGTACGCGCCTGGCGAGGCGGTGAAAATAGTTCATGTTCTGATTTTGTGGGCAGATAGAAAAAAGGCAACATGTCGGCTGCTGTTCTTTATTAGGGCAACGAGTGAGCAAGACCAGTAAAAAAATCAGAGGAAAAAAGAGCATTTCACCAATCATACAGCAGGACATGTTGCCTTTTTCTATCTGCCCACAAAATTTAATACAGACCATGAACCATTTTACATACTTCTATTTACATTTTCAATGTTTCTTGGATCAACTTGAAACACGAGGGATTTGTGAGGAATCTGTGACGATTTGTGAGGAATCTGTGAGGGATTTTTGAGTGATCTGTGGGGTTGGACGTTGCATAGTATGCCTTTGGTGTAGAGTGAGTGCTAGTTACCACTGACCAACGTAGAGTAGTCTCAATGCTGTGAAGCCGAGCCCTACATAGTGATCAAGAGTCACGATGAATACTAGGGCCGTCTTTATGCATTTTGTGTAGTTTTTTTACTTGTGCGAATGCTGTGTGTACGTTCGTGTGCGTGTATGTGTGTGTGCGAGCATGTGCGTGCGTGTGTGTACAATACTGGTACTCAATAGTGTGCCCTGATGAATAATATGTGATATGGCAGGTACCATATCACTGAATCAATGCGTGGCTTACACACGGGCACCAGGGTTTTTCTGACCTTTTCCCTGTCTTTTCCAATCTGCAGGAACCAGAGATATTGAGCGCCTCACTGCCAGTGCATTTGCACCGCCTACATATCTCGGTTCAAACGACGAGAAGTCAGATTTTATTCCACCTCTACTTGACAATGGACGCCCCGGATCGCCTACGTCAACAGACACTCGTGGCAGTGAAGACGATCCTCTTCTCCTAGATCAAGAGGAGGTTCGTCCCCGATCATCTCCGCTACCGAAGTCAGTGTACATTAGCTATTCGCGGGCCAATGATATCCATGTTGAGAATGTGTGCAGTTTTGTTGACTGGCTGATCTACTACGGCGTGACGGTTCACTATGACAAACACGACAGCGTTGAGTATAACCAGGACTTTGGCAACTGGATTGAGAACCGCATGACGGGCGCTGACTGGATCATCGTGGTGATGTCCAGCCATTACTTCAACGAGTGGCATCGCAGTGACTCGGCAGCAGCAGCAGCAGACCGTGCGAGCAATGAGGAGGACTGCACACCTGAAGTTGCCCTTGAGACACGGCTGATCAAGACCCTACTCACCAGGCAGGACAACCACGTCATACCGGTCTTCCTGGGCACAGCGTTTGACAGCAGTGCAAAGCCAAAGCTACTTGGCAGCAACAAGACATTTAGGATAACCGAACACGACGTATCACAAGCCACGGCATTGCTCGATCACATTGACGGAAAGGAAGAATGCCCTAGACCAACGTTCACTCAGGATTGAACACAGCTGCGCATGCCACCGCTAGTACATGTATTTCCAAGTGTGGAGCCAAAGAAGCTACAACTTGAACAAGTCTTCTGCATTTTAGCACACCTGGTGAGACGTTGAGTAATTCACAATGTTAGTTGCGCGTGCTGGATGATGTGTGCAGGCACAACTTCACACAGTCGTTGGCAACTTGCCACCTCCTTGTCATCTCACACTATAGTGCCCTTGTAGTGTCGCACTGACACACAGTTCTTACATGTTCACTCAATAGTGTGCTGCGGCTTTCAGCAGGTCAGACTGAGACATGTACATGAGTAATGCACTGCACAGCACTGTTCTAAGCGGTTAGTAGTAAAGTTACTACTCCCTGGTTCTAAGCATGTCTTGAGATACGCAACTTGAGAGGCACGCCGCCATGAAACCAGGAAGGTAGCTGCTCGAATGTAGAAGGAATTTCTTCCCACGACCTACCACACGGCATTGACTGCATGGGTACATTTCACATGGAGCACATTCACACTCAGTCCTGTTATGAGTTGGTGCAGGAGATTCAGGTTTGTGTTCTACATACGCCTGTGCATATTTCCAATAATTTAATTTCACGTAGGTCAAGAGTTGTTCTCTTCATTTTAATTATTGTTCATACGCTACTTGTCCCGTTGGCTTTGCTTTGCTGAATTTGTTGAGACTACAGTGCCGGGAATTGAACTGGTGCAACAGAGTACAGTGGAGGTTAGTCGTGTGGATCGCTAGAACCACCAATACGTCTCTACTTCTCTATTGGCAATAGAGAAGTAGAGACGTAGCCTCTGTACAAGAGCAAGTCATAGATCTACAGTCATGTACCGTCGTGGTATAGTGGTATAGTGGTATAGTGGTATAGTGGTATAGTGGTATAGTGGTATAGTGGTATAGTGGTATAGTGGTATAGTGAGTATAGTGGTATAGTGAGTATAGTGAGTATAGTGGTATAGTGGTATAGTGGTATAGTGGTATAGTGGTATAGTGGTATAGTGGTATAGTGGTATAGTGAGTATAGTGAGTATAGTGAGTATAGTGGTATAGTGGTATAGTGGTATAGTGGTATAGTGGTATAGTGGTACAGTCAGACCTCGCTTAACCGCACACATCCGTTTTCCACAAAACTATCCGGATAGGCGAGGGAACCGGATAATCGAACACACATACTGTATGTATGCATGACATATGCTGTAAATCGGTAACCAACGATTTTCTTCCGGATGGTGAGGGATCCGGATAAAAGAGGACCGGATAAGCGAGGTCTGACTGTATAGTGGTATAGTGAGTATAGTGGTATAGTGGTATAGTGAGTATAGTGAGTATAGTGGTATAGTGGTATAGTGGTATAGTGGTATAGTGGTATAGTGGTATAGTGGTATAGTGGTATAGTGAGTATAGTGGTATAGTGGTATAGTGGTATAGTGGTATAGTGGTATAGTGGTATAGTGGTATAGTGAGTATAGTGGTATAGTGGTATAGTGGTATAGTGGTATAGTGGTATAGTGGTATAGTGAGTATAGTGGTATAGTGGTATAGTGGTATAGTGGTATAGTGGTATAGTGGTATAGTGGTATAGTGAGTATAGTGGTATAGTGGTATAGTGGTATAGTGAGTATAGTGGTATAGTGGTATAGTGGTTTAGAACGAGGTCTGTCTCGTTGTCCAGGAAACGACCAATCAGCGACATTCCCGCCAAGGGCCTTATCAGAGTTTAAAGCCCGCTCAATCGTTATTTTACTACTCTTGATGACGCGTCGAGGGCCTTGGATTAGTTTAAAGCCCGCTGAATATACTCTAAACTGGTGCGTACAACTCCCTGTATGCATAATAGTACGGTGCAGATAATGAAATCTGCATAACGTGTACGATGTACTACTAAAAGCTACGCATTTCAGAAGTGTGTACGGTTTTTGCCTCCCGTATTCTTTCATCTGTACGAATTTTCTTTGTCAACAGCTTGCGAAAACCTATAAAAACCGAAGATCAAAGTCATTAGAGTTATCGACAAGGGGCTCTCAAAGCCCCTAAATAGCTCCACAAGCTACATGTATGAATAAGAATGAAGCTCGCAATAAGAGCCCAGCATTTCATTTGCTTCCATTCTACTTTTAGTAGTCCTAAGTGGTGCTGAGTTACCATAACTTACCAGAAGAAAATATTCTTTCATACCACACCAAGTCTCTCTGCACACAAACCACAAAACTACCCAATATAGTGGTACACACGCATAATGGAAGTGAGATAATGCATGTAACCTCGTTCTAAAATAGTTAGTGCATGGCAGGGAGGGTCTTATGGCTTGTTTGTGCCCTTCAGGGTAGCCCTCGGGCCTACGGCCCTCAGGCTAACCTGTCGGGCACTAACAAGCCATAAGGCCCTCCCTGCCATGCACTAACCTATAAATAGTGAGTATAGTGAGTATAGTGAGTATAGTGGTATAGTGGTATAGTGGTATAGTGAGTATAGTGAGTATAGTGGTATAGTGGTATAGTGGTATAGTGGTATAGTGAGTATAGTGGTATAGTGGTATAGTGGTATAGTGGTATAGTGGTATAGTGAGTATAGTGGTATAGTGAGTATAGTGGTATAGTGAGTATAGTGAGTATAGTGGTATAGTGGTATAGTGGTATAGTGGTATAGTGGTATAGTGGTATAGTGAGTATAGTGAGTATAGTGAGTATAGTGGTATAGTGGTATAGTGGTATAGTGAGTATAGTGGTATAGTGGTATAGTGGTATAGTGGTATAGTGGTATAGTGGTATAGTGGTATAGTGGTATAGTGAGTATAGTGGTATAGTGAGTATAGTGAGTATAGTGGTATAGTGGTATAGTGGTATAGTGGTATAGTGGTATAGTGGTATAGTGGTATAGTGAGTATAGTGGTATAGTGGTATAGCGGTATAGTGGTATAGTGGTATAGTGGTATAGTGGTATAGTGGTATAGTGGTATAGTGGTATAGTGGTATAGTGGTATAGTGAGTATAGTGGTATAGTGGTATAGTGGTATAGTGGTATAGTGGTATAGTGGGATAGTGAGTATAGTGGTATAGTGGTATAGTGGTATAGTGGTATAGTGGTATAGTGGTATAGTGGTATAGTGGTATAGTGAGTATAGTGGTATAGTGAGTATAGTGAGTATAGTGGTATAGTGGTATAGTGGTATAGCGGTATAGTGGTATAGTGGTATAGTGAGTATAGTGGTATAGTGGTATAGTGGTATAGTGGTATAGTGGTATAGTGGTATAGTGGTATAGTGGTATAGTGGTATAGTGAGTATAGTGGTATAGTGGTATAGTGGTATAGTGGTATAGTGGTATAGTGGTATAGTGGTATAGTGAGTATAGTGAGTATAGTGAGTATAGTGGTATAGTGGTATAGTGGTATAGTGGTATAGTGGTATAGTGAGTATAGTGGTATAGTGGTATAGTGGTATAGTGGTATAGTGGTATAGTGGTATAGTGGTATAGTGAGTATAGTGGTATAGTGGTATAGTGGTATAGTGGTATAGTGGTATAGTGGTATAGTGGTATAGTGGTATAGTGGTATAGTGGTATAGTGGTATAGTGGTATAGTGAGTATAGTGGTATAGTGGTATAGTGGTATAGTGGTATAGTGGTATAGTGGTATAGTGGTATAGTGGTATAGTGGTATAGTGAGTATAGTGGTATAGTGGTATAGTGGTATAGTGGTATAGTGGTATAGTGGTATAGTGGTATAGTGAGTATAGTGGTATAGTGGTATAGTGGTATAGTGAGTATAGTGGTATAGTGGTATAGTGGTATAGTGAGTATAGTGGTATAGTGGTATAGTGGTATAGTGGTATAGTGGTATAGTGGTATAGTGGTATAGTGGTATAGTGGTATAGTGGTATAGTGAGTATAGTGAGTATAGTGGTATAGTGGTATAGTGGTATAGTGAGTATAGTGGTATAGTGGTATAGTGGTATAGTGGTATAGTGGTATAGTGGTATAGTGGTATAGTGAGTATAGTGGTATAGTGGTATAGTGAGTATAGTGAGTATAGTGGTATAGTGGTATAGTGAGTATAGTGGTATAGTGGTATAGTGGTATAGTGAGTATAGTGGTATAGTGGTATAGTGGTATAGTGGTATAGTGGTATAGTGGTATAGTGGTATAGTGGTATAGTGAGTATAGTGGTATAGTGGTATAGTGAGTATAGTGGTATAGTGGTATAGTGGTATAGTGGTATAGTGGTATAGTGAGTATAGTGGTATAGTGGTATAGTGGTATAGTGGTATAGTGAGTATAGTGGTATAGTGGTATAGTGAGTATAGTGGTATAGTGGTATAGTGGTATAGTGGTATAGTGGTATAGTGGTATAGTGGTATAGTGAGTATAGTGGTATAGTGGTATAGTGGTATAGTGGTATAGTGGTATAGTGGTATAGTGGTATAGTGGTATAGTGGTATAGTGGTATAGTGGTATAGTGGTATAGTGGTATAGTGGTATAGTGGTATAGTGGTATAGTGGTATAGTGGTATAGTGAGTATAGTGGTATAGTGGTATAGTGGTATAGTGGTATAGTGAGTATAGTGGTATAGTGGTATAGTGGTATAGTGAGTATAGTGGTATAGTGGTATAGTGGTATAGTGGTATAGTGGTATAGTGGTATAGTGGTATAGTGGTATAGTGAGTATAGTGGTATAGTGGTATAGTGGTATAGTGGTATAGTGGTATAGTGGTATAGTGGTATAGTGAGTATAGTGGTATAGTGGTATAGTGGTATAGTGGTATAGTGGTATAGTGGTATAGTGGTATAGTGAGTATAGTGGTATAGTGGTATAGTGGTATAGTGGTATAGTGGTATAGTGGTATAGTGGTATAGTGAGTATAGTGGTATAGTGGTATAGTGGTATAGTGAGTATAGTGGTATAGTGGTATAGTGGTATAGTGGTATAGTGGTATAGTGGTATAGTGAGTATAGTGGTATAGTGGTATAGTGGTATAGTGGTATAGTGGTATAGTGGTATAGTGGTATAGTGGTATAGTGGTATAGTGGTATAGTGGTATAGTGAGTATAGTGGTATAGTGGTATAGTGGTATAGTGGTATAGTGGTATAGTGGTATAGTGGTATAGTGGTATAGTGGTATAGTGGTATAGTGGTATAGTGGTATAGTGAGTATAGTGAGTATAGTGGTATAGTGAGTATAGTGGTATAGTGGTATAGTGGTATAGTGAGTATAGTGAGTATAGTGAGTATATACTGTTACCTTGGATAGAACATACAGTAGTACAGTCAACTTCGCTAATAACGACTGCGGATTAATGACCATTCGCGAATAACGACAGAATTTCCATGCCCAGAGCAAAGTCCATACTACCTGTATACCTATAATGAGACTTCGGGTATAACAACACTTTGCGAAGAAGGACGCTTTTCTGATGCCCAACTGAGTGTCGTTATACGCAAAGTCGACTGTACTTTTCTATTTTCATCGGATATAAAGTACAGTTGTGCTCGGTGACATCCGACCCAAAGTGCATATTCGGTGCCCTCAACTGGCACGGTGCAGCCCTTGACGTCCCAGAAGTGGTGTGAATGCAGCTGCACGTACACATGTACCTGGTACAGTGATGTAATCGGAACTGGTCCAGGGCGTCAGTTTTGCCCGTTGGCCCGTCGGATTTCAGTGAGCGCAACTCTACTATTCTGAAGGTCCCTGCATATCAGTTCTCAGTCATGTGACCTGGACCTTGGATATACCGTAAAGTACCGCCAGAGCGCCCCGTCTCGCGAGAGCGCCCCACCTTGATTTTACAGCCAGGGAAAGGAAAATCGTATGGCAGAGTGAAACGAAGTGGGTACGATGTGAGACCCTTACACTTACTATATATGGCACACTTGGCAGGTTTTTGTGTAGAGCTTGTGTCCACTCGAAGGTACGGATTGACTCAAAAATGTGGAATATGTGTACAAGGTTCATGTCGTATGACCTACAGACAGCAGACCACCTCCACAATACGACCACGAAAGGATGAGATGGTGGGGCGCTCTGGCGGTACTTTACGATACATGTACAGTAGCACCTTGGATATACATGTACAGTAGCACCTTGGATACACTGTAGCGTACTAACAGTTTTTAATACGTCCCTTGGAGAGGTACGCTATACTGAAGTACATGCTTTTCCTCATTTTTAAAAAGAAGAAAAAAAGAACACCCGAAACCACCGCAACATACAAAAAGAGCAGGCTTTCCCAGACAATGACAGTGGTGGTGATGGTGACAATGTGCATGTACATGCAACAAACGTCTAAGTACTAGTACGGTATGCGCTTGTTCTTAAATAGCACCACGTAAAGTTGTCTTACTTGCAAGTAACTTTGCAGAGTCTCCAGTCAAACGCCAGCTGCCATCTTGACACTCTTGGAGAGTAGATACACCGAATACACATGCACACACAGATACACACACAGAGACACACAGATACACATGCACACACGGACACTGTACTGTACTGTACTTGCTCACTGCTAAATTGGTCACGTAGGTCTCCCCGGGAGAGGGGAGAGAGGAACTCAAAAGGAATCTTGGAAAGAGGACCCAATTGGCTATTGAACTGCGTAACGGCCGACACCCCTGAAATCCCTAAACTATGGGTGGCCTTGCAAAAGACACAGACACAGACAGACACACACAGACAGACACACACAGACACAGACACAGACACACACACACACATACACACAGACATACACACAGACATAGACACACACACCTGTCCTGAACATTGCCGTTTCCGGTTACATGTCCCCTCGTGTGAGGGGCCGACAGACATGGAGAGTTGGGTTGAGGCGCTGTGTCGCATCAACGACCTAGCGAGATTTCCTAGCCATTTCATTGATCCATTTGTTGCAGTTGTGTAGCTGGAATCCTCGGGTTGACTTGCAACAACGATCGCATTTGCTGCAGTGGGCTCTGCAGCAAGGTAGGGCGAGCCGCTGGCGGGTGTCACACGATGGTCCAGAAGCGGTGGTTTGGTCCTGCACTGGAGTAGCAGATGGGGGCATATCCAGGCATTTGTGGACGGCCAGTCCGCCAGGGCTGCGAAACCAGCGAAGACATGCGGTGCATTGCCTGCTGCCAGCCTGGTCTGCTACGGGTTTGCGACGCTCTTCAGTGCACTTCAACGGTGGCGTGGCAGGCCGCTCTTCAGTGCACTTCAACGGTGGCGTGGCAGGCCGCTCTTCGAGAAGGATCTGTTACAGATACTGTACTGAATCCGTTCACGAGAGGCCGGCTGTGGACACACACACACACACACACACAAACACACATAGACACATCCCCATCGCTGAGGCGATGATAGCGAACAAGCTATGTAGACATATCAATTTACGCCCGCAATACACCATTTAACAGCTTGCACGGCTGATAAATTGACCGACATTGCTTTTAGCCTGGTCTCCACCATAGAGTTGATTGAAGTTTCTTTTCTGGCCAGTGAATCCCTGTTTTTGATTTTTGTAATTATTCATGCATGCACACATGCAAACGTACAGCATAGTGCACAAACGCCCACATGCAAATGCACAACATGGTGCACCCCCCCCCCCCCCCACACACACACCTTTGACGCCCCATCTCCAGTGGAGATGATAGGCTACTGAGTTGGGCAGTACTTGATGTGATGCTTCAAATCGCCACTTCTCCTAAGCGCTCTGCCGCATGCGCAATGAGAGTCCTTCGGTGCCGGGGGAGGAAGACGATGTTGATGGACCCGCCTGCGCCATTCCGGGCGATCTTGTGCGAGCCGATACCACTCGGACTCCGGAATATCCAGCGAGCGCAGATCACCGACAATCGTGTCTCGCCAACGCTTCTTTGGCCCATGCCGTGGTCTGGTTGCCTCGAGCTCCCCAAACAACACTTGTTGAGGAATCCGGGCCGCGTCCATACGAGCAACATGACCCAGCCAACGCACACACACGCACACACACACACACACACACACACATACACACACACACACACACAAGTGTGCAATACCGGCATAGGCAATACCACGCAGTATGCAACGGAACAAACAATCGTGCAAGCGGCACCTTCATTGTATGTATTAGTAGAGTGTATCCCGAGATATATCTCCGCAGGCGATCTGACAGCAACCAAACACAATGTTAAAGGAGCCACGAGAAAACGAGATATCTATTGGGAAGGACGGCAATGAAAAAAATAAGACAACACGCCTGGGCATTGACCGGTATTAAAAAATATGACTACTTCAAGTACACTCCGCATCTGCCACCTGAAAACAAAGTATACGTGCAGGCATGCTACAGGGACCTTCTGTGAACATAGCCATAAATAATAATATAGTTTTTTAAAGAACAACACTTTGTGCAAGAAGCTCAGCTCGGAATCCTAGCAATACGCCTTTCTTTGCCCTTCCGTGCGTGTAAAATAAAGTAAAATAGATGTTTTCCTCTTCCATCTGCCTCAATTGATGAATTTTTATCACAGAACCTCTTCTTTACAGATATTTATACAGATATAAAAAGCGTCGGAAAATGGGGTTAGTGATAAACATGTAGATAAATAAAAGGTAGTTTCTGCATAGTGCCATACGGTTTCTTTCAAAATCATTTCGATAAGTAAGGGTACTCTCTCTCTCTCTCTCTCTCTCTCTCTCTCTCTCTCTCTCTCTCTCTCTCTCTCTCTCTCTCTCTCTCTCTCTCACACACACACACACACGCACGCACACGCACACACGCACACACGCACACACGCACACACACACACACACACACACACACATGCGCAATGATGTGGAGCGGACAAGGACAAGCATGGGAGTAGAACATGTTCGAAAAAAGGAGATGAACTTAAAAATTCATCTAAAGTTTCGGCTGTGCAATGAAAATGTTTCCATCCTCATCACCAGCAGCCACTAACATTTGAGTAGGAGAAAAGCGGCAGCTAAGAACGTTCCTTATCGGATGGTATGGTGTAGTGATGTCCAGAAATTCTGAGAATGAATTCGGCACATCTCCGTGGAAGTCGATACGTTCAGCAATGAGTGGAAGATTGTGCCCCAGGCCTAGCAGGCGTATACGTGAACCGAACGGACTGCAAACAACGCGGTCATCAGACGAGATGCCTGGCTCCTTGACGATGCCTCGCGGCGGCGCTGAATCTTCAATAGTGCATAGCATCTTGCCCGACTTCAAGTCGTGTATGCACAGACACTCCTCATTAAATAGATTCGAGCACCGGGATAGAATGTGCTGGTTATCGGAAAAGATCTTCACTGACGTAATGAAGGTGACATCACTGGGCCAATCCACAATATCCTGCGCAGCACACTGTGTTGTGTCCAGTCCTCTCTCCTTCAGCTGGACGTCTTGAAACACTTGCAGCGTGCACGGTTCCTCATCGTCAAGGTAATACTGGTACTGCGACAAACGATTGTCGTACAGGCCAACGCACAGGATGGTCGCATCTGGTGATAGAGCAATGCGCATCAAGAACTGATTGCCACCATTGTAGTCGATGCACAGTCCATGGCCTTCAGACTGGCTTCTCTCTTCGGCACCATCTCTCAATGGTAACAAGCGAACCATCTGATCAAAACCTGACGACACCAAGCAGTGAGAGCGGCTATCATAGTAGATACTCTTCACCCATTCCCGGTGCCAGTTCAATCGCTCCAGAACCGGGACACGTGGCCACCGCATATCCCAAATCTTCACGGCTCGATCATCCGAGCATGTCGCAAACGACTCATTGGTGATGAAGCAGACGCAGTTGGTGCAGAATTCATGAGCGGGGATGTCTTTACACAGCCGCCGAGTGAGTGGGTCCATGACCAGGGCACGGCCATCTGCCATCGCTGCAACTACATAGTTACCATGCGGTGAGAACTCCACATTAAATACGGAGCCCACTGGCGGCCTATCCTCCAATATCGTCACATACTTCTTTTCATATGGCACATCTCCAGTGAACTTGATCTTCCGGTACATGGACAAGTGAGTATCGAGGCGATTCCAACCCCTGCCGGCAACTGTTCCAGCGGGTAATGGGTTGTACGCACTCCTCGTCCAGAGCTGAGATGGTGCGATACGAGTGTTCATCGTGCCTTTCAAGGCTGTTAGCCTGAGATGTAACACCTGCAAGGCTGCAGTGATCCACTGCTCCAGTCCAGTGCATACAGGGCTCTATGCAACCACAAGCGTAGTACACGTCCTACAAGTACAACGTAACGTGTACATCAGCAGTATACTTGTAGATTGCTGCACACAGTACAGCGAACCTGGTTGAGAATCGCCACCTTCCTTGTACGACTCGTACCACTACCAGCTCATAGTTCTGTCTCTATACTACAACAAGACTACATCGTGCTGCATACATGTCATGGCAGAAATACAGGTATCTATACTTATATCACCACCGACAACTCATTTACAAGAACAAGACTTATTTTTTTGAGCCGCTCGAACAAGTACTGTGCATTTTAATGATCTCCTGTCCAACACAGAAGTGACATGTAACGTTCGGGGTATCGCCTAATACTTACAAAGACAGCAACACTCCTCGATCTCTTGCTCTGCAACTCCAATGAAGTGCTGAAAATGTCACTCTGTTCCTGATGGAAATCTGACGAAATCACAGTGTCACTGTAGACTAGTGTTGATCGACTAGAGTGTATTTTGAATGCCGATACGATGAGTCTGGGCTTGATCTTGCAGGCGCGTGTACGTAGATCTACGTGTGCACATCTCACACGATATGACTCGACTGTGCATATGTGCACGTCTGTACGAGCTGACGAGCTCACTGTCAACAGCTCGCCTTCTCGTGGCCGTGGATCCATATGGTGGGGCTTTCCCATCCCCACCTAGCAGTAGATCTACGTGGATATCGTAGAGTAGATCTACTCGTAGTCGTAGATCTACGGTAGAGCGTACAAAGACATCATGTAAACGGCTTGGTGCGCTTGATTGCGCATCTCTATCTCAAAAAGTGTGACCGCGCTGCAGATTTGTGGTCGCACTTGCAGTTCCAGAACAGCAGAACGACGTAATCAACGTAGTCTACGGTACTGGTAGATCTGCCCGATGCATGTAATCATGTCCCCCCACCGCTGCACCACCACATACACACTCCGCAAGCTTGCAAGGTAAACAATGCATGGTAAATCATCAAGACATACAAAACTAAAAGTAAAAAGGTGATGGGGGTTTGAAAATGGACCGTTGGTATTGTGTCCTCGAGTTCTTTCGCAAACAAACCCTTCTTTCAAACTAGTACCATCCCAGTGGAGTATCTGGATTGTCGGAGCAGGGACCTTGACTGTAACTGTTGCGGTATTACATGTACTGACAATACTGAATTGATATTCTCTTTTCAAGAATGAAATGTATTATGTCAGAAATGAGTAATTGTTCATTAGAGGCCTGACAACTTACTTGTGAAGTAAGTTGAAGGCTGAATATTGCAGACATGTCGATCAGTTCGACGGGAGCTGCGACGCAAAAAGCACAATCTGATCGTTGTCGAGTAGCCGTGTGCCTAAACAATGGAGCCACCGTTCAAATTCTTTGTTCACGGTCCATCCTCATGTCCGTAAGTACTGGCAGATTTAGGCCACAAAGCATAATGAGGAACACGTTATGAGAAGTACATGATTGTACTTCAAAATGCACTGGACCAGTTTTATGTTCAACGGATCTTGAACTGTCAGAATGTGTGCTGAAGTTGACACAGAACTGACAGAGTGCTGAGGCGTACTTTACACTTAGCCCTTAGCCCGAGCAAAGCTCTGTGGTGTGAGCCATTACATTACGGGTTTCCAACCAGGAATGTTCATGACTTAGCATAGGGGTCGGAAGGTATTGTGGGGTGGTACGGTCAGCCATCTGAAGTACAATTCACTTGTGTGTGTGTGTGGGGGGGGGGGGGGGGGGGCTGCAGTGAATAATTTCGACACTGCCCGAATCGTTGCATTTCATTGAAGCACGGGGTACCTGGCGCAAAGAGTGGCACGGTCATTACCGTAGTAACTGTAGAATTTCTGCCACCCCTGTTTAGAGTAATGATATGGGAGGGGGCTGGGAGGTCAGCGCAATCGGGATGAACCAAAGCTACATCTCATGGCCACAAAGAATGTTGGTCAACGACACGCTAATATTATTCGAGATAGAATATTACGTCGGGTCCACTAACGATTTGGTTCGAGGAGGTTGCAACACAGTGTTCGTGAGGTCCAATCACCCGGATGCATGGTGTGTCATCTCGAATACAAGAACTCAAAAACTGTTTGACATCCCTCCCCATATACATGTATATGAGCGAGAATACACAAGATCAAGCAAGAGGTTTTGAAGTGTAGCCTGCTCACCATGGTTTGGCGACCTGGAACTCAAAACGTGCACAGTCCTGCATCGGTCTATTCACTGTGCCAAGACATGCATCTTACCTAGCCTACTATGCCTTTGCGCACTTTGATCGGAGCAGCTCTGTCCAGCGATGTCTGAACAACCGGCGGTGTAGGACTCTTTGAGCAATGATGTGCCGAAGAACTTGCAGGCTGACACGAGGGCCGGTGCGGTATGGAGCTCCTCCATAAGCTCCTCCATACGCTTGCATGTGAATGCCCAAAGCACCGCGTGAGCTCATCACATATTTCCCGCAGTACTCTTGCATCACGCGGTCCGCAGGTACACACTACACCTTGTGCGTTGTATGTAACATGAGCCACGTGTCCCTTAAGTCTGCTTGCAGTATATTTGGCCACATATTGATCGTCATAAATAAGTAAAGTTCAATGAAGTGTGAATTGAAGCGGCCATCTTAGATCCACTGCTTCTGAACACTTACATTTGTTTTCTCCTTCCTAGGACCTGGCCAGTCGGGTGTGGGCACAAGTTGGCCAAATGGGTACGACAAACAATCGTCTCCTGTCACGTCACTTCGCTTTCTTGCTGGAAAGTGTTGTCAGCAAGCAGGAGTTCAAGTACTGGTTACCGAATACGATGACTTTAGCAGAGGCCGAGGAGCGCTACATGACCTATGTAGGCTGTCCTGTGTCTGCTTGGAGGTAGGTGACAGTTACTATCAGTACACATAGTGTATGCATATGTGTGTGTGTGTGTGGGGGGGGGGGGGGGGTGTTGAGGAGCATTTAAAAGGCTGATCCCCGCTTTAAAGCCACATTGAGCTAAGCGGTATACACTATTATCGATTGCACCATCACGTATATTACTACCCCTTGGGCAAGTGTGCATGTGTCACAAATTTCACCTTAGAAAGCTCTTAGAAAGCTCTCAATCGGCAATGATGTTTCTTGTGCTCGGTACAGGTATCGCTTGAAACTCCGTTACTTTCCTGACTGCTATAAAGAGGTGGTGGAGGGCAATGAAGTGTTTGCCAACTACTTCTTCTCTCAGGTGTGAACATGTGTATGTGTGTGTAGAGGGGGGGGGGGGTCTGTCTGTCTATCTATATACCTGTGTATGTCTCTGTGTCTCTGTCTGTTTGCCCGCTTGCTCACATGTCTGTCTGTCTGTTTGTTTGTCTGACTATCTCAAACCACACTAACTTTCTGTCCGTTTATTTGTCTGTCTGCCTGTCTGTCTGTCTATCTGCCTTTGTGTACAGTGTGTGTGTTATGTGTGTCTGTGTTCCTGTGTTCCTGTGTTCCTGTGTTGGTGTGTATCATGGTATCGCCCTTAGGCCAATCTGTCAAATCTGTGTGTACACAACTGAAGTATTTGGATGTGTGCCTGTGGCCTTCTGTATGAACATGTACAGGCCTCTGTGTTCTTTAAATCCTCGTAGCACATGTAGTGCAGTGGACAGAACAAAGCCTTGCAAACTTTGCAAAGAGTGCACTTTGTTTTACTCCCACTGGTGGTCTTCTCACCTACCCAGCTCTCTTATTATTCTTGTTGTACATGTGTTGCTTCTGTGTATGGCAGTTACGTGAGGAAGTGCACCTCTCCGTTGTGTTGACTGTTGACACGGCACTGAAGCTTGCAGGGTTTGAAGCCAGGTACGTCTCTGCCACTAGTTTTATAGCAGTACATGTACACACTGTTGTGGACAGTGAGATTCGGTGGAATGACCGGAGCCGGCGCCCTACTGCCGTTAATAGCGCGTAGTCCACGCCCACACACACACACACGCACTGCAAAGATGGACCAGCAGTGCTCGCGGCTGCAAGCAAGATCTCTTTGGGCACGGCTGTAGTAGTATGCAAAGTCAATGATACTTAATCCATAGACTGTAGTAGTATGCAAAGTCAATAGTACTTTTAAATCCATAGACTGTAGTACTTAATCCATAGACTGTAGTACTTAATCCATAGACTGTGTGTACAGTGTACCCACTGCAGTACAAGTCAAGGGCCACAGAGTCTGCATGAGCCCTGGCATGGCATTTGACTTGGGGTAGGAATACTCTGGGCACAACTATCATCTACAATGTCTTGTACACCTATGCACAGGGAGCAGGGCGAGCAGGATTGTCTCTGATCACATTCTCAGACAGTCATGTTAACATGAGGCTCGCAGTTCATCTCATTCCAGGAGCGTATTACTATTGATTCATACCTGGGCTCTATCCTTGGCCCGGCTGTACAATGGGAACTTGTCTTCAGCATGGCTGCTGGGTGTAGTATGTTGGGCTGGTCTGACTGCTAAGCTCTGTTTATTATGTTGGTCTTACCCTATTCTTGTTTATGCTTTCTTGTTCTCTGCCCTATCTCCACTGGTAGGAGACTACTGGCAGCTCATTCCCAAGGGATGTTTAAAAAGAGTCGAATTGAAAGTCTAATGTAAGTGACCACGCGGCATGACGTAGCAGTGTTATCTGACCGACGTCACTCATACCGTAACTGTTTCTTGTGCTCTCTCTCTCTCTCTCTCTCTCTCTCTCTCTCTCTCTCTCTCTCTCTCTCTCTCTCTCTCTCTCTCCGTCTCTCTGATCTACCCTCTACCCACGTAGCTAACCATTGATAATAAAACATTTTTTCTTGGCATGGAAAGATTTATTGTCAGGATTGTATTCCTTCTGCAATGTTATTTTTCTGGCTACACGAGAAACCTGTCTACAATGTTCAGCATGACTGTAGCTTATCTTTCTGTGCTTCTGCCTCTTCTTTGCTTACAGTCGCGAGCTTGGCATAGAATTCTTCTTTCCGAAGCGCATTTTGAAGGCAGTAAAGGTACTGCTGTGTTTGTGAACAGTGGCGGAGTCGCTGAGTACTTTGGTGATGTGACAGTGTGGGTTGGTGTGTGAAGGTGTGTGTGTGTGGGCATGCTGTCTTGTATTTTGCCATGCGTTACCCGTCAGGGTACAGTGTCTTCATAGCCGGGAAAATCCCCTGATTCAGCTATCATCAGACAGTGGCAGACAGTTTGTACTGTTGGACATGTAGTTTAGTGCAAGGCTGGCTTGTTGACATTGTATTGTTTCACTGCACTAGTCCATGTATAGCAGAGTGGTGAATTTAGTGATCATACCATACAGTCGGTCAGTTGGTCAGAGCGCTGGTGACAAAAATCAATGCACTGGTGTGCTAATACCGTAGAATCCCGCGGAGAAGCCCACCCGCGTATAAGCCCATGCCCGCGCATAAGCCCAGGGAAAGTTCGAACATCACAAGCCTTCGCCGTACAAGCCCATGGGCCGAAGTTGTACCATGTACATGTATGATGTACGTAGTACGAGTACATGTAGGTTTTTTTGTACATTTCAACACAATCATCGGTTGTTTTTGTTTGCACAGTGGCTTTCAGCAATGTACTTCTCACTTCCTTGGTACTTTTCAATAGCACAATGTTGGTGTCAGCGTATAAGCCCATGCCCGCGTATAAGCCCATGTTCTTGTATAAGCCCACCGAAATGTCCTTGTGAAACAGATAAGCCCATGGGCTTATCCGCTACGGTAGTGTCGGCAGTAGTACACTAGGGAGTCACAAGAACAAGATGTATATGCTAGTACAGGTCGTCCCTTGTTAATACATAATCTCTGGGACTTGACAAATGTTATGTATTAACGGGGTTTATGTACTAAACGAAAGTGTACATAACTTGCTTGTATACTAGAATTTTTCACTTTTTTCAACTTTTCTGAGTGTTTCTTGCTGCCATGACTAGGGAGCGAGATATTCTTGATTCCCTCGATATAACATAACAATTATGTTATAACGGTCACAGTCAGCGAAGATTCTACAGTTTACATGATACATGTCCAGCCGTTCCTGTATACAGTCACTCGAAAAAAAACAGAGCTTTGTCGGTTTGTGATGTGCGCTCTGATTTCTGAGCTAATTGCATCCACAAGTAGAAACTAGAACACGACGTGCCTCCACTGGAAGGCCAAAAGACCAACAAATTATGTACTATTGAGGTAGGTGGCATGCGGGTACGGAGAAATGTTATGTACTAACGGGGTTTATGTACTAACGAATTATGTACTAACCGACAAAATTTGTATGGAAGTGACCACGTTTCGTCCGGGACTTGAGATTTCTTATGTACTAACGGGGTTTATGTACTAACCGGACTCGTATTAACGGGGAACGACCTGTACATGTAGTTTTTAGTGCAGCCTGCTTGCGACATGTCATGTACTTTTAAGTCACACACTTGCGATAAGTCTAGCACCTTTGTAACAGCATAGCATGTCCTGTGTGTACATGTATGTATACCGCATCTGTACGTCACTCACTCGTGATGCTAGTTAGTCACGCAATGTTTTCCCCAGGACTGAGTCTACAACTAATACTTATTGAGAGCAAGCTGTAGTCTCAACATGCCATCAGCATAGCATGATAGAGGTGTGCTAGTCAGTACACAGCGTGGTAGTCTCACCATCCAGTGGGTAACTTACTTAGTCTCACCATCCAGTCGGTAACTTACTTAGTCTCACCATCCAGTGTCACTAGTTTTACCAACCAGTCAGTGGTCTCACCAACCAGTCAATGGTCTCACCATCCAGTCAGTGGTCTCACCATCCAGTCAGTGGTCTCACCAACCAGTCAGTGGTCTCACCATCCAGTCAGTGGTGTCACCATCCAGTCAGTGGTCTCACCAACCAGTCAGTGGTCTCACCATCCAGTCGCTAGTCTCACCAACCAGTCAGTGGTCTCACCATCCAGTCAGTGGTCTCACCATCCAGTCAGTGGTCTCACCATCCAGTCAGTGGTCTCACCATCCAGTCAGTGGTCTCACCATCCAGTCAGTGGTCTCACCATCCAGTCAGTGGTCTCACCAACCAGTCAGTGGTCTCACCATCCAGTCGCTAGTCTCACCAACCAGTCAGTGGTCTCACCATCCAGTCAGTAGTCTCACCAACCAGTCAGTGGTCTCACCATCCAGTCAGTGGTCTCACCAACCAGTCAGTGGTCTCACCATCCAGTCGCTAGTCTCACCAACCAGTCAGTGGTCTCACCATCCAGTCAGTGGTCTCACCATCCAGTCAGTGGTCTCACCAACCAGTCAGTGGTCTCACCATCCAGTCAGTGGTCTCACCATCCAGTCAGTGGTCTCACCATCCAGTCAGTGGTCTCACCATCCAGTCAGTGGTCTCACCATCCAGTCAGTGGTCTCACCAACCAGTCAGTGGTCTCACCATCCAGTCGCTAGTCTCACCAACCAGTCAGTAGTCTCACCAACCAGTCAGTGGTCTCACCATCCAGTCAGTAGTCTCACCATCCAGTCGCTAGTCTCACCAACCAGTCAGTGGTCTCACCATCCAGTCAGTGGTCTCACCATCCAGTCAGTGGTCTCACCATCCAGTCAGTGGTCTTACCAACCAGTCAGTGGTCTCACCATCCAGTCAGTGGTCTCACCATCCAGTCAGTGGTCTCACCATCCAGTCAGTTGTCTCACCAACCAGTCGCTAGTCTCACCAACCAGTCAGTGGTCTCACCAACCAGTCAGTGGTCTCACCATCCAGTCAGTGGTCTCACCAACCAGTCAGTGGTCTCACCAACCAGTCAGTGGTCTCACCAACCAGTCAGTGGTCTCACCATCCAGTCAGTGGTCTCACCAACCAGTCAGTGGTCTCACCATCCAGTCAGTAGTCTCACCATCCAGTCAGTAGTCTCACCAACCAGTCAGTGGTCTCACCAACCAGTCACTGGTCTCACCATCCAGTCAGTGGTCTCACCAACCAGTCAGTGGTCTCACCATCCAGTCAGTGGTCTCACCATCCAGTCAGTAGTCTCACCAACCAGTCAGTAGTCTCACCATCCAGTCAGTAGTCTTACCAACCAGTCAGTGGTCTCACCAACCAGTCAGTGGTCTCACCAACCAGTCAATAGTCTCACCAACCAGTCAGTAGTCTCACCATCCAGTCAGTGGTCTCACCAACCAGTCAGTAGTCTCACCATCCAGTCAGTAGTCTCACCAACCAGTCAGTGGTCTCACCATCCAGTCAGTGGTCTCACCAACCAGTCAGTGGTCTCACCATCCAGTCAGTGGTCTCACCATCCAGTCAGTGGTCTCACCAACCAGTCAGTGGTCTCACCATCCAGTCAGTGGTCTCACCATCCAGTCAGTGGTCTCACCATCCAGTCAGTAGTCTCACCAACCAGTCAGTGGTCTCACCATCCAGTCAGTGGTCTCACCAACCAGTCAGTGGTCTCACCATCCAGTCAGTAGTCTCACCAACCAGTCAGTGGTCTCACCATCCAGTCAGTGGTCTCACCAACCAGTCAGTAGTCTCACCATCCAGTCAGTGGTCTCACCATCCAGTCAGTGGTCTCACCAACCAGTCAGTAGTCTCACCATCCAGTCAGTAGTCTCACCAACCAGTCAGTAGTCTCACCATCCAGTCAGTAGTCTCACCAACCAGTCAGTGGTCTCACCATCCAGTCAGTGGTCTCACCAACCAGTCAGTGGTCTCACCATCCAGTCAGTGGTCTCACCAACCAGTCAGTGGTCTCACCATCCAGTCAGTGGTCTCACCATCCAGTCAGTGGTCTCACCATCCAGTCAGTAGTCTCACCAACCAGTCAGTGGTCTCACCATCCAGTCAGTGGTCTCACCAACCAGTCAGTGGTCTCACCATCCAGTCAGTAGTCTCACCAACCAGTCAGTAGTCTCACCATCCAGTCAGTGGTCTCACCAACCAGTCAGTAGTCTCACCATCCAGTCAGTGGTCTCACCATCCAGTCAGTGGTCTCACCAACCAGTCAGTGGTCTCACCATCCAGTCAGTGGTCTCACCATCCAGTCAGTGGTCTCACCATCCAGTCAGTAGTCTCACCAACCAGTCAGTGGTCTCACCATCCAGTCAGTGGTCTCACCAACCAGTCAGTGGTCTCACCATCCAGTCAGTGGTCTCACCAACCAGTCAGTGGTCTCACCATCCAGTCAGTGGTCTCACCAACCAGTCAGTAGTCTCACCATCCAGTCAGTGGTCTCACCATCCAGTCAGTAGTCTCACCAACCAGTCAGTGGTCTCACCAACCAGTCAGTGGTCTCACCATCCAGTCAGTAGTCTCACCATCCAGTCAGTGGTCTCACCAACCAGTCAGTAGTCTCACCATCCAGTCAGTGGTCTCACCATCCAGTCAGTGGTCTCACCATCCAGTCAGTAGTCTCAACATCCAGTCAGCATATTACTGCAGTTTGCACTCATCCAGTATAAAGGAGAGGAAAGTTCTGTTGCAACTCCGAATTTCACATTTGTTGCATTTACATGTACTGTCACCGTCAACTTGCCAATCACCAGGCAACCTCTGACCCAGGGCATAGAACACCTTGGAGCCATGAAGCACCCTACAATGAACCCTGTCAAAGACAACCACTAAAGGGACGTTCAAAACGTGGTCTCTGCTGCCAGGTGGTCTCTGCTGCCAGGGTCATTTGAGTGGACCCCTTGGTTGTGTTACTGGTTGCAATGGTTTTCTGGGAAAGGTGGTCGACTCGCCTTATCCGAGTGGTCGCCCTGACAGGTTTATTGTACTTGTTTTTGATTATTTTCAACTCTTTACTTACATACTCAATGTGTGTGTTTGTTTTGCCCCCAGAGCAAACAACTGAAGAAGAGTCTCCTTCAGCAGATTAAGACGCTGGAGAGCTTGACCCAGGAGGAGTGCGTTCTCAATTACATCAGCCTATGCTATCACCACGGCAACATCTGTAGACAGGAATTCTCCTGTTCTCGAGATGTACGTGGTTCACGTCTCTATTCAGACTATTGTTCTGCTGTCCAGGGAGTCGTAAAATACCGGTATTTTATGACTCCTTGCTTCTGTCCTTATCTGTCAGTTATCTTCGGCGGCGGCTGTCGTGGTCGTGTTTCTTGAATACATGTACCGTAAAATCCCGCCAGAGCGCCCCGTCTCTCCCATCCGCCTTCCCTGACTTCTTGTCAGGGAAGTGATTGATTGTATCCTCGTATGACTCTGTGCTACCGTACTGTACTGCAGAGTCAGACACGTGCTTGACCCCGTTGGAAATGTACGCAACATTGCCCACCCTCTTGACCAGGGGTCGCACAGACTCTGAGTGTTGATGGGTCTGTACGACTCCTGGCTCTTGACCTTTGGTCGGTGTATGAGATGCACGACCAGTTTTTGTAGGGTGAGTACTTTTTCATGGAGTACTGAATGCGGCAAGTAGGACTCACCCATCCGCCCCTCCCCAACGAAGCGTCGAGGAGGTTGGGGCGCTCTGGCGGGATTTTACGGTATAATTATGTAACACAGGGGGGGAAGTGGTCCCGCCCACTGCAAAGAGGGCTCAATCGTGCTGGGGTGCACTGGAGCTAGTACACACAATGGAAGCGGTCCTCACCAAGGAAACATAATAGAGAGGTTCTGCACAACGAAAATTCGAACGAAGTTTCGCGACAGGCCTTGCGAAAATGTGTACGAATTTTCGCACGAACTTTGTGTTCTGCACATTTTCGTAGTTTGCACGCGCCAAGTGCACGTACGACATGACCCAATCTCACGAGACTTCCTACGAAAGTTCATTTCGCGTTCCCTGCAAGTTTCGCGTCCACAGTTGCGAAAGTTCGTGCGAAGTTTCTCACTTCGTGACGTAGAGCGAAAGTTCGTACACATTTTCGTTTTGCAGAACCTCTCTAATCTGTTGCCACTCTGAGTTTCTTGAGTTTTCGATCATCAGGCAACATAAATATAACTGTATGAAACTCTGAGTAGCAACAGATTTATGTTTCCTTGGTGAGGACCGCTTCCATTGGGTGTATAATTATGTAATGTATTTTGATATACCGTATTTCCGCGCATATAAAGCCATGGCGTTATAGGTGAAACATCGCTGTTTTGGACCAAATTTTTGGAGAAAATAGCCTCGGTTTTAACACCATGGCGCTAAAAGTGAGAGACGCTTACATGAAAAAAATCGGCAGAGTATGAACTTCGAGTACTCGTATGGTGCCGTTGCACGTTCATATCGAGCATCCATATACTTTCAATTTTCCCTGAAAATTTCAAATTGTGAACCTATTGTGTACAAGGTGGCATACAAACGTGTGTGAAGGTGCGGTGACGGTATGGCATGTGACAGATAAGTGAGGGTGGGCTTATATTCGGATATAACGCCATGGCTTTATATGCGCGGAAATACGGTAACAGTGTATGCACTGCCTGTTAGTTGTACACAGTGATATTCTGGACGTGGTATTATTCTGGCTGTTGCCGCTCTGCTGGTGGTGATAACGCGCGGTGATAACTTTGGTTGTCATGGGAATGGTGCAGAAACGGCTGATTCAGATCGTGTTCTAACTTCACTTTCTCTTTTTTTCTTTCTTTGCCCATTTGGGTTTTGATATGCATGTCTGATTTGTGTGTCGTGTTGTGTTTGAAAATTGTGTTTGTACACGTTGGAATACTAGGGCACACCAGTGACCATGACGATTTGCCCAACACGTGGCTTGGTGTTTCACTCTACGTTCGCACCTGAGGTAAGTACTTGAAAGTTGAAGCTCGGCGCGCACCAATCTTCACCCAGCCACTTCCATCTACGGCCAGACTTCACAGAAATGATGTACATGTATCATGAATTCATGATATATTCATTGATGTGGTCCCCATGATTGGCCTACACACCAAGTGTTGGCGGCTGCGCATTCTATGTAGTACATTACTGGTTTTGTACTTCAAGGCACTTCTGTATCATGCAGCCTGTGCAGAGATTTACTCCTGGATTGCTGCTTGGACCGGCCGTATTATCTTTGTAATCAAGCATGGTGTGTACGTGCGTGTGTATGCGTATCCCATTGCCCAGCATCTAACGCCGAGCCTGCCGTTCTGCGTCTTAAAGGAGGTGTCACTGACGGTAACGCAGGACTCCAAGTCCATTGTAAATATCTGCATCTATCATAAGGATGTAAGTGATGATGTTGACGAGCCAGAGGGGCAATGTTCTTGATCACTGCATGCTGGTGTATCTTGATGAGCCAGAGGGGCAATGTTCTTGATCACTGCATGCTGGTGTATCTTGATGAGCCAGAGGGGCAATGTTCTTGATCACTGCATGCTGGTGTATCTTGATGAGGCAGAGGGGCAATGTTCTTGATCACTGCATGCTGGTGTATCTTCCGAGAGGCTGCAGGTTTGAGTCCACTTGGGATTGTATTAGGGATGAAACCATTGTACCGAAATAACCGAATAGTCGATCACTCCCTCGGTTTTTTGAAAAATAACCGTACTCGAAATTAATCGGAGTACTCATTCACTGTATGTGTATTTACTGCAGAAATCAGCAGTTTCAGAGCAGCCAGCAGTAGATATTGATGTGCAGGCTGTGTCATGAGCATTGGTACAGGAATAGAGCTAGAGGGGAACCCTAATGACTACCAATCAATATACTCTAGAGAATGGCCGCCAATCTGTTCATTCCCATACCGTATCGTGTGAGTTTTAGGCTGTTATTTGCAGCTTGCAGTGGAAGATAAAAGAATTCTCGCATACTCGATCGGAGAAAATCAGAGCACTCGAACTTGGGATTGCACTGCAAACTTTCAACCCTAGTCTGCATGTGACTTCGCAGTTACAGTTTGCACTGCAAACTTTCAACCCTAGTCTGCATGTGACTTCGCAGTTACAGTTTGCACTGCAAACTTTCAACCCTAGTCTGCATGTGACTTCGCAGTTACAGTTTGCACTGCAAACTTTCAACCCTAGTCTGCATGTGACTTCGCAGTTACAGTTACAGTTTGTTTCCATCTCTCTTGCTTACACATGTGTTTTTTACTCTTGGTTTTGCTGATTTTACATGCTGTCAATACAGGACCTTGTACATCTAGAGTTCTCGTCTATATGCACTGCGTTTGATATGGTGTCCCTAATCGATGGCTACTGCCAGTGTTTCTGTAAAACCCCAGTTGGATCACTATTCGTTTCAGCTTTGTTCCCTGGTAAGACCAGTTATAGGGACTCCGCTAAGTGTGTGTGTATGTGTGCGTGTGTGTGTGTGTGTGTGTGTGTGTGTGTGTGTGTGTGTGTGTTCATGTGTGTGCATGTGGGTATGTGCATGTCATTGTGTGTGTGCATGTGTGTTTGTACGTGTACGTGTGTGTGTATGTGTGTGGCGTGTGTATGTGTGTGTATGTGTGTGTGTATATGTGTGTGTGTGTGTGTGTGTGTGTGTGTGTGTGTGTGTGTGTGTGTGTGTGTGTGTGTGTGTGTGTGTGTGTGTGTGTGTGCATGTGTGTGTGTGTGCATGTGTGTGTATGTGTGTGTATGTGCATGCATGTGTGTGTGTGTGTGTGTGTGTGTGTGTGTGTGTGTGTGTGTAATGTGTGTGTTTCTGAAGTCTCTTCAAAAGGAAACGAATGCATGTTGCCTCAGGTTGTGTTTCCCATCAGTAGGAAGCAGTGAGTTGGTACTGGTGCAGGGGCGCCCTGCCCCAAAAAATGGAGTATTACGGTAAACATGCATTGCGGATTCGGGTCTCACTTTTTTTTCGGAATCAACGATGACACCGAGGTCACTGGCATGCACCTTTCTGCTCCGAAACCGGCTTTTGCCGTTCAGCCGCGCACTTGTGCCTGGCAAGGTGGCACTGACGCTCAAAGCGCCAAGAGCATGCGCAGCAAGTCACCAGTGCTGGGACCTGGGGCGTCCGACGTGTAAGCCGACCTTCAGTCTGGGCGAGAATCACAGGCCACCCTGTACCAGTCCGCTTCAAGGTCTCATACGCGTAGGTCCTTCACAGCACAGTCTTTTCACTGCCGATGTGGGCCGTGGGCCGGGCATGATTACCACAATACCCCATTTTTGGGGCAGAGCGCCCCTGGGCCAGACCCGCTAGTTGCTTCCAACTCTCGTCCTGCCTAGTCCGTATACGGTGCATTGCAAGGGTTGTGCTTAGCAGTGGATACAGTTCGAACAGTGTGATGCAGTTGGCAGCAAAGCCATATTGCATGTTGCCTCATGTCAACCTGTACCTCACCTGCAATGTACTTCAGAAGTATACATATACCGGTATTGAGGTTGTCATACGGTTTTCCTATGCATGTGTGCAGGTGCAGATGAGCCCATGTTGAAGGCAGGTGCTGTTCCTGGAATGCCTAAAATGTAAGTGCACTCTTTTAATTTCGCTTTGTTTGCTATCCACTGCAGTCAAAGTTTCGTATTTATCAGACCCGTAGCCTAGACCGTTCCTTTTCCATGTGCTACGGTCTATGCACAGTTGAGTCACCGTGTATACATGTACATTGGTATGCTGTGCTTGGTGAAATCCCAGGCTGTCCGTTCTTTGGCACTACGTTCTTCGGCGCCTGACAGCACTGTAGTACTCAATGACTTATACCAGTAACCAGCACAGCACGTACAGCAAACCATGATCCTACGGCTGTAAGGGTGTGAAGAACGACTGGGAATGACAGGCCTCCTTCTTTCGTTCTTTCATAACACAACATGGTAGTGAGAGCAATGTACATACACCATCGCACGGCAACACTTTATCCAACCATGAAACTCTATAGCGATCTGCTACCTGATGCGTCAGAGATTCCCTGTGATGTTCAAGTGCTGGGGTGGGGTATGCATATAGGCCAAGACTTGCATGATTTTGGTTTCAAAAGACATACCCAACATGCCATTCAGGCATTCACTGCTGTCACCATTTACATGTACCGGTACTTGCTTGTAAGAACATATTGTATGTAATGTTGTTGTGTTGTGATCTCGAACTTGTCAGTCACTGAACTGATTTTATTGTAAATTAGACATGAACTTATAGAGTGTAAAGAAGAGTATAGCGAGATAGAGAGCGGTGGAAGGAGAGCCACTGGACAGCTGGATAGTGTATCAACAAGCGCACGAGGGGAAGGCTAGAAAGTATGTCTCTAGACAACAACAGGTATTGTACGAAAAGCCAGTCAACAGCACTAAGGAGTGAAGTCAACCACAACACAGACAATAGCTTCAGACAATCATGACAGGCATGATACAGATATAACATCTCCCCTTTCAAGAGTGAAACTGGCGGGCAAAGAGGCCAAATAGAACTGGAGTATTTGATACTAGAGTCAGCAGAGAGAGAGCGCAACCATGCATTATGTGTGAGGAGAGTCAGCCCAAAGACTAAGACGCTGAGATCACATTGCGACTCTACGAGTACAGAATACAAAATAGGAAAGTACATGACATGGAGTTACCCTAAGAATGGAGAGTCCATGTCAGCATCGTACTCACGGACAGCATGACTGTTAGGTGCTGTGGGGGTACCTGAAGTAACCCCACCCACGGATCTCTGACTCTTGTCACGTCGGCGCTGGCGACATACTGCGCTGAAGTGTCCATGTTCTTGGCAATTGTGACACACTTTGTCTGTAGCTGGGCAGTCACGCCGAGGGTGAGCTGCACCACCACAGTTCTCGCACAATCGTTTCTGCACTTCGGCAACGGTGTCGCTGGGCGAGCAGGACGACGTCGGGTTGTCTGAGGTTTCCGCCAGGGCCGGTGAACCTGGGAGAGACCTTCTGAGCGCCATCTCTGTCCTCTCCGTTCGCAGGTAAGTTTCTGCCTGCTCGGCAGTCTTGGTAGCGGTCTGAGGCGCTTGACGGAGGAGGAAGACTTGGGCATCGGCCGGGAGGGCCGCGATTAGCTGTTCTCTTACTAGGAGGTCCTTGATGTCGTCCAAGGATGTTGCAGGCGCGTACTGGAGCCACTTGTCGTACGTTTAGGAGAGGCGGTGATGCAGTTCCATGCACGTCTCAACTGGTTCGAGGGCGGCTTTGCGGAAGCGGCGACGATACGCTTCCCCATCGATTTGGAATCGACCGAGAACTGCCGCCTTGACTTTGTCAAAATCTCCGAGGTCGGACGACGGGAGAGCATTGTAGGCGGCGAGGGCCTTACCAGTGAGGTATGGAGTGACGGCCAGAGCATGTCGATTTGGGGCGATTCCGTGGCCCTGGAGAACGGAGGCGATCATGTGGAACCAATGTTCGGGGTCGGCGGAGTCCGTCAGCGGAGTCAACTTCGGCAGCGGTGGAGCTGAGGCTAACGGAGAGGCTGTGATGTTCTTTTGCAAAGAATGCACGAATGTACCGATAGCGGCGGTGAGGGACTGGGAGTCGCTCGTTGACTGATGTTGAAGCTGGGTTAGCTGAAGGAAGAGAGCGGACAGATCCGGGCTAGATTCTTTCGTAGTGCCAGTGCGTGTTCCGGGCATGATTCCGAGCTGCGACGGGCAGGAACACAGGTAGATCTACGGAGGAGGCTACTTAGAGGCAGACGAACGGTTTCTGCAATGAGGCAGAATTACTATAGAGAGCCTGAGTGAGTGGGCTAAAACGGGGAAAGAGGAGTACAGTTTGAGGACAAAGCACCTCGGCTGGATTCGGAATCAAGCCGCTTCTGACACCATGTTGTGATCTCGAACTCGTCAGTCACTGAACTGATTTTATTGTAAATAAGACATGAACTTATAGAGTGTAAAGAAGAGTATAGCGAGATAGAGAGCGGTGGAAGGAGAGCCACTGGACAGCTGGATAGTGTATCAATAAGCGCACGAGGGGAAGGCTAGACAGTATGTCTCTAGACAACAATAGGACTGGTATTGTACGAAAAGCCAGTCAACAGCACTAAGGAGTGAAGTCAACCACAACACAGACAATAGCTTCAGACAATAATGACAGGCATGATACAGATATAACAGCACTAAGGAGTGAAGTCAACCACAACACAGACAATAGCTTCAGACAATCATGACAGGCATGATACAGATATAACACGTTGCACAAGCACCCACACATACCCACATCACAGTCGTATCAATATGCATTGACAGGAACTGTTATAACTGCAAGTTGCTGTGCTGGAGTTGTACATGCCTTGCAATCACCGGACGTCCGATGACTAGGAAGTTCAGTAATGAAGGTGGCCTATTTTATTTTTTATTTTAGGGGCTATCCATTATTGTTGTCACTTACCGGTGGAGAACCAAATATAACTTTTCCCAGCACCCCCCCCCCCCCCCCCCCCCCGATAGCATATGCTCAGTATAATAGTAAACACACAGACCCCCGCTGTCGCCGTGCTCTTCAAACTCCCATGGTAAGGGGCACCATTTCTGGATGGCCCCTAAAGGCTGATGTTTTTGTAGGCAAAGGATACCACAGTTCCATTACTAGTTGGTTGTATTTGGCCTCCTACTAGTATCTCATAATCACCCATCTGATGGCCCATGGGTGACCGATGAAGACTGGAGGAAATGTCATTGCACTGTATATTGGCTTGTTGTGTAGACTCGTTTGCGTCGGTTTAATCCGCCCTGTGCTATGTGTGTTTGTGCGTTGGTGTGCTGCTGCTGCTGCTGCTGCTGCTGCTGCTGCTGCATCTAGAGCATTTGCCCCGTGCGACTCGAGAACCGGAGACACTAGCGACCCGGATACCGTCCTATTCGCAAGGGAGCCTGGTGAGAGAATGTGTGTGTGTGTGTGCAGTCAAGTAACGCTATACCCCTTACACATGTATACAGAAGTAACGCTATACCCCTTACACATGTATAGTCAAGTAACGCTATTCCCCTTACACATGTATACAGAAGAACATTCCTTGACTACCGGTCACAGTGTTCAATACACGACGTGTGCAGACTTAGTACAAACGAAATGCCTGTTACTAGGATCATGGTTGAGACAAATTTCTCTGATGATTGTCGCGTGAAAATCGATGAGGAAACCTTCACCTTTGTTATATTTTTGTTACTTCAACGTTCAATGTCCGCTTTTGTTAATACTGTTCATCGGCACTCTACCGTAACAAGCGCAGACCTATAGACTACTACTACTACTACTAGACTAGTACTGGTTGTTGTTGAGTACATGCAGTGCTGCAGTGGTACATTCTGTGAACTAGTTCTAGAAAGGCAGTACTCTGTGCGCCTCTGTTGTGTTGCTTCTCATGATGACAGACTACACCGTTCCCACTGCTGGCAGTCCTGAGCCAAGTCGGCAGCGTAGCCGTTCCAAGCGCCAAATCAGAAGGTTAACATCGATTGGGTCTAGCATGTCGGCATCATCCGGTGATTCATCAGCAGTGTGTGGTGGTGCTGGTGGTGCTGGTAGTAACGTACGCCAACGCAGCAGCCCCAGTTCCAAGCCGAAGAACTTGCAACGAAGCGAATCTCACCTGTCCACAGACTCTGTCTCGGATCGTAAGGATGTCAGGCTGATAATGTTTGTGGTTATAAATACTCTGTCTTGTACCCAATGTGTGTGTGTGTGTGTGTGTGTGTGTGTTGGGGGGGGGGGGGGGGGGGGGGCAAGTAGTTGAATGCACTAACTGACCATCTGGGTCCCCAAACTTTGCCGTTTGCTGTAATATATCTGGGGCCCGTGCTGCAGCTCACACAATCATTGCAACTGGACAATCGCAGTAATCCAGCAAATTTGTGCAGTCGACTTTTGATACAGGCATACAGCGAACACCAATGTACAGGATGATTAGTTCTTTGTAACAGAAATGCACCCACATCATGGAAGCAACCCGTTGCACGTCATAGTATCATATCAAACCATGCGAGTAACTTCGCTAGCGTTTTCCTATGAATCGTATTTTGTATTTTTGACCCCAGAAAATACTCGACTGAGGTTTCACAGCAAATGATCATACGTGTACTTTGATTGATGTATATTATGTAGCAGTATCCGGTTTGAATGCTTTCCCGGCCCTCCGTTTCTGTTTCTCTGCAGGTAACACCATCAATTTTTCTCTCATCGACGGTGCTGGTAAGTCCTCCATGTATTGTTTTGTCCTTGCTGTTTGTTTGACTGGCACGTCGGAAATACAGGTATAAAAAATACACCACGGGCGAAGCTTGTGCGGGTTTTGTTACGTTTGCCGTCTTCTTTGAAAAGAAACACTTTATCCGACTCTTGGATCATTTGCTTGGCCAATATGTGCTTGTCAGCTTTGCTTTGTGTCTTGTCAGCTTTGCTTTGTGTCTTGTCAGCTTTGCTTTGTGTCTTGTCAGCTTTGCTTTGTGTCTTGTCAGCTTTGCTTTGTGTCTTGTCAGCTTTGCTTTGTGTCTTGTCAGCTTTGCTTTGTGTCTTGTCAGCTTTGCTTTGTGTCTTGTCAGCTTTGCTTTGTGTCTTGTCAGCTTTGCTTTGTGTCTTGTCAGCTTTGCTTTGTGTCTTGTCAGCTTTGCTTTGTGTCTTGTCAGCTTTGCTTTGTGTCTTGTCAGCTTTGCTTTGTGTCTTGTCAGCTTTGCTTTGTGTCTTGTCAGCTTTGCTTTGTGGCATATTGTCTGCATTTAGTACTTTTTAAACCTTGAATAGCAGCACACCATATACACCATATTGGACTTGTAGAAGAACTGGACTTTCACAGGTGCACTGAACGCAGCCATTGCCAATAGCTCGCTTGTCGGCAGCAGCTGATCACAGTGCCACCACCACAGGACTTTACCAGGCATATGCCATGACATTGTCCCACTGGTGTGAGTTTTTTTTAATCGTCAGCCATGATCGGCGGAGTCCCCCTGTGCTGCCCTGTGTTGTCTCCTATGTTACCCTGCGTCTAAAACGTTCAACCTACTGGCAGTAAAACAGCATGAATAGTTTCACAATTTTCCTCAACTACCTTTAGCTCTGCAGTGAGAGATGGTGATATTTCAGCCTGTGTTGCACCTACAATACTATTTTTATGAATTTACTTGTGCCTATGCAATGTTGTTGTTGTTGTTGTTGTTGTTGTTGTGCAGACGATGTGCCGACACTATCCGCCGACTTGCTAGTTCTGTCCTGTGGGATTGGCGAGGGTCGCTTCGGTCAAGTTCGACTGGGCACAATGGCAAGTCTCTATGTGTGCGTGTATGTGTGTGTATGTGTATGTGTGGGTGTGTGTGTGTGCATGTATGTGTGCGTGTGTGTGTGTGTTGTTGGAAGGCTACCCTCTTGCCAAAGCATTTGGAAGTTGGACTAGTTTCGGCTCCACAACCCAGTGTGTCGTTACTATTATAGCTTTCATGGCTGGGGTTGTTGGTACGTCTGTTGACGCTGGGTTCCCACAACTTCCCAGTACCCAGTTGCCGAGGCTGGTTGGTAAACTAACTCCAATTTCACTTCTTGGTACCAGTGCATCTAGTGTCTGCTTCTATGAAAGCAGCGTGCTGTCTATACTGGTTACCCCAGCAAGTGTAGGGTGTGCATAGGTAACTGTCTTGGCCGTCATATTCCAAGGTACTTCGTGTAGTGTAGACCAGGTGTGCAGGGGGGGATTCACATGGCTTCGCCAGTCATGTGGATTAGACAGTTATCTGGCGTTTGTCTTGATCTGTTTCGTTCAGAATCAGATCCGCTATCGTTGCTATAAAGGGAAAATCTGTGGGTGCACATCCAGTGCATTTGCAGATTTGCGTGCTTCTCTTGCGATGGGCGTATACATACCACATGGTGTATGTTGCACTGTTGTCACATGGCATCATGCATTGCATCGCTAAACTCTAAGCTGATTTTCCAAGATGGACGCATGGTGCCTAAAAACCTGGCGTTTTGTGTTGACACTGCTAAGAATACCTGATTGGAATAGAAGCCTAGCCCCTGCAACAGTTTGTAATGGAATACGACTGGCTTTTAGTCCAGTTTTAGAAATGGTATCACGGTGAATCAACCTGTGAACCCGGTGGTTGGCGTCTGCCAGGGTATCAACCCAGGGCAAATACCCAGGGTATCAACCCAGGGTGTATACCCAGGGCATCAACCAACGGCATCATGCAGCCCAGGGCTTCAACCCAGGGCATCAAACCAGGGCATCTAGTGCCATCTACCCAGTGCATCAATCCGGGGCATCAACCCAGTATAAGACCTGTTGAGTAGGTGTATGCTTGCATGTAGGGAAAGATAGGCGAGTACATGTACTTGGGCAGGTCTGGCATTCTTCAGTTTGGCTCTTTGCGGCAGCTTGCTCATGGCCGCTAGTGCATGGTGTGTATGTGTGTTGTTGCTTCGTGCAGATCTCTGACAAAAAGCAAGTGGCAGTGAAGACATGCAAATCAACTTGCGCGCCAATTGAGAAGCAAAAGTTCATCTCCGAGGCCGGTAAGTAATTATATCCAGTCGTATGTTGGTGCTCGACAGCAAACAAAGTATTTTCCACATTCCGCATAGTTTGAGAAATTCTAAAACCACCCCGAAACTTCGCTCCTCAACAGTGCAGTCCTTTTGTGCAGAATTGTAAATCGAAGACAAGTATGATAGTGTCAAGAGAGTCCAAAGACAACAACCTTGCTGTAAATTGCGAAAGCTGTGCACCTATGTGGCCCAAATGAAGCACCTGTTCAGGCTTGTAGTACACGTGGTACACCTGGACGCCTGACCACTATCGTTACCGGTATTACTGAGTGCTTTCCGATATTTGTACTTGCTAATTTTACCCTATACAGTCAAACCTCGTTAGGACGAACACTGATAAGGCGAACTTTCCATTAGTACGAACTAAGGCCAATCCTATGGTTGGCCAGGCATCAATTCAAGTCAAAATTATTCGTTTACGACGAACTTCTGTACAGCGAACTTTCGCGAAGATGAACTATTTTCAAGTGTGATTTGAACAAAGTCAGTGTGGTCATGTACATGTAGTACGAACTTTCGGTCCACGAGCGTGCGCGTGCGCTGGCTGCCTTTTTTCTTCTTCTTTTTTCAATAGTCGAGGTCATAATTGTACGTACAGTGCAAATTGTTTTCAAGCATGTTTTTAACAAAATAATCAGTGCGTAGTACGAACTTTCGACACAGTCGTGATTCATTGCACTTTGTCATTGTACTTGCCTGTTTCTGGCTTATGCTAAGAATAACATGCTTCCCATGTACCACAGCATGCACCTTCACGTAAATACAATCCATCTGATATGCATATCGATTTTTTGTCAGATCTGGATAAGAAAAACTCCCGATAAGACAAACAAATGTGTTCAGTCCCTTGAAGTTCGTCCTAACGAGGTTTGACTGTATCTGTACATGTAGACTATGTGTATGATGTGCAGTGTGTGAGTTTGTCCAATACACTGTATGATGTGCAGTGTGTGTGAGTTTGTCCAATACACTGTATGATGTGCAGTGTGTGTGAGTTTGTCCAATACACTGTATGATGTGCAGTGTGTGTGAGTTTGTCCAATACACTGTATGATGTGCAGTGTGTGTGAGTTTGTCCAATACACTGTATGATGTGCAGTGTGTGTGAGTTTGTCCAATACACTGTATGATGTGCAGTGTGTGTGAGTTTGTCCAATACACTGTATGATGTGCAGTGTGTGTGAGTTTGTCCAATACACTGTATGATGTGCAGTGTGTGTGAGTTTGTCCAATACACTGTATGATGTGCAGTGTGTGTGAGTTTGTCCATTACACTGTATGATGTGCAGTGTGTGTGAGTTTGTCCAATACACTGTATGATGTGCAGTGTGTGTGTGAGTTTGTCCAATACACTGTATGATGTGCAGTGTGTGTGTGAGTTTGTCCAATACACTGTATGATGTGCAGTGTGTGTGAGTTTGTCCAATACACTGTATGATGTGCAGTGTGTGTGAGTTTGTCCAATACACTGTATGATGTGCAGTGTGTGTGAGTTTGTCCAATACACTGTATGATGTGCAGTGTGTGTGAGTTTGTCCAATACACTGTATGATGTGCAGTGTGTGTGAGTTTGTCCAATACACTGTATGATGTGCAGTGTGTGTGAGTTTGTCCAATACACTGTATGATGTGCAGTGTGTGTGTGAGTTTGTCCAATACACTGTATGATGTGCAGTGTGTGTGTGAGTTTGTCCAATACACTGTATGATGTGCAGTGTGTGTGAGTTTGTCCAATACACTGTATGATGTGCAGTGTGTGTGAGTTTGTCCAATACACTGTATGATGTGCAGTGTGTGTGAGTTTGTCCAATACACTGTATGATGTGCAGTGTGTGTGAGTTTGTCCAATACACTGTATGATGTGCAGTGTGTGTGAGTTTGTCCAATACACTGTATGATGTGCAGTGTGTGTGAGTTTGTCCAATACACTGTATGATGTGCAGTGTGTGTGTGAGTTTGTCCAATACACTGTATGATGTGCAGTGTGTGTGAGTTTGTCCAATACACTGTATGATGTGCAGTGTGTGTGAGTTTGTCCAATACACTGTATGATGTGCAGTGTGTGTGAGTTTGTCCAATACACTGTATGATGTGCAGTGTGTGTGAGTTTGTCCAATACACTGTATGATGTGCAGTGTGTGTGAGTTTGTCCAATACACTGTATGATGTGCAGTGTGTGTGAGTTTGTCCAATACACTGTATGATGTGCAGTGTGTGTGAGTTTGTCCAATACACTGTATGATGTGCAGTGTGTGTGAGTTTGTCCAATACACTGTATGATGTGCAGTTTGTGTGAGTTTGTCCAATACACTGTATGATGTGCAGTGTGTGTGTGAGTTTGTCCAATACACTGTATGATGTGCAGTGTGTGTGAGTTTGTCCAATACACTGTATGATGTGCAGTGTGTGTGTGAGTTTGTCCAATACACTGTATGATGTGCAGTGTGTGTGTGAGTTTGTCCAATACACTGTATGATGTGCAGTGTGTGTGAGTTTGTCCAATACACTGTATGATGTGCAGTGTGTGTGAGTTTGTCCAATACACTGTATGATGTGCAGTGTGTGTGAGTTTGTCCAATACACTGTATGATGTGCAGTGTGTGTGAGTTTGTCCAATACACTGTATGATGTGCAGTGTGTGTGAGTTTGTCCAATACACTGTATGATGTGCAGTGTGTGTGAGTTTGTCCAATACACTGTATGATGTGCAGTGTGTGTGAGTTTGTCCAATACACTGTATGATGTGCAGTGTGTGTGAGTTTGTCCAATACACTGTATGATGTGCAGTGTGTGTGTGAGTTTGTCCAATACACTGTATGATGTGCAGTGTGTGTGTGAGTTTGTCCAATACACTGTATGATGTGCAGTGTGTGTGAGTTTGTCCAATACACTGTATGATGTGCAGTGTGTGTGAGTTTGTCCAATACACTGTATGATGTGCAGTGTGTGTGAGTTTGTCCAATACACTGTATGATGTGCAGTGTGTGTGAGTTTGTCCAATACACTGTATGATGTGCAGTGTGTGTGAGTTTGTCCAATACACTGTATGATGTGCAGTGTGTGTGAGTTTGTCCAATACACTGTATGATGTGCAGTGTGTGTGTGAGTTTGTCCAATACACTGTATGATGTGCAGTGTGTGTGAGTTTGTCCAATACACTGTATGATGTGCAGTGTGTGTGAGTTTGTCCAATACACTGTATGATGTGCAGTGTGTGTGAGTTTGTCCAATACACTGTATGATGTGCAGTGTGTGTGAGTTTGTCCAATACACTGTATGATGTGCAGTGTGTGTGAGTTTGTCCAATACACTGTATGATGTGCAGTGTGTGTGAGTTTGTCCAATACACTGTATGATGTGCAGTGTGTGTGAGTTTGTCCAATACACTGTATGATGTGCAGTGTGTGTGAGTTTGTCCAATACACTGTATGATGTGCAGTTTGTGTGAGTTTGTCCAATACACTGTATGATGTGCAGTGTGTGTGTGAGTTTGTCCAATACACTGTATGATGTGCAGTGTGTGTGAGTTTGTCCAATACACTGTATGATGTGCAGTGTGTGTGTGAGTTTGTCCAATACACTGTATGATGTGCAGTGTGTGTGTGAGTTTGTCCAATACACTGTATGATGTGCAGTGTGTGTGAGTTTGTCCAATACACTGTATGATGTGCAGTGTGTGTGAGTTTGTCCAATACACTGTATGATGTGCAGTGTGTGTGAGTTTGTCCAATACACTGTATGATGTGCAGTGTGTGTGAGTTTGTCCAATACACTGTATGATGTGCAGTGTGTGTGAGTTTGTCCAATACACTGTATGATGTGCAGTGTGTGTGAGTTTGTCCAATACACTGTATGATGTGCAGTGTGTGTGAGTTTGTCCAATACACTGTATGATGTGCAGTGTGTGTGAGTTTGTCCAATACACTGTATGATGTGCAGTTTGTGTGAGTTTGTCCAATACACTGTATGATGTGCAGTGTGTGTGTGAGTTTGTCCAATACACTGTATGATGTGCAGTGTGTGTGTGAGTTTGTCCAATACACTGTATGATGTGCAGTGTGTGTGAGTTTGTCCAATACACTGTATGATGTGCAGTGTGTGTGAGTTTGTCCAATACACTGTATGATGTGCAGTGTGTGTGAGTTTGTCCAATACACTGTATGATGTGCAGTGTGTGTGAGTTTGTCCAATACACTGTATGATGTGCAGTGTGTGTGAGTTTGTCCAATACACTGTATGATGTGCAGTGTGTGTGAGTTTGTCCAATACACTGTATGATGTGCAGTGTGTGTGAGTTTGTCCAATACACTGTATGATGTGCAGTGTGTGTGAGTTTGTCCAATACACTGTATGATGTGCAGTGTGTGTGAGTTTGTCCAATACACTGTATGATGTGCAGTGTGTGTGAGTTTGTCCAATACACTGTATGATGTGCAGTGTGTGAGTTTGTCCAAAACACTGTATGATGTGCAGTGTGTATGAGTTTGTCCAATACACTGTATGATGTGCAGTGTGTGTGAGTTTGTCCAATACACTGTATGATGTGCAGTGTGTATGAGTTTGTCCAATACACTGTATGATGTGCAGTGTGTGTGAGTTTGTCCAATACACTGTATGATGTGCAGTGTGTGTGAGTTTGTCCAATACACTGTATGATGTGCAGTGTGTGTGAGTTTGTCCAATACACTGTATGATGTGCAGTGTGTGTGTGAGTTTGTCCAATACACTGTATGATGTGCAGTGTGTGTGTGAGTTTGTCCAATACACTGTATGATGTGCAGTGTGTGTGAGTTTGTCCAATACACTGTATGATGTGCAGTCAACTCATGTATGTGTTGTGTATGCCGTTGTATCGTGGGTGTTCTACTGTTCTGTTGCTTTGTCCTTTGCTAGTGATCATGAACCAGTTTGATCATCCTCACATCATTAAGATGATTGGTGTTATGGCTCTGGAACCATATGCCATTGTAATGGAATATGCAAGCCTTGGAGAGGTAATGCCTTGCCCATACCTATGTACGGTGCTTAGGCACCACACTAGTGGCTCAGAATCAGCCTTTTCTCACAGCACAGATCAGTTTGCATGCATAAGTTACCTACCACAAAAAGACTTCCTCTCCTGTCCTATTGTGCTGCACTCTCCTGTTATGTTGTCAGATAGATCGAGTGTGGGTGTGAGAGAGACAGACAGACGGACAGACGGACAGACAGACAGACAGACAGACAGACAGACAGAGACAGAGAGAGACATGAAGCATGAAGCATGTGTGACGGTTGTTCATACTGGACTGTGACATACTGCTTTCTCTTGAACCAGTCGGTACTGGTGTTGTGATTCTCATTGCTCCTCCCAGCAGTGAATTGCTTTGTTTGCTCGATGTGTTTTGCTGCCATCCCACATGCACTTCTTCTTTTCGCCGTCTTCTTATCTCGCGTACAGTTACGCGGTTACTTGGTGTCAGATCCACCATCCACGCTGGTACTGTTGAAGTTCTGTGACCAGCTGAGCACTGCCATGGCTTACTTGGAGAAGCTTGGATTTGTACACAGGTAAGTAACTTGTCAATGCCAGTATCTGCCCGGTGTCATTGCCGCCATGGTACAAATCACTGCCTGCTACTCTGTATATAGAAATCTTGTAAACAAAATCCATTGTGAGTGTGAGTGTGAGCAACGAGGACCGACTCTTTGACTAGTGAACTGAGTACCTGTGCATGTATTAATGAAATACAGAACCGGGAAACGTTTTCACCGGTTTAGTGCGCGATTTGCGTGCACACACCAATTTTCACCTGGAAATGTATGCGATTGGAGTCGATTTCACTAGTTTTTTGCCGTGGGTCTACATTTCGTGCCAGCTTACTTTTGCAATGTCACACCCATTGCTAAAATCCCGAACAATTCCAGATCGCGGCGGTTTCCCGGACCACAGTATGTGTGACTTGGCAGCATGCTGTACATGCATTATATGATTTACACAGCTATACTGTATACTGTATACTGTATACTGTATACTGTATACTGTATACTGTATACTGTATACTGTATACTGTATACTGTATACTGTATACTGTATACTGTATACTGTGTTTGATATTGACTGCTGTACAGGTAGGTATATGATGTGACACGTGATGTGACGTAAGCATTTATCTTCTGATCTCTTTCTATAAATCTGCTCAACAGGGACATAGCGGCCCGCAATGTTCTGGTGTGCGATGCGGAAACGGTCAAGCTGGGTGACTTTGGCTTGTCACGCTGGGTTGCCGATGATCTGTACTACAAAGGTACGGCTGCTGCTGTTCCCTGTTTGTTTTACTATTCAAGTATTCATGGGTTCAGGCTGTCTGGCGGTCCATAGAGCAGACTGCTGCAGTTCATAGAGCAGACTGCTGCAGTTCATGTAGCAGCACATGCAGCAGTACGGACAAAACATCAGAGACTAAATGTTTTCTGTTGCTCAGTTTCGTGTTTAGAAACACTAATCGGACAATCTACAGTAATGCTGCAGGCAGTAATGTCAGTGTTACCAAGTGCCCTCTACCCCCATCCGTATTGCTCAGTGCCATTTTGCGGAATTTTTCAGCGTTTTCCGTACTCGATTTTTTCAGGTCAACATTCTCACTGATTATTAGTGTAATTTGGAAAAGAACCAATACACACACACACACTTGCACATGCATGTCCATTGTCACACTGCACTTGCTGAATTTCCTATCATTTCTCACCTGTATAGTTTTTATTACCTACGCAAATTTCTCACAAGGAACAAGGCAAGAAGCTGGATTGAAAAAAAAGCCGAAAAAGCTACCGCTTGCTTCAAAGAGTCGCATGATGCGCATGGCATGTACATGTATACATGTACAGCGCACTGCATGCAGGCTGCATGCACTCTGCGATCTGACTTTGGGTAAATCGATCGATGGCACCAAGAGTTCATAACCCCGGTGGGGTTATGAACTCTTGATGGCACGTGGATGGGCGTCTTCTGCATCATTTTCCCTCCTTTCGAAGACACCATATTTTTTTCGCTTTTCCGGGATTATTCGATTGAAATCCGTACTGCGGACAAAACATCGTTTTTCCGTAAAAATACGGACAAATACGGGCAGTTGGTAACACTGTAATGTAGTGCAATGTATAACATGTACCTGTACATGTGCTGGTGCTGGTACTGGTAGGTTGGGCTGTCTATCAGGTCATCTTAGCCTTGGAGAACTTCTAGGTTGTTTGCTGGGGTGGAGAGTAGTTTGTACTTTGAAGTAAGGGGTCACGCATAGGTTTCATGTGTTCTTTTCCAGCCACCCAGCGACCCCTATTGTCCACAACTATGATTATCTGAGACTGAAATGCTTTGTTGGTGAAAGTGTGTAGTTGTAGCACACTGAGGTACATGCAATAGTTGGCAACATCACTCCTGGAATTGCTCAAGGCATTGCTGAATGCATTACTATTAGTGTGTAAGCTCCTCACTGCTAGACCTGACCCATCCATGCCCAGTGTGCGCTTGCTCCGGACGCACTATCTGTCGAAAATCAATTACAACCCCTTATAGTTTGTGTATTATGTGTTACTGAGAACTCTCTTTCTCTCTGCTCTGTGATCTTACGTTGGCAATGCAGCAAGTTCAGGTGTGCTGCCGATTAAATGGATGGCTCCTGAATCAATCAGCTTCCGCCGCTTCACTGTAGCAAGTGATGTGTGGATGTTTGGTGAGTAAAAATGTTGGGCTAGTGCACAACTGTCTACATGTGCTTAATTTTTCAGTGCGTATCAGGCGCGTACTGGCATACATGCCAGTCGCTTTGACTGTCGGGGGTAAAAAAATTCTCAAACGGCAACTACAGTCCATTTCAAAACTATAGACGCGCAGTGTTTTTGAAATATTTCACATTTGGCTGGAACGTTTTGAGAATAGTTTTCGGAATATTGCTCAGGTCCGCTCCACAATTACTCTCATATAGTTTCTAAACGATTGGATAACAGACGCCCAATTTGGAGAAAAAAATGCACAAAGTGATCACAGATTTTATGTGGTATAGATGCTGGCGTAACGGTTTTTGCCTAGGTACGCGTCTATAGTTTTGAAATGGACTGTAGCGCTGGCGTCTATAGTTTTGAAATGGACTGTAGCGCTGTCCAGAACCAGTATTGGCTTTTGCGGAGTTGCACACTCTGGTGTTTGTACTCTTTTAACCCCACTGACAGGATCAAGACCTTCAACACAGAGAGTCACAAATTCAGGACTCCCGCCCTGGCTTGTCGGGTGTTAGCCGTGTTTGGATACAAGTACTGTACATGTGGCTGCCAGATCCATGGCATTTGACTGTACAAATAACGATAACGCTATCTATTACTCTGCCTTCCTGTCTTCATTGCAGGTGTCTGTATGTGGGAGATCATGTCTTTCGGTGCAAAGCCCTTTACCGGTGTGAAGAATGTGGATGTTCTAACACGCCTAGAGGACAATGAGAGGCTGCTACAACCCAAAGACTGTCCTGATGACCTGTACAGACTATGGGGCTGGTGCTGGGCATTTGAATCCAGTGACCGACCGACGTTCACGGAGATCCGCGAAGAAGTTGGGTAAGATCGAGTGGTTTGTGCTGCTGCTGTGTGCGTGCATGCGTGCGTGTGTGTGCGTGCGTGCGTGTACACACCTGTGGCCAGCTTTGGATTCCACCATCGACAGGACCTTACTTGCCGTTTGACTGTCAATTCTCTATGACAAGTCCCTACAGGACCTGGCATCGTTGTATTGTTATGGACACGTTCGATTGCACATTCTTCACCCAGATTTTAAAATTCTCGAATACGAAATCGTACACCAATTACGCACATTCTGGCTGTAGAATTACCGCCTTCACTTCGGAATGGGCAGAATTGGATTCCGTGGATTCTGACGAAGAAATTTGTGTTATCGAATGCTGTATGCATCGTTGGGAATTCTAGAATAGATGGAATTGTGTGCAATCAAACACTCCCATAGTATGGCTTTGTACTGAGCGTGGCCCCATTGCCAAAATTAATATATTGCTGAACATGTGTGCTGCATGATGTCATGTGCTCTTCTTTGTTCTGCTTTCTAGGAAAGTATTCCTGGCTGAAGGTGGTAGTGCGCTCACTCCTCAGGTAGAACGTTTGCCAACCAAACAGGTGTGTGTATGTGTGTGTATATGGTGTACTAAGTCTTATACTTGACTACTACAGTGTACATTTACCGTAAAGTGCCGCGAGAGAGCCCCACCACCGCCACCCTTTCATGGTCGGGTTTTGGACGTGGGGTCCTGCCTGTAGATTATGACATGTGCCTTCTGCACACATTGCACTTTTCCAGTTTTTGTTCGGGAAAGTAGTCGAAACACGAACCGCAGATTCTTCTTAGGACAGAGTCATAAGTTTACTACGTAGTACTGTTTTGTACACGTGAACGACCTGTCAACGTCATGCCAGCAAGAAAATCTGTTTGCTATTCCTCATCACAACGCAAATTTCGTCACTGAGTTTGACTTTCATTGGAGTGTGAACTGAAACGCAAAACTCGTCTTGCATGACCTCCGTACTGTAAAATACATGTGCAGCTATGAGTAACACATTATGTGCCAAAGAGCAGGGCTCTTTTTTTCTTTTCTTTTTTGGCAATATGGCAGTAAATACATGCCGGATAGTAATAATAATTATAATAAACACAGCTCGCATCTTCCCTGAACCTGTTAGACAGGAGCAGAGTCGACGCATCTGTCAACAGTGTCAAGCCAAGTTAGTCTATCTCCTGCAGCTTGGAGAGCGCTCTCCACGGAGAGATCCGCTGCCTTCAGGTCGTGCCGAATCGTATCTATCCACCGCAATGGCGGACGGCCACGGGTTTTTTTATGTCGTTTGTGTTGATTGATAGCTCCAGTGCTTGGAACGAGGCGGATTCTGGACCCTCTCGCACCACATGGCCAAACCACAGCAGCCTGCGTCGCCGGCATGTGGCACTAACTGGAGATTGTTTTGTTTCTGTGTATAAGTTGTTATTGGTGATGCGTTGCGGGTAGACAATCTGCAGCAGTACGCGTAGCTTCCTCCGTTGCCATTTGTCCAGTTTGTCGTTCAGCAATTTGGACAGAGTCCACAATCCGCAATTGTATAGAAGGATCGGCATTATGAGGCAGTTAAACATACACAGTCGGGATTAAAAGGAATGCCGTCTCCAAGAAAAATAGTAAAGGAGTCATAATAAGAAGAAAGAAAGAGAAGAAAAAAACTTGTACAAACGAACAGGATAGACTGAGCAACTGGGAAGAAAGTTATAGCGGCAGCTTACATTCAGCAGCAGCCAATGAGGCTGGGACGCTGCAGCATCGCTAAACTGGCTGTTAGGCCGACGGTAGCCGCGCAGGCTTGCAACGGCAGACCTGACCAAGCCGAACGCAAACACTGATCTGACATGAGCCATTACAATGCTGTGGGGCTCGTTCTTTTTCTCAGACATCATACAGACCAGCCGCTTCAGGAAGGTGGAGGGAGCCTTTCCGGTGCCGCCTGTGGCGCTGAAAACCAGGGGCACAAATGATGCTCTCTCGACTTCTCTGACGCGCTCTTCATAACAGCGACGCTTCTCGCCTTCATATGTCGTGCGTATGTGGAGGGCAGGGACTGAGCCGAGTTTGAGGCAGCATTGGGGATTGAAGACCCATACATCGAAAAAGGTGCGCTCAAACTGGCTGCCCCGCACTCCACTGGCAGCAACATCAAGGCGTACGCCGTCGTCGCGGATGGCTGTGCGGTGGCGAAGCTGTTCGCCGGTCAGCGGTTGCAGCCCTGGCTCCACGGCCACATCCTTCGCGACTATGCACAGAAATGAGGCAGTGGTGTTGCGCAGCTCGTTGTGGCGCATGGCTGGGTATCCTCCCGTGGAGCAGCTCAGGGCATGCGATACGTCGAATCTCTTGCCGCATGCGCACGTGGACGACAGCCTTGCGGGAGTCCAGCCGTAACGCAGGGCAAGCGCATCACGGAAGTCACCCGTGTGCAGTGTGAAGCCGTGTCACTGTAGTGGTCGGCACGTAAGCCAACTGGATGCTCCTTTCTCAGAGGCGAGCTCCAGGGCACGGCGGTCGGCAGCATTGCAGTCAGCAAGGAAGGAAGATATTTCTTCTTTCTCTCGCTGCCGAGCTGAAGATCTAACAGGCTCTTAGCTTGCTTGGTGAGGCCAGAGATGCCCTCCATGGAGTGCTGCTGGAGGAGGATGCGCTCAACCAGGGCCTTGGTGATGCTCATGGAGTTGGCGGATTGTGGCGACAGCGACGCGGGGACAATCAAGCCCAGCCCTCCATGACGACACGGGAGTGCGAGAATGGAACGCTCTTGCTGACCAGGCGCCATGCGGCCGGTGAGGGCCGGAAGTAGGTGCTCGCTGATGCATGTTTCGAGTGGGGAAAGGCTATCCGCAGTGCCGGGCACGGTTCGGGCTAGGAGCGACCATTTGTGGCGCTGCCCATGCGTGAAGGCCGCATACGCTGCCTGTGGCTGCGTCATGGCAAATGTGGCTAGGGTCTGGACTTCCTGGCACCACTGGGCAACTTTGCCTTCTGTGCATGCCTGGCAGAAGGCAGGAGTGCCTAATGCTGCACCAAGGTGTCGGTGGCCGTCCGTCTTCACTATGATGTCGGTGTCGCCAAAGAGCTCCTGAGCCTGCTGGCTCTCTACTTCAGGCTAGTGATTACAATGTGTGTTTCAAAATAGTAAGCAACCCTGAGGGTCAAGTTTAAGGTTTTACCGTGTGAGCTGCCTGGAGTACTTGCTGAAATTGAAGAAATGTTCGGTGCGAAAACATAAAAAATGACCAGCTCACTCTGTCCTGGTCAAAGTTACAGCACACGTTTATCTTCCTCAAAGGAGTCACAGAGGACCATGCGGATAGCGTGCCGAGTGTTGAAGCACGGCATAGCCATGCGGATAGCGTGCCGAGTGTTGAAGCACGGCATAGCCATGCGGATAGCGTGCCGAGTGTTGAAGCGCGGCATAGCCATGCGGATAGCGTGCCGAGTGTTGAAGCACGGCATAGCCATGCGGATAGCGTGCCGAGTGTTGAAGCACGGCATAGACATGCGGATAGCGTGCCGAGTGTTGAAGCACGCGGATAGCGTGCTGAGTGTTGAAGCAGGGCATAGGGTAAAGGTTCCATTTCGTTTCCTGACCGAATACAGTAGTTTCTTTGAGCTACGATGCAACCTACGCCGCTCGTCATGTATTACTGCAACCTACGCTCGTCATGTATTATCCTCTGGCGGTGGAAGAGCTCACTTCTCAATTGGTATGCCAGGTGCGGTCAATTCGGCTTGCCGAATGATGGCTCAAACTCTTATCTGCTGTGATTTTATTGATGTGTATGTGTGTGTACTTGGGTACATGTGTGCGCCTGTGTCCATATGTATGTCTATCTTGCTATATGCAGAGTGCCAGCGTGATGCAGCCAAGATTGTGCAACTCCTCGGCTCAACTCATGGCTCAACTAAGCAGTAAGCTCCTCACATTCCTATACTTCAGTAGCTGAATCAGTGTGGACTGGAGACTAAGTTACATTGGGGTTACCTTGAGAGAGAGAGAGAGAGAGAGAGAGAGGCAGACAGACAGACTGACAGACGGACTGACACACGGACAGACAGACAGACGGACAGACAGACGGACAGACAGACCGACGGACGGACAGACAGACAGACAGACAGACAGACAGACGGACAGAGAGGCACAGAGGCAGAAGGCAGCCATAAGAATCTTGAATGTTTCTTAGTTGCGGCCTCCGCTGTGTCTTCTTTTGTGATCTCAAACTCATCCATTGACTTTAAAGCAGTGTTAGCGACTTTAGCGATCATCCATCGGTTACTTGGGCAGCTAATTTCACACTATGTGATCTGCTATCTGCGTAGCTAATGCCCCACCCAGAATCGCTGATGCATGCGCTTGTTTGTTTTTTCTCCCATGCGGTTCTTCAGGGTGTGCTTCTACGTCGAAACTGCCTGATGTTACTGCTGCTCCGTTCAGCAGAGACGGCTCCACTATGCACGAGCGTCCTCATCAACATACCACTGCCACTCCTGTCCCAAGCAGTGCTGCTGCTGGTGCTAGTGCTGGTGCTAGTGCGACCGCCGGATATTCGCGTCCCCAGCTTGCATTGCCGCCAGGGGCGGGTGGCTTAGCCGAAAAGGTAAGCGCTCCGCCTTCATCACCGATCGCTGTCCACAGCTGTCCTGTGCCATCGGCAATCGATGACAGACCTCCTGCATGCCTTCCCCAGGATGTGAACTGCCAAGCCCGTAGTACCGCTGCTGCTGCTGCTAACAGATCCTGGGTATAGTAGCTAGTGCTAGCACACATGTGACAGCAGCACATGTGTCTCCTTATTGATAGCAGCACATGCGTCTCCTTATTGATAGCAGCCTGTCGGTTTTGACGAGGACCGTTGCAGGAGAGATTGTTCCTGTTTTGTAATGACTAGCATCAGTACTGGGTCTGAACACTGCTGATGCCGAGCAGTGGCGCTGAGCTCCCTCCCTCGCACGTCATGCATCGCCTGATGGAAATGATTTCCTACGTGTATGCTGTCTACATTCTCAAAAGAGATGGGTACAATGTTACCTATCTCTGGTAGCCACTACCACCGCCACCGCCGTCCCCGCTCCAGAGTAATAGAACTCTTTGCCAGCGACTGTACAAACGTAAACACCTTTCTTTTGTTCACCTCTTCTTTTGTGCCACCGTTGCCCGACCATTCTGGGTAGGATTTTTTATTCTGTTTTGGATGTTGCTGTTTTACCAGTCATAGCAACAGTACCAGCAGCAGCAGCTTTTCATGCTGACCCAAGGTGCGCCTGAATACAGATGCCCTTCTGTTGTTCACCTCGTGAACTTGACCATGAATGCCTTTACGTTGCTGCACACTCATCCAGGAGTCAGTAACCTGGTGCAGCATCTGCAGCCCACACCATTTCTATAGCGGTGGTGTCTCTATTTTAGTAACTTTGCACATATTCCTACTACTTTTTTCTGCAGTAATTGTATATACTCCACTATCACTCGCACTTACTTTCTTCCTTTTCTTTGTACAACTAACCTCTGACAACCCCTCTGCCGCCTCTCCCTTCGGCAGATTACATTATGTAAAGTATCTTCTGCGCTGTGCGTGATCTATCTTCACACGTGTTTCTTTTCAAAAGTCTCCTCTGAAAGGCTTTGCTACTTGTAGAGGGATACGTCTCTCCAGCCATTTGCTGATTGTTATTCTGGTTTGTTCTGCATTTCACTTCCATGATCGAGGCAAAATACTTATTATTTGTATAAAGATTTTTAGAGCAGATACTTGTGTGTGTGTGTGTGTGTGTGTGTGTGTGTGTGTGTGTGTGTGTGTGTGTGTGTGTGTGTGTGTGTGTGTGTGTGTGTGTCTTAGCTTCACGAAGACTCGTGACATGGTGCTCTCAGGCAGATAGAATTTCCAGATTTGTATCTCCAAGAGAAAACGATAAGTTAATTAGCCTCAGTAGCCTTCTCAATTGCTAATAGGCGATTCACACGACAGGCAAATCCACGTTTACAGGAAAGTCAACATGGAGATATTCCTGCGGGTGACCAAAATTTGCCCGCGGGAATCAAAAGTGTCCATGGCCTTTTTGCCTGCGGATGCACTCATCTGCGGGCACTTTTACAGTTATGAGGCTGTGAGGTCGTACTATGGTACGGTAGTCTTGAACCCTGGTTGTTTGGCCTTTGTTTTTGGGTACTCATTCCAAATCACCACAGTAACGCTGTATACTCACCGGATACTCGCGGGAGCTCTGGCCACCACCCGGTACCCGCGGCCGTGTGAACTGCGGCCTCACGTTTCACTTCCTGCGGGCACTTGACAAACGTGGATTTGCCTGTCGTGTGAATCGCCTATAACGCCAAGAGTAGAGTGTCCGTGGATTACATCATAGTCGGTGCAGAGTGGCGTTGTGAGTACTCGAGTACAAGCATGCATCACACTGTAAAATGATATAAATCCAGGATTTTCGCTGTCACAGCAGCATTTTTGAACTAGAGAGTGGTAACGACCCCCCAATTTGAACTGCATACCCTTTGGCTTCACGTACACTACATGTATTATGATTTATCCTGTCCCCATGGAAAACGCGATTCCGCGGCAGTTATTTCCAGTATGTTACATGTACCCCAAACTAAACGTAGGACTTCCTGGCTTGAGTTCACAGGATCCACTTGTCTTGTTGATCATTCTTCTGCTGCAGCTCAGTACAGTAGACCTACGTAACCAGGGAGTCGTAAAATACCGTATTTTACGACTCCCTAAGAGTATAATTATAACAACCCCCCCCCTTGATGGTACACTCGGACGTCTCTTATCCGGGCACCTTGGGACCGAGTACTGCCCGTATCTCAGATTTGCCTGTATCTTAGAATAACTCATCTACCATGTATCATATCTCTTTTTGAAGAAGTTTATTTGGAACGTATTGCACATGTTCAGGATACAAAAGGAACCCATTGATAAAAATGTGTGGATTACATAGGTTGGCAGTGAAAAATAAGCACTTCCGAATATGGAAAAAGTTCAAAACCCCCAAATTCGAAGTACTGTAAGACATGTATATTATAACGAGGAAGCAAATCTAACGTTTTAACGGATGACATTTCTTCGTTATAATAAGATCCGTTGAGGCTGTACTGCTTCATATATGCTGTGTGTGGATATGCCAGAATACTGCAAGATCGTTAACATATCTTCTCGTTAACCTATGAATTTTGGACAATCGTTAAATTTGCGACACGTTATAATAACAATCATGTCTTACAGTATGTGTGCTATAGAAACTCAAGCTAAAGGTGCCCGGTAGAGAGACGTGCCCGTATCTGAGGCGTCCGGATAAGAGGCGTTTGAGTGTACCTGTGTCCTAAGAAGTGACCTTTGTTTGCAAAACATTAGCACAGATCCAAACTGCAGCATATGGATCTCCGGGTTGCTGGCTAAGAAGGCACTGCACTGCAACATGCACATGGGGGAAACGATGACATGGGTGTCTGTCAATGTCAGTGTATCAACAGAGAGCCAGACTGAAGAACACAACTGAATAACAGGAGATACTAATTACGCTATTACCACTTCAGTACAACAGACCACGGCGCACCTCACAAAACCTTACTTCGGCTGCGACTACTCGCCAGCACTTTCCTTTCTTTCTTTCTTTCTTTTTATAATAGATACTTTGAGAGTTTCAGTAGTCAAGCCCCGCCAAGCCTCACAGGCCAACTCACAAAACGTTACTGGCACACTCACACCTTCAACAAGTGGTGATTTATGTCAGGACACAGCCCACGTGCTAATTTTTACTCAGAAAAATATGATACAGAAATTCAGACTTTATTGCACAGGAGATATGGTACGGACATAAGTAAAAACAAAAGCAATGCCATGAAAATTGCGTTAATAGAAGTTACACGGTTTTTCTGTCAGTCAAAGTTCGCACGATGCTACCGAGTCCACCAATAGCAACCGCCTGCACAACAAGACAAGGAACACGAATACACAATTACAGGCAATGTATGAAATACAGTGCTGTCGGGTGTGCTGAAAAATGAATAGGATAGAATTTTACACTGTGCAGGATGGATACCCTAATGTACATGGTGGCTCAACTGAATAGACAGTTCTGCATGAAGTATAACGGCGAAGGTTATGACTCTGAACTGTTCGTCTGGAATTTATTTTCATCTTTTTTGTCCACTGCTTGGAGCTGCATCTGCGAATCGATCCTTGAGAGTGGTAGCGTTCATGGAATGCGGAAAACACGGCCTCTAGCCTTTGCACAGCTCTTCAATATCATTGGTGGACTAAGTTTTCAAGCGGACGAAATCCCTTTCTTTGGAGTTGGACGAAATTATTGACCGACTAAAATTTCTGCTTGTACAGTACATGTAGTACACGTGCACACATCGAAATCTGCTACAGTACATTGCATTTGGCTTCGAAGTGTAACGTCAGGTCGTTGATAACTTCGTAGCAACTGAGTACAGACAACTATGGCATCCTCCAGCATGTGCTGTTTTGCACTGAAAATTTCAAATTTACATTATGGCTTGTACAGATAAGAAAAGATGCCTCACACAAAGTACCCGTATTTCCTTTTATTATCCTTTCGGGACACGGGTGTGCTAGCTTTGTCCTCTTTTCTGCAGGGCAGAGTATAGCAGTGATTTGCATGAAATTAAAAACAAATTGGCGTTCGAATCTTGCACTTTTTCTTGCCTTTGCCGAGGAGCATGGAGATCATACGTAGTGCATGCAGTTTAAGTTTTCTTTTGCTGACTAAGAGAGGTGAATCTTTGCGTTGGATCCTTTCTTGTGACTTTGGAAATCTGAATATGCTCTCTTTATGAGGCGGAAAAAAAGCTGAAGCAGACGAGAATCGAAGCCTGATAACTCTGAAATATTATTGCCAGTTCGGCGTAGACGCTTTGTTTCACCTTCGAAATACTGGGAAGACCAGCAGCCATTGCTCCATTAGTCTAGTAAACCTCTAACTACCAGCAAGGGGCACCGAGAAAAGTTGTTTCTTCGAGCAAACCATCGATTCCCACCGTCAGAAGCCTGCATGTTGCTGCAAAAAAACAGCGAAGAGCACGGGACGCTAAGATTATTTTGTACCCGGAATTTTCGCTGGCATGCATTGCCAGGTATGTGTGACGTCATCACTCCGAAGCCCTAGTGGCATGCTGCTGGGGCATGCTACCCGATTTTTAGAATACTACCGGCACATGACACGAAAGGCTGTGCCATCCTCCAAAACTATGTCATTCCACGAATACGGCAGTGCACAGCACTGCAGACAATAAGCAGTGGACGTACGGCAGTAGTTGACGAGGTGACAATTCAGAACGCGAGGAGTCGGGACACACGCTCTGCACGTATACTACAGTTACGCGGCGAAATCTGACCCAAAGTGCAAGGCTGGCGCCTTGTACGAGTTCTGATTTATACATCAATGTATTTGTAGATATGCACGTCCAGCCGCATTCGTGCTACTTCCAGGGTGTTAGGGGCCGTGCAAATTTGAGGGCACCAAATGCGCACTCTGGGTGGGATTTCACCGAGCGCAACTGTACTTCAAACTACAGTAGTCCAGTATCAGTACAGCTGTGATAGGTGAAATCCCACCCAAAGCGTGCATATCAACTCGCAAGGCCCGCGGCACCCTGGATAGGGCACGAATGCTGCTGGCCATGCACCTAATGATACAAATACATGTACAGTGATGCAATAGAAACTGGTCCAGGACGCAAGCTGTGCACCGTGGGTCGCACTTCGCCTAGCGTAACCAAGAGTGCATAACCCCTAGAGTGTGCAACTCCGCTACGAATACGAGTGCTGTCACAATAGAATTTCCAGTTGATGCAATGCGTTGGACCAACGCATGCACTGCTGAACACGTAATATCAGACGTATCCTGGACCGGTGGTGGACAAATCCCCATTGTATCTGGTACAAACCATAGTGCAAGATAACATGCGTGATGCGTCGTTACACCCCGTACAAATGTCGTAAATTACTCCTGCGAGGAGCATTGCATCATAAAAAGACGTCAACCTGAAATTCTGTAGGGACAACAGGGTGTGCTTGAGTTGCACACTCTAGGGGATTATGGAGTCTTGGCGTAATTGTACGTGCTGCAGTACTGAATCTTCTCTAAAAAGAACCTGCAGTTCCTATTATTTCAATGACAGCCGTACCCGGGCTGCTTTTAGAGACTGGGCTTTTATTTTTCCAGTGTTCAAAAATCAGCCAATTCCAGAATCTAAATGCATAAAACTGAACATACCGAGAATTTTCGTAAGCCTAAACTGAAATGGGCATTGTCAAAACTCCTGTTTCACAATAACACGGGTACCAGAGAGATACTAGTAATGGTAGATTGATATGCCTTCTTACAAACACGTGCTCGCTGCACTGCTATTATAACATGCAGTCAATGTTCTGCTGCATACTCCAATTGCGGCCCGTACTACTATTAGAGACCGTGCTCTTACTATTTCAAGCAACCTTTGCCACGGGTCATCAGCTGTCGTGAGAGAAAATACTGTATGCCCCCAAACACTTTTTTTTTTTAAAGTACGGTCACACCCACGGCATTACCTTAAAAACCCAATGGATGGTCACGCACATTGTCATCAAATGACGGCACTTCTGTAAACAGGAGACCCCCCCCCCCCCCCATACCCGTGTGTAGGGTAGACATGTCTTGCCCCGTGTGTCCGTACACAAGAGGTGCACCTCTGGGCTGGCCAGGCATGCTTGTCCAGGACAGCATCTCTAAACCATGCCAGTGCCCCGAACAAGGACATACACTGACCTTTTCGTGCCATTGAAGAATAATCGCGCAGCTCTTTTCTGTTGGTTCGCTGAATGCACGGTACAGGTACTTCATCAGGACGTCGACTTCGATGGCAGAGAGCGATGCTACGGCCTTGTCGAGCTCACTGGAACGGAAGGCGGTGAGTACGTTAAGTGTTTGTTGGAAGTACTTGTCCTGCGCGGCGCATACACAGAGGCAGCCAGACACAACAATATACAGTGTAAGTAGAAATGTTCATCATTCTGTGAGAGCCAGCCGTTGCCTGGTGAGAATGCATCACTGCCTGTTCGCTTGACGAAGTGAAAATACAGAATACCAATACATGAAAGCCCCACCTGTTCCCACTTTCTTTAGCCTGGACCAGGATACGGGACGTCTTTTACTCTGAAATGTCCCACTATGTGGCACTAGGACACACACGAACGCACACACCATTAGTCGCATGATATACCCCCATATCTCTCCCCATATTTCTCTCTCCGAAACACACACACACACGCATATTTCCCCCCCGCTGACCTAAACGCGGATCAGACCAGGGATGACATGCGCGAGCGTGTTTGAAAAGGCGACTCACTGCAACACACAACCTGGTTGCTCGTGTCATCTCCCTAGATGTTAAGACTTTCCTCTGCTTCACTCATCAAGACGCCAGCCATAGGTACAGGTTGATAGCTACATGGAGTAGTGAGACCGCTGAAGTTATTCTGAAAAAAAAAACTCTATACGAAGGCAGCATGCTCCTATCCTATTATTGGGATAGGAGCTTCGCCGGTTAGCTCAGATTTGCCCATGTTCTACAGTCCAATTCTGTGTGATATCTAACAGGCATCCTTGCTTTTACTCAGCACAAACACTCACGCGTGGTCTCTTTGTGGATCTAGAGCGATATCTGCAGCAAAGAGACCATGTGCGAGTGTTTGAACTGAGTAAAAGTACCGGTGATCCGCTCCTTGCGAAATTTCTACTGTGAAGTGACTTCAGCATATGATATACGTTCAAATGTGGTGTTGGACCAATGCATACACTGCTGTACACAATGTGTGCCAGTGCAGGTATGCAGACGGTTGAAAAATGTGCACAATCCAGCACGGCAAGTCTGATCTTTCCTGTGGTTGTACATAGTACAGTCACTGTACTGCACTTGAGAGCTTTCATCTAATTCCCGCCACCTGTTGAAAAGCCAGCTGGGCAGCGACACAGCGCGTGCGCGCAGGGAAGGGGGGGGGGGGGGGGCAAGGGAGTTGTGAATAAGTAGACAATGCATTCCTACCTCTCAGCACAAGATAACCCACACACTACACTGCAAACTGGGAAACATGCACACTGGTGTTAGTTCACAAACTGCAAGCACAGACCAATTCACGCCTTGAGATGTGTGCGATTGGAGTTCGAAGTTTTAACTGCTTGAGCGCGACGAGAAGCCCGGATGGCTAACCATGGTTGGGTATGTCTCACTCCACGATATAACCAGGGAGTACTAAAAAGGTTGTACTATTCCACGATATGACTGTGCATGTATATGGGACGTCGGTTTTTACAACTGGTATGTAATTGCAATAAATCCTGAGGCTACTACATTTATTATACATATGTTGACCTTCACTTTCCCTAAAAAGGAGTATTTTATGAACAGCATTTATTGGCCTTAGTGGTATTTTATAAACAGTATTTATAAATACTGTTTATAAAATACCACTAGGCCAATAAAATTAATACTGTTTATAAAATACTCCTTTTTAGGGAAAAGTGCAGTGCTGCATGGAAAAGTACAGTGGTATTTATTGAGTCAAGCAAATTTATTTGAATTTGATACTGTTGATGGTGTCGTCACTAATGAGTGTGGGTATTTATCAAAGGTCAATATAATAATTGACCTTTGATAAATTATGCAGCTATATAGATTGTACATGATAGCATACAAACTATACATCTACCATGTACAGGCAGATTGTGCTTGGATACCGAGCCTGTTCTACGCTTTGCGATTTGATACCCATCGCGAAGGTTGCACATGGTAAAGATTACCAGGCTTATAGTCCATCATAATCACCATGGTAAGTCGAGGGAGCGAGTGGTGTGTGCGTGTGTATATGCATGCAGCTTGATGTTGCACTTGGACGCAGCACAGTTAGTTCGTTATAATGGGGATCGGATTTTTTTAGGCCCAGACCGTACATATCACGGGGTACACGCGCTGATGCAACACTGAGCCAGCACCCGTGCCACCTTTGTATCCGGCGAGATTGATTGATTTATATTTAAGAATTGTCCAAAGGCTGAACGTACATACCAAGACCAGGTATAGGCAGTACTACGTACTACTATTTCTATTACAATCATAGGAAACGTTGCCAGCTCCTACATGTACAAGTTGCCTGGTGGGAAATGTTCAAGTAACTCAAATAAATTCAAAAGGGAAATGCAGTGGTTGATTAAAATAGCTGCTCAAGCTGTCCTACTGTCACTGAGACGCAAGCTATGTCGACTGCACTGTTCACGAAGTGGAACAGCTACACATGCAAGCATCATTCATAGATTGGCAGACTTGACAACTGACCAAATGTGTTCAAATGTGTGTTCGCCCAGTATAATTTACTATAAAGCTGAGTCATCAAGCTGAATGATCGAAAATCAAAGGGGCTCCCTCACCTTGGAAGATTTATCAGCAGCCAGAGGAGGGTTTGAAAGAGCAGCCTTCAGGGCATCCTGGTTCTGTCCCCTGAGCATAAATACAGGAGAGAAACTAGGTTGTAGCCGGAGTAAGGCAGCCATGAACGCGCAAAAGTCCTCACTTCTGCAGGAATCCCTTGATCTCATCGATCTGAGGCTGCACTGATCCTCCATCTGTTCCATCATTATCATCATGAAATTTGTCCTCGTCGAAGTCATCAACATCGACAGTTCTAAACTTGTTTTCTCCTGTGTTCTTCGACATTTTTCTTTCCCGCTGTCGTCCACTACTACACCAGCCGTTTCAAGACCAGCACCAAACGCCAACAGCAGTTGATCGATCTCCCATACAGCTGTACTTGAACACTGAAAGCACTGCACAGGATCAGAACTGCTAAACTGGAGTCAGCTGGGGCAGTTTGGCTACACCGAACAGACGCATGCGCGACGCTTGAGTGCACCCAGGCCAGGCGCTAGCTATGTAAATAATGCGGCCGCGACGTTCGAGACCGTATACCGCGTGCGACGCCGACGAAATCTCGTACTCAGATTCTTGCTACTACGCAAAAATTGTGTCATAAAAGATTGATGACAAAATTTGAAAACGCCTTTTGACTTTGCGCGTGCAATGAATTATGTAGAAGAAGAAGACAAGACAGATACGGTAGGCTCTTGTCTGTACCAGGACTGGTACATGTACTGGTAGGAGTCGAGTCGTTCCTAGGCGTTGGGTCCCTGAGTAAAAAAAGTAAAATACAGGACTTGCTGCCACATGACAGATAGATTTGGGGATATACAGATCACACAAGTGCGTGCTGAGTATCTGCTGCTTTGAGACTCCACACTTTCCATACTTGCTGACAGACTGACAGTCCGTAGCAAATTACCGCTACACCATACTAACTGCTCCATCAAGGTAGGAGAGTCAGAGTATAGTGTGTGAAGGTGATGCTGCATATTAGTATTGTTGCGGGAATTGTAAGCAAAGTCTCAAAGGAGGATGAAACCCTTTTCTTTCGCAGAAAGCACAAGTGCATCTGCACGTTTGCATGCATAACGGCAATGAAAGCCAAGTGGCTTCACTGACCTGTCATTAGATTCACTACTCGGAGTACTAGTAGTAACATTACTACAAGATTTCATGTGAACAGGTGCACTGCATAAACAAGGCAACATGTCAACCTCACCCTGCGAATAATCAGGTCATGTCTCCCGCAGCTCCACCTCGCCTTCCATCATGACCGAACATCAACTATGCCTCCTAAATTATCAATAATAATAATATTAGACTCGGATGATGAGCCTATTAAATTATTGTGAAAAGAAGGACAAAATGTTACGAGTTATGACTAACTGTCCACCAACGTAACCAGATCTTATGCAGTCAGCAAGTGCGACAAAATGGCACAAAACTCAGTATGTCTCAGAATGTCTCAGTACTCCTTGTCAGTTTTGTGCCATTTTGTCGCACTTGCTGACTGCATAAGATCTGGTTACGTTGCACGTTGGTGGACAGTTAATCATAACTCGTAACATTTTGTCCTTCTTCTTTTCACAATAATAATATTAATAATATTAGAGTAATATCCACTAGATCACGTGCATACACCGTTATCGATATTTGCAATGGGAGTTGTCGATAAGATTACAGCCTGCACAGTCATGGCTGCTAACCTCCAAAGGTCGTGACTTCGTATCATGCAGAGTTTTGCGGACTACCCGTCGATATCCTGTCCGCCCCGAGATAAAAATTAAAGGCTGATTCACTCGAATCTTCTGCTACATATACTGTATCAGCGTGATCAAAGAAATTCGAAGAAGACGAGTTCGAGCATACAAAAATGTATTGCCATGATTATCACTGAAAACACTCTATGACCTCAGAATTGCAAGGACCCTTTACCATGCAGACCACCAGCACTGATCAGGTGCATTGTGCACAATTGTGTAGCCTACATACTAGAACTGTAGTACAAACATGTGGTTATGCTCCTACCTCCGAAAGGATGCCAAATTTTCAGCCACCAGATTATGCCAATAATTATGCCGGCATAATCCGCTGGAGCCTATCGAGCGCAGCTAGTGTAGGCCTGCAGGGGAAACCCTTTTAATTCCTTCGTTATCCCAATCGAACTCGCCACTTCCACCGAAACTGAGTGACTGCGCCCTACTAGATGGGGATTTGTATGCAAAATGTCACTAAAAGCGCCATTTCGTTCTTATAAAAGCACGGATGACCGCAATTGGCCCATATGTTGTAGTCTTTTGGACGCTGAGTCGACTGGTTTTGGTCAGAAAAGGCTGCGATGCAGCGTCCAGCCCTTATTCCCAATCAAACACGGTTGAGTAAGCGGTCACGTGCTCTGCGTACACCAATCACCTGGTCACCGTGCCTGGGGGCTACAGCTTTTACACCAAGGTTCAACTCAAAGGTTCAACTCGAGTGACAGGAAAGCGCCCAAACAAGCTGTCTTTTCAGCCTTTTCGGACCTAAACCAGTCGACTCAAGTGTCCAAAAGACTACAACATATGGGCCAATTGCGGTCATCCGTGCTTTTATAAGAACGAAATGGCGCTTTTAGTGACATTTTGCATACAAAGCCCCATCTAGTAGGACGCAGTCACCCAGTTTCGGTGGAAGTGGCGAGTTCGATCGGGAATAAAGGGAGAAGGGAGCGTCTCAGCTTCCTCGCACCAAGACTATTTGACTCAACACCCCGAAGACTACAACTGGTGAAAATTTGATTTTAGGGTATACTTCCCCTTTAATAAAAAAATGTCATAATATTTCACACAGCAAAACAAAGCACAGACTGACAGCGCTAGCAGAGGGGTGCATATCGTGGCACTACACTGAGTGCGTCTGTTTGTACCAGTATTTCTAAAACGACAGATTTTAGTGCCATTGAGGCTGAGTTGGTTGTGAGAGGGAAGCTGAGGTGCTGCATGCCGATGACACAGTAGAATGTTGTTACATGCTTTAGCCGACTGCATTCGGGCCAGGCAGATAATGATTACTACTTGCATACATCGTAGAGTTGTGGCAAACTGTCCCCGGGCCTTGTGTACTATTTTTGTACTTCAAAGGACATTGCTGTACTTCATGCCAAGATTAGAAAACAAGGATCAAAATAATACATGTAGTTAGTTCAATGAGCAAGCGGCATAGACAAACGATAGCTTCATCAGAGCTACTAGTACTAATATGAGGAGTATAACGGCTGCAGACATCACCAAACAACATAACACCGGGCTAATAGGTTCAAGAAGATATTCTAGCGACAAACTCTGCAATGTACTGTAGTATGGGTCGGTCGTGCATCGTGTTGCAGCCTATCAGTGTGTACGTATAGGTCTACCCCCTTGAAGTAAAGTACAAAGAAGGTACTTGTCATGTAATGTTACATGTATACTTCCAAACAGGTCACACGTGACCCGGTGTTCTTTTTTCAAGCAGGTCCATGTACCCCCCTCCCCCAGCCGGGTCCCTGGCTCGGCCCTGGAGCAGACACTGATCATCCTGGAACAACAAACATTTTACTACTAGCCGCGATCTTCAGCTGGCGGTCATCCTACAGGAATTGATTGTGCGCGCTCACCTTGCCATCCGATACTATTACGCATACCGCAATGTCGCGTAGTACAGCTGGGCTTATACCGGTAGAAGCCAATGTCTGGGCTAGGCTTCTGTTCAAACTAGGTCTTTCTACATACCCGTATGTCAACACTAAACCAGGCGTATGTGCTGACAGTGTATCTTAGAAATCAGGCTTGAATTCAAAACAAGCTTCTATGATTATCGGAGATGGGCTTTTTAAAAACAAGACCGGCTACGGTATCGATCTATTATTAGTGATAAACCTCCTAAGTCTAAAACCTATTGGGGTGTGCATCCAAGATGTGCTGATGGTGACCACCAGGCCACTGCAACGTAGAGAGCATGTTGACTCTCTCACACATCCGATGCGTTAGTAATCCACATTCCCATACATGAGGATCGGTCAGCTGAAATGAAAAGAATGAAATGATCATAAAAGAAGTCGAGTAGATTTCTCATCTATCCACAGAGGAAAGTCCATGTTTCTATAGCATTTCCATCTTGACTAGCAGAATGGGCAGCCCAAAGCCATCTCTCAAAGTAGCATCATACCATATAATATAGCCACGATGAATTACAACATGATCAAATCGGTCATGCAGAAGGAAGCCATGCACTCTACGTTGAAACATAATCAGTCAACTGCCCGCAAGGGTAGCAAACAAAGGAAGTAGTGATAGCAGGCTTGCGTGTGTGCATGTCCGAGTGCAAACTACCTAAAATGTCAATGAGTGCATGTATCTCCTGTGAACATCAACACTCCACGTTCAGAACTAACAGCACTGTCAGCAGAGTCAACAATGTTCACAGTAGCAACACTGTCCTAAGTAAAATCATGTCGTAAATATTGTACTCATTGGGATGTTGATGTACAATGTTCCTATATGTACCGGTAACTGGTACCGGATAATGGATGCGTAACACAATGTTGATACAGTAGAGTCGTGCACTGAAGAACGTGGAGCCCTAGAACACCCAGCCAGCAATACCAAGAACACCACAGCCAGCAGTGTTGGTTTTCTTGCAGCTTTTGAGATGCATAATTATGTATGTAACAAGGCGAATATATGGTCCAGTACGAATTGTTTCCAAGAATGTACTATAACAGCGCAGCCAGCTCGCTGCAAAATAGCAATGCCCCAAGCCAAACCCTTGAAAACGACCGTCTTGGGCACGATTCAGCTGTAGTTGGCACCAGGCCGGGCAAGGAGTATTGAATCCTTTCAGCCAGAGTGACCAGGTGGGTAGGCTGGTGGCATGGCGGGCGTATTCAGTGATGTGGACATTGTCAGAGCACTGTTGTAATCAGGCGGAGCACTGGGATCGGATGGCGGTCGGTACGCGGTCACAGGAATGCTTTCTGGGTCTGGAGGTGCAGATGGTCGCCGAACACTAGTTGTGCCGAATGCCGCTGTCTTATCCATAACAGGTGCCGGTGGTGTTGGAACTAAAGCGGCAGTGGACCTATTACTGGTGCTAGCTCGTTGGGGAGTGGAGCGAGGCTGTGAAGCGGCAACTCCACCAGACCTTGCCTGCTGCTGTGCTTGACGTCGCTGCCTCTTCCTTTTGTCGGCACGGATAACTGAAAACACGATAATTAGAGTGATGACGACAATTGCTGCACTATAGCCGGCGTTCCAGGTTGCATGCGCTTGGTTGTCATCGTTGGCTTCTAAGATGGGCCCGCAATCGGAAGGAGGAAGTCGACAACGACGTCAGCAGTGCATACAGTAAGCAAAGAACACGACACCAGACATAACTGACGTCACGTCACAACATGGAAAAAAGCTTCTTAAAAAAAAGAATTCCTCACCTACAATGTAGTAGGCACATGCCTTCTGCTCTGATTGTTCACTTTAATATTCACTTATTACTTTGGCAACTGCCACAGCAACTTCCACACTTGTGACAGTGGTTGTGAGACCTATCCCCTCACCTCCACCGTTAGGCGCTGCATTCCCTCGGGATACGGACACGATAATTTACTCTTTGTTTTACTTTACTGACCAGTGATCACCCAATGGGGTGAAAGAAAGTGATTCGAAGGATTCAAGGGATCAGTCAGGGAAGGGAACTACCTGAAAAGAGAAAAGAATGCCAACCCCTGTGATTTTTTGACGATCATCAGTTGGAAAATACATCACAGTAGGGAAGAAGAAGACAGTCTTGGAAGCACATTCAATTATTATTGACCAACACTTTTCAGGTGTGCAGGAATGGACTCGGATGGAGAGCCAAGGATTAAAAAAGAAAAATGGACCAAGGAACTACAAGTTACGCGATAATGTCCACTAACACCACCAGTGTGCTAATGTGCTAGAGCTGTTACTGTAAGACATGTATATATAACGAGGAAGTAAATCTAACGTTTTAACGGATGACATTTCTTCGTTATAGTAAGATCCGTTTAGGCCGTATGGCTTCATATATGTTGTGTTTGGATATGGCGGATTACTGCAAGATCGTTAACATATCTTCTCGTTAACCTATGAATTTCGGACAATCGTTAAATTTGCGACTCGTTATAATAACATGTCTTACAGTAGCCAGTTTGCTGTAGAACGTCAGTACCGTCGGTCAGTGTCGTGCAATGTTATCGCATGAGCTGATTATTTAGTAACTGGTGGTGTTAGTGGACATTATCGCGTAACTTGTAGTTCCTTGGTCCATTTTTCTTTTGTAGACACACCATTTTTGTTTCTCTTTCAGGCAGTTCACTTCCCCGACTGATCCTGTGAATTTGAAGTTCTCCCAATCCCTTTCAACTAATCACTTTCTTTCACCTCTGGTAGTGCGTTCCAGAAACTGACCATGGTTGGTCCCTGACCCGGAGAGGGGGAAAGACTCAAGTGCCGGCATCAGTATGTGTCGCGCACGTGTTGTGAGCAGTCTTTGGAGTGAAAACTTGTCAGTGCCTTCAAGGTTTGGCCTGGACCCATAGTGCAGGCGGTTAGAGGAGCATTGCTCATGACAAGCAAGGTCCCAGGTTTGAGTCCTGGTGGTGTTGGCATTTTTTCTTCTCTTTCCAGGCTTCCCCAGCTGACTTCCCTGACTTATCCTTTGAATAACAATACTGTTCGCGTACAGAAGCAGGCCAGTGTGGCTAGCTCTGCTTCTGTTTAACGGATGTCAATGGTGACATACAGTGATGATGTACCAAACATAGAAACCAGGGAGAACCAAAAAAGGTTTTTAGTATTCCCTGATAGAAACCCATACACGGTCTCTGGCTACACCAATCACAGAAAACAATACTTTGAAGTACAGTTACTACCAGCAGTGACAGAAACCTAAGACGAACGGTAGACAATAGTCTGCTTCCATCTGGACTTGTCGGCTGCAATGGTAGCAATACTATAGACGCCAGGTCCCTTCCAGTTTTTAACGGAGTGCCTACAGGAGTGCAAGTACATACCCGCTACGGTAAGCATGGCTTGGCACCTATTCCGCTTGCATGCAGCCAATTCCAAATCAACAACGTCTTAGAGAAGTAACAACAGCTGCTGCACACTCACAGTGCCCAATACACTGTGAGTGTGAGTGCAGGGCACTTCACACATAGAAGATGGTACACCACTCACTTCACACATAGAAGATGGTACACCACTCACTTCACACATAGAAGATGGTACACCACTCACTTCACACATAGAAGATGGTACACCACAGGGCACTTCACACATAGAAGATGGTACACCACTGGGGCAGGGCACTTCACACATAGAAGATGGTACACCACTCACTTCACACATAGAAGATGGTACACCACAGGGCACTTCACACATAGAAGATGGTACACCACTTCACACATAGAAGATGGTACACCACTCGGAACAAGAGTAGGCAACTAATTAGTTGCACTTTATACGATCTGTGTGCAAACAGGGTACAGCACCTTCACCCTGAAGACAGTGTCCAAGCATACACTCTGCATCTGACCAGTGGTCAGATGCAGAGTGCTCTATGCACGACGTCAAGAGTACATAACCCCAAGAGTGTGCAACTCCAGCTATGGGGTCTGCGACGGCAGAACTTCACATCACGTGATGAACCCGTGCACTCTAGTGCATGATAGATACTGGGTTGTACGCAGCCCAGCTTTGGGTACAACTCTCTTGTGGTCACTTTGCACTGTTTGCCAGCATAACCTTTTGAACCATGTCACGTGATGTGAAGTTCTGCCGTCGCAGCACAGCATAGAGGTTGTGCAGGCAGTTGCACACTCTTGGGGTTATGTACTCTTGACGACGTGCAGAACTTCGGTACAAATAAACGTCAAGCGGAACAAAAAAATTCTGAACGCAGAATTTCATGCTTAAACACACACACATCCACACATGCGCACGCATATAAGTACATTACACGCGCACATGTTCACATATTCCCCTCCCATCTCCCATACAGTAAGCATATTTATCGGCGACCAGCCCTGTCACCTTCCTGTTTTTGCGCTGAGCATTGGCACTGCATGCCTGCCATAAAGGTTAGGCCAACACCCAATTCCTGTGGTGAATAAGAACACAGTATCCTGAAAACAGCTTTCGTCTCCTGATGATTGCTTTCTTAAAAGCATGAAAATCTGAGTTGAGGTTTTTATAATACTTCAAGTAATAATTACACAAGAGAGATTGGAACTGTGAGTTTCACGTACTACTACGATCATCAGGCAACTGATGGCTCCAAAGCGGACAGCCTGAACATAAGGCTGGGGGAGCAAGGTGGGAAATTCTGAGGGGTATCATAGCGCAAGAGTCAGGTGCAGGCATAATAATAATTATAATATTTTCTCCTTACTGTACTTAATCCACTGTTCCTGTTCCTTTTCCCTTGCCTGTATTTCACCTGATGAGAAGGCTTGAAAGTATACTTGTGAAACCAAAAACGTTCAAGATGTTCTAAAGAGCCTGAGGTGTGTCCTTTTTATGAGTATTATCGCATTTTTCTGTCTCAGAGGAAACTGTATAATATTTTCATATAATATTTTCTGTTCCACTGGATTTTCGTTTGCGTCCAAGTGTATACAGAGCTACAGAACACTTTATTACACAATATGACCAAGAATAACAATTCTATGAAACACAGTCAACTAATATTAATAATATCAAAATGAAATGAAATCTGCAAGCGCTACATGTATTCTAGGCACTAGAAAGAAAGATCGCCCAGTGGCAACAAAGTGATATCTTTCTCTTAAAAAAAAATACATCTTGCTAATTTTTCGTACGTCGGTTGATGCCACAGCCAGTGATGGTCAAACTGCCATGAAGGAAGGCAACTGTCATACAATTGTGAAGGATATAATCCTGGGTGGTGGGCGAACAGCAGCATTTCAGCATTGCGTAGATCAGCAGCAGTAACGTTAACAGTAGCATGTAAGAGACACGCTGACATACACTCAGATTCAGTGAAACCGTGCAGTCATGCTGACCGTTATGTTTGCTTGCCGTTATGTTTGCTTGCCGTTATGTTATGTTTGCTTGCAGACGGCAGTGACAACGGTGGCAGCACCACCAGCACCAGCAGCAGCATCATAGCTACAAATAAAATATCATCTCAAACATGTCAAGACTGGGCAGTAGTTGTCCCAGGCTCAATTGTGTACTAGCTCGCGATGGCAGCAGTCATCCACATAGCAGTTGTACACACAGCAGATGTACAGCATGACCAGGAATTGCATAGGGTCTATGCTACTATGCTACTCATTGAACATGAACTAGCCAGTACTAGTAGTCATTAGATTGATAGACAAAAAAAGCACGGTTTTACTAGGTGTCGCTATGTCGTGGAATGTCCTGGAGCAAAAGCGGTTGCTGCAGACATTTCCCCAGGGGCAGGCATGGTTATTGCAATATTGTAATCGGGAGGAGCATTAGGGTCGGTGCTGGGTTTGCATGGCTCAAACTCTCCAATATCTGGTGGTGCAGATGGCCGATGACCGCCAGCATCGTTGGTAGCAATGATGCTTGTTGGTGGTGTGTAGGAGATGGTACTGCCCAGGGATGGTTGAACACTGGCACGAGGAGCAGCGGCAGCAGTGGTACAAGCAAAACGACATGTACTACCCCCTGTCGCCATGATCCCAGCCCTGCGTTTGTCCAGAGCCACTTTCACACTGACACTCATCACGAGGCCTGCCGCGAGCAATGAAACGCCAACACCAACATTCCAGGCTCCTTTCTTTTTGGCATCATCATCATCATCATCGCTGGTTGCTGAATATGGCCATCAGCAACGAATAAACAGCAGTGCCAGTGACAGTGCACCAACCAGCACACAGCAAACACATACACACCGCAAACAGCACAAAGAAAAAGAAGAGTGTTCTCAGGCAGAGCGACCAGATTCTCATTGTATCCATGTGGCAGTGGTGAAGCCTGGCATGTGACAATGCACCAGTAGCACGATGTCATAATGATGACAACCAGCAGTGTGATGACATAATGATGACAACCAACAGTGTGATGACATAATGATGACAACCAACAGTGTGATGACATAATGATGACAACCAACAGTGTGATGACATAATGATGACAACCAACAGTGTGATGACAAAATGATGACAACCAACAGTGTGATGACATAATGATGACAACCAACAGCGTGAAGACGTAGTGATGACAACCAACAGTACGATGGCACAGCGGGATGGTGGAGGCAAAGCAGTCGTAACATTGATAACGAAACACAACGGAGCACACACACACACACACACACACACACGAACACAAGTGAAGAGCAGCAGCAAGTTGTCGGCACGGCTATCAATGGAAGGGTGTCAATAGATTGAAATGGCAGTGATATGTAGCAACAAATGGCAGAGCAACTGGGCACCAGATGGCAGTGACATGTGGCAGCAAGAAAAGAAGTGAACACACATGCCATAGCCATAGTCCTACGGAACATGTGCGTTAAACTGAGCACTTAATTCTTGATCCAGGTCTAGCAGGCTTGCATCAGTGCAAGGTCATCACAATTCTGACAGTACAGAGTACCAAGCTGAACCCGTTATGCACTGTTGCACTGCTGCAATCAATTCTGACAGTACGGAGTACCATGCTAAACCCGTTATGCACTGCTGCACTGCTGCAATCAATTCTGACAGTATGGAGTACCATGCTCAACCTGTTGCATAATCTTGTGACAGCGGGTCAGCTCAGGACAAACGTGGTCGATTTCTAGGAGTTAAAAAATCGGTAATGTAAACAAGTGGACTACACGTGAATGCTGACACTATGTGTATGCAGTTTTATCGCATGTTTTTTTCAATACCCCACACACTCCTAGGCCAGCTGCAAGAATGGCAATGGTGACACTTTCCTTCTGTTTTTCTCCATTCACAAGAAAAGCGGAGTTTGAATTAGTTCAGAATGTGAGTACAGCAGCCAGTTGATCACACGCTAAAATGGCGAAACTTTGCATGGCAAGTCACTGTGCGACAGGGCACGAAAAGCAGCGCCCCGATGAAACCATCCCTTCCCATTCGCATGGCCACGACACCATATACTGATCGGGCAGGAAAGAGGACGCACGCGCACACAAACATACTTGTACTTGCTCGCTGCCAAAACTGGCCACGTGGTTCTCCTCCGGGAGATGAGAGAGATTCGAAAGGAATCTTGGAAAGATGACTCAATTGGCTATTGAACTGCCCAACGACTGACACCACCTGACATCCCTAAACTCTGGGTCGACTTGGAAATTATCCCACTTTAAATATGGGCTCACCACACCTCAGTGAGTGGGTGAGGACAAGGTGCAGACAAAGGATTGACGGCATCAGGGCACACACACACATACATACACACCACATGCACGCGCATATACACACACACGCGTGTGCGCGTGCGTGCACGACCCTAAAGGCCGACCGCTGAGAAATGCGACACCCGAATGTGGCGTAGAGACATGAGCACGGAAACATGCTACGTACCGGTACAGGCAGCGTTCGGGTTCTCTTTGCCCTGCACGCCCTGGAAGCATGCACAGTCTGTTGTACAGTAGGCAGAGCTTAGCTCCGTGTCATCTTTGTCCTGTGTGCACCACGCGCAGCCGACAGTGGCTTGACAAGTCCTAAACGCCGACAAGAATGAAAAACAACCTCCCATCAGCACAACACAGAGCGAGTGAACAGCTTTTAGTGCACTTCAAGAACACAGATACACAGGTTTCACAAATTTTGCCAAGTTCTTGTAATCCTCGGAGATTTCTCGCCGCCACCGAGCTTCTACTTGTTCCAGTCACGTCTTTCGCATGAAGTCAAACGCTTTGGGAGTACACCAGAAGTGTGCACAACCGCCTGTGTAGGTGTACATGTCTATGTTCTCAAAACGCACTCTACCGGCGATACAGTTAGAAGAAACTTCACCAACATAGGACACGTATACAGTCACTCTGCACCTGGAAGTTGCTAGCTCAAGTAGTGGTGACGTGGCTAACATTACATGTATCTGTATCTGCATGCACTGTTACTTGAAGTACTGAAGCACATGTACTAGTATCAGTAAGAACTTAACTACTTACTAAGAAGCACTAGAGGGCAAGCATCGATTCAATTACATTGTACAAACTAACTGCAGGTAACCATGGTAACTGATTATAGCTACGGGAATAAAATCACTGACCTGGACGAGGTGATGTTACTGCATCGGCCGTTGAAACACTTCTCCAGCTTGGTGACTTTGTCCGGCTTGCGGGGCACGACTGGCAAGGCAACGATTTCCGCCGGGCACACGTCACTCCTGCAACACGCATATACCAGTAGAGCAGTAACAGCAGAACACGGCATCCCGGTAAAGTCAGCTCTGAGTTTCGCATGTTCACAGTCATCAGGTAGCGGTTGAGATACGGTTATCATTATTCTGATGATCATGCAGCCAAGAACCCTTAAGCCACCAGCAGTCTTCCTCTCTTCTCCCCACTCAATAAGCAATACTACCTGATCCTCAAGTACAGTGTATAGTGTACATGCACTTGTTTGGAGTAAGTAAGCCAATGGGCATGATAATGATCACTGCACTTTTCGTAGCCCAAATCCAGCGCAGTACGGAAACCATGAACACAGCTAAAGATAAGGCCAGATTCGCCTACAAAGCAGTACATGTCACTCCCTACAGACACTACAAAGCAGTACATGTCACTCCCTACGGACACTACAAAGCTGTACATGTCACTCCCTACAGACACTACAAAGCAGTACATGTCACTCCCTACATACTTAAGCGACCACCCCACAGTGCAAGCAAAAGCGGTCGTTAAAGCCAGGTGGTCTTTAGAACGGTCAACCAGGTCCCACAGTGTCTGTGTAGAACTGTCGGTGCATGGAAAGACGGTGGTTAAGAGCAGGTGGTCGCTAAACCCAGAGGTCGCTTACACCAGGTTTTACTCTACAAGTATTAGCATGAGGGATGCTAGTGACACTGTCTGAATGACTGAATGAGGGATGCTAGTGACACTGTCTGAATGACTGAATGTTCATACTTACACTGCGATACTGCCGGGAAAGGAATTGTTGCAGGGGAAGTAATCCACACCACGAACACACGGACACTCGCAACTCTGCAAGATCTCTGATGTCTGACATTGGCCCAAGCCGTTTCTCTACAGACAGCCACGTAAGCATGGTGGATACATTGACACAAAGACACATACACATACATGCATTTGTTCTCGCACATGCGCGCACATGCACGCACACACACACACACACACACACACACACACACACACACACACACACACACACACACACACACACACGTGCACACATACACACACACACGCACACGTGCAAACACACACGTGCACACGCACACACACACACACACACACGTACGCGCACACACACACACATGCACGCACGCACACACACACATGCACATACACACACGCACACACACGCACACACACACACATGTTAGCACATACAAGTACACAAAAACACGCACACACACATATGCAGATACACACTGTCAACTGTTGTCTGTCCATTCTAATTTCAGAACGAACTTCCTTGGAGCAAGTTTCTTGAGGTAAGAGTAGGGCGAGAGAAAGTGTTTCTTTTCGGTTGTTGTCCTAACACTAGCAGGGCTGGTGCTGCTACTGGTCAACTTACCACAGGGCATGGGCAGGAAGACAGTGTACGAGGGCGGTATGGACAACTGGTCGAAACAACAGCCAAGTACATGTTGGTGTTTGCAATGTGCATAACCTGCATAGGGGCAACAACACAGTGCAAACAAACAACAACGTCCAGTAATAATAGTGACAAGGATATTGATAACCACAATCACGGCAGCACACTGACCATAACAATAGTGGCAGAAGCAGCAGCAGCAGCAGCAGCAGGAGGCAACTCCACAGCACAATGGCTATCTCTGGAAGAAAGTAGAGAGCATTGCCGACAATAAAAACACCGAGTGAACAAGAGAGTGAAGATGCCGAGACATGAACATAAAACGTGTGAGTGATTGTGAGTAGCTCTGTATGACTAGAGGTGACTAGAGATGTATGTCATACAGGGATATGACTAGAGGTGTATGTCATACAAGGATATGACTAGAGATGTATGTCATACAGCGATAAGACTAGAGATGTATGTCATACAGGGATAAGACTAGAGATGTATGTCATACAGGGATAAGACTAGAGATGTATGTCATACAGGGATAAGACTAGAGATGTATGTCAACAGGGATATGACTAGAGATGGATGTCGCAGGCTCCTCTTCGTGGGTTGAACACTTTTGCAAGTCAACAGCAACTCGGCTTCATGTAAAGTACGGAATAAATTTCTTCGTAATTATGATATTGACAGACAGAAGAACGAGCAGTTGCTGCTTCGTAACTCCGAGTTTCACGAACTGAATCGATCATCAGAAAAAAATTCGTCTGATGATCGACTCAGTTTGTTAAACTCAAGAGTTACGAAACAGCAGCTACTCTGTATATTCCGCCCTTTGCCTTCGGCAAATTGAGCCCTTTATGTACGGTGGATGAACATCACAGTCATGGTAAATATGATATTATATATGTAGACTATGCACAGCATCAAGAATGATTTCCGCACAAAAGGTCACACTATACTGTAATCAGGATAAGAGGCAGGTGTACAGTGTACAGGCACACAGGTGCACAGGTGTACAGGTGTACAGGTGCACAGGTGTACAGGTGTACAGGTGTACAGGTGTACAGGTGCACAGGTGTACAGGTGTACAGGTGTACAGGTGCACAGGTGTACAGGTGTACAGGTGCACAGGTGTACAGGTGTACAGGTGTACAGGTGCACAGGTGTACAGGTGTACAGGTGCACAGGTGTACAGGTGTACAGGTGTACAGGTGCACAGGTGTACAGGTGTACAGGTGTACAGGTGTACAGGTGTACAGGTGTACAGGTGTACAGGTGCACAGGTGTACAGGTGTACAGGTGTACAGGTGTACAGGTGTACAGGTGTACAGGTACACAGGTGTACAGGTGCACAGGTGTACAGGTGCACAGGTGTACAGGCACACAGGTGTACAGGCACACAGGTGTACAGGCACACAGGTGTACAGGCACACAGGTGTACAGGCACACAGGTGTACAGGTGCACAGGTGTACAGGTGCACAGGTGTACAGACATAACTGCAGTATCACCAAGGGCGCTGCACAGCCCTTGCACAATAATGCTTTTTTTCTTCCCTTTTTTTGCAGATACCGTACCGCGTATGGGGATTGTTGCCACTTGTACGGGCAAAAAAATTGAAAAATCACGGTTCGCGTGAGACTCGGCTGGAAGCTATTTTTTCTTTCTTTTTTTGAAAGACAGGGCGAACAACTGCAGGACCACAAGCTTTTGGTACAAATCAGGGTGTTATAAATGAAAAATATTGAAAAGGGGGGGGGGGGCATGGCTCAAATTTTACCGATTATTCCACAAAAAAATAATTCCCGTTTTAAAAATCACACCGATAATTCCCGAAATTATGCCGGCATATTCCGTGGAAGCCTAGGCACTGGTCTGTACGCTCCAATGCGGCAATACGTAAGGTCTGCACGTGTGTAGAGTTTGTTTTCACTTACTTCACCAGATACAGAGGCATTTCTGCCTTCTCGCCTAACCATACGACAAGACTCCCAATAAAAGATGAAGAGTTCATCTGACTTTGGAAAACTACACAGTACCTTGAAGTTGACTGAAGTACCGTGTGCCACGGGATCTTGACAGGGGTAGGAGCTTGAGACTTCGGTCTGACCAGTAGGCATCGTCACCTGTGTTGTACGTGCATCATACAAACACGTGCACACACACACACACACACACACACACACACACACACACACACACACCTCAGACCTGCCCATCGCAGAAGCAATGATAATAATAATAATAATAATAATAATGACAGTTCGCATTTCACTCATTGCATGAGGTCAACGCATCTGTTAACAATTTCGAGCCAAGCAGCTCTATCAGAAGCAGATTGCACAGCATCCAGAAGCGACAGATTAATGCATTGTAAGTCTTTCTTGACAACGTCGATCCATCTCAGACGGGGTCGTCCTCGGGGTCGTCGTATGTCTGTTGTGTTGATTGACATTAGGAGGGCTTGGAAAGAGGACGATTCTTCGCCTTCCCTCACTACATGGCCGAACCACAGCAGTCTCCGTTGCCTGCAGACTTGGGATAGTGGGGTCTGCTCGGTTCTGGCATACAGCGCTGTGTTCGAGATTCGTTGTGGGTACGTGATACCAATGATGGTACGTAGTTTCTTCCGGTGCCATACATTGACGACGTCGGTTAATGTTTGCGATAAGGTCCAAAGCGCACAGTTATACAGTAAGACAGGCAATATCAGGCAGGAAAACATACACAGCCTGGAATTCAGGTGCAATGATAGCGGACAGCTATATTAGACATAGCAACTAGTGCTGGGATTACACCATTCAACAGCTTGCAAGGCTGATACACACGCACACACACCCACCCACCCACCCACCCACCCACCCTCCCCCACACACACACCATGTACCACACACACGCGCGCGCGCACGCACACACACACGTATACTTTACTGTACTACACTGTACTATGCTCACTACAGGGAACTGGTTATGTGGGTCTTCCCGGCAGAATGAAAGAGATTCAAAAGGAATTGCGCAATGATGACTCAGTTCGCTATTAAGGCCAACACCCCTGAATCTCAAGGCTGCGGGTAGGCTTAGAACTGGTGCCGCTCATGGGCTCACCACCCCGCAGTAAGTGGGTGAGGACACGGTGCAGAGAAAGGATTGACGGCATCAAGGTATCCGTCCTGGGATCCAACTGCATTTACCCCTGTCCCCCAGTGAAGGTAGTAATACAGTACTTCTGTGGATTGCTAATGGAACATGTTGGGCATGTTGGATTTCGTTTCTTCTCTGTTTCCCGCACTGATAATAATATTATGTAGGATGCACATGCATGTAGCTCCACGTTTATAAAATTAAGACTCATATTTGTAATGTGCACTACTGTGTGTGCTCTGATTACCCATGCGCACACTCTGACTTGCTATCCTTTTTCCATTCTCGGCTGTCTCTCCGCGTGGAGAAGGGTCGTTGATCTGTAGCTGAGCCGAGTGGTTTTCTGTTTCGTTGTAGTATCCAGCCTGCGGATGAGTGTGCATGCAAGATGGATGTAGGTTCTAGTTAGTTCTACCGTAAATAGTTTTATTGCTGTAACCGTTCAGACCATGGTTACACATGGTGGCAGCGAATTTCGAACTCCATGTCTCTCGTTCGTTTGTTCGTAGGATGACTGCAGGTCGTTGAAGGACTGAGATTTTGTTGGTGTGATAAACTCTGAAAATGGCTGAGTAAGATGGATCTCCTGAACCTCCCGGCGTACCTGGGCGTCAAGGTCAGTTGAAACTTGAGAGTGTGGGCAACGTCAGAAAAGTTCTCTGGCGATCATAACTCTAACTGGACGTCGTGGCTGGCCCCCTTCTAGTTGGTTGCCAACGTCAACAACTGGACACCGGCTGATCAGACTAGATACTTCGGGTTATATTCATCTGGTCATGCTTTGTCGTACTATCAGAGTTTGGATGCTCAGACACGAAACGGCCCTCTCCAACAACTGCTCCAAGCCTGCAAGCAGAGATTTGGGGACGCGAATCTCGTTCCCACTCTCCGTGCAGAGCTGCAGTCAAGGGGAATTGCTCTCTGACTTTGCTGAAACCGAACAGAAGTCGAGCAGACGAGCTTATCTGACGGTACCAAATGCTGCAGAAGACACCCTGGCCCGAGACCAGTTCGAGACCAGTTCGCCTCGGAGTCTTGACAGCAGGGACCTGCGACTCCATGTCCGTGGCTCGGACCCTGCTACGCTAGCTGATGCACTGCAACGTGCCATCCACTTCCAGTGAATCCTGGACACAGACCAGCACTAGGCAGCATCCCCAGTGCCAGTTTGTGCAGCATCCCCAGTGCCAGTTTGTGCAGCATGGTCGCAGCCACCAACTGATGATCCAACCCTGTACACCTTGCTGTCCAATATAGCAACACTGGAAGAGAAAGTGACTGCACTCACCCCGAAGAAGTCGGGCAGCGAACCTGTGGACACGAAGTTCTGCTACATATGTGCGAGTACTATGCATTTCGCAATGACTTGCCCTCCACAACACAACCGTGAACCGCGGCAGTCATCATTGTAACCCTTCGAACCAACGTTACACTAAGGGGCCGTCCGGGGTTACCGATTGTTTTTACAAAACGAAAAGTTTTAGTATTTTTCAGCCCCCACCCACCCACCCACCTTTTCTGCAGGTAAAACGAATTCCAATATAATATTGTAAAAGAGAAAAGGACATATGGATACGAGTTAAGAGTAACTCTCCATCACTGTAACATGATACTTTATACAGTCAGAAAGTGCAATAACTAGGCACAAAACTGACAGAGTACTGAGACATTCGACGTCCTGACACCTAACTTCAACACATCTCCGTAGCGCTAACCGACAGCCTTCCAACTTGGAAGGTTCAAGGTCTTTCCATAACCTTGAACCTTCCAAGTTGGAAGGCTGTCGGTTAGCGCTACGGAGATGTGTTGAAGTTAGGTGTCAGGACGTCGAAAGTCTCAGTACTCTGTCAGTTTTGTGCCTAGTTATTGCACTTTCTGACTGTATATAGTATCATGTTACAGTGATGGAGAGTTACTCTTAACTCGTATCCATATGTCCTTTTCTCTTTTACATTTATTTATGGCTCAACATCCGAGTTTCAAATATAATATTGATGTCAATTTTCGACATCCAGAAGTAACTGGGCATTCTCAATCAGCATTCAATAATTATTTTCAAAACGAAACACCATCAAACCCACCCACCCACAAACGAAAACATTTCGTTTTGAAAATATTATTGGTAACCTCGGACAGCCCCTAAATGACTGTGTAAATCAAAGTGGATCGAATACCGGCTTCACTAGCACTACTGACTACAGAAGGGTTGATCTAGCTCGGTTACCAGCTACATGTCTCTATACTTCAACGCTCACAAAGGCAGAAGAGGACAGTGACAACCGGTTGAATTATTGTTATAACGCTGCATTTCATGCACATAGCAAAGCTAACGCAATACTCAGACAACTGATTACTTCAAAGTTCAAATAGAAAGTACATGATTGTATATGGAGCCTGAAACCAACACCAAGTGCCAGGCTCAAGACATTTTCAGCTACTAGTAATGGGCCATTCACACTACGCCCAGAACGTGGCGTACGTGACGTTTTCGTCCGGATAGCCATGACAACATGGAACGTGGCGGGAAAATCGTACCCCTGATACGAAAACGTAGACGACGTATCCAGACCCCTGTACCGAGTTTCGTTCTGTCGTTCCCAGCAGTTTGTATCCAAAAGAAGCTGTACACACAGGTGTACGAGCAGCGTGTGCTGGCCTGTGTGAATGCACCTGCATGAAAACGACGTCTGCCAGTACGTCGTATTCCAAAACGTGACGCGTATTGTAACGTAGTATGAATAGCCTATAACCGGACCTGACGCCAAGAGATTTAACTCTTACAGTAGCACAAGTGAGCGGAAGGGAAACAAAAGGGAAACAAAACTTACTCGGAAATAGGAGTATCGTGAAAACGTGTCATATCGCACACAAGACTTCTTTCGCAGCACACCAGTGTTTAGCAGAGTTTCCATCACCTGGGGCTCCTGATGGCACACGTGTAATGCACACGCACAAACAACACATGAAAAGAGATCAGATACTAACTGACACAGAGAGGCAATCTCCAGACAGAACCTGTACTGTGAACTGGTGCAGCAGGCACTGTAGACAAGAAGAAAGTTATAACTATTTAGTCTAACTACTTGTACAACCTGTGTAACTAGCAGTGAGTGCGTTCGATTACGCCTATGGATCGATTTGGAATTGATTCATCCAACTCACACGGGGTGATGTGAATAGTTGGGGGAAATTCATGAATGGATTCAAAATCGATTTGTGGGCAAAATCAATTTGTGGGCAAAATCAAACACACTCAGTGGGCAGAGGAGTGACAGTACAGCTATACCAGCACTGCCTGGTACCTAGAGATAGTATAGCTACATGTATACCTGCACTGCCTGGTATCCAGAAACAGTATAGCTACATGTATACCAGCACTGCCTGGTATCTAGAGACAGTATAGCTACATGTCTACCAGCACTGCCTGATATCTAGATCAACAAAGTGCATGCATACATGTACTGTCGCGGCCATGGAAATCTGTTTAGAAGTCAAGGGCCACGGGGCGCTGGCTTTGCAGCCGCGAGCGCTGCCGGTCGATTTTACAGCGTGTACATGAACTACAGGGCGTGTACATGAACTACAGTGCGTGTACGTGCTAAACGCAGTAAGTGCACCGGCCCCGGTCATCCCACAGATCTCAATGTTCACAACAGTATGACATGTATACAAGTCAGTGAACACTGAGTATGATCAACAAATCTGCAGCTATTGGTCAGCCATTGGTCAGCCATTGGTGAGCCATTGGTCAGATAGCATAAGTACAGCACACAGTATCGTATGTTCTTAGCAGGTGATAGGCACATTGTTGAAATGTGCACTGTCCGTACCCCTTGCGCTTCCTTTACTTCCGTCGCCTCCTGCACTCGCAAGTAACTCTGGGGATAAAGGGTTGCAAGATGTCAGCGTCCGCGTCCCTATGCCACTGTGAGCAGTTGACCAAGCATCCCGTGACTCCCGTCAGACACCACCAGACCTCATCACACGGTTTACACGTACTCGGTAAGGTAATGAGCATACTAGCACAATACAAGAATAGATAGGTAGGGCCAAGAGTACATGACCCCCCCCCCCCCCCCCAAGAGTGTGCAACTCCTGCATACCCTGCTATCTCGACAGAATTTCAAGTTGACGTCATTTTTATGATGCAATGCTCCTTGCACCAGTGATTTATGGCATTTGCACGGGGTGTCAGCGCATCACACGCGTTTCTTTGCACTAGTTCGTACAGGATCAAAGGGGATTTGTCCACCCCAGGTTCAGGATACGTCTGATAATATGTGCTGTACAGTCTGCATTGCATTATAAAAATGAAGTTAACTTGAAATTCTGTCGGGACAGCACCCATAGTCGAGTTGCGCACTCTTGGGAGGGGGGTATGTACTCTTGGTCGGGCTGTACACCACACATACCTCATGGCCAAGGTGAACCCACTCTGGATTGGCTGACGCACTCAGGAACGAAGGATGGAACACGAGATAGCCCGATGAGTCTAGCAGCATACACCTAGCGACACAAAACACGGAATGCACACAGACACACACAGTACACACACACAGTACACAGGCACACCGACACACACACACACAGACACAGACAGACACACACAGACACACACACAGACACACACACAGACACACACACAGACACACACACACTCAGCGGCAGCAGCAGCAACAGCACGATGCAGAGTGCATGTTTTCCCTGTTATTATACGCTGCTCAATCACAATACATGTACTGCATATACATGCACACATGGAAGAGAACCGGCCTGATGCCTTATGCTGAGGATTCTGCACATCAAAACTACTTCTGGCACACAGGGACTTAGAGGATATAGCGATGTCGTCACCTCCTTACCTGTAACTGTTTGCGCAGCTGCCATAAACACTGATCATGAATTCGTTGAGGAAGCCCACAGCAAAGTCCATGGCCATGACAGCACCCACTGCTGATGGGTTGGATCTGGAATGCATGAAGAGCACGGGAAAAACATCACCACGTTGACAGATTATTAGTGAAGATATCACTGTCTGCAATGCCCTGCATGTCACTGCAATCTGTGGCACAAGGTGCATGTGTGAGCTACACACTGAGTATGCATGCACAATGGCACAACCATGCGTGTCTATGCTATTGTACTGGGTACATCTACACACCCACACCTACACCCACACACCCACAAACCATTCAGGATCAGCTGGATTTGTCACCGCAAAGGCCCGGGTATGGAGGATATTCTGTTGTTCTGAGTTTTCCATTCAAGGACATACATGTAGGTCTCCACTCATACACGCTGTGGCTTGGAATGCAGCCGTGGCTTGGAATGCAGCTGTGGCTTGGAATGCAGCCGTGGCTTGGAATGCAGCTGTGGCTTGGAATGCAGCTGTGGCTTGGAATGCAGCCGTGGCTTGGAATGCAGCTGTGGCTTGGAATGCAGCCGTGGCTTGGAATGCAGCCGTGGCTTGGAATGCAGCCGTGGCTTGGAATGCAGCCGTGGCTTGGAATGCAGCCGTGGCTTGGAATGCAGCTGTGGCTTGGAATGCAGCTGTGGCTTGGAATGCAGCTGTGGCTTGGAATGCAGCCGTGGCTTGGAATGCAGCTGTGGCTTGGAATGCAGCCGTGGCTTGGAATGCAGCCGTGGCTTGGAATGCAGCTGTGGCTTGGAATGCAGCCGTGGCTTGGAATGCAGCTGTGGCTTGGAATGCAGCCGTGGCTTGGAATGCAGCTGTGGCTTGGAATGCAGCTGTGGCTTGGAATGCAGCTGTGGCTTGGAATGCAGCTGTGGCTTGGAATGCAGCTGTGGCTTGGAATGCAGCTGTGGCTTGGAATGCAGCTGTGGCTTGGAATGCAGCTGTGGCTTGGAATGCAGCCGTGGCTTGGAATGCAGCTGTGGCTTGGAATGCAGCTGTGGCTTGGAATGCAGCCGTGGCTTGGAATGCAGCTGTGGCTTGGAATGCAGCTGTGGCTTGGAATGCAGCTGTGGCTTGGAATGCAGCTGTGGCTTGGAATGCAGCTGTGGCACTACAATCGTCATGCACTGTATACTAGTACACTGGCTCACTGACTCACCGCACAGAGCTCTGGTGTATAGTAGTACTGAGTGTGACGACATAGCCAGCACCAAACGCGTCCAAGTAGGGTGGACTCATAGTGAGTTGTCCCGGCCTGTTCAGCGACCGTGTGAACCTGTCAACAGCATGGACAACAACAACCACAACACACATAATGCCACCATACAGGGTACAACAGCATCTATATTTCAATGAAACAACAGAAGACAACCAGGGAGTACACACAGCCATCCTGCAACACACCCTGGAGTTTTCCTCCCTAGGTCTGGAACAAGATTTCAGGACTGACATTGTCATTCCAACATACCAAGCAACAAATGTCAGTACAGTGAATGGCACTGGTCCTGCACTCTGTACACACAGAGAGAGAGAGAGAGAGAGAGAGAGAGAGAGAGAGAGAGAGAGAGAGAGAGAGAGAGAGAGAGAGAGAGAGAGAGAGAGAGAGAGAGAGAGAGAGAGAGAGAGAGAGAGAGAGAGAGAGGGAGAGAGAGAGAGAGGGAGAGAGAGAGAGAGAGAGAGAGGGGGGGGGGGGGTTGCAGCAGCAAAACTCACCAGCCACGACTCAAGTGGTCGTAAGAAGTGGGTAGCTGGGTACCAGGAATGATTCTGAAGACACCATCAATAGCACCGATATACCTGTGCGAGAAAAGGGCGCACCACAACAACAATGCAATGAACAAAATGGGAGGGAGAGTTATGAAAACTAACAAGAAGGCAGTACCTGCCTTAAAACAAAAAATAGGAACCTCAGGGACATAAAGGAAAGTTGTACTGAACACTGAGTAACATTATTTTGAAGTACATTTTTGATTTCGTTCAGTGCAGGTTGCACTCAACACTGCAACATGCCACTACTATCACCAAGAGTGCAGTGCTGGCAACTGAAATCCGACCCCCTGGGCGGCGCGTTCACTTTCTAGCGGCCTCTATTTCGGGTCTTTGCGATGTGAGCGCACTGCTCAGGGGGTCGGATTTCAGTTGCCAGAACTGTACATAACCAAGAGTGTGCAACTCGACGATCCCCCAGCCCACGGCGGAATTTTTTTATGACATCAGTCTTTGGCGGCGGTTTGGCTCACTGATGCCATCATGCGCAGCCAGAGATCAAAGTACAAATGATTTGTACATTACAGCTACGGTAGTCGAAGCAGAACAACGGACGCTAGATCGATGTGTCTTGAACCTGACGAACTCTCACCGTATCTACAAAACAAGCGCGGGAAAGCATACCCACTTCGTCATGCTTCTGCCAAAGAACGACGCAATAAAAAAATTCCGCCGTGGGTGAACCCATCGCAGCTCAAGATAGGAGTTGCACACTCTTGGTTACGTACTCTTGCTATCACTCAGTTGATAATCATACACACCACAGAAGGGATGCAAAATGGATACATGCCAGGTAGGGATGTATTGGTGCGGGGAATTATAGGCGATTCACACGACCGGCAAATCCACGTGCACCGTAACGTTGCTATGGTATTTCACCTGTGAACTAGAAAAGTGGCTGAAAGTGGCTGAAAAGTGCAAGCGAGCTGGGGGGCCCACTTTCACGATAATCCTGGCGTGCACGAGTCCATTTACACCAAAAAGCGCGAAACAAGACTTGATCAGTCAATGGGTCTGGGTGGAGACAGGACATTGTCTCTCCAACCAATGTATTCACCTTTGCACTGAATGATAGACTGCACATGACGTGCGGACTGTGTACAGCGCCATGGACTGGGTAGGGCACGCTGGACCATGTACGACGGCACCCTGGAGAATCTAATGGGTTTGTGGACAGTGCAAGGTATCGCAGATAAAACAGGGGCCAATATTTACTTTGAAGCATGATTGCTCATTTGCTTTTGACTCACCTCCAAACGACAGACTGCTGATACTTGCGGAAAAAATTGCTGTCCCAGATCTTGTCCAGCTTAGAGGTGAGGCGCACAAGATTGACGACGCTGCTCTATTGCAGGCAAGAGAAGAGTCAAGCGTGGAGATGGCACAACATCAGACACTGCAAACAAGGAACATTAGCTGCTTTAGCACACTTATCACGGCATATCCAAACACAATTATTCTCTTCTGTTCTTTATTTCTTTCCAAACTTCGTTCATCCTATCTGCCCCCCCATACTCCCCCTTTCCCTGTCTCTGCTGCTCTCAGGCACATCATGAACAAGGTACTACCCCATAGCGGGTCCATACATCAGGAGAGGTTGAATTGAAGAGTGAGCTTAGTAATTGAGGACTAACACAACCAGTATCATCCTACCTTGAAGTAGCGATTGGTCACTGAACGGCCATCCAGGTAGTTCAACATCTGAGTGACATTGCTAGTCGACTCCGGAACATTCAAATAGCGCGCCGGGTCTGTGAACGCCTCTGGTGAGAACTTGACTGCGCTAACATCTTTACAAACCAGCAACACATAGAGAAGCAAATGTTGACAGGTTACAGCTCTGCAGAGTACTGTTGAAAAGGCATAGCACACGACCACAAAAGACACAGGTACACAGACACACCACCGCCACCACCACCTACCTAACCCTTGTTGTGTCGTGTTCTGTGCGCAAGGGCGCATTTGGTTGGTAAGATCTAGACTAGAATAGGATCGAACGGCTGGTGTACATGGTGTACATGGAGCAGCCCCATGCCAACCAAACACTTCTCCAGAAAGAAACAGAGTACATTTCTGTGAAAAGTGCGCCAAACGTGATTGTATTCGTCTGAATGTGTACAAAGCACCATGGTTACTGGTATAAGCAAGAGTACATAACCCCAAGAGTGTGCAACTGCCTGCACAACCTCTATGCTGTGCTGCGACGGCAGAACTTCACATCACGTGACATGGTTCAAAAGGTTATGCTGGCAAACAGTGCAAAGTGACCACAAGAGAGTTGTACCCAAAGCTGGGTTGCGTACAACCCTGTATCTATCATGCACAGAGTGCAAATAATGTGTACGGGTTCATCACGTGATGTGAAGTTCTGCCGTCGCAGACCACATAGCTGGAGTTGCACACTCTTGGGGGTTATGTGGTACACACAGTGCATGCCAAGTAAAACCCAAATATGCATATGCTCGTGATCATTTGGGATCAAAATCAATGTTTCTACCAGACTTCACTGTGATAAAGTAAAACTACTCTGGCTGCTCCAGCCTCGAGGCCGGAGCAAGCAGAACATATTTTGGCCGATCCAGAACAGGTGCAGTACCAACCAAACGAGCCCGAAGTAAGAACTGTAAATATCTCTTTTTAAACATATAATTTCACCAGCACAAGCACACCATCGCATGATTCTAGTCTAGTACATGTACATGTCACGTTACATGTATGTCAGTATTAACCAGTCACCCATACCTGACACAGCCTCGCGGCCAAACTGATCACAGCGGCGTCCTCTCGGGGCAGCCAAATCCAGGCGATGGTACACAGTAGACTCTGCAGCAATGGCCAACACATGACAATGTACATGTGCACACACACACACACACACACACACACACACACACACACACACACACACACACACACACACACACACACACACACACACACACACACACACACACACACACACACACACACACACACACACACACACACACACTCTAATAAGCTCTGGGAAGATTGACTAACACAGGTGAAGGGCATGCCAATGCAATGCACGCGCACACATACACACACTCGCACACGGACGCACACGCGCACACATGCGTGCATACATACACACAAACTACTTACCACTTGGCGCATTCTGTGACCCGATATCAGCAACCTCTCTTGATGACTCCAGGTTTAGCACAACGCACACAACGAAGTCTGTCCCATATACCTGTATAGCAATCCAGACAAGAAAACAAAAAACAATACGGATAATTGTGTCTTCTTGGCTGGTTGTACTAGGTTGCAATGATACATGCATAGTTAACATACTAGATTAATTTAAAGACTAATCTGCCTCTATCACTTGTTTCAACCAGGACAAAAACAATAGTACAAATGTGCCCAAGCAGATGCCATGTGTTTCACGTTATTTAGCACCATGCAGAGTGATAAAGGATGACAGAGCATATTCAATATCTATACATACCGGTGTCCAATAGTAGGTAGACAGCACAGACACTCGGACGGTGCCCTCGTATTTGCTGTCGCCTATGGTCAAAAAGCGTGTAGCGTTGATTGTAGCGCTGCCAGTTGTGCCGCTAAAGATTTACAACACCAAGCCAACAAGCCAACACACACACACACACACACACACACACACAGACACACACACACACAGCAGCAGCAGCAGCAGCAGCAGCAGCAATTATTCAGCAGAATACAGAAGACAGCATGCATCCATCATGTGATTGGAACCAGAAACGCTGTACACTATTGAAGTCTCTACAACAGGGAGACCTACAACAAGTAACAGTGAAAATGTTGTACCATTAGTCCATTACATGATTACACACAATACCACACTTGTCCTCCAGACCAAAACTACAGTACCATTACAGACCACTCTTGTCCTCTACACCAAAATCACGTAGAAGGTACAGATACGCTTTGAATACAGGTGATACCGATTTCTGTCAATACGATTCCCATATAAATTTTTGTGTGTGGGATTTGTGCTGATAATTCGAAGTTAGCAAAGTGTAATTCGAAGTTCACTGTACACTGTACTGGTCAGTTCAGTTTGCATGAGCAGGCCGTGCCGGTCAGTTCAGTATCCGTGAAATCTGTGTTTAAGGTCCACAGCGCAACTCTGCGTGACCCTGAGAGCATTTCGACATACATATTGTGCTGTGGGTTCATGTTTGGATAATTAGAATGTCCGGATATTTAGAAGTTTTTTCCTGGCATTTTGAGGTTCGAATTATCAGGATTCCACCTGTACCAATAGGGAGTGTGTACATGATGAATATCCCCAACATCGAAGCATTTTTGCCATAATGTAAACAAAAGGTGAAGGTGACCGGTAGAGAGACGTGCCCGTATCTGAGGCGTCCGGATAAGAGACGTTTGAGTGTACATGTACGTGGAGCAACAGTTACTGTTTCGAGTGCCGGCACTGCGCAGCAAAGCAATGGCAGTGGCGTGTCACAGAAAAGATTCTGAACTTCTAGATGGTCAGTTGCCAGAGAAGTAACATTCAATTTGATAAAACAGACTGTGTGGCAATGTACCCAGTTTTACACAGTCAGGCACTATACAGTCAGTCACTAAACATACTTTCTCATCTGTGAGTAGACTAGTGTCCTGAACTGCGCATCCACCTCCAGTAGGGTGATGTCCTGAAAGAGTGGATCAGATGATATGTCCACTGGCTGGTTGAGCAATGGGTGCAAGATAGCAGCACCTGCAGTAACCAACCAACAAACACACACACACACACACACACACACACACACACACACACACACACACACACACACACACACACACACACAAATAAAGCCAACTAATCTGTAGTGATTCTGAGCTTCATGCTAATCATCACACAACACTAATAACTGTGTCACATGCTCAAACGAAAAGTATTTTCGGGTGTTGGAGCAATCTACTCGCTTTTAAAATGACAACCTGGTGCCAATAGAGTAACAAGATACTGAAGTACATGTGCATATACATTTGTACATGTAGAGTGAGGAGTCGGGATGTACATGTACCTTTTCTATTGATCATGAACGTATACTGATGCTCGTCGTCGGAGAAATAGGAGATGTCAGCGAACAGGTCGGTGATAGTGATGTCGACACCGACTACGCCACGCAGCACTTGAGTCGTGTCGGAATTGGTGGTGTAAACCGGAGCGGCAGCGGTCATAATCAAACCTACAAGGGGAATGCAGCAGCAGAATAAAATGAATAAGAGGAAGAAGAGCATCAGTAGTGATACCTACGCTGAACAAAGGAAACAACAGATTCCCAATGCTGTGCAGTGCTAGTGCATGGAAAGAAAAGAAATCCCAGGCCCTGCACCAGCCAATCAGAACAACAGAGATGCCCTTCCTGTACAAGTACATGAGAACAACAGAAATCCCCCGGTCCTGCACCACTGCATGCTTTAGGCTAGAGCTAGCCCGGTGTGAAAATGTCTACAGAACTCTTACCAGCTTTCTCACTGCAGTATTCACCACACAGAACTCACCAACACAAATACACACTTACCTTTTCGTTCCCCCCTTCTCTTTCATGCACGCACACACACACACACACACACAGACACACACACACACACACACATTGGAGCCTACTGTCTTTGAGCACTCTTCAAATCCAGTACTTCAGTCGCACCTCAACAGATCACTGCAATGCTAGGCTATGACCTGCATGCTATGGTATACCGTTGAAGCGTTCTTACCTAGTCCAAATGCATCATAGTAGGGCTGTGTGAAAATCACTGACGATGATGTGTCCTCCGATGCAAAGAATGAGTAGAAGCGGGTCAATGTCGGGCGCAAATTAAGGAAATCTGACACCAACCGAAACTCACCGGTCTAGGGTGCAGATACACACAAAGCAGAGCAGAGCAGAGCAGAGCAGAGCAGAGCAGAGCAGAGCAGAGCAGAGCAGAGCAGACAGGCAAGCACAGTGAGTGCACGCACATGTACTCACACATACATACATACATACATACATACATACATACATACATACACGAACGCGCACCCCCGCATGCACACATACACACTGCTGTATGCAATCATATTACTGCTTGTAGGTACATACGGCTTTGGTGGCTGATACTCCTGGATAGTCCTGATTGGCCATCTTGGTGAGGATACCACGGCCAGCTTCAATATCTGCAAGCACAAGGGATGTATACAAATTCGCTCTCATCTCTATAACCAATACATGTTCGGGCCTGGTTTATATCTGGCTTTGGAAAATTTATTTTTCATTGCTATCAGGCTCGGTCTCATTTTCTCTGTGCTGCGCTGCCGAGTCCACAAAGGACGAAACAGTTCTGTCCGCAGATTGAGTAACCATTACATGTCCTATAACACAGCATGGGATCGCAATAAAACCTCATGGCCACTCGCAACGGCATACGAGAGCGAGTCATTCCCCCGACTGTACACCATACAGCTCACATGTACATGAAGTAAGAACGTAGTCATGTATATGAAGTAAGAACATGCACGGTAACTAATTACTTACTAGCACCCATGGCATAGGTAAGAACATGAATTCTGTAGTTGAATGGAAGCGCTGCACTCTCCTGCTTAGACAGGATTTCGCTTTCACTGTCGCCTGGGTCGCCGTCCGACAAGAACAGAATCACCCGGTCTGCAGACAGGCAGATGCACATACACACACACACACACACACACACACACACACACACACACACACACACACACACACACACACACACAGATCAGAGTAGTGCTAGATACCAGTACACTCGGACGTCTCTTATCCGGGCACCTTGGGACCGGGCACTGCCCGTATCTCAGATTTGCCCCTATCTCAGGATAACTCAACTACAGTAAAACCTGTAACTAAAGACCATCGTGACTAGCGACCAGCCTGGTACTACCGATCACTTCGCCAGGCATGGACGGTCTCACATTCAAAATGCACTGTGACTAGCGACTACCTGCTGAACGCGACCAGCGACCGCCTTTTCTTGTCCCAAAGGCGATTTTTGACCCGTAACTAGCGACCGCGATGTAGGAAATCAAATGTTGCTCAAAGCTCCTTCTTGAAATTTTGCTGATTTTCCATTGTCCTGAAAGGAACCTTTCGTTTCTTCAGCTGAACAAATGAACGCAGGTCATTTTGACTGTGGAGTCGGTGTGGACTGCACTACACCTGTCAAAATTTCAAGCACTGTCAAGAATAAACATGATAGGAAACGTCTTGGAGAGCGCATCGGAAGCGCTCTCTGATTGATGTTACTACTCGGAGGAGAAACGAATACTGAGCGGCTCTTTCACCCCAGTCATACAGCTACAGACGAATCGACGATGGCATCAAGGAATCCAGAAATAAAGCAGCACCGCAAGGTCCTGATGCTGAAGGATCGCGTTCAAGCAATCGAGAAGTCACAACAAGGACAGTCGGTACGATTGATCGCATGAACAAATTCGAAGCCCAGCGCAAAACAAAACTTCCACGGAGAACGTGTGACTCCTGGCTTCAGAAGTAGCAACTGAATTTGATGTCTGCAAAAAAATAATCTTCTCTCTCTCTCCATCTCTCCGTCTTTCTCTCCAAGTGTTGTTTGACCTGAAATAAGAATGGCATTGCGCAAGTCCTGGGGAATTGTATTAGCTGCATTTTGACATACATATCATATAATGGGATCCATATATGGCCACGCATTGCAAACCTCTAACTAAAGACCACCTGCTACTAAAGACCGCTTTTGCTGGCACCAAGGGGTGGTCGCTAGTCACAGGTTTTACTGTACCATGTTTCATATCTTTTCTTGAAGAATACACTAGTCAGAACAACAGATGGCTTGATCAGTCACAACTTAAAGTTGCATGCCATCTCAGGCACTCGCCATCTCAGGCACTCACCTGATGAGTGCCGAAGATAGCATGAAACTTTAAGTTGTGACTGATCAAGCCATCTGTTGTTCTGACTAGTGTGTCACGGCTCTACCTTCCCGGTATCGAGCTCTCTTGGATTTCTGCTGGAATTCACAACAGTGTGTTTTCTTGAAGAATATATATTTGGCATGTATTGCACATGTTTTAGGATACAAAAAGAATCCATTGATAAAAATGTGTGGATTACACAGGATGGCAGTGACAAATAAGCACTTGCGCATACAAAAAAAAGCTCAAACCCCCAAATTCAAAGCATTTTTGCCATAGGAACTCAAGCTGAAGGTGCCCGGTAGAGAGACGTGCCTACATCTGAGGCGTCCGCATAAGAGACGTTTGAGTGTACGTAAAGGAAGGTCAAACTCATTGCCAACTTACCTCTGCTCGCTAATGCTGGCGATGCTGAGAATATCTGGTATGCTTTCGAAATGGCAGGAGCATAATTTGTAGCCCCTATACATCAAGACAGCAGCAGCAGCAGCGACAAGAGCCACGTAGAGGAGTACTCAAATACACTGTAGCAAGGCATGATGTAATACGATTGTACATACGGACACACAGGCATATAGACACACACGCATACACACAAGAGAACTGAAGGGGACAGGGAGAAACAATGAAAAACGGAACGTCAAAAAAGCGATGCCTGCAGGAAAAAATCCAGAAAGCCACTATTTCCGCACCGACATCACAATTCTTTTATGGAGGCGAGTCAGCAATAATTAGCGAAAAGAGAGAACAGTCAGGTACAACCGCGATGAAAAGTCAGACTGTGTGATAAGTAGGCACAAACAACTGACAGAGTGCTGATAGATTCGATAGCCTGACACTTCGCTCCAACACACAGTTTTCTCTCCTTCTAACTAGTACACTGCATTCCACCGAGATTGGGTGGGCCATTGATGAGGGTCTTAAGGGGCTGCATTTGCAGCTGGATTACTCCTTAAAACAGTAAGCATGTCGACAATCTCAACCTAGACTGGACTGCAGTTAGCAAAGGGCATACTGTCCGAAGCATTCCCAGCAAATAAAACTGGTGTACAGTGTGAGATGAAGGACGTGACTCAGATTGACATACCGCCAGCATTAAGCTCTTGGACTAGCCACTTCAGCTGTCTAATATTGTAAGGAGTAGCCGGTCCTACGATAGTGTTGAAACAACTCATGTTGCCGTACACATTTGGTTCAATCTTGTCCGGATTAGTATTGAATGGCAGGATGGTGACCTGTGGGAGAAACACACATACACACGCGCGCGCACACACACACGCACACCTTTGACCTGACCTTTGACGCCCATCGCCGGAGGCGATGATAGCAATGCTACGGCAGAAGCCATAGCAACTTGTGCTGGGATTACACCATTCAACAGCTTGCAAGGCTGAAGAATTGACCGTCACTATTCAGCCTGGTCTACACCATACAGCTATTTGGAGTGACACACACACACACACACACACACACACACACACACACACACACACACACACACACACACACACACACACACACACACACACACACACAGTGTACAAACCGAAGCTTCAAGCCGCCAAGATTTTTTATTGTTCAGGGTTTACGCCTGCCATACAATGATGGCTACAATGGCCAACTGAACAACAACGAACTTGAGGCCAAAGAGAATGAATTATTTGAAATGTTTCCTTGCGCATGCTTATAACACGTCGTGATGTAGACGTGAGGTCAGTACAATTGTACAGTGTACTGTATAACACGTTATTTTCAGTGTAACTTCCATTTCGGTAGAGAAGCCAGGCAACTAAATTTGGATTACACCTAAAAGGCCCTAAAGTATGCACTGTATGTGAAGGGAATGCTGGTCACCCAATTCTACATCACACCCGAAACCTGGCAGGTCCCTGGCACCAAAATTGTAGTACACCTAAAATCATATGTTCTACAGTATTTGGAGTTGTACATTCAATACGAGAAAGCCTATAAAAAGCCTGGTGAGAGAATCTTCCAGTAGAAATCAAATTCTCACTGTTTTAGAATGAGCACTGACTGTGGCACATGATCACATCACATACTGGAATCGTAAACAGTGTAGTAGAAACAGGGAACAACATAATCACTAATGCTGCAATCTCCTACAGCGCAGCAGGTATGGTGTACTGCACATGATCACACTACTGTACATGTAACGTTACACCAAGTATTGCAATTCAACTACTAGTACTTACCCGATCCTCTGGTGACAAAATACCCAGAATAGAGTCGATGGCTTCCTTTGCCAGATCCAGGCGTGTTCTTCTGTTGTCATCTGGGATGATTGCACCTAACATCACATATTCACATACCGATATAATTATGCATGTAGGTAATCAGGACCGGTCTGAGCTGTGCATACATGTACAACGCATTTAATAACAAACTACAACTTGTAGGAGAGACATGGCAGCTTGTGCTGGGATGGCACTATTCAGCAGTTTGCAAGTCTGAGAATTTTAAATCACTATTGTAGGCTCTCTATTTCTCCATTTCTCTCTCTCTCTCACTCTCTCACACACACACACACACACACACACACACACACACACACACACACACACACACACAGACACACACACACACACACACACACACACACACACACACATACACACACAGACACACACAGACACACACAGACACACACAGATACAGACACAGACACACACAGACACACAGACACACACACTAAGCTATCACCAGTGCTGGTGCTCACTGTAATGTTCCTGACTTCCTGTGCAGCGTTTGATATGTTCCTGCAGGGACATTACAATGATGAAACACATGGATTGTTACAAATAAAGGCGAGGGGGAAAATGAGCTGACACTTACCCATGGATCCACTCGTGTCCACAACGATGACTACGTCCTTTGCAGCAGGTACAGCTGCAGCTACATACCATGGTCTACCAACATACAACACACATGTAGTGCATAGCACATAGCATACATACACAGGTGCACAGACACACGTGTACAGACACACAAACACACATACTCAGACACACAAACACACAGAACAAACATGTTATGAAGTTAAGGTAGCCCACACTATCCCCCCCCCCCTCCCCCCCCCCCCCCCCCACACACACACACGAAACGAAAACGGCTTAGACAGGGCAAGTTGCAATGCAGTACCGTGGCTGTGTGTGACACATTGCCGCCATGAACTATGACACAACTACAAGCATAGGTTAGTCCAGGGCAGACAAATTCATGAAGCAAATGATCAGAGTTCCGAGAAGGGCTTATTTATCAGCACTGTAAACACGTACATTGCAAGCCAGCCACGTGAAATTACGCTATACCGGCACTAGTACATTGAAGGAGACGGCGATGCATAGAATTTGAACGTCCACTCAAAACTCCCCATACCCGGATTGTTCCAGTTCCGCCAACGGACGGTTCACTGGGTCATGTGGTATGCTGTATTCGACTGTACAGTATGTTCTTCCCGAGACAGTTGAAAACGCTCTTACAAATAGATTGAGGATACAACTATATAATTATAGTGCTACAAGTACATGTACTACATTCAAATGTCAGCTTCTTCAAGGGGAAGTTAAGGCAAAAATTAAAATTTCACCAGTTGTAGTCTTCGGGGTGCTGAGTTGAATGGTCGTGGTCCGAGGAAGCTGAGACGCTCCCTTCCTACTTGAATCCCAATCGAACTCGCGCACTTCCACCGAAACTGGGTGACTGCGCCCTATGAGATGGGGATTTGAATGCAAAATGTCACTAAAAGCGCCATTTCGTTCTTATAAAAGCATGGATGACCGCGATTGGCCCATATGTTGTAGTCTTTTGGACGCTGAGTCGATTGGTTTTGGTCCGAAAAGGCTGCGATGCAGCATTCCTCCTTTATTCCCAATCGAACATGCTTGAACAAGCGGTCACGTGCTCTTGGGTGCCCAAATGGCCTGATCACCACGCCAGCAGGCGACAACTTTCACACCAAGGTTCAACTCGAGTGACAGGACTGCACCCAAAAAAGGTCAAACAGGCTAGTAAGTTGTACCCTGCAGGCACGGTGACCAGCTGACTGGTGTATGCAGGAGCACGTGACCGCTTGTTCAACCATGTTCGATTGGGAATAAAGGAGGAACGCTGCATCGCAGCCTTTTCGGACCAAAACCAGTCGACTCAGCGTCCAAAAGACTACAACATATGGGCCAATCGCGGTCATCCGTGCTTTTATAAGAACGACATGGCGCTTTTAGTGACATTTTGCATACAAATCCCCATCTCATAGGGCGCAGTCACCCAGTTTCGGTGGAAGTGCGCGAGTTCGATTGGGATTCAAGTAGGAAGGGAGCGTCTCAGCTTCCTCGGACCACGACCATTCGACTCAGCACCCCGAAGACTACAACTGGTGAAATTTTAATTTTTGCCTTAACTTCCCCTTTAAAAATACTATTCATCTCTGTAATCAAACTCTTGGCTCAAATTTGCTATTTGCCATGCAATAACTTTATGTGTGTCTTCATTGTTATTTACTCCCCCACCCACACACACACACACCGCAGTAATCGCATAGTCAGACGAAATAAATGATCCATTGTGTCCAAAACGTCGGGATAGAGAGAGAGTACATGGCAGCAACACTGGGTGCCGTGGTACATGCTAGTCACGCGTGCCAAGGTAAACAGCACAGGGTGTTGGGCCTTTTTCACGCAGCGAGCCATTGCCAGTCGCGTAGCACAGTAAGAGCAGAAGCGCATGACTGTGCAGCAGTGTGTAGCAGTGCTTACCTGTACCGAGGATCATAGGATGAACAGCTTGAGGCGTTGAAGCCAGGATAAATTGTAGCATAGCCTTCCTCAGAGCCGTAATACTGGAATTTCAGTTCAGGCACATCCACCAGGTTCGCCTTTGAGGCCGCCGCTATTGCAGCGCTGATCATAGGCCGGTTGCTGCTGGCAGTGGCTGATATGCGATCGCAGCCATTATTCCTAGAAACCTGCAGTGCACAGGTACAAAACACACCGAATTGGGATCGCACTACAGTCAATCTCGAGAATAACAACCTTGGATATAGCAACCTTGGATACAACAACCATGGATATAGCAACCTTAGATACAACAACCATGGACATAACAACCTTGGACATATAAACAAACATTGGGTATAATAACAACTTGCGAGTAACGACACTATTTTCAGACCTAGTACTAGTAACTGTTTGACTGCATACACTCAACCTAACGAATAACGACACTTTTCTCATGCCCCCAGTTGAGGGTCAATATTTACAAGGTTGACTGTACTTCAAAAGAGATACACTGCCCAAGGACTAAATAAAACAGCATGAATGACACATGAGACATGTATGAGGCATGTATGGAGTTTCGGAATCCTGAAGAAATGTATGACACAGTAAAAATGATTATCATGCACATCACGAATGCGTCGCACGCTCGCTACACAGGACGGCATGTACTCACGGTAGTGTTGAAGCGTGAGTCGAAGGCCACATCGTCATCGTCCAGCTTGCAGCACAGCGTCTCTTCTTGTCGCGTCATGCCTGCCTGATACGCCTGTCGTGCAGCTGACTGCAGGTCGCGTGCTGCCCTAGAGCGAGACGTGAGGCGAGTACTGACACCCGTTGCAAGCTACACATTCACATACACATACACATTCACATACACATACACAGAATCCAAATACATACACATACACAGAATCCAAACACATACACAGACACAGGATCCAAACACATACACAGACACATACACAGACACATACACAGAATCCAAACACATACAAGTTACAGAGCTCAGCTACACTGTGGACTTTAAATTCCATGGTCCGTGTGAGACTCACACTGAGTTTTCCGAATCCGCAAGAACATCACCACCATCTAGGATCATGGCGCAGATGCAACTCCTAAAGCGGTGAGAGGTGAATAGATCAGACCCACCACCAAATGGTCAAAGACCGAAAACCGCATTCGCTGCATCCATGTTTCCCTCATGCCAGGCCGCGAGTTCCCACCGGATGGGATGGTCTAAGGTCATGCTTGAGAAACAGAGGATACCGAGTTCAAGTCCTGCTTGGAAGCAGTAGGATTGTTTCCAGCCATGCTGCAACCCACAGTACACGTTAGTGTGTCAAATATTCAAACCGAGAAAACAGAACAGTTTTAAAACATGTTTACAAACCCCCATGCTGCTGCAGAGGTATTTTACTGTGTGACTCCGGAATTGTTAGTTCTCATCATCCAAATTGCCCACTTGCGTGTATTGCACAGTTCTTGTGTTCTACATTGCACATTGTATTATATCGAGTTTCGCCATGGCCAATTCAGGTTGCATTGTGTATTATTTGTTTTCATTACATTTCCGAGCATTGCACTCATTGTGTTATTTTCCCGTACAAGAGGCTTTTACAACCGCACAAGCTCCCATGCCGTTGAAAATTGGCAAAGATAAACGGCAATGTTCATGTTGAGGGAGCTGTAATTTTAAACTTTTCTAATGACCTACCCAAGAGATATTTAAGACGATGGCAGGGTGGTTGTGAAGAAGGAGATTGAGGCATGACCTACCCAAAGCGTATCAAGACCAGACTTGTTCTCACCTGTATGCTGACAACATGGTTAGGCATCTACATTGGCAATGCCGCTTGAACACAAAGCAAGTGTGAAGAAATAATAACAAAATGTTTGTCCTTTTTCTAAGTTTTATACTATTATAGCATTTTCGTCACTGAGGAAACTGTTGAGGAAATAGTTATCTGGAAAATCTCTCACCGTAGATACGGCACGGACTCCATCAATTGAGCTCGTTGAGGAGACAACTGCTGCGTCAAATGCACTCTATATATATATGCAGTCACACGCACACGCACACACCCACACAAACAAGCGCGCAAACGCACACAAGAACAGCACCATGCATTGCAAACAAGAGACTCAAAAGACCGTATGGCTCAACGCCATACTAACAGGTCGCAAAGGAATTCCTTATTTCAATGCAGAAAGAGTGGGCAGGTGGGTGGTGACTAAAAAATACTTCAGCTTTTTGTTTTAAAAAGTCAACCTGTGAACATCTAATGCTCAGTAAGGTGAGAGCTTATTGCAGCTACCATGGCTACACATGTGCAGCAGTCTACAACGATAGTCCCTCTACCTAGAGACAATGTGTCACGTGATTGCTAAGGAGATCTACAGTAGTTGTTGTACGTCGCAGGGCCTAGGGGTGTCGGACAGCCTACAGTCACTACGGTATTGACCGTACCACTCTTTGCGCCAGGTACCCTGTGAATCAAAAAAAATGCACCGATTTGGGGTCTAATTGTTTTTAATAGCGGAGCCACGCACCCCCCCCCCCCCCTGAACGGTCGTTTCGGAACATGGTTTACTAGAACATCATACAATATGCATGTACACCCTGATGATCCTGGTGCCGTGGTGGTGTTCACTCTACATGTCAGGCTGGCACCACTCAACAGGTCTATCTGCCTTTTAAAATGACACGTGTACCGTATGCTACACATGCACATGCACTAAGCCTGTACATACACACACACGCACGCACGCACGCGCACACACACACACACACACACCTCAGACCTGACCATCGCAGAAGCAATGATAGCGAACAACTATGTTAGACATAGCAACTAGTGCTGGGATTACACCATTCAACAGCTTGCAAGGCTGATGAATTGACCGCCACTAATTTTTAGCCTGGTATACACACACACACACACACACACACATGTGCGCGCACACACGGACACTCCCACATGAGCACATACACGATGCAGTAATTTCGTCCGGGCAGTGTGCGCTATTTTACAGGACAGTAGGTTCAACTGCTTCTGATAGCTTAAATGCTAATGAGCACTTCTGAAGCTCACACATAAAGCCTGGTTCCTACTTCATTTTGGGTACAGGAAACACGTTGACTTGACCTCGACTTGTTTGGCCCATCACGCTGCCATTGCATAATGTGTTCCCCGTACTGGTTGCTACAACTTCATCGCAGGCCGCATCACACGGAGTTAAACCAGGTTTAACTTCTGCGATGAGCAGCAAGCAATGCACATCCAATTCTGCACGGTGGAATGGAACATTTTACAACAACGGCAGCTGAAGTGTCTGCTCCAGAGCCGGGTCAGCGACCGGGTTGGGGCGGGGGGGGGGGGGGGTACTTAGACCCGTTTGGAAAAAGAACACCGGGTACACCTGTGAGAGGCCGTGACCCGGCTGGGAATACATTATACATCAGGGGGTCCTAAATGTTTACAGCTCCCTGATGTACATGCAGTAGCCGCACTTGAGCGTGGCCGGCTCTGACCCGGTTGCAGGGGTTGTGCCAGGTACACGTGTACCCGGTTGATTTGAAATCCTGGAGCAGACACTGAGCTGCACACGTGACTCAAGAGCTCCACCTCATGTGCAGTTTTGGACTGTGTGTGTGTGTGTGTGTGTGTGTGTGTGTGTGTGTGCAGTGCAGGATTCTTATACGGCACATGATTGTTGCGCAATGGCCAATAGGGCTTGAAAGTGATGACGTCAAAAACGGCCCGGGAGTAGTACTGTAAAAGCCATATATATAACGAAGTGCTAACTCTAACGAGTTAATGAGGAGAAATCTGTCGTTAAAATAGAAATCGTTATACAGAAATCGACACATATACTGTCCTATTGAGCGTTGAGAATGAGTGAGAATCGTTATCTTTGGTACACGTAAACTAGTCAATTTTGGGAAATCGTTATATATGCGCCTCGTTAGAATAATGGCTTTTACAGTAAGTTCACATCAGATTTCTATTTTGGATCCACTAAAGGTGTGACTTTGCTATTCACTCAGTGAGTGGACGTATAGCAACCCACTCATGTGGTATGCAGGTGTGACTTTCACTTCACCACCAGTTGTCACCCCACCCCCATTAGCCAAATCAGTCAATTTCACCGGCTACATCACCTTGTTGTGAGTAAGACCGCTTGAAATGTGCTTGGATCCATACAAAAACTGGATCCATGTGGATCCAGTTTTTGAATTTTTGAAATTGTTGCTATGCTGTGACATAGCACTTTCAAGCCCTATAGCTGGCTTTCCCACCACGGCCATAATCAGCTTATCATACCCGATTGACGTCATTCGGGGGAAATCGCAGCGTTTGGGAGGTCGAAAGTTTGACCTTTCGGCCTTTCGACCCTCAACTCGCTCGTGTAAGTCTAAGAATGAAATATCAAACCAAGCAGGCCCTTTGTCGGTCATGATGACTCAGGTCCTGCCCTTGGATGCAAGATTCAGCCGTCATGACCACCAGATCGTGTTTGATTACATGCTTTCACTGTGATGTCAGTGCATTCATCGCATCCCAGAAGTGGTATTGATTGGACAGTGCTGCTCAATGAAATCCAGTCAATGCACTCATGTACGCACCAGGCGTTGCACAGTCCTAGACTTGCGAACACTGGGATTCGAAATGGTGCAAGGCGCAAACTTGAGTGCCGCGACTGAATTTCATTGAGCAGGACTGTACATTGTGCTTTTAAATGCACATGTGAATACTGTACTGGTAGTGTCTAATTAAATTATTTTCTAAAGCATCGGTGTCTGATTCGTGTTGAACTACTTGGAGAATGGCGACGCTCAGCGAGAGCATACCTGCATTGAGGGTGCTCCAAGCGCACTGGATGAGAACTCCGACAGTTTACTCTGCAGCGCAGCACTAGAGAAAGTGGTCAGGGTCTGTGCAGACGTTCTGCAACACATCCAAGTGGCCAGAAGAGACCATAGCGTAATTACTGCCCGGTGGCAAGTCATTCTTTCGAGATACGGTAACTAGATTGTGAAAGTGAATGAAAGCCGCCGGCAAAGCCGGGGGAACGAGTCTTGGGCACAAAAAATAGATTAAAATAAAACAGATACTAGTAGATCAACACAAACTCGATCATCGGCTCAGGTGTACGTGTAGAATTATCACGATCAGATAAATACTAGTTGGCCTGCATTAGAAAATAGGCCCAGAAACATTCGTCGTCGCTGCTATGCAGGACACAAACTGTCAAATCTGCACCTGTGACAACAGCCACTCGTACATCTCCAAGAAATGTGGGCCTCTCTCGCGACCTCTACGCCGAATGACATGGAACGGCTACGACTGACTTGAAAACAGGACAGCGCTGGCCGCGAAAATATCGTAGATCGCGGTATCCGCGGGCTACGAATGATGTCATGATCGATCCTTGCAGCATGGTAACTGGTTCGTTTTTTTGGGTTACGACATGTCAGACATACCAGACTACAAATACCAGACTACAGACATGTCGCCGTGTCGGTTTCAACTTTGAAAATAATTACTTTCAAGTAAAAAAGGGACAGACGGCCGGCCGGACGTACTCAGTTGATCTACACGAGTGTATTCAGAAGTCTGAGTCTGTCTCTGATTGACAGGCGCAGTGCTGTGGCAAATATTCTTGAAACAACTCCTGATCCTCGCTGTACACCCCCTGGTATAGGCCTTATGCACATTGCATATTGTACAGATGCACGAAATCCCATAATCTTGTCCGTAGACCCGGTTGGGTGTTGAATGTGCAGGACCCTATTGTGTTTACTGCTATTTCCACTATGAAATGGGCCATGAAGGCATTTCATACGAAATCTTTTTCCGGCAGAGATCTAGCTAGTCGTTAGTTCAATCCCAAAGTGAAGAAGGCTTGAAAAGTGATCGTTTGCCATGAATTGTGAGGCTAAATGGGTCAAACGCGCATGTATACAGTATAGCACACAATGAACACCCAACCGGGTATGTACACACCTACGGCCATAGTACAGAACTTCGTACATCTGTACAATGTGCATAAGGACTATTGTGTACTGGCCTGCGCTGCAACTAGTGGGAGGAAGGAAGGCCCGGGCATTCCTGCAATGCCAAGCGCAAGCACGTCACCCGTACATCATGGTACATCCAAGAGTACATAACCCCCTAAGGGTTATGTACTCTTGCCTCTTGGTACATCGTGTAGATCTACATCATATTAGTACCGTACTGTCGTACATGCATATGCGCATGGTCGGTGACGGTGACGTCATGACTCGGACTCACCAATCCAAAGAACTAGACACGTGCCGCGCGGCGCGCGCGCCACATCACATCATATCACTGAGTCTGTCATCTCATCTGTCACGACATGTCATCAGCATGCAGCACAGAGCACACAAATCAGCACACAAATCAGCAGTCGAATCCAGGGAGCCCTACGTGTGATCAAGAGTACATAACCCGTTATGTACTCTTGATGTGATGTGTATGTAGGGCTCCCTGGTCGAATCAGCAGATTCAGCACACAACAACTTGTGACATTCAACAATCAACATGATTGTTATGTCATTGGAAAGGCTTCCTGTCTGAAGCCTTTCCATACTGGTACTCGATGTTCCAGTTTTGTGACACGAGAATGGCACGAGAATTAGTGTACCGCTGAGTGTACCGCTATACACTTGGTCGACACATAGTCGACACATTGTTGATACTTTTTTGACACATGACCCCTTCAACGGTCTGCTTTGTGCCACTAGGGAGGTTCTGCTCTACGTTTTGGGAACGCGACGCAAAGAATCACGCGAACTTTCTTCGCGTTCCCGTAACGTAAAGAAATGCTGTTCTGCTCTACGTTTCACCTAGAGAAGTCACGTGGAATGTGTACTGGGAATTTCCCCTTCCATATTTGGCAGTTTTCTGCATGCAGTTGATCGATACCCAGCAAATCCGTACGCATTTTCTCTGCGTGTGCCACAACGTAGAGAACCCCATCTCCGCGTAGAAATCTGGAGCCAAAACACGCGAAGCCGTAGACTCTAACCCAGACACCTGCTCTCTACGTGATTTCTCTACGTTTCACGTATAGCAGAACCTCCCTAATGACACTCGGTAAACGCCGATTAGTGCTGACCCGAATTTGCTAGCAATTCTTCTAGCAAAATATCGAAGAATTTTGAAAGGGAATTTGCTGGCAAAATGGAGCAAAATATCGGTGTGTTGGCTGGGAATTGGGAGATTTTACACATATACGGTGCACATGACTCATTTCGGCACAATTTTACCAACACGTGACTCACTTTTTCTCATTTTTGCCAACACGTAACCCACTTTCGGTCAGTTTTCTCACACGTGACACAAATTTTGGAGCAAAAAGGGAGCAAAATATCGAGTGGCCTAGCAAAATGAAAGCAAAATTTCGACGATGCACGAGCAAAATTATGCCGCAAAATATCGAGATTCAGCTGGCAAATTCGGGTCAGCACTAACGCCGATGTCGCGTACGACAAAGACGACTATCCCGTACGCGAAAGAGTTGAGAACTGCATGACGTGGACCTGACGGCAAGGACAACTGCGAGGAGGCCCCTTTCGGTACCCCTGACGGGAAGGAGAACTGCAGAAGTCGACGAAGTCGAACGAGGAGGCCCCTTTCCGTACCCCGTACTGCAAAGTGCCATTGATGGATGCCTTTTGCACCTGGAACGACCCCTTAAACGCTGTCGCGGCGACTATCCCGTACGCGAAATAGTTGAGAACTGCTGACGTGGACCTTTTGCACCTGGAACGGCCCCGTAAATGCTGTCGTGTCGGCGGAGTGAATGTGCAGGGTGAGAAGAATTGCTGCAAAGACGTCCCCTCTAGGCCTTTGGAGACATCGTCGGCGGACTGAATGCGCAGGGTGAAAAGAATTGCTGCAAAGACGTCCGCTCTAGGCCTTTGGAGACATCGTGGGAACTCCTTCCGGTACGAGTACTATACAAACTGCTGACGTGGCCGTGGACATGGACATGGAGACATGGTGGGACTTCATGTACATGGATACATGGTGGGAATTCCTTCCGGCACCCCCGTACCGCAAAGCCAACGGTGGGGAAGGAGAAGTGCAGACGTGCAGGAAGACGAACGAGGAGGAACCAGGACGAGCGAGCAATGGCAGGACTAGCTGGACCGTAAGTAATAGCTGAATTGTGCATAACAACTTGACATCCATGCGGCACTCGCCACTTGCCACTGCATATTTCTTGTCCCCTAACAATGTCTCTCCTCTGCCCCCTGTGTGTCCACGGCCCTGTTGCTGAATTAGCCCGATGAATCGAATGTCTTCCGCAACTGGAACGGCCCAGTAAACGCTGTCGCGTCGCCGACTGAATGCGCAGGAGGGAAAATATTGCTGCGAAGACGTCTCCTCTAGACCACGGTAAGGCAACCCATTGATATGTTGCCAGTTACCTTCTACTAACACGTTTTCAGGTGGAGAGTGCCTTGTACTCACGTTATCAGGTCGAGAGCGTATTGTAGTCACTAGAGAGGTTAAGATGCACGTTATTTCCGACGTGACGCGAAAGTTCAGCTCGCGTTATTTGCTCGCACGTCGAAAAATCAACGCGAGCGACCTGCTGCTCACGTCGAAATTTGGAGTTTTACGCCAAATTTGACGTGAAATTGCGCGTCACGTCGGAAATAACGTGCATCTTAACCTCTCTACTCTCTCTACTTCATTACGTTTAAGGTGTACGTATAATTTCTCAAAAAATTAATGGTCCACAGTCGTGTCGGAAGGGTACGGTGGGACTGTAGATCTGTTACCTTCTAACACGTTATCACTATATCTGATTATCAGGTCGAGAGCGTATTGTAGTCACTCTCTCTATTCCTGAACTTCATTACGTTTCAGGTGTACGTATAACTTTTCCAAAAAAAATAATGGTTCACGTCTTCAGATAGAGAGCGTATTGCACCCACTGTCTAGTCTCTGTAGTGCATTGAGATTTTGTTGATCGCACATGAAAATGGATACACAGACAAAGCAGGCCAAGTATATGGCGAGATGTCGCCAGAAGAACGTCTTCAGATAGAGAGCGTATTGCAACCACTGTCTAGTCGATTTTGTGGATCGCACATGAAATGGATACACAGACAAAGCAGGCCAAGTACACGAGAGAGTGGACGATGTGCGGATCAACACGGCCTGCGGGTACTTCATTAAAGTTACCCGTGACATAACTAGGATAAATGTTAATCACGCAAAGACATTGCCAAGTATGTGAGCACTTTGGACTTGACAGAAGAGTGCATGGGCGACGTTGACAAAACATACCGCGGTGACTGTCCCCATCATGACAGCAGGGCACATCGCACGCAGCATCGCAGATCGTGTCGAATTGCGCATCATAATATTGCAAAATTGCTTCAGGCTCATTTCTGAGAAACAGTAGATCAACGGTAGTTATGATAATTATGTGCATTCTCTTTTCCGTGCACTGTAATGATGTACATGTACATGTAGGATACATGCAACAGGCTACTGGCAATGTGTAAAGTGGTGGTTCACAGCAGGAAGGGGTGTACGAGTTTGCTGTCGCAGCATCCCTGCTTTTCTGCTATTTCTTCTCCATGTTTTGTAGGTTTTGCACAAGAACTCTCCAAGTTTGAGTTGCGATATTGGCAACTTTTGAGCTTTTTCTGAAAATATGGATGCGATTTCAGCAACTAGCACTTGTTTTGGCACGGTTGCGAAAAGCATAAGTTGCGAAAAACTATGGCATCTTTGGGAAAGGGCTACTCATAGCCTACCTCACGACCTTCTGCTTTCTTTCTTCATCACTTGTATCTTGCAGGTATATCATCCCGTGACGACCACATTGAAGTCTGAATTTGAAGTGTGAAGATGCTTCAGCAACCACATCGTACTTTTCCATTGCTTTCATTGTGCTTCTACTGTGCATGTGTGTAACTTGTGGGGTAAACATGTGATGACATTGTATGCTGGCGACACGGTCAGATGTTGTCCATGCGTCTAACGTACACCTTCATGTTATGCATTGAAAAGGATTTGCCACTTGCGATCCTGGGACGAGTATCAGGTCAGCTTTGTCCTGTGTGGGCTGTATCAGATTGCTGTTCACTTCTCTATCTGTTGGATGTGTGACTTTCTGCAAGTTTCTGGTGTATGATGGCCACTTCCTTGCTTGTCACTTTGTATGATATTACATTCTGTATTCGCTGCTTCCATGGCGTGGTCTGCAAACTGCAATCCTTGGCCAAATGTCATGTTTGCTATGTTGTGCTTTGGCCGTCAGCTTGTCTGCACGCTGTAGTTGAATTATTTTTGTGTCACAGCCGACTTCCTGAAGTCAGTGGCCACTGCTTTGCATGGCATTATATATGAATAATTTCCTGTTTGTGTTGTGTGCATGTGCGTGGCCACGTGTGTGTGCCGTGTGCATACGCATGTTTGTGTATCTGTGTGCGGGGTAGCGAGGCGGGGAGGGCTGGTATGTATTTTTTTTTTTTTATCACATTGCACATACCTACGGAAGAAGGGGGAGACAAAACGAAGACGAAACAAAAAAGACAACAATGTATCAGTGTGTTATTGCAGTCTCATGGCTACATACAGTACATCGCGCGCGCGTGGTCATCATGTTTACCTTCGGGGTTGGGGTGGGGAGGGAACGGAAAAAGAACTGAAATTATCCATATAAAACCGCTCTGTGAGCGGTTCTGAAAAACCTTTACTACTGGTACTGCCCCGTCGTAAAAGTAAGAAATTAGAACTGGCCCATTGTCCCCCCAAATGTGAACTGATCCACCTAAATCGCGAATGACGGGACCCGAACGCACCAGTAGCACGAGGTTCCTACCTGTGGATGCGTTGGTCCGGACTATAGGCCATGTACTGTACTAGCGGTAGGTGGTGTTACCCTATGATGCTGTCCTGTGCCCTCCCGACCTCGTGCTACTGGTGCGTTCGGGTCCCGTCATTCGCGATTTAGGTGGATCAGTTCACATTTGGGGGGACAATGGGCCAGTTCTAATTTCTTACTTTTACGACGGGGCAGTACCAGTAAAGGTTTTTCAGAACCGCTCACAGAGCGGTTTTATATGGATAATGACTCATACATCAGTTCGGTCAGCTCAGACTCAGAGCCTCAGACTGTACGCAATGAGATCACGTTATTGGCAATAACGTGATCTCATTGCGTACAGTATTACTGTGGTTGCATGCAAGTAGTTATTTGATGCAACTACCGCTGGTAGACCGGCTATTGCGATCCTCGCACAGTCATGTAGAAGTCTACCAACACCATACTCCTGGGCCATAGTGCAGATCTACGTAGACTCTACCAACACTCTACCAACACTCTGGCAACACTCTACCAACACTCTGGCAACACTCTGGCAACACCACACCTGTGCCAAGAACTACATGTAACTGTTAGGTGACACTGACACTGGAGTGGAGATGGGCGGTACGCACAGGGTCAACAGCATAATAAAATTTAATAATAATAAATTATCACAATGCAGAGGACACACTGCATTGAAAGCAGCAGCGACAATCAAGCAAGGCTTCCCCAGACATGATCATCAGTCACATCAGTACACACTACTACATATACACAGCCATGCCAAACCCTATGCCATTGCCATGGCCATGACCAATCCAGCATTATTGGAGAATGGAGAATAAAATCATGACTATCAAAACAAGCATGCACTCAGCCTTGTACCTACATTGACTGCTACAATTGTAGTACTGCCCGACGGAGCCTACGGTGAGGCAGCAACACAGCAGAACTACACAGTGACCGGACTGGAACTTGTAAGTCTTGTAAGTTCATGAAGCGCTCTATCAAGGATACACAAAAGGTTGTGACAGAACTGCACAGCAGCAGAAAAGTGTGGCTAAATGTAGATGAGTAATCAAATGAGATGCGGAGGAGAAAGAAGAAGAAATTACAACACTCAGAAGCAGAACCTAACTTTACAAATTGTCAGCAGGAGTTTCACTGCAGCCCATATAAACGCAAAAATAGACAACGGCAACCACGCTTTGGTAAACACAAGCAAGATACACACAAAGTAAGAGCTAAAAATAGAAATCTACTTCCGTGACCAACACAGGATTGAAATAGCCGTTACTCTATCGTACGACGAGACCTAGAAATAGCGAGGATGTCAGATCATGAGAAAAGGGAATCCACTCCTCGGCACAATGCTAACACACGACCCATTGACTGTTATAATGTCAGACGGAAACATTGTTCAGCTCGAATTTGACACTGCGCCATAGAGGGCTGTAATCTAAACACGATCATGTGCGATAGTGTGTGATTGAGGTGAGCGGCGGCGCAAGAGACCCTCACGACTGATAGGCCTAGCCTACTCTGGAAGGGAAATCAGTCCGCAGCGGCAATGACACTATACTGTCATTATTAAAACGCATGCAGTACTGGCATACACACACACTCCCTTGTGGCTTGCAGTAAAATATTTATGTCCTAAATCCTAATTATTGCCTGAAATGGATATGTATATAACTAGCAACTGACAGAGATGATATTTAGTAAGCTGGTTTAGTAGGGTAGTTGGGATCTGCAGTGGATGGTGGATACGGCCCCGATGTCGCCGCGGACGGGTATGGCAGGTTAGATGATGGGTACGGAGCGGTAGTGCTTGACGGATACGGAGCGGTAGTGCTTGACGGGTACGGTGCTGCTGAATAGCCCGTTGACTGGAAGTCTGAACCGATGTTCACAGCGGCTGAGTAGTCTGGAGGGGCTGCAGGATTGCTGGCCGGCGGCGGGTTGTATGAGGTTGCTGCTGGAGCGGTCGGCTCGGAAGGTCGACGCAGCGCTCCCGAAGGTGCTTCTGGAGCACCTCCATAAGAAGCAGCTGCTGGCTGGGTATGCTTGACAGCGGAAGTCCTCACCGCTGGCTGGCTTGAGCTTACGGACGAGCCACCGGACGAGCTTTTCGAGATCACAATGAAGACAATAAAGCAGACCACCACCACACCAACCACTATTCCCCCAATAGCACCACCAGACAGACCACCTGAGCCGGAGTCATCATCATCGCCGTCACCCCCACCTTGCGGAGCCACTGTTGAGAAGAATAGAAGACCCACAGGAACAAACGATTTTAAAAAACTGACACAAAAACTGTTGCACTGTGAATGTGAATAGATTCAGTGGAAGCCCAGCCCTGACAGGGTTCCCGCACAAACCACCTGTAATGATCAGACAACACAAACCAACTGTAATGATCAGACAACACAGTGACAACACAGCCATCATCATTCGATGCTGTGATGTCTTTTGGCTCCCCTGGACGGTACCGATACTGTGACCTATAAGTCCCTGAACTCGAGTGGTTCGAAATCTTTACTAATATTTTCAAAACAGCCTCATGGAAACAGCAACGGAGAAATACAATTGATAAACATGGAGAACACAAACTCAACTCTTGAGACGTTCTCAAACTAACTCAATAACTACTCTAAACTACTCTAAAACCAAGGAGAAGCAAACTCCAGGGCTATAATGAGGAGAAAGGGTGAAAAGGCGGGTAAGATGAGCGGGAATGCAGGTGACGAAGCCGGTCAATGGAGGAAAAGGTGCTAACGACTTGGCGCAAAAGGCAGTGCATGGCTCTACTCGCATGCTCCTTGTCATCGCCATACCCTCACACACTCATGAACACAGTCCCCTTTTGGACGGCCCACCGGCATTCAGCAAGCACCTGTAGTCACAGGAGACTACAGGTATCAAAGCATAACAACAAACCTACCACAGTTGCCACTCGGGTTTTTTTCGCCTTGTCGGCCACCGAAGCACTGGCAGTCGGTTGTGCAGAAACTGGACGACAGCTCAGTACCAGACGCACTCCTGGTACACCAGGCACAGCCTTGAGTTGCACGGCAGTCACTGCATGTGTGGGTACAGTTATTTGAAACAAGCACATTGGCAAACAACAGGCAAAGCATATACATGATATACTTGTTCAGAGAACTTCAAGAATGTGTTGTCCCCATTAAAACAATGCCACCGGTACTAATGTGTGGACGAGGATGGTCATAGCAAGTGTCAGCTAAAGCTACTTGTACCGTAATCTCGCGCATATAAGACCATGGTCTTGTAATCGAAAAGTCACTGTTTTCGGTCCTTTCACAAGTGCATTTTCGTTCGATCGTGAGACCATGCATATGGTCTTACATGTACATGTATATGCGAGAGACAAACATCGCATCAACATGTACATGTGTAAGTACGCATATCATTGGTTAACGCCAGTATAATGTAACCATGAATCATGATGAACCTCGTGTGGCTTTGTGAGTTTCATTCACTTATAAGTGCATGTTCTTATAAGCGAGAGTGCTCTTATATTCGAAAATAAGAACATGTCCTTAAATGCGCGAGGCTACGGTACTTGTTCTACAATCCATCAGAATTCAAACACAATCGACCCCTGGGAGTTTCAAATCTGATTCACCAATTTATAGGTTGAAGCCCGATTCAGAAAATTTGATCAGAAACGGGTATCTGTACAAGTACATTGATCAATGCCAAACCTGTCCTAAAATGCAAAACCTAGCTGAAACCTAATCGTATCATGGTTCACCTTTTGGAGGATATTCCTCAAGATGCAAAGCCTCCACCGCAACCACCCATTATATCCAAACATCTTCATCACTGCATGAAGATGGTCCTGGCCTAACAATTTGAATCGCTTTAAAATTAATCAGTAGAGCTCAGGGAGCGTTAAGAGTGTGATAAAGATGTGTGCATATCCTTTGGAGGATAGGGCTGGAAAATAACTGGATCAACTTTTGACCAAAACATTGCCAAAGGCAAGAAGCTCAGTTATAATATTTCTGAAAGAACTGTCCACTGAGAACAAGTACAGTAGCGGGGGTATATGTATTGCCACTGGTACAGTAAGAGTAAGGCATTATCAGTGTGTCAGAAACAGGAAATCATCTCATTCAGTGTTGTCCTAGCAATAATGTTACCTAGACTGGGTGAGCCCTGAGCAAGTGCCATTGAAGCAACCCTCCAGGCCCACAATAGATGATGGCTGTCGCGGTATGACAGGCAAGCCAGCAATCTCCGCAGGACAAACGTCATACCTGTAGTCACAGGAAAAAATCGTGCAATGAGCAATTGGGCAATGAGCAAACGGGATTGGTTGCAAAAGGGGAGTTGAAACTAGAGCAGCACTGCCACCGCCATCTATGCTGTTACTCATGCATTGGTTGAAGACTAGTC